CTTTTTTATCTTTTCCTGATACATTTTTCACTATCAACTTAGTTTTACTTTTGTTCAACTTAAAGCCATACACCTGTCCAAATTCATGAATTTTCTCTAGGACTTTCAGAAGAGAATTTTTTGGATCCTCCACTGTTATTATAATATCCTCAGCATACGCCTTCAGTTTATATGCTTTATTTCCAACTGTTATACCTCTGATAGTTTCATCTGCCCTAATATTTCTCACCAGGACCTCTAATGTCAAACCAACCAACCAACCAACCAACCAACCAACAAACGTGACAAGGGACAGCCTTGTCTTGTCCCTTTCTGTATCTTACATTTCTCTGTTATCACATTGTTTACAATTAATCTGGCATTTTGTTCTGAATATATTGCTTCTATTCTTTTCCTAAATTTCTCTCCAAAATTCATTTCCTCAAATGCTTTTTCCTCATCAATAAACATCAATACTGCTTGCTTTTCATTTCTTACTTCCAGGTATTCTATTACATCATAATATTCCCAATATTGTCCTTCATCTGTTGACCTGGAAGGAATCCTGCCTGGTCCTGGGGTACTATTTCTAATAGTATTGCTTTAATTCTGTTTACCATTCTATTTGCAAACAGTTTATAATCATTGTTCAATAATGAAATTGGTCTATAATGTGTAACCGATGTCAAGCCTGTCTCTTGTTTAGGCACTAAAGTTATGTAGGCCTCTTTCCACGTTTCTGGTACCTTCCCCTTTTCCAGAATTCCATTCAGTAATGGGTTAATTATCAGCTTCTGTAACTTCTTATAATATTTGGCCTAAGGCCGTCCGGTCCTGGTGATTTCCCTATTTTAGCATTATTAATTGCTTCAGAGACCTCAGAGAAATTTACTGGTGTCTTTAATATAATTAATTTTCCTGTTTGAATTTTTGGTAATTTACTTTGTCTTATATAACTTTCAATTTCTTCTCTTTTCTCTTGTCCGATCCAATATAGGTCTGTAATCAATTGTCTTTTCTTTAATCTTTAATTTATTAACAGTGTTTTTAATGCCATATTTGCTTAATTGCCATTCCGATAGCTTCTCTGGCTTATTGGCATATTCAAAAAATATCAGTGTGTACTTGCTTCTGCACTTTGCACTGCCTGCTCAACCTGTACATCTTTCAAAGCAACAGATTCCACAGAGACACTATAAATTGATTCTTACGCTCTTATCTCCAAAGGTAAAGTGCCCAGTAAAAGTTGTCCTGGAGGCGGGGAGTCTGAAATTACCTACATTTTTGCTAGCAGTCTCACACAATGCAAGAGTTTCTCCCAGAGAGAGCTGTAGCTACATGGGAGCTAGCTGGGATTTTTGCCCTGGGTGAAGCCTCCAGAGGGGCGCCATTGAGGCTGCCAGCCTCTGTGTGTGTGTATGCAAATATGCATGGGTGTGTGTCCCAAACTGGGTCTTTGACCCAGGTGAATAAAGCCTAGTTTTGCCCCTGCTTCTCCAGGTGAAAGGCACCATGTGTGTCAAAAAACACACCCAAGAAACAACAGTCCCCACAGGACCTTTTCTTACCGATCACTCCTCAAGCTGAGCTAGCGAGATGGCAGGCACTGAAGCCACAACCCTGCTGGCAATAGGAGGACGGCTGTCAGCACGAAACAAGGGAAAGACCCTGCTTCGCATGCACAAGCACATTTGATAGATTTGAAGGCGCACTTCCTTCTGCCAATAGGCATAGACCAAGGGGTTGGCCAAAGAGTTGCACAAGCCCATCACCCAGAGGTACTTCTCTAGGAGGCGCTGCAGGGAACAGTGCTGACATGCAACCTGCACGATGCTCCCGACAAAGAAGGGTGACCAGGAGAGCACGAAACACCCCACCAGGATGGTGATGGTGCGCAAAGCCTTTGTGTCGCTGGAGGGCTGAGGGACTCGGCAGGCTGCCTCCAGTCCAATGTGTTCCCGTTCTCGAATCTGCTGGGCGTGGAGGGAGGCGATCTTCAGCAGGTGGCAGTGGAAGTAGATGAAAACAAAGAAAGCTGGGAAGAAAGTCACGCAGAAGAAAGTGAGCATGTAGGTGGGCTGGAAGACCTTGAAAAAGGTGCAGAGCCCTGTGTAGCCGTCCGCCTGGAAGCTGTGAGCCATCACAGGGAGGAAGCCAACCAAGCAGGCTAAGAGCCAGAGCCCTGTGATGCAAGCCCCAACAACTGGGCTCCGCATGATTTTAAAGTATTGGAAAGGGTGCTTAACAGCCAAGTACCTGTCAAAGGTGACCAGAATAACAGTGAAGATGGAGGCAGCTGAGGGGCAGGTGATGCAGGCCATTCTCAGGAGGCAGTGCTTTCGGGGCGTCTGGTACTCAGAGCTGGACAGCTCCTCTGTGATCAGACTTGTGATGGTAAATCCAACCAAGAAGTCAGCAACAGCCAGATTTAAAACAAAGCACAGCCCAAGGCAGCCCCCTTTCGAGATCAGCCGTACCAGTGCGACAACCACCAGAGCATTCATCACTAGGATGAGGGAGGCCAGGATCGCAAGTAATACCCCAAACCCAACATTTCCCATGGCAGTCTTTTCTTTACCAGAAGAAAGGAGCTCTGCTGTCAGTATAAGCAACCCGAGCTGCTTCTTAGGGAAACCACCTTGCTTGCAGAACTTATTTGGAAAAAAATTCAAAACCAGGATATGATGCGTTGAATGAATGTCTTGCCGTTTCCTGAGAGCCTAGCGCCTTCTGCCACCTTCAGCTCACTAGCCTTGCAAAGTTCATACTGGCAATACCTGTCCAGGTGCTAGGTCTAGTCCCTCCCCCAGTTTCCAGACAACCTGAGAGAGGAGAGGGGAAATGCTTCCTGCAACTTTGCTGTACAAGCAAAGGCCACATTCTCTATTTACCTCTGATAGTGTGTCTCTAGGTTCCACAGTACTCTCAAAATGACATGCCTTTGTGATGAAGCCATCAGTTTGTGTTTGTATTGTATTGTGTTCCTTACATTCCTAAGTTTTCTTGACAGAAAACTCTTTTTCTACTTGTACATTTCCTTGAGTAGCCATGCATGGTAAGCTAATCATGGCAATATCATACCACTTTAAACAGTTGTGACTTTTATTTTTTCCATTTCTGAAAATACTTGTAACAACCACTTTGTACCCCACACTAATAAACATTTCATGTACAGACAATGTAAATGATACAGTCAAACATTAAGCAGGTTTGTATAACGCTTGAAGCTGATTTGTATCAGTTAAGAGCCATCTCATTTCTATTTGTCCCGGAGTGAGCTGTGGTTGGCTGGTGGTGAGACAACCAAAATGTTGCAAAATATCAGAAGGAAGCCATTAACCTTAGAGTAAAAGTCCCCTGTGAATTTTTATGAGGACATTAGAATTTTACCGCAACTGTCGGGTGGGGGGCCATGAAGATATTCCCCATTGACTTTCTTTAATAATATTCCACTTGGGACATCTTATAGGACCCACTAACCCCTTGCAGAAACAAAAGAATTCTAAAAGGAAATGGCCACATCTTCAAAGAAAGCAGAAATGAAGTTCTTTTGAGAGTCTGAAATCAAATAAGATCTTGGAACTGACCCTATAAAGGAAGCCAGAGATGGGTATTGGGGTTAAGTTAAAAAGAATAGGGAGAAAAACCGTGAGCATGTATTCTTATTTAACTGTTTCCGACCACTTAGTTCAATAACATGACGGACTAGGCCTACTCCTGTCTTTATGGTACTCTCCAGATCATCTCTGAGAATGTTGCAGGATGGAGATGTAAACTGATGGACCCTAAATTTTTGCAGTATCTTTAGTTCTTTGTTGTTATTGGAACAACCTTCAGTGTGCTGTCTGTGAGGAAGAAAGAGTGGCAAGTTTTATATACTGTACTTTCTGAGGATCCTACTATTTAAGCAGGCTTTCCTTTGCTCTTAAGATTCATGATGCTGCTGTTGTATTATTTATATTTAATTGAATGTTTTATCGATGGATTGTGTTTTTACTGATGTATTTCTCTGCATTTTTGGTTACAAAGTTTGGTTCTCAATAATTATATTGTTTCTATGCAGAGCACTTAGGGATTTGTATACTAAGTGCTAACAGAAATATTTGTTAGGATAATAATAAGTAAATAAATATTGCACGAGCTTTTGAGTTCTCCAGAACTCTTCCGTGCTCCCTTAAGCAGCATTGAAATGATTTATTGTGCTTCCTCCATTGTTATGTACTGAATTGAATAGGATCCAAAATGCAGGAGCCTGATTGGTCCTAGAACAATAGGATTCAGAATGCAGCAGTCTGATTGGTCCTAGAACAATGCAGCAGTATGATTGGTCCGCAGGAGCCACCCAACCCAGCTCCAGGTGGAAGTGAATCCACAACCTGATTGGCCTACAGGAGAATCTTGGAATTAGCCAATCACGTGCAGCCCATTGTGTAAATAATGTATATAAAGCAGATATTGTGGGGGAATTTCCATTCCTTCTCACCACTATGAGCTGAATAAAGAGCAGGAAATCCACTCTCGACTCAGTATATTTCATCCATACTTTAGATGTCAGTATGAGAATAGCATTCCCATGAATGAAAATCAAAGATGCATTGCACACACTCCAAGCTCCCTTTACAGTGTTAACCGCATTATTTATTTATTTCACAAACTTTATACACTGTTTGTTTGTTTAAAAAAAACCTCAAAGCGGTTTACTAAACGATAAAACAATAAAACCGATTTTTAAAAAAATTGCAGCCGTACTTGAATTGAGTGCTGGAGATAAGGAGGGGTATATAAAGCTGAAGCAAAGCCAGGCACAAACCTCGTCTGATCTGTGCCACTTTCTGCCCCATACTCACTCATGCACACATGCTGCCAGAGTAGCCTTATCTCTTCTGAACCCTGCGGAGTCCCTGAGACTACATTACCCAGAAGCCTTCACAGAACGGTGGACTCGAGCAGCCAATCAGAGCAGGCGGAAGCGATTTCCCTCCTTAACCCCCACACTTCCCCTTTTTAAAATTCGGCAAATCCCGCCCCCCGGTCGTCGTCCCCCCCCCACTCCGGCCTTCTGCGCGGCGCACACGAATCTACTGTTGCTCATCATGCTCTCGGGTATTCAAGCCACGCCCCTAGAGACCGCCAATCAACAGGACGGCGTGCAAGGCAGCTTGCAGGCGGGGTTTGCGAAGCGATCGCAACGGCGGGGCCCTCCTGGTGAAAGGATGTTTCGGGAATATCGGCGTCGGAGGACTGCGGGACCAGCAGGTGGGCGTTGCTGGGCAACGGGGCGGGGCGGGGCAGGGCGCTGCTTCCTGTCCTGCCGGGATCGGATGGGAGGGTGCATGGAGCGGGGTTGTCGCACCACCGTTGTCATGGGAACCGGCAGCGGCCTGCGCTCTCAAAGAGGGCAGCTCCCCGGTTTTTGCTCATTGGCCCTATTTACCAGGTGCAGCAGCCACGATCTGCTCCTCTCAATCGCTGCCCCCTGTTTGGACCCGATATTTGCCTTTTTAATCACCTGGGTGCGGTGGTGTAGTGGTTAGAGTTCTGAATCTAGAACCTCATCTCAGATCCCCGGACCCACTCATGAAGAGCCAGCCGTGCTTTCTTAGCCTAGCTAGCCTACCTCACAGGGTTGTTGTGAGGATGAATGATTTGGTTGGTTGGATCGATCCAGTTAAGCCCGCCTCTGAATAGACTAACGGAACTAAGTTAGCCCATGCCTATTCATCTCAATGGGTCTTCTCTGTGTAGGGCTGAGGTTGGCTGTGACCTGCCATTCGCATCCTGCACCTTCAACATAAGTAGTATTTTTCTCAGGGTGGCTAGTAGAGGAGTGAGAAACAAAAAAAGTGAAATGTAATGATAATAATAAATATTTATAATAATTAGAATTTATTATTTAAGCGAATTGTAATAACAGTACAGTGATTTAAAGCAACAGCTAAAGCAGCAACTGCTTATTCAGGCAGAGGGTGAAATCAAACTGCTCTAAGTAGAAAATGCTAGCCTCAGCAGCTCTGTGAATATAGAGATAGAAATGGGTTTTTTGCCTGTAATGCTGGCATTAGCAGTTTTGTGAACATAATTATTTTTGCCTGCCCTCAAATAATAGAACAGTACAGTAATGAGATTTCCAGGTCATCTGTCTTTGGGAGGGCATTCAAAAGGCAAGGAACCGACACAGAAAAGATTTTCTTATAGAGCCATCTTTGCTGCCTTGAGCTTCTTGAATAAGCTGTATATAAATGTTTATAATAATTCCCAATGATTTGCCCAGAATTGTATTTGTATTGTGTAAGTATTATTATTTTTTTGCAATCATTAACAAAAATAATAATAATAAATGTATAACACTGTTGTAAGTTTGGGGGTTAGTCTTCATGAAGCCTGAGTCTGTTCTGATTCCTGGGGTCCTGGATCCAGCAGGGGTTAAAATCTAATGGAGGATCCCATTGCTCAACTAACCAGGCAAGCTTATTGGTGAATTAATGGCCCTTTGTACTGTCCTTAGTATAACAAAGGAAATACCTGGCTAGTAGTCAGAAAGCCCCAAACCACAGAGTTGTGTGAGCTGAGAGCTGCATTAGATGCAGGCAGAAGCTTGATTTCTGTTTGAATCCAAGGTTGTGACTATGGGAGAAGTAAGACTGGGGTGTTAATGCTGTGAGCCCCTCCATCTTAGGCTCAGGTTGTGTATAAGGGTAATTCTCATCCCACACTGCTTTAACTTGTGTGATTGCAGCTTTGATGAGGGTAGGGAGAATATATAAATGGAGAACAGGGAAAATCCACTATTCCCTGCTGTCTATTTATTTTCCCCCACTCCACCTATGCACCCAGCAGGTATTCCTTGCTTCCTGGGCTTTGGAAAGAAGGCACAAGGGCTCTGGGAGCATCTTACAACCCTCATGGCTCCTTCCCAAAGCCTGGCGCCTCTGTTATTCAGCTTTGAGAAGGCAGCTTGAGGGTTCTGGGATACTGCCAGAGCCTTAATGCCACATACCCAAAGCTTGACACCTTGCTTACTCGGCTTTGGGGAAACAGCATGACGGCTGTGGCAGCATCCTTTGCACCTCCTACACAAAGCCCAGTAACTGAGGCATCTGGATTACTGGCCTCTCAGAAGATTGAAGGAGTTCCAACAAACTTTTCAGAGCCCAGTAAGCAGCCCTCCAACTTGCGTGAGAAGCAGTTTCAGGGGTTCCTGGCAATTTTGTGTTCACATGTGGACTCCTGACATCTAACCCTTGCATAAGATGCGAGTTTCCTGTATGTGCAAATAAACCATATATCATAAATACAGTAGTTTCTGCTGTCCCTCTGAACATGTCGGATTGTTACTAGGTGGGTGATCTTTGCTGTCTATTTTGTTGTTTCTTCAGCTTGTAAACTGCCATGTGTATAGTAATATAGAAAGACAGTATGCAAATTAAAAGGAAAGGAAACCAAAACATGGGTAAGTTCTTGGAACCCCTGGAATCTTGCACTGCTCAGAGATTGGGGTGGCATGCAACAATATGTTAATTAGATATATACGTTATATTTTGGGGTACTCTGTATAAACCACATATTCAGTATTCTGCCCAGCATAAAAAGTGGGCGAAATCTTTTGTGTAACATTCAGTGTTTGATTAAGACAATCAGTGTGCTTGTTTATTTTTTAAATCAGAAAAAGAGGTGCTTATTTTCCAATAGGTGATTACTTGGTTACTCACCCCCCTATATTAATCTATGGACACTTAATGTGCATACTGAGGTTGTGTGTGAAAGCCGAAGTGAATGTTTATCGCACATGAGCCTCTACATTAAATTGCTTCTCATGTAGAAATTTGATACCATAGTAACTGCCCTGTTGCCTTGTCCACACTGGTTTCTTTCATTGGAAGATGAAAGAAATGTCATGTGATAGCTTCCACAATTGGAGGCAGCAATACTTCTCAAACGGCTTGCTGGTTTCCCACAGGCAACTGTTAAGCCCAGGATGCCAGACTAGATGGACCATTGGCCTGATCCAGCGGTTCTTCTTATGTTCTTATGAGGTATTGCACATCATCCTATGGAACAACAGACATTCTTTTCTGTGACTGTAATGGTTTCCCCCTCATATTTATATATACCTGTGCCACTTATCAATAAAACATTTTTAGGATGATCTGAAACGGAATAATCAGACAGTCTATGATTTGATTGTGGATGAGGGTGCTGATCTGGTTTGTATTACTGAGACCTGGGCGGGCAGGCTGGGAGGAGTTGATTTGGCACAGCTGTGCCCACCTGGATACTTGGTGCAGCATAAGCACAAGCTGCAGGCACGGGGGAATTGCTGTGGTCCACATGACTTCCATTTCCAGGAAACCACTCTGGCTTAGAGCTGGCTGTGAGGGTGTGTGCACTTGGTGTCAGGCCAAGGAAACAGTAAACTAGGGTTGCTACTACAGTGGTACCTCAAGTTACATACGCTTCAGGTTACAGACTCCGTTAACCCAGAAATAGTACCTTGGGTTAAGAACTTTGCTTCAGGATGAGAAGAGAAATTGTGCGGCGGCAGCAGCAGGAGGCCCCATTAGCCAAAGTGGCGATTCAGGTTAAGAGCAGTTTCAGGTTAAGAACAGACCTCCGGAACGAATTAAGTACTTAACCCGAGGTACCACTGTATACCCATCTGCTCACTGAATATGCCATCTTATCAGGAGGCCCATTTCATACTTTGTAGGAACTGGGCCTTGGGAGTTATGGCAGATTCCATTTGGATCTTTCTTCCACTGCATATCAGACAGGTGAAATTTTTGTTGTCTTTTTGGCACCTAAGGGAAAACCTTTCAGCAAATCTTTTATGTGAAGATTTTTTTATCTCAGTCTATATGTGCATTGGACTTGAGAGAGATATATATATATATATATATGTGTGTGTGTGTGTGTGTGTGTGAGAGAGAGAGAGAGAGAGAGAAATAAATGCTACTTGACACACATACAATAAACCTGTTTGGTTTTTTTATCTTGCATGGCCAAAGAACAGGTAATGCGTGAATATCTTTTGTAGGAAGGACCCCTTGTAGCAGTTACCACAGAATTTCCTACCACCCAGAGTGTAGCTTTGCAATATTTATTCTCTGGAATATTCACCATATGTATTTATGTTTAGCCTTGTAAATAAGCCTACAAAAATTAATAGCCTGCTAAGAGAATAGTACTGGGACGCAGGTCGGTGGTTCAAATCCCCATGACAGGGTGAGCTCCCGTTGCTCGGTCCCAGTTTCTGCCAACCTAGCAGTTCGAAAGCATGTCAAAGTGCAAGTAGATAAATAGGTACCACTCCGGCGGGAGGGTAAACGTTGTTTCCGTATGCTGCTCTGGTTCACCAGAAGCGGCTTAGTCATGCTGGCCGCATGACCAGGAAGCTGTACGCCGGCTCCCTTGGCCAATAAAGCGAGATTAGCGCCGCAACCCCAGAGTCATCCGCGACTGGACCTAATGGTCAAGAGTCCCTTTCCCTTTACCTAAGAGAATAGTAGCCTGTGTCTCTATGCTGGTTGAAAATGAAGGGAAGGCTTCTCCTCCTCCACAGCCAGGTAGAAATGCAGGCTACTAGCTTCTTTGTAGGATAGTAAAAAAAGTGCCTTCTATCAACAGCATTGTGGGAGAAGGGGCAGAGTAACGCTTCCTTCCTCTGCCATCCTATTCGCTCACCTTCATGGAACTCCTGATTACCTAGGGCTACTAGGTGAGTTTTTAAAATACAAGGCTGTATGGTTATCTGCTGATCTTGGTTTCCCCTCACCTTTTTTCTGTTTCAAAGTTATGGTTATAAAATAAGCATGGTGGGAAGTTAAAAAGGTTGTTTTTTAGTGTGAATTCTTAAGAAGAAGTACTAGTTTCTCTTGAGGGTTAAGTTATGGCAAAGATAACCACTCACAGGGCAGGCAGCCAGCAAGATTGAGGCTTGCCAATTGCATGCCGCTTCTCAGTGATCCTAGTACTGAAATCCTTTGCAGATTCACAGATGAGCATGCTGTTAATTACTTCGCCACCTGCTCTCTGGCCATCTCCCCATAATGTTCAGGATTTAGTCTCTTACAGAGTCACTGATTGGTAACTGATGGGGACAGATGCAGCAGTGGGCAGCAATTCATTTTAAAAAAAGAGTTCCATGCCTTTCCTCTTTAGCATCCCAGCGTTTCCAATTGCCTGCTGTGTAGCTTTATTGACGTTAAGCTCTCCTCTTGTTACGCTGGCTGCTGGCACTTGGTTTGTTTGCAGGGTCCAGCACAGCACATGCGTCACACACAGGCTGAACTGTGTTACTAGTTTGTGTTTATATGATGGTGCGGTAGTGTGGGTAGCAAGATAAAACACGCTGAGACTGAAGAGCACTCTTTGCGAAGCACCATCATGTTTTTTGTGCATTTCACAGGTACGGTTTGCATTCTGGTGTAATGAGATTCAATATTTTCGACTCCAATATGTTTGCCACGAGCAGTCTTAGTTTGCGATGGGGAGGTGGAGAGTAAAGTCTACAGACACCAACAGTCAAGTGAGACCGGTGCTCTAGCCAGAGTGCCTGCAGCCAAGTATAACACTGAATCTGAGCTCCCGGATCTTTTGGATTATATGGATTCAGCAAGAGCACAGTTTAAATATGGAATAGTTGGAGTTAAATCCACAGTGTATCTGGTCAATCTGGTGCTCTTGATAGCCTTTTAATGCTGTTTCCCCAGCTTTTAGCCTTCCCAATCTGCCTTGGAATCATCAAAGGCTCTCTGTTTGGGAGGGGAGGTTCAGAAGAGCTTTCAGGATTTTAATTTTTTTATCTCAATTTTTTTCTAGACTTAAATTTTCTAAATCTGTTTCTGTGCGGCTTGAAATGTGTTATGGGAAGGATTTGGAATTGTGTCTTTGAATATGTTTTTTATAATAAATGTTGAAACAGACAGTATTTAACCAGATGGGCAGTGGCTTCTTGACGTCTAGCTGTGGCTTGAAACAGAAGCAAGCCACTCCTAGGTGCAAGGGGACTGTAGGAAAATAGGTCATCTCTGAATCTCAAGTTTCAGTGTAATGGGAAAAATTAATAACATTTATATCCGAAACGTAATTGAGATTACCTCAAACTGGAAATCCAGCTCTGTTCTTTATGCAGATTGCCTCCACTGTTGATAGGTAAGCACTTTGTGACTGGTGAATATTAAAGATTAAAATTAGCTTATCTTGGCCAAAAGTATGAAAGCTGACTCCATTCTTTCCCCCTTTTTGCAGCTGCTTATACTTCCAAAGCATGAGTTTCATTGTGTAGTTATCATAGTCAGTCTCTTCTGTATGTGCAGCATGCATCTGACAAAGGAAGCCTGTGGCACAGCATTCCTGCAGTGTTTTTAGATTTTATAGGTCAAGGTGTCTCCCTGCTACATGAACGTTTTGGAAGACAAAGTTGACTTAGCTGTTAGCCTTTACAATAGTCATCTTCATCGTACAGTGGTAGAGGTCAGTGAAGCAGGTCATTAGTAGCAGTAGCAGGTTCAGATAGAAGCAGTAGCATAATACGTTTATTTAGACCACTTGAAAGTCACAGAAAGTGAGCTATCTGTCAGGTTTCACAGCTCTTCCTCAGGCAAGATGTGTATTTTTTATTTTTTTTTAAAAGAGAAAAATGTTGCTGATAGAAGGCATGGTAAGAGCCGAATTATACATGACTGCAATTGTAGAGTTTGCCGTTGAGTGCAGTTCCACCCCACCACCCACATAAACTGGAGTTGCAGAATCCCCCACCCCCAATTCAGATCCGAATTGCAATGGGGGACTTGGGTTAAAACCTACAACTATACTAGGCTTAAAGGCTACATTACACTAGAGTTCCAATATGGTTCGGGTCTTTGGTGTTCACAGTTGGGGGGGGGGGCTGCACCAGCATTTAAGGGCAGAACTGTGCAGCTGAGGTCACAAATAGTTGGGTCCTTAAGATACTGTACTAATTAAGGAAGCTCTTAAGATTGTGCCAAGAGCAAAATGTATTAAATTGCATCAAAGTATACTGGGATGGAGAAAGAACAATTGCTTCCCACTGAAAATGTTAAAGAACAACAGATATTTGAAACTGATTCTATTGCTGCTCAGGGCACCTTTGTATTCTTTGAGTATACCAAATTTATTGTCAAGCAATTATAGAAAAGGAGGAAGTCTACCTTTTACCACCTAATGCTGTCACTTTTTCTATGTGTGAAACAAAATGTCTCAAATAGAAGTCAGAGTGGAAAGTAATACAGTGTGGTTGTACATACCACTTTCCACTTTGGTCTCTGTTGAATTTGCTTTTAGTAGATACACAAGTTATAATCTCCAATTTCATTAATCTCCCTCCCCCTTTTTTATTTTACACCCTGCTTGATGGAGAATTCCATGAAACTCACAAGGTATCTATTTATTTCTCCTTTCACCTGGTCCTAAAAAGATCATATGCTGCTGTTTTAATTAATTTCTAAATCAAATGTGGCCAACTGCATTTTTGGGGTCTGTTTTAGCTTCCCCAAACAGGTTATCTATAAGTACATAAATATGGAATAATGTTTTTAAATGTTTTTAGGCAATGTATGTTTTGTTTCCTTTGGGTTTTTTTCATATTTTTCCTTTTAAATATGTGGGACCTCAGATGGCACAGTGTGTAATTGTATTGCTGTTGTAAGCCTTTAGATTTAATCTTTAGATTTAGCTGAATTTGCAACTAAGAAGTTGGCAATTGTTTTTGCAGACTTTGCTTTAAAGTAGTCTGTTTCAGTTTCTATGAAAGTCCATTCTTCATAAACAGGAGAGGTGTACTTCTTGGCTCTGTAGCTTTAAAAACTGTAGCTTTTAAAACATGGGTAGGCAAACTAAGGGCCGCAAGGCAATCAGGCCCAATTGCCTTCTGGATCCAGCCCGCAGATGGTCCGGGAATCACCACGTGGATCGCAGGTGCGCACGTTCTTTCCCTCCCTCTCACATGGTGGCGCCTCCTCCTCCTCCCTCCTCCTGGCTTCTTCCCGCCCTGCCTAGAGGAGGAAGAAGGCTGGGTTTTGTTGGTGCCAGCAGCAGCAGCAGCAGCGCTCAAGCGGCCACCATTTTAAGCAGCCCCTCTCCGGAGCCCTTTCGCGTGCCGCTCACCGTTCCCCCGCCGCCGCCACCAGCCCCTGTCGCTCGCAAGACACAGGTAAGGGGGCTCGTGGTGCTCTTGCATTGTCCCCCCACCCCCAAAAAATATAGTCTGCCCCCCCCACAAGGTCTGAGGGACAGTGGAAAAAGTTTGCTGACCCCTGTTTTAAAACAATGGGAGTGAGGAAGCTAGAGTAGCAGCATAGATATTTCCTGCCCTATTCATGATGTGGGCCATACAGTGGTACCTCAGGCTAAGTACTTAATTCGTTCTGGAGGTCCGTTCTTAACCTGAAACTGTTCTTAACCTGAAGCACCACTTTAGCTAATGGGGCCTCCTGCTGCCGCCTCGCCGCCGGAGCACGATTTCTGTTCTCATCCTGAAGCAAAGTGCTTAACCTGAAGCACTATTTCTAGAGTCTGTAACCTGAAGTGTATGTAACCTGAAGCGTATGTAACCTGAGGTACCACTGTATTTAGCAGTTTGGCAAGTTATTCCTTATGAATTTGAGCTGTCACCATCCTAACAGCACAATTGAAATCCAATGTCTCCTGGGCTGAGTGTGTTTGCAGTAGGTAGGTCTTGGGTTGTGCCAGTGCAACCCCCTCATCTCTGGTGAGCAGTTTAGATGCAGTTTATTTTATTTTAATTTGCTTTCCAAATAACCAGTCACACTTTTTTGTCAATATGTTTTAAATAAACGGTGGCTGCAAATCCTATGCGTGCTTATTCGGGAGCAGGTTGGAACATCAGAGAATTTTAGTGGGAGTGGAAATTGCCACTATTTCTATCCAAGGTCCAGAAGAGAAATCAATCCAGCAAGTACAATCTTTATTCTCCTGCAAATTGGTTGTTTCATCCAATACATAGTATTTTTTTACATTGTTTTTACACTTCTTTTATATTGAATTGATTGGTGTGGAAATAATTTTGTCATTGATTATGTAAGTTACGTGAAATAGCAGACCGTGAGTCAAACAGCGCAGTATTTCGTGGAAACTGAGCTGCGGCAGAATGGAAACTGCATTGATTGTGTTGAAAACAGGGTGGAATGGAAATTGTAGCTTTAACACCTAGAGGAGCAAGCCCCATTAAACTCAGTGAGACTTAATACCAAGTAAACATCCAGGGGAATAAGTGATGCAGCCCTGTTTTGAATTGAAACTTGCAAGACTGTTTTGCAGACTATGTACATCTTTATACCATAGAATTAAAGTGGTTTAATAGGCATTCTATGTAACTAAGAAACGCTGGGAGTTGTACTTCCTTAGGTGTTCGAGATCTCTGAGAGAGAGTACTTAGCACCCTTATAAACTACAGTTCCAGGAATTCTTTTGAGAAAAACCAGGACACTTGAGGTGGTATAAAATCAATGTGAACTTGTGGTGTATCTATGTACAGTGGTACCTCTGGTTACATACTTAATTCGTTTCGGAGGTCTGTTCTTAACCGGATACTGTTCTTACCCTGAAGCACCACTTTAGCTAATGGGGCCTTCCGCTGCTGCTGCACCACCGCCACACGATTTCTGTTCTCATCCTGAAGCAAAGTTCTTAACCCAAGGTACTATTTCTGGGTTAGCGGAGTCTGTAACCTGAAGCATCTGTAACCCCAGGTACCACTGTATAGGGTAAACTTTGTACTGATCAGCTGCATAAGCCCCTTGGTGCTATTTTCTTTGTGTATCTCTGCAGACCACACCCTTGGGCACATGGCAATAACAACATTGTAACCAAGCAGCTTGCGGATGGTATTCTCAATTGCTGGTGCCTTCACAATTCCTTTAAAATTAGCTGCAGTGTTTCAAGAATGCACTTGTGTCTTGGATTAGGGGTTCCAAGTCCTTCAGTCATATTCCAGGCGCTTTGCATTCTTTTCATTTGCTTCTTGGAAAGTGTGGACTACTAAATAACTTGGAACAGATGGTTCCCAAAGCTTCGGCTTCTCTGTGAACTCCTCCAACTACAAACGTATCCTAATGAGCCATGTCAGAGTTCCCAAAATCAGGTTATGGTGATTAAGGCAAATTGTACTGAATCTGCTCATTCTTTCATTTCACTTGCTATTTTGTCCTACGACAGTCACAGGCAAGTGCTTCAATGTTTGGTTTTGGTTTGTTGATGTTGTAATAGCAGCACAAAGATTCTCTGTCACCACATCAACTTGCAAGGGATTTCCTATTGCTGTTTTTGGATGCTTAATTAACTCTTTAATCCCTACCCCTACTGAAGTTAAACTTTTGTGTGTGTAACTCAGATGAGCACACACTTATCCCCTCTTTTTTTTAATAATATTTTTTATTAATTTTTAGCATACAAATTTTTTTAAGACATACCACACAAATTATTATACATATGTCCTTGTTTGGACTTCCTTCAGCATCTCTGATAGCCTTCCGTCTTGATTATTTCTCCTGCAATTCTTAACCTAATATTGCCTTTACCTTTTCTAACAAATCATTTCTCCCTTTCCATTTTTACAATATTTCTTAAATTACTCCTCACAGAACTTCTTGTAGTCCTACAAACGTAATCTGATCATCACAAATACTTTTCAAATACTCAGTAAATTTAGTCCAGTCCTCGGTAAACCTCTGGTCCCACCGGTCTCGGATCCTTCCTGTTAGCTTGTCTAATTCTGCGTAGTCCACTTATCCCCTCTTTAACCCCACCTTCCTCACTTTATTTCCCGTGTTAAGTTATAGATCGTAAACTCCGCTGGGCCTGTCATTATCCTCTGCAAAGTGGCAGGCAGGTAGATGGTGTTATATAAATAATTAATTTACAAAAGGACCATATTGGGACCATCTCTGTAAGGGAGCTATAGGATTGGGCAGATTTGACTGTTTTGGTTCCCTGTCACTTTTGTATGTGTTCATTCATATGTCTGGTCTGCCCCATTTAAAAGCAGTGCTGGGGGAGGGAGGATCACATTTCTGAATATATGTATCTCAAAACAATGCAATTTAAAACATGCTCTGATAAAGTTTTTGCTTTAAAAATACCTTGCAAAATGTAAATATGTGCAAATCCCAAAGGATAGTTATATTCTGATTTGCAGCTTTGAGAAGTACAGATCAAGTTAGTTCATAGCAAAGAAATAATAATTTTCTCAAACATCTCTAGAAAGGTGGCTGAAAAAGAGGATCTTTGTTTAGCTCCTCATGGAGCTAGGCTGGGAAGTATTCTCAAGCTCTTAGAAGATTGCTTTGGCTTAGATATGTCTGTTTCAGCAGTGATATCATAAAAGCCAGTTTTTGTAAGGTCGCGAATTTAAGCCTCGCTTTAACTTTTCACGGTCGGAATTTGGGGGGAAAGTCAGGCTTCTATTCAGGCCAGTACAGTAAATGAAATAAATGAAATAAAATAAAATTGAGAGGTGTTGTAACGGCATGTCTGTGTGCAATGAGTCTGTGTTTGGTAGGTTGCAAATTGTGTGGCCCTGGTGTATGCAGAACTGAAGTCTATACATTTACTTTAAACATCTCCGTTCAGAGTTTTCCGACATGTCTGTCCCAGCATTCTGGCAAGAGAGAAGACTGTCACTATTGCAGCCTTGGTTCCAGGTGCAGGAAATGTAAACCTGACTATGTAGGGAATGCTCTAGCAGTAAATGTTTATCGTTCTGAAGTGCCCCAAGACTCTCCAACCATCCCAGTGATGGCTGAGACTTGTTGCCGCTACTCTCACCAGGGCTTTGGGATTAGCATAGGGTTTAACACCTAGCATCATCAAATAAAGTTCTGTCCTCAAGAGGCAAGTCTGCTTGATACACAACATGCCAGGATAATTCCTTCACAACAGCTCATTCCCTCTTTGCTACAAAAGGACCCTTTCACTTCTCCAGGTTCTTCTTATGTGATAAGCCATATTGGTGAGAACTTAGTCAAGATGTTCTGTTCAGTTAAGCTTTCCTCTTGCTTTTGAGGTGTTGCAATGCTAGACAGTCTTACCACTTGTATCCTGTATTTGTTGTCATAACCAATTGTGCTAGCTGCCAAGGTTAATTGCAAACAAATTTCTGAAGCTTGTCTCTCTCTTGTCCGTCCGTCCCCCCCCCCCCCATTTCCTAGTACCACAACACAAAGCTGGTCTTCAGATTTCTATGGAAGGTATTCAGCACCAGCAGCATCAGTGGCCATCAATTATTAAGTTCCTGTTTGTTTGTTTGTTTGTTTTTAAAAATTTATTCATTTTTTAAACTACTAATCCCTGTACAGCAGAGAATAATCTAAGTACTGTATACATAGTCATCCTTTTATCAAATGCCTTTCAAATTATAAAAATACCAGCAGCTCTTACCCTCAATGGTATATAGAAATACTTGACAAAAAAGAAGGTAGAATAGCTTTTACAGTTATGGTACTAATTTAGATCCATAAGGAAGTATGCAAATTGTCTGCTTCCCCTAAGCAGTTAGAAGAGGGTTGGCAGCTGTGTGGGGAGGGCCTGCATCCCCTTTGGTCCGTGTTTGTTCTGTGGGCTGCCAATTGCCAACCTCTTTTCCTCGCAGTGCATCAGTAGGTGAATAGTGCAGTATTTTCTTGTATTACTTCAGGCTTTTCACTCTCTGAGGCTGTGTTGTGAAAACATTTGGCTTGCACTTGAGTATTGAGGATTTGTTTGAAAATTAGAAGGGATCAAATGCTATTCTTAACAAATTCTTCCCTTTTCCGTCTCTCTCAGGACTAAACCACCTGCCCTTTGACCCTGGCAATAGCAAACCTCTGCCATTCAATAGCAGCCCTGCTGAAAATGGAGGCGAGGCAAGCCAGAAACGGAAGAGGATAAATTTGCCTACAGGTAGGCCATGTGTGCATGTGGTGTAGCAAGCTGTGTTTGTGCCTGGGGGATGTCTTAACTATGAATGGGGGATACAAGAACACAACAGGACAGACCCAGAAGATGGTACTGGGAAAGTTCTTTCCTCTTCATGACCACTTCTGTTTCTCCTGTCTTGCCTTATTGTTAACATGTACATGAAGCTGCTGGGAGAAATAGTTTGGAAGTCTGGGCTAAAGCGTCATCAGTTTGTGGATGATGTACAACTCTGTTCATCATTTCCACCTTCTAGTTTTAGGGGTTTTAGGATGGATGAGGGCAAACAAGCTGAAGCTTAATCTGGATAAGACAGAGGCACTGCGGGTAGGAAACATGGTGCCCTGGACCATAGTGTGTGCCCAGAGTTTGATGAGGTTGCACTCCACCTGAAGGACCAGGCACACAGTCTGAGGGATTCTCCTGGACTTGCTGTTTCCTAGGAAGTTGCTGATGGAATCTGTTCCCATAAATAACTGATACATCAGATGTTACTCTATCTGGAGAAAGTGGAGCTGACCACAGTAGTCCATGCCCTGATTGCATCCCAATTGTGCTACTTTAACATGCTGTATGTGGGGCTGTCCTCAAACACTGTTCAAAAGTTTCAGCTGGTACATAATGCATTCCCCAGTTGCTTTGGGGGGCCAGATGACTAGAGCATATAACACCAATTCTACACTTGCCACTTTCATTACCAGTGAGTTTTCAGGCCCAGATATAGTGTTGGCGGTTACTTTTTAAAACCTAAATGGTTTGGGACCAGGATATCTGAAGGGCTACCTATATTTTACATGAACCTGCCCAACCCTGATATTGGCCATAGAAGTCCTGTTTGTAGGTCTGCCTTTAAGATTCATCAGGTTGGAAGTGGGGGGGAAACGGGGCCTTTTTACTGGTGGCCCCATCACTGTGGAACTTACTCCCCCAGGATGTTTGTCTTATACTCAGTCTGTTTGTATATAAGCAGGCCTTAAAACACACAATTGTTTTTTGCAGCTTTTAACTGAATAAGATTGTTGGTCTGTAATTTTAATGGTTGCTGTTTTTATCTACCGCATTGTGTTGGATGATTTAATTGGCTTTTAAAATCTAATGTTTTATTTTTTATTTTTTTTAAATAATATTTATTAATTTTCAACCGTTTAAACACAACAAAATAGACAAAACAAACCATTTAAGACACAAACCATTTAACACACAAAACAATTTCAATATCTTATCTTTCATTCCCTTATTTCCACGACCTCCTCACGCCTCCCTTTTTGTATTCCACTTCTGTTAATTGTTTCAGCAATTCCTTTCCATCTTCCTCTGTTTCTATCCTATAATTATCTTAACATATTCTGCTGACCTTATTTTTCCCTTTAATACTCTATTAATCTATACTTAGTTCCTTATAGCATTTCTACTAGAGCCATATAACTTCATTCCAACATTTTTCTTACATTCATAATTTTTACAGTATTTCTATGAATAGTCTTAAACTTTTTCCAGTCTTCTTCTACCGACTCTTCTCCCTGGTCTCGGATTTCTGCCAGTCGTTTCCGCCAATTCCATATAGTCCATCAACTTCATCTGCCATTCTTCCCGAACAACTAAAATTATAAACACAATTTAAAACATTAGATTCTATCTATTCGGGTAAAATCTAATGTTTTAAATTGTGTTTATAATTTTAGTTGTGGGGCTGCATGAGAGAACCTAAGCGAACGGAGGCTCACTTTTAGAATGGAAAAATGTCCTGTTATTCTAGCTCATTCCATGCCAGGGATCCTGAGTTCTGGGATTTCTGTTACTTGTCACTTGATAGCCAGAAGTCAGCGAGTCACAGCTGTGTACGTGCTTGAGTCAGGATGAATCTGAATTGGGGGTTTATGTTTGTTGGCCTGGTTGATATGCAGTAGCAAAAACAAAGTACTTCTTATCCTTCCTTAGAAGACACCCTCACTGCCATAAAAAATTGGAATGAAACATGGACATTGCCATTATGATCCCAAAGTATGTGAAACACAAGCTAAGGAAAAGCATATATTTAATTGAGCCAATGCAGGTTGATATAGAAATACGACTTGAATTTCACAAAATTTCACAAGCTAGGTAACTCCTTGTGTTGGATGAACAGCTCTGTGAAACTCAATAGCTTATATGTTCCTTTACCAATTTTCATTAGCCCAATATAGATACAGTTGCACACACCCCTAACTTCCAAGTGGTGTGAGATTCCAGGGGTTCCAGGCACTTACCCAGGGTTCATGTTTCCTTTTGGGAATGAGGCACAGCTGAGTCTTTAGGATATATGGTTTATTTACACATATATACAACCTGAGCCTGCTATGCAGGGGTTCACACTATTAACACCCCGAATGGGCATTGTTTCTTCCATAGCTACAGCACTGGATTCAAGCAGAGATCCATCATGCCTCTCGGTCACTCTGCTTGCTATTTTGCTTCTCGGATACATCACTGCTCACTCTCAGCTCTAACTTTTGTCTTTCTCACTATCTGTGAGTGGAGGGAGGGGCTCATTTGCCATCTCCCACAGAGTCCTTAATCCCTCTTAATGGCTCATCACCCAGGCTATCGACTCACAGAAAGCTAGCTTGGATTGATTAGCTTTTAACACTTGCTGAACCCAGGGATTAGAGAGGCCTGGCACCCACAAACTCATAGCAATACCATTTAACCTGCATCAGTTGCATGCAAAAATGTGGGATTGTTCTTATTTTGGGGATTTGTGATATGGAACCTGCTGAAAATAGCAAAGCCATCCAAAAGGAAATTAGAGCCCCAGACTACACATCAGGGTTGATGATTGTGCTAAAATGATACTGCATGAAGCAGAAAGCTTCCTTACTCTTCATGAGCGCCCACCCCAACAGAGCATTGGATGGGGAACCAGTGGCCCTCCAGATATTGTTGGATTCTAACTCTCATCTGCCACAGCCAGTATGGCCAGTGGCCATGAAAGATAGGAGTTAATTGAATTACAAGTTCTTCAGGCAATTAAAGGAATGGGTCAGAGGATGTAAAGTACACCTGTTACAGTGGAAATTGATCTGATGAGATGTGCAAGGGTCTGTTGGCTCATTCTAAGCATTCCATCCCCAGTGCTTTCCCTTCACTGTTGAGCTGGAATAGAGTAATCGCAGGTACAAGGGGAGGAGCTGAATAATTATTTCAGACAAAGAAGGACAGATGAACTGTCATTAGTATGCGAGGTGAGATTCCCTAAAAGCAGTTTTTGCCAGTCAGTGTTTTTCCTATTGTCCTGCTCAAACTTCAAGATGGGCTGGGGAGGTCCTCCTGGTAATTCCATTACTTGTGTATTGCCCTGTTGTTTAGGGTTGCCATAAGACCGTAATTTTCCAGACATTCCCAGGATTCAGCCATCGGAAACAGTATCCAGGTGGAAATTGCTGAAATGTACGGGCATCAACAACTTTGGCCAAAACAACAACTTTTGTGTCTGGATTTTCAGTTTTTGAAATATGGCAACCCTGCTGCTGTTACTTGCCTTGAGATGAAGGGCTTCGTGATGAAGGGTGGGATATAAGTAAAAGAATAAACAAATTTAAACTACTAGTACTCAGCATGAGATCTAAGATGGCATTGCGATGTACTAAGTTTCATGTGTGACTTTGCCACTTGAAGCTGCTCTTATGCCAAATCTCTCCACTGTTTTTTAAGCTCGCGGAAGATGGGAGAGAATTTGAAAATGTATTCAGGAGTTTGACAGTGGGATTTGGCCTTTGGACATGCAGATAACACATGGACTTTGCCCTGGATTATGGCCTAGTGTGTTTTTTTTAGGGGTTATACTCTGCCATCAGAGGATCATTCTGGGGCCCATAATAAGTGCTGGCTCAGATCTATTTTAAGACTTGTGCCTTTACAACTAGAGCTCTTATTTTGGAAAGAACAAGATGTTGGTACATGGGGGATGGGATGATACTTGGGAGCGGAGCACAGGCAAATGTGGTTTGCATCAAATAGTTTGTGCCTAAAGCGAGTATTTGTTGCATCCTACTCTCCCCTTAGAATTTATCCCATCATTTGCCAAGATATGCAGGGTGTCATTTTATAGGGGAGATTTATTTGGTTTCTATCACTTTCTCTTCCAGTTTTATCGTTAGTAAAAAAAATTAAAAATTGGGGTAAGTAATGCTGATAATTTTAAAAAAAAGTACATTTGTTAATATGTTTGTCAATCATAATCCTTTCTGCAGACAGCATCCCAAATCTGAGTCTAGAGTCTCCTCCAATGGATTTGGGCATGTCAGATCCAACAGCCTGGACCACTGCAATGAATAACTTGGGGATGGCACCAATGGGAATAACAGGAGATCCTCTTTTGCCTGGTAGGTTGTGCTCTTGGTTTGGTATCACCGCTGCAAGCACGCAATGCTTAATTTTTCCAGTGGAGTGTTAAGGGGAGTAAATGTTCAGAGAACACACAAGATCCATAGCCTAAAATGGGAGGGGAACCTCTGGCCTGTGTCTGATTAGGCCTGTTAGGCCTCCTTATTTAGCCAACAAGGCCATTTTCAGGGAAGCCATGCCCATCTGTCCTACATCTATTGGAAGTCATATATGATGTCAGTTATGGGGTAGGTCAAAACTTGGATTATCTGAAAGGGTGTTTGCAGGTTTCACTAATCAGGTGATTGGCAGCACCTGTAAAGCACCCTGCAAAATAGCATGTTGAAAGGGTCTTTGCAAGACTAGAAAATCAGCTGAGTGCTCTGTCTACTTGGCCCTTAGGAGTGGCTGCAATAATAAACAAAAAACAGCTCTGCAACTTTAAAGCAGAATCTGGCTGTGATTGGCCTGATTGGCCGACCCTCTTGTATGTTACCAAAAAACACCTCCACTCCATCTATGGAGCTGTTAAGCACTTTGTAAAACAGTTTCATTAAAAAAAAAGTAATTGACTGAATGAATGGATTTATGCATAAGTACTCTTGCAGCACTTCTAAAATTAAAAGAAGGAAAGGCAGCCTGGAGTGGAAGAGGCAAAACAGATGCCTGAGCCAGCTTTCAATGTGGTGGTATGCATGGCTGTCATTTCAGTTACAAAACCGGGAGGAAGTGAGGCTAATCTCCCAGTGTTGGGATGTACTGTGGGCTCTCTTTTTCTTCAATCCTGCCTGTGTACATCTTTGTCCTCCCATGCATGAGAACTGGCTTTTGTGGGATTATGTGGGCTGCCAAATGGCTCTACTTTTTATGTATGCTTTATGTATCTCTCAGGTCCTTTAAGTTTTGATTTTATTGATGGAAAAAATCTGCTTTCCTAGTTAGAATTATTGTGCAGTTGCAGGTGAAACACTCTAGCTTGATGGCCTCTCTGTTTCAGACTTCGACCCTGCCCTTGGAATGATGACTGGGATCCCACCAATCAGTCCCTTGATGCCTGGCTTGGAAATAGTGCCACCACCAGTGATTAAGGAGATCATACATTGCAAAAGTTGCACACTCTTCCCACCTAACTCAAGTAATCCTTGCCATAATTCTTGCAGTTGCACTGGGATCAATTGGGAAAGATTGAAAGTAAAGAGGGACATCTGATGAAGAGTCTGGTGGATGTACAGATCATGGAGGGAAGAAGAAGCTCTTTTCCCAACAGGATATTTTTTATAGTTTGGCCAAGCCAGAATAGCTTTTAGATTGTAGAGATGTCCAGGACCACCTCAAAGGGAGTGCTGGGAGCCTCAAGGATCTTCATGTCCTCAAGGAGTGAGGCCATCTCTGTACTACCCTGCTGCTTGCTGATTCTGTCCACTTAATGAGAGGCAAAATGGAGAAGCAAACATTACTGGTTAAAACAGAGGTGGTTGTGGGGGTGGTTGTGGGGGAATCAGTGGCAGGGAGAACCAGTGGCAGTCAAGGATCACAAAGGCTGGTGTCCAGCGACTTCTGGAGAGTTGCGTGACACCCATCCCTGGTCTAGAATGCCACTTGATGAAGGGAAGGGAGGTAAGTGGGTAACTTCCCAGAACTCAGCTCTAGTCTGCTTGGCAGTACATCTCTAACACTTTCTAGTTGAACCCTCTCTGTTTTGGAATATTTTCAAGGTCAGGGAGTAATTGGAAGAGGAAGCTATAGAGATGAGGTTGCAAATCTTTTTTTAAAAAATAAGATTTTCGACATCATGAAGGGCGAAAATCGTGGCAGTGCTGATTGTGCAGTATGCTGGGCTATAGATTGGAACATGAAAATGCATAGGACATTTTCCAAATGTCCAGGCTGCTAAACAGCAAGCAGTAATAAAAAGAGAACCCAAGTAAATTTTATAGACCCTCATTTCCCTCTTTTTATAAAGCTGATGGTATTGTGTCCAATGGTATAAGGGTGTTTGTATTTGGCTGCACACTGTTCTTGCAGTTTATTTTTAGTATGAATCTAGCAGTGAGCTGTCACAAAAAAAAGAGGATCTTTTCTTCTTTGGGAAGCATGCTGTGCTGGAAAGATATTGATTTTTGATATTTTAAGGCTGGCATGATATAACTTTGCCTAGCAAGATTGAGGGCTCATCCGCACTTTCATTTGCCCTGCCACATTCCCCTGGGAAAACCTGCAGGGCAAAGGCAAAACCACATGGGGCAAGTGGAACACCACTTAGATCTGTGCTTTCTAGGCACAGGACAAGTGCAAGTGTGGAAGAGGCCAGAGCTGGCCAAGCCTTCTGACACTTAAACACAAATGCGCAGCAGTTGTTGTCGGATTGTAGTTGAATACCAGATGTCTTTTGCTTGTGGCATGCTTATGTATCATATTTCTTGTTGTCCTTAGATCTGCCTCCTCCCACCACAAGGGAAAGACCTCCTGGATGCAAGACGGTATTTGTTGGAGGACTGCCAGAAAATGCAACAGAAGAGACTGTTGTGGAGATTTTTGAGCAGTGTGGAGAGATCTTAGCGCTTCGGAAGAGCAAAAAGCACTTCTGCCACATCCGTTTTTCTGAGGAATACATGGTGGACAAGGCTATTTATTTGTCTGGTAGATATTGTTTGTCTTTGCTTTTGACTCAGAGATAATTTCTTCTGTAGAGTTGCAAAAGCCGCATGCAGTCATGTCTGTTGTGTCCCCTTCCATTTTCCCAGTTGTACAGTCATCTCTCACCAGTTTCAGTTATTTGGCTAAGGAGTCTTTTAACTTCACTGTAACATGCAATGGTGACACAGACCATTGTGAATAGCTTTCATAAATTTGTCTAATAAAAACAGAAAAATGCCCAATTCCAAAATTCCAACAAGCTAAAAAATGTCAGCATGAAACAACAGTAAGGAACTGTTGTGAGCTGCACAGCTCACGAAGAGAGGGAATAATTCTAGTGCAACAAGCAGTGAGTCTCTATGATTAATGATGATGATGATAGTTGTTGTTGTTGTTGTTGTTGTTGTTTGTACCCTGCCCATCTGACTGGGTTTCCCCAGCCACTTTTGGCAGCTTCCAGCATATACAGAAACATAATAAAACATTAAACATTAAAAACTTCCCTATACATAGCTGCCTTCAGATGTCTCCTAAAGGTAAACCTTGTATACAGTAGTTACTTATCTCCTTGACATCTGATGGGAGGGCATTCCACAGGGTGGGCACCACTACCAAAAAGGTCCTCTGCTTGGGCTCTGAGCTAGATCTCAGTGGCTAGGATTAATGAAGAGGGTGGAGACGCTCCTTCAGGGCCTGAAATCTTTATAATACCTGCTGCAAACAGCTGATTATTGAAAACTACTACCTTTTCAAACTATCCAGAACCAACATGGCTTCTTTGGAGAACTTTGGAGGTTAGCCTCCCTTCTGGTATAACATGTGTTGTCTAGCCAGTGTCACTGTACCCTATGAGAACCACCCTCCAGAGTTGTAAGAGGGATCTGGCAAGGCTTCAGCAACTTAACAGAAACCGCAGTAACCTTTCACCTGATGCTCACCCTCCTCATGTAGCTTACTTTGTGATGTTTACAACTTAGCAAATATTGCAGTTACAATTTCAAACAGAATTTACCTGAAGTGTTTTTGAGCTGTGTAGCTGGTCTGTATCTTAGATGTGATACAATCATTGATAAATCAAACATATTGATATGTATGGATCAGCATGCATAGCAGTTGATGTTCATTTCTTTATCCAGTTTGAACATGGATATTATTAAGCCTGAGTTGTAGCTGTTCACATTTCCTCTGATAGGTGTCTCTGGCAGTCTCTGGAGACAAAGCAGGCAGACCCCCATGTTGCAGATGGGGGAAACAGAGGAACAGTCTGATAGTAGTAGTAGTAATAATAATAATAATAATAATAATAATAATATTTATTACTTATACCCTATCCATCTGGCCGGGTCTCCCCAACCACTCTGGGTGGCTTCCAACAGGATATTAAAAACACAATAAAAGATCAAACATTAAAAACTTCCCTATCACAGGGAAACGGCTGATGATTGTTTCTGTAACTGTCATTGCCAGGTTATCGCATCAGGCTGGGCTCCAGCACTGATAAAAAGGACACAGGGCGCCTGCACGTGGATTTTGCTCAAGCCCGGGATGATTTCTACGAGTGGGAATGCAAGCAGCGGATGCTGGCCCGGGAAGAGCGCCATCGCAGAAGGATGGCAGAAAAACAGTTCCACCCTCCCTCCCCACCTCCTGTTGTCCACTATTCGTATTATGAGTGCAGTATTGTTGCTGAGAAGCTAAAAGGTACATAGGGCTGTAGTAAAATGTCCCAAACTGGCAGGCTGTTGCATGAGGATTGTGGCAGGTGGTTAGGAACATAGGAAGCTGTCCTGTACCCTATCAGATGAGTTATCTGTTTCTTACCCAGTACTGTATACTCTGACTGGCTGTGGTTCTCCAGGGTCTTGGAAGAAGAAGGATCTTTCTCATCACTTCCTACCTGATCCTTTTAACTGGGGACTCATAGGATTGCACCCAAGACACTTTGCATGCAAAGCAGATGCTCTTCCACTGAGATGTGATCCATCCCATGTAGACGTACAACAGATGAGTACATTGCAACTGTCTGTGGAGTTAATCTCATCCACCACAGCCTTTCAGAGTTTTGCCTTGCTTGGGTAGATCATTTCATGCAAATCTATGCAAAACAGTAGTATTAATTAGACTGTTGCTTGTTACCTGAACATCTCCAAGTGACTTAAAAGGTAAAGGGACCCCTGACCATTATGTCCAGTTGTGACCGACTCTGGGGTTGCAGCTCTCATCTTGCTTTATTGGCCGAGGGAGCCGGCGTACAGCTTCTGGGTCATGTGGCCAGCATGACCTTCCGTTTACCTTCCCGCCGGAGCGGTACCTATTTATCTACTTGCACTTTGATGTGCTTTTGAACTGCTAGGTTGGCAGGAGCAGGGACTGAGCAACAGGACCTCACCCCCTCGCGGGGATTCAAACTGCCGACCTTCTGATTGGCAAGTCCTAGGCTCTGTGGTTTAATCCACAAAGCCACCCGCGTCCCCCAAGTGACTTAATTAATGTTTAATATATAAATGTAAATACATTATACCATAAAAACATAACAAAAGAACCTCCATAGCAGCCACAGGAAGCTTTGGCAGAGCACTAGTAACAAAACAATATCATTTTAGCCTATCAAACATCTTACTATGTTTTTGTGTTTTAAACTCTCACACAGGGAGGGATTATTTAAATAGTATTACTTGCAAAATTCACCAGTGCTTTGTACCTGAGCAGTGTTTCTCTCTTGGGTCAGATGATTCCAAGTTTTTGGAAGCGGTGCAGACACTGCTGGCCTGGATAGAGCGTGGGGAAGTGAACAGACGGACGGCAAACAACTTCTACTCAATGATCCAGTCGGTCAACAGCCACATCCGCCGGCTTACAAATGAGAAAGCAGCCCATGAAAAGGAAATGGAAGAAGCAAAGGAGAAATTCAAGCTTGCACTCTCAGGAATTCTTGCTCAGTGTAAGTGTTTGGGGCTTGCAACCAGGATTTCAAAGTTTCACTTGATGGAAATGTACCATTTTTTGTTTTCTTTTTTTCCAGTTGAAGGTTGAACAAGAGAGAGAGACACAGATCCGGAACATACATTCCCTTTATTAGGAAACATATTTAGGTTTATTTCTTACAAATTTCTAAACCACCATGCTGCATTCGTACAAATGTCAAAGAAAACCAGCAAACATTTTTAAAAAGGAAAAAGATAACAAACCATTTAACAGATAAAATGCTGGATATTAAAATTAATTTTAAATGAATGAAAGGTTACCAGGCCATTAATGCTCAGTGGAAACAAGAAAATCTTACAAAGCTTCTGGAAAACTATCAAAATCTTATTCTGATAGGTTTCTGGAGAAAAAATGGTCCCCAGACACAACAAATAAAAAAGCCCACAAAACTCCTACTGTGCACATTTTCTTTGGTAAATTAATGGTACAGTCTGGAGAGCATTCTTGGGTGATTAATGGGATGGGACACAGGAAAGAACATGGTAGTGAGCCTTAGTAGATGTCATGTACTTGCAGCATACATACAGCATCAGGAGACAGACCACCTATTTCTGCACCAGCTGAAGCTTCTGAGTCTTCTTTGAAGTGTCTTCTTAATTTCTGTTCACACTCGGGATGTGCAGGTATTTTCTGCCTTAGTGATGTTCCTACCCGCAGGCTGCTCCTGTGCTAATCACAGCCTTGTACCTTTGGCGATTGCTGAGAGGCTTAGGCAACAAAGGTAGGTGTATAGCCAAATCCCTTATCTTCCTGTTCCTTTGAGGATCTACAGATCATCTTACTAAATGGGAGATTTAAGCCTTCAAGGTAATGTAATATTGCTGCATTTTTCCTTTTTCGCGTCACTTTAAACATTATGTACAAAACATTTGATGCTCTTCTGAGCCCTGGGAGTGTTCTGCAGTTTTCATTGCCCTGTTATTAAACAGGATCCATTTCCAGCCAGGAGATTCTGTTCCTATTGAGTGTCCTGCAGAGCTTTCTCTCCTTCATTCTCTGGAACTGAGTAACTAGCCAACCAAGTCCCTGGCAGGCAGCAACTGCCTCACAGCTGGGGAAGCCGACACCTTAGCAGCCTCCTGGCGTTGATAGTCTGATTTTAAGGTCATCTTGTTATGTATCACAGCACAGTGTGACCATTCGTCTCCTGAGTGTACCAAGAGGATTCTGCAGTCCCTTACAGTTTGCTTAGTGTTTGTTTTGAATTGTTTTATTCTGTTAACTTTAAAAAAATATATTGGTCCCGGATTCCAGAAGGAGTTACAGTAAGTAGCAATTGGGGGGAACCTCAGACCTGAATCCTGCCATGATGTTGGTGTTGGTCAATCTTTAGCCAGGGTAAGAGCAATTCAGTAGCTTCTCCAGTGTTCAAGCCAATCACCTGTGGCTATGGGATGGATTTTTAGCTCCTTTCAGGGAAGATAATCTTTCACAACTAAACCTTTTGGCTAGAAATTTGCAGGAATATGTTTTGGGAAAGGACCTGTATTACTTTACTGAATGTGGGGCAGCATATCATACTTCCCACATCACCAGCAGGGCCCTACTCTGGTGCTTAAAATAACATTCCATCCCGAGGAAAACTATGCATTGTAACTTCTCATATAAGCTGTGCAAATATGTACATGTGGTGGTTTTTAAAAATAATCTAGTCATAAAACTGGTTCTCATGTAATGCTAAGCCAAATGCTCAGCACAAATTCATGAGTATGAGGCTTTTCAGAGAGAATAACGCTGCTGCTACACACCTTCCCTGGTTCTACTGCTGAACTGCTCTGAGCTAAGCCATGGTTTGGCTCAGTGTGTTGACTGAACTAAGGTTCATGGTTTGTCTAAAACTTTTGGCTAGAAATTTGCAGGAATATGTTTTGGGAAAGGACCTTTCTGCCCGGACACTGAGGTCCAGCGCCGAGGGCCTTCTGGTGGTTCCCTCGCTGCGAGAAGCCAAGTTACAGGGAACCAGGCAGAGGGCCTTCTCGGTAGTGGCACCCGACCTGTGGAACGCCCTCCCACCAGATGTCAAGGAAATAAACAACTATCTGACTTTTAGAAGACATCTGAAGGCAGCCCTGTTTAGGGAAGCTTTTAATGTTTAATAGATTATTGTACTTTAATATTCTGTTGGAAGCCGCCCAGAGTGGCTGGGGAAACCCAGCCAGATGGGCGGGGTATAAATAATAAATTATTATTATTATTATTATTATTAGACTCGATCAAGACAATCTATAAGTTGTAAACCCAAGAACAGACCGTGCTGTTGTTTGTCTGGAGTGAGACAAGCTACAATCCTGGGTTCATCACATGCTGAGCTACAATGATGGCTTAGCTCAGAGCAGTGCAGCAGCAGAAGAACAAGAAGAGAAGTAAAGTGGCTGTGATTTCCTCTCATGCCAAACCATTGTTTGCCTTAGTGTTACAAGCAAGCCAACCCACTGGGAATATTAAAGCTCCACTGGAAGTCACACTCCATTTCTTTTTGGCTTCTGAGATTTTTCCAAGTCTGTCACTGTGGTAGTAAGGACTAGAAACGGAATTAAAAACCAAGGTAAGATTCAGTGTGCAGGATTTTGGGTCCAGTACTTATTTGCAGTTACAGATTTATGGAATACACCCAGCCCTATTTATGACACAATGTTTGTGAAGTGGGGGGAAAATTGTCTCTCTGTCTCTCTCTCTGGCCAAGCATCTATTTCTTTTTACGTGAGTGCTTTTCTTCCTCTTGAGTTTTTTTAAGAAACTCCTTTTTTGAGTGTTTAGTGTCACCCTCCTCTTCAAGACACCTTACTCTGTTAACTTGGCTTCTGCCTGATTGGACATACAAACATATCTTGCCTGTTGTGCTGCTTTGATCTCAAAGTTCTGTGGCTCTGGCTGCTTCCTGAGCACCATCTTTCTCAGCTATGGTTCCACCCAGCAAAGCATCATAAGAAAAAGATTCACTGGACTACCTGCCTGATCCCGCTCTCTTACTCCTTTCTCTTGCCCTCTCTGGATGATATTGTGGCCTGGTTTTGCCTGCTGATTTTGAAACTGAAGTCGAGCAGATAGTGGCCGTGTACCATTCTGCATCCAAACAAAAGGCTTGGGACCATTTCACGAAAGCGCAACGTAAGAACATCAGCGTATGGTGCAAGCAAGCTGAGGTTGGTACTTCCTTTTGCTTTTCGTTAGCTCCTTTTGGCCTATAGGCTTGCTTATAAAAGGATGGATTTTTCCAACCTTGCTCTGGAAGGTAAGTAGCAACGCACATGGAGCTAAGTTCATAGCAAAACACAGCACGAGGAAGTTCAGGAGAGGAAGAGAACAGCCATTGGTGAACACTATTAAGAAGAAGCTCAGAATTATAGTGGGATATGAATGAAGCTCTTTAGAAATAGTTGTACTTGCATTTTTGGGCAGCATTATGCCCATGACCTAAAGATAATAGCTCTGCTTTCTTCAGTTCTGAGGGCAGCACTATATAGGGAAGCTTTTTAATGTTTAACATTTTATTATGTTTTATATATTTTGAAAGCCACCCACAGAGACTAGGGTGACCCAGTCAGATGGGTGAGGTATAATACTAATAATTACTATTACTATTATACTAGGGTGGATTCAGGTGCTTTAAGACACACACAATAGTCATAGAAAAACTTAGGTAGCTAGAACCATGGCAAGGAGGTCATCATCTGTAGTCTCTAATCATCTGAATGTCAGCTGTTTGGGAACATGGAGGGGGGGTGTCTTGCTGGTGGGCCTTCAATCTAGGTGGGCCTTCAATCTGATCTGCCAGGGCTCTTCTTAGGTTAAATGACTGGAAAGATGTGGCAGTGCTAGCATTAGCCATGAGGCTATAACAAGACCACAAATGTCCCACGTGGGACAGACACTATGGAGACAAGAGCAGTTGCGCTGGGTTCAAGTTGCAGATGAGCTTGGGTTCATGTGAATAAGTATTCTTAGCTGTAATAGTTGAACAAAGGAGTATGGATTCTCCTTCCCTGGATGCTTTCTCTCTCCACACATTTGATGAGACCAGATGAACTACTGTCAGGTATGATTTAAAGAAGTTCTGCTATTGCAAGGATTTGACTCTTTGACCTATTCTGACTCTAAATTCTGGGCAACCATGCAGTCTGTCTGCTACTGAAGCCCATAGCAGAAACGGTGAATGCCAGGCATAATTTGAAGGAAGCCCCTAAGTGGTGGTGCATTGTAGAATTATGAAGAGGCTAAGTATTTTTATATGATTTAGAAAGGGCTGGAGATGGACAGGCTTGTTTAAGAAGATCCATAGACGCTTTAAAAATGTTTAGCATGCATTCAGTTGTCAGGCATGCAGAACTGAGAACATAAGAAACATGGAAATGAAGACAGTCCAAGTTCTTCCCCAGAAACTTCTGGTGTTGGACTCAAACTCTCATCAGCACCAGCCTGCATGGCCAGTGGTCAGAAATGATAGGAGTTTTCATCCAACAACAACTGGAGGGCCAGAACTTTGCCATACTGCCTTACATTAAGACATACTTGCAAATGATGTAAGGGTTCACGTGAAACCGTGGTATAGCTTAGTACTCAAACAGGCCATAACTAACATTGATATAAAAGGGCAATTCTTAAGCAAAGGTGCCTTTATGTCTGGCCATGTTCAAGAGCGTTGCCTGTGCTACTCTGTGTGCTTTCATAGTTTGCTCACGATTATTCTGGATCGCAGTGATAAATAGTTGGGGTGAGAAGCAACTGGGCATGTGTTAAACTGGTTTAAAATACAAATATACAATGAGGTTCCTTGCAGTTTGTGGCAGCTTCAGGTAAGTAATTGTGATCTGGAACATATGGCAAGTATTCTGCACGATTTTATTGGTAGTTACATAACTGGAATAGAATAACGCAGGATATAAATAAATGAAATTTTAGATCCTGTCCTGCTGTGCCTGGGGAGTAATTGGCATGCTTATTCCAAAACCATTTTCATTTATGTTTATTTATAAAAACGCTGCTATCCTGCCTCTCTGTCTTAACGAATCCCAGCAAAGCATAAAAAGCAACTAAAAATGCAACAAAGAGAATTGGCCCAAACAGTAGTATTGCTTATGATCTTGCTGTCTGTCTGCCAAGTGCTCTGTGAAAGGGCCATGTTTTTGCAGAGTGGCAGGAAGCTGGCTGTGATGGGGCCAGATTGGCCTCTGTCTGGAGAGCAATTCCACACCTTTGGTACTGTAAGAGAAAACACCCTGTCATGCGTAGTCCACCTACTTTTAGTGGTTGGGTAGGGACATATTAATAGAGAGTTCTTAAGGACCCATGTCTTGATGGTTTTGATTATCTGACATTAACAAACGTTTCAGCACTTTCCAGTATTGATCTGTCTTCATCCAAAAAAAAAAGGAGATAGTGTGAGATGGAAGCCATAATATGGAGTTTTGGGAACTTGAGAAGAATGCTGCCTACTTTTTATTTTATTAAAGATTTGTATTGTGCAACAAAAGTACATATAGTGTCTCTGTTTTCAATTCATAGGGTCCTTTTCACAGTTCAGTTACATTCGGTGTGGGGAAAAAGAAAGGGGTGTGCCGAGAAGGAAGGGGGGTATAATGATATTTCGTTCTACTGCATAGTATTTGTGCAAAAAAAATTGTGTAAGCGTCACATAAGTAGGTCATTCATTCATTCATTCCTTTATTTTTGTTGGTGCTTTTAATGTGGAAGGTTGCAGGTTCAATCCCTAGTATCTCCAGTTGGAAGGATTGGGTAGCAGTAATGGGAAAGACCAGGGCATTCTGGCACCTCTGTGGTGTTGCTGTTCCCTGGCACAACTTTGCTCCCCCTAAAAAAGCTCAACAAGTTCCAGCACCTCTTTTTCTAGGGAAAAAAAAAGCCCTGGGAAAGCCTCTTTCCCTGCCTGAGATTCTGAATAGCTGATGTTAGTCAGCGTAAGCAATACTAGGCTGGGTAACATAAATCTAGCATAAAAGTCCCCAATGCTCTAGGAGCAAATCATTCCATCTCTTTAACCATCACACTTTTGTCTGGTTGTTCATTTCTGTTTAGCTGCCATGTGGCTTTTCTGTGTATTCTGGAACTGCTATGCACTTACCCCTTGTTACAATAGGACCCTCCATGTTTTGTATCTGTGGAAGGGACTGGGAGTTGGTGGGATTTCTCTCCCTAATATCCAGGCAATAGTGAAAGGGTAAGCCTCTTAGGTTTCCCCCACCCTTTCCTTCAAAATAACCATTTTTCAGACAGACTGCACTTCTACCTTAGAACCTGACTGTTGCTAAGATCTGGTGTCCCAGAAGCTCAAGAGTTGAACTGGAGTGGCTTTGGTTTACATCATTCCCCAGCCATGTGTATAAGGAATGAAATGATCATGAGGCTTGTTTGAGTAATTAAAATTACTCAATCCTCAATTACTTGAGGATTAAAAAATGGACGAACATAAAGCATTTTGTTCTCTGAACGTTCTGTGCAAGTTACAATATTTATCACCAAGGGGGAGTTGCTTTGAATTCCATGCTAATCTTCCCCACCCCAAAATTCTGTGAATGAATTTTATCAAATTGCACAAATTAGGAACTTGATAGGTTTAAGTGTCCAAAGCTTGCCATTACCAAACACAAAGTCGCTACACTTCTCCCCCTATTCCTTTTCTCCTGGTACTTCCTGCAGGTTCTTAACTGTGAACCAGCATGCAGAGCAATCAGCAGCATTTCTTTTTTCTTTTATATATATAAAAAATGCTCTTTAAATCATAGGAAATCCGCAACATTCAGAATGATGAGCTGATGGGCATCCGACGAGAAGAGGAAATGGAAATGTCTGACGACGAGACAGAGCCATCAGATGCCAAGGAGATGGAAGAGTCAGGTATGACTGGCACTGTGTTGAAAGGAAGCCAGAGTATTCAAGTTCAGGGGTGAGCAGTATTCAAGCATGTGTGTTCTACTTACCTACCGTAGATTCCGGCGTATTAGGCGACTGGGTGTATAAGACGACCCCCCCCCCCCCCAAATTGGCAGCTGCCAATTTGGGGGGTTGACTTATACGCCCAGTTGTATACACAGCAGCTTCGCTGGGCAGCGGCAGTGGGCGGTGGGCTCTGCGCTGGGAGGAAACTGCCTGGCAAAGCTGCTCAGCGATGCTAAGCCGGCTTTGCTGGGCAGCTTCCTCCTGGCGCAGAGCCCGCTGCCCACTGCTGCTGCCCAGCGAAGCTGCCGAAGCTGCCGCCGCAGCAGCAGTGGGCTCTGCTCCGCGCCGAGAGGAAGCTGCCCAGTGAAGCCGGCTTAGCACCACTGGGCAGCTTCGCCAGGCAGCTTCCTCCCGGTGTGGAGCCCACTGCCGCTGCCCAGTGAACCCATACCCGGCGTATAAGACGACCCCCGACTTTTTAGAGGATTTTCCAGGGTTAAAAAGTCGTTTTATACACCAGAATCTACGGTATTATTTTTAATCAGGGCCCCAGGTTTTTCAAGCTAGAGTCAGTTACGAAACAGTAGCTGATTGGAAATGGCAGAGCTAGTCGCAGTTATTTCCTGCACTGGGGATCTCATATTTCTAGATGACCTACCTGTATACATTGTTTGAGTTCCTGCAGATCTGGATTCTCACATAAAATCTGAAATGCTCTTAGTAGTTCCACAAAGAGCTGTCTGAGGCACCACTTAATACAGGGATGGGACCTGTAGAAAATGATTTTTTCCTGTGATGTACAGCCATTGCATTTGCTTACTGTCCCCTGCTGCAAAGCATGCATGGTATCATGCAAACTACAGATCAGTCTGACGCAGTCCATACTACAGCTGTGTCATGGGTGCCTACAGAGCAAATTACCAAAACAGGTGAGACCAGACGCTGATGTATAACACAAACATCTCCGATACATTTATTAAGGAATTAAGCATATATTTAGAAGGTGGTCTAGAAAATAAAAAACCAAATGGGGAACAATGAAGGTCAAACTAATTCCAAGGACAATAGGTGTGTCCACCTTCCCATTTTTTTCTCTTCCCAACCCCCAGCTTTAATATCTCAAGCAGAAGCTCTGAAGGAAGAAAATGACAGCTTAAAATGTCAGCTTGATGCCTACAGGAATGAGGTGGATCTCTTAAAGCAAGAGCAGGGCAAAGTGGACAGAGATGAAGACATAAGCAAAGACCAGAAATTAAAGATTCTCCAGCAGGCTTTGCAAGGCATGCAGCAGGTAGGACTCTTTCCTGCAAAAGGAAACCACCTCCAATGAATATTTGTAGTAACTGCCTTGTGCCAAAGAAGATCTCTCTTCCCCAACAGGGTGCCCTCCAGATGTTTTGGATTTCAACTCCCATAATTCCTGACCACTGTCTATGATGGACGGTGCTGACAGGGTTGTAGTCCTAAACCTCTGGGGAAGGCTGTTCTACTGATGCCTTTTATTGGAGTGAAAATAAATGCCCTTGTGAAGCTTGCAACATGTCAACATGTCCAAATCTCTTTCCAAGGTTACAACATGGGAATGCTCCCTCACTAAGAAGTAGACTTGACTACAGAGCAGTACTGTTTAGGCTTTACAGTGCCAGAGCCTTCCCTGAATACATTTCTGAGATGTGATTTTTGTTGTAGTTGTAAAACTGCTTCTGTGCAGCTGGGGAAAGAGTTAATCAGTGTGGTTCCATGTGACTGGTAGAACAATTAATGGACCTAATCACATGGACTAATGCGGGTCTTCTTCACAGAGTTGGCACCATGAAAGGGCACCTAAATTGTTTGTTCCAAGCAGCTGTTTCAGGAATATCTTTTATGTTCCTAAATGCTATGATAGTCAGAGAGACTACAAAGGCTCTCTCATCCCCAGAAAGAAAACAGCAAGTGTTTTGGACAATAAAAAAGGGGATGTCCTCTAAAAACGAACAGCTCAGGTAGCTTTAACTTTCGTATGCAAAAGTTGTACCATGAGCAATTGGCCCTATGTGTAAAAGGGGTGGATGTTATATAATAAATGTTTCTCAATGCATTGAAGATAGGTTCTGCCAGAAAAGGAGCTCGACTGGGAGAGAGGTTGGAATAAAATAGGGGATAAGACAGTGGAAAAGTAGATAGAGCAGAGGAAGTAACACTTTATCTAAGAACAGCTCTGCTGGGTCAGACCAGGGGCCCATGTTTTCCAGCATCCTGTTCTCACAGCGGCCAACCAGGTGTCAATTTATTTAATGAATGAATGAATAAATAAATACTAGTTTGTCTAATATTAGTTTTGGTTTTGTTTGTACTTTACTCAGTGTATGGGATTGGGTGGCTAAAAATACAATAGATGAAACTGTTCTCTTCCTCTTTCCAAGAATCTCCTGAAACTCCAAGATGAATGTGAAAGAAGAGATGCTGAACTGGAAAAAGTCAATGAAGAAAAAGCACAACTCGACAAATTGCTTGAAAGCCTAAATGAAAAGGTAAGATTTGCTCCCAGGTGCTGGTCTTGCTGGCTCTCCCTCCTAACTTGGACATAAAGCTCCCTTTGTAACTGGGAGCCAGTATTTCTCTCTTACAACCTAAACCCACCTCACAGGGTAGTTGTGAAGATAAAAAGAATGGAATAGGGAGAACCATGTATGTTGCCCACTATCCTTGGAGGAAGGGTGGGATAAAAATGTACATACATACATACATACATACATACATAATCTAGGCCTTGCCAAAATAGTCTTGAATTATGTAGTAACCTATTTACTGGCATTGCTATGAACAGAGCAAAGGTGTATGAAGTTGGGTAACTTGCATCACATCTGTTGAGACTTTAAATCTTTTACATGTCAAAAGTCTTGTAGTCTCAAGCCAGTGTAGCAATTCATATCACCTGCCTGTATGACATTTCCCCACAGAATGAGTTTTTAAGATATTGCTGTTGTTTTTAATTATTAGACACTTCTTTGGGGACTTGCACAAAACTTGCTCATCTTAAAATAATAATTTTGGGCTAGTGGCTGCACATGATTCTGTAACTCAGCCTTAGTTTGATAAGGTGATGTTTATCACTGAGAGGGAAAAGTGCTGAGTGGTTCAACTAACAACATGCTACTGGGATTATGACTTTTTGTTTCTCTAACTGAATATAGCAAGAGCTGGCTGCTGGACCAGAATGGGGGAAAGACTCCAATGATCAAGACCACGTGAGTTTCGTAAGTTTCTTTCTGAATACTTTGACATAGTGTTATTTTTATATTTCCTTGTGAATTCAAGTTCAAATATGGCTGCTTTTTTATTAACCCAGTCCTACTATGCAGGGTAGCAGGCAGTATTTTCCTTTGCTTGCCACAAATCCTAGAATGAGCCTCAACCAACCTGTTGAGGTAATATAGACAATGGTGACAATGGTGACTTTGAGGCATAAAACCATCCTTTTGCCCCTTTCTATTTCTGCACTGGAACATGCCATCCCTATGACATGTGATGCTTAATTCTAGTCATGGTGATTACACGGTTTGTAACAGTTACTGTTCTCAAACTTTATGGATTTGCACCCTTTGTCTGATTTACTAGATCTTCCATGATTATGAAAATCTTGCAACCTACTTTTAGTTAGATTTCTTTGGGCTAATTCAGTTTTAGCTGGCCCTCACCATTTTGTTCCCTGATGGATTATCCCCACTGTGTAAGGTCTATATATAGCAACACCCTAGACGTCCCAGGCCCTAAGGAAGTTAGATTAGCTTCAACCAGAGCTAGGGCCTTCTCAACATTGGCTCCGGCCTGGTGGAACGCTCTGTCTCATGAGACCAGGGCCCTGCAGGATCTGATTTCTTTCCGCAGGGCCTGTAAGACAGAGTTGTTCCGCCTGGCCTTTGGCTTAGAATCAGTTTGATTCCCTCCCCCTCTTTTCTTTTTCCTTTCTCCTCCTGTGAAGAGGCTGCATCCTAATGTTTTAATGTTGTATTTTAATCTTTTTAAAATTGTATTTTAATCAACTTGTTTTTATTATTGGTTGTTGGCCGCCCTGAGCCCGGTCTTGGCTGGGGAGGGCGGGGTATAAATATAAATTTATTATTATTATTATTATTATTATTATTATTATTATTATTAGGAACTCTTGCTGTGTTAGACAGAGGTCTGCCCAATCTGTCATTTTTGTTTTAAAAGGCAGCCATCAGTTGCTTCTAGGGCAGGCTTCCTCATGCTCAGCCCTCCAGATGTTTTGAGACTACAGTTCCCATCATCCCTGACCACTGGTCCTGCTAGCTAGGGATCATGGGAGTTGTAGGCCAAAAACATCTGGAGGGCGAAGTTTGAGGAAGCCTGTTCTAGGGGCTTCCAAGCTAGGCAAGGAAGTGATGCCCTTCCCCAGCACCTGGTATTCAGAGAGAGATACTGCCTCTGTGCATGGAAGTTCTGTTCAGCTATGCTAGCCACTGATAGACCTCTTCTCCATGCATTAGTCTAATCCCTTTTAAAAGCCATCTTGAGGCTAACTACCTGTAATGTAAAGGTTTTACCTTCAGTGCAAGATTTTTTCTTTCTTTCACAAACAGCCAGTGTGCCAGGGGAAGGGGAAACTGGATCAGGCCCATAGTGTGGAGGGCAAGGTGCATTCCCCTGCTGCAGTCTAGATCCCCACACCTGCTGTTTCCATTTGCAGAGAGAAGCTCGCATTTGTTGGCTGACAACAAATGTTGGCTGACTCTGATTTGCAGTTGTGTGTTTTCCTGAAGAATATTACACTAATTGTGAGCATGCAAAATAAAAATAACAATCCATTGTAAGTGAAGAAGTCAGTGTCCATTCAGGGGTGGGTGGGTGGGTGGGTGGGTGTGCATGCGTGCATTTGGGAATAATTTCTAATATGTTTTCTCCAGCTCCTTTATCCTATACCCATTCTATAATATTTTTACTGTTTGTAAAGTATGCTTATTGTGCAACGTGCAGGATGCAGCTGGTGACTTAATTGACAGATTGCTAGGATACAAATCAGTGCTAGAAAGTAATTATCTGTAATTGCCTTTAGGCCAGCGACTTTTCACCAGCTTGTTCAGTGTGCCAGGAGAAGGAGAGCACACTTGAGAGAGGACTCAACGGCAGCCCTATCAAATCAGAAAGGGAAGCTTTGCTAGTGGGTAAGGATCACTGGCCACGGTATTGTTGAGACCAGGATAAATTCCACCCAGAAACATAGGAGGCTACTGAGCACCGTTGGACCATTGGTCCATCTACCTAAGTATCAACTGGCAGCACCTTTTGAGCTTTCAAGCTGGGACCTTGAACCTGGGACCTTTTGCTTGCAAAGCATGTGCTCTTTAACACCCATCTACACCTCCCTCTCCCCAAAATATGCCAGCTCTATAAGCTCAGGTGTAAAGGCTCATTATCTTTTGCAGTATGCACAACCTAAATTCATTATGCACTTCAAGCATCTTTGTTGTTGTTGTTGAGTCGTTTAGTCGTGTCCGACTCTTCGTGACCCCATGGACCAGGGCACTCCTGTCTTCCACTGCCTCCTGCAGTTTGGTCACTCATAGCATATAGCATGAGTTAACTATAGCATATAAGCATCTTTATTGTACAACAAATTGGCCTTTCCCCATAAAAGTAAAAACTTTTCCAATGGGTGGGACAGATGATGCAGTCCTGAAGCAAACACAAGTTTATGTGTCAGTATTTTTTTTAATCAACAGGCACACCTTCTCTTGGTTAATTCCCAAAACACACGAAGCTGTGAATAATTTTGCCAACCAAGCGGGGGGCCACTAGGGGGCGCATGATAAGATGGCCGACAATACCATCTCTCCGACCCACACGGGGTAATTAAGAGGCTGTTATGGGAGTAGACAGCCTCCCTTGTTGCCCCAAGGAAATGGGGAACACTGCCCTTGCCTGCAGTGCCCATAAATCACCCCCTAATTCGAAAGAAGGGGGTGAGGGCCCTAGGCAGAATGCCCCCATGTGGACCTCGGCTCTCCTGGACGCTGTCTCTGATCGCACACTAGTTGCAGCAATTTGGAATAATTAATTACAAAAGAAGCAAATGCACATATTTCAAGTGAAGAAGGGGAGTGAAGTCTGCTAATTTAAGTGACCTCTGCGAAAGAAGACGGCGGGCTGGAGAAACAGGAATATTTTACAATGAAGATACACCAAAGGCGGGGTATGTTGACAACGGGGCTGAATGGGGGGGGAACCTTTTTTACTTTCCTTCTATGTGATTTACAAGAACCCCTCCTCATTAGAACCGTCGGTTGAACTGACCCAAGGAGGATGATTAAGGTCTGTGTGGAGATAAACTTTAACCAAAAGTATGCTTTATGGAGACCGAGAAGCAATAAGAGCTTTTGGGAAAGGCGCAGCAATTAATTCGGAGTCGCCATCTTGCCAAACGATTTATAGCCAGGAGGAAGAACGGATTTGTTTTCAGACTGCATTCCTAGTGAATCTCCTCAGAGGTTTTGAGAAAGGAGGCAGATTGGTGAAGATTAATGACGCTAAGACTGTTTTGATGTATGGAAGTGATGTTATATGGAAAACGTCTGGATATGGCTACTGGATAAAAATAATATCCACGCAGGATTACAAACTGTCCTAACCAGCTTGCGGAGACTATCAGAGGTCAAAAAGAGAAAGGAAAAATATATGAAAATAACAACAAGAGATGTGGAAAAATAATAAGAAAGGACTGGGTAGTACTGTGAACATCATAAGGTTAGATTTGTGGACATTAAAACAGCAGTAAGAAACAAGAAGTTGATTGGATCCCTTCAGAACTTGAAATATGGGTACCCCCAACAAAAATTTAAAATTCGGCTGTGTAATTTGGAATCTATGTAATTTGGTTTGATTTGATGTGATTGGTCGGTTAATAAACAATTATTCTTAAAAATTTTTTTTGCCAACCAAGCAAAATTGGTTCTGAGAGCTCAATAACAAAGGTGCATCTGCTCAGAAGTACTACTGGATGCTTTTATCTGGGGCTTGATCCACCCACCAGAAGTGCAGCCCAGTCTGATAACCATTAATGCAGCCTGGTCTGAGTCAGGCCCACATACATAATACCTGATGTTATAACAAATAAGTTGGAGCCCGCAGTGTGAATCTCTCTGCACTAGAAGTGGAGAACCTGTGGATCTCCAGATGTTGTTGGACTGCTGCTGATGGGAGCAGGAGGCTAAAAACATATGGAGGGTGACATGCTCCTTCACTAATGACTTGCTGTTTGGGCATTCCCACGACATTTTGAAAAGCCAAAAGGCAGCTTCTGCTGTTCCCCAAAGGTACAGAAATGCTCACGGTAGAGACAAATATGTTCTCTGCAAGCATCTGAGTCCCGGACGTAACTCCATTAATTTTGTTTCTCTAGGAATAATCTCAACCTTCTTGCACGTTCACCCTTTTGGAGCGAGCATTGAATACATCTGTTCCTACCTCCAGCGCCTTGATAGCAAGGTATGTGCCTGCACCTCTTGTCTGATGAGCAAAGTAAAGTTTGTGCCACTGGGGGACATTTGTGACACAGTTAAAAGCCTCCCTAGGCTCCGCTGGGAGGAAAGGTGGGATATATAAATTTAATAAATAAAAGCCCAAGCTGTTGCCAGCCAAGAAGTCATCCCATGGATTTTGGAGTCCCTGCAGATGATGATTATCATTTGATTTCTTGCTCACCTTTCACCTTGAGGTCCCAGGGCAGGCTGCAGCGATTTAAAAATTCAATATTAAATATTCAGTTAAAAGAAATTACAGTCAAGAGGTGGGTTCTAAAACATAAAGTATATATCTAGCGTCAAAGGGTAAAGAAGTGTTTCTTCAGCATATGACAAAAGCTACTTAAGGTGCCAGAAGCTGTTCCATGGGAAGGGAATTCCACAGCTTAGGTGCTACCACTGAGAAGGCCCTCTTTTGGGCCCTCCACCCCAGACCTCTGAGGATGTAGGAACTACCAAGTGTCCCCACCCCCCTCTGCCAGTCTTGACACCCAAGAGGATCTGTAGAGAAGGAGGCAATCTTTCAGTTATTTCGGGCCTAAGCCATTTAGGACTTCAAACACTAAATGTGAGCACCTTGAGTTTGGTCTGGAAACCTAGAACTTGTCTGAAAGAAGCCTCTATCACTAACTCCTAAGGTCTCTGGAAGACCTATTTTGAAATGAAAAATGCTTTTAAGAACATGCTCCTGGGGGGGAAAAAAGTGTTTTCGCAAGCCAGGTGGTCCAAAATTGTTACTGCATTAGAAATTAAATATACCAAAACCTTTTGGTCACTCCTTTTAATAAAAGCTACCACTGATTTCCCTAATATAAGTGATGAAGCTTGGATTACACATTTTATCACTGTTTTTTATGACTCCCAAGTTTTTAAGATGGAAAATATTAAATCTTCTTTGGCAATAACCACACAATTTCAAATTACTGTTGAGGAGATGAAAAGGATAATTCTTTCGTTTAAGCAAGGAAAATCTCCTGGTATGGACGGCATCTCAATAGACCTGTTGAGATTAAATGTGGAATGGTGGGCCATTAATCTTGTCCCGCTCTTTAACTCTGTCAATCACTCAGGCCTTGTACCTAAATTGTGCAATAACTCAATAGTGGTGCCGATTTTTTAAAAAAAGGTGATAGGAAATGCCAAGAGAATTACAGGCCTATTGGTTTGTTACCATGCATAAGTAAAATTTATGCCAAATCTCTGCTTATTAAACTGGAAGAATGGGTGCTTACAAAATGTCTACCTAGTAAGGAACAAGCTGGTTTCAAGGCAGGACCTTCAACTCTTGACCAGTGTCTAGTGTTAAGTCATGTTGTGGACAAATATGTATTGAGAAACAAAAGAAGACTCTTTGTGGCATTTGTAGATTTAAAAAGTGCCTTTGATTTGGTCGATCGTAATAAACTGTGGATCCATACCTGCTTACATTGATTCAATGTTTATACGCCAGTAACCAAATATATGTTAAAGTTTCAAAAGATGGTAGACTTGTAGGTCCAATTCTGAGTAACTGAGGAGTTAGGCAAGGCTGCATCTTGGCCCCTACCCTATTTAATCTCTTTTTATCTGACCTCCCATTATTTCTTCAAAATGTAACCACTCATATTCCTTATTTAAACAATATCCCAGGTTTTTTATTACTATATGCAGATGATGCGGTAATTATCTCACTTTCCTCTTTGAGTTTTAAAAAAATATTTAAGAGTTTCTCAAACTTTTGCCCTCTTAATAACCTCAAAATTAACTATGATAAGACAAAAATTATGCAATTTACAAAGAGGGAACCCAAAAAATTGGATAATCAATGGACATCTAATACAAGAAGTGAAGCATTTCAATTATCTGGGAATTGTATTTAAAAATAACATGAATTGGAACACACATATCTGTGCTGCAATAGCTAAGGCTAAAGTGACAGCTCACCATATTAAATCTTTTTTTTTTCTCCTGTAGGAAATAGATATATTCCAGCTGTATTGCAAGTGATTGATATGAAACTTTGTACCCCACTTTTATATGGCACCCGAGTATGGATTTCAGGTGACCTTAAGAGGTTGGATAAATTCCATGCATCTCTTCTGAGGTCATTATTAGGACTTGCAAATTCTGTAAAATATGAATCAATATGTTGTGAGTTGGGTATACTTCCTTTATCAGTAAGAGTATGGTTGAGAACCTTGAAATATTGGATCTTCCTGCATCATAGAGCCCTATCGCCTAATTTTCTCCTTTACGACCTCTTAAGTGATAATGTAATTTACAATTTATCATTGATTTGTAGGAGAAAATTGAACTCGATAGGGCTTAATTTAACTGACTTTGAAAATTCTGGCCCCAAAGATATTTGGGAAATTATCAGGAAGAATCTTACAGAAAAAAGTGTTCTCTCCACTCTTGAGTTTGCAAAGCACAGCACTTGCTCTCCTCTCTATTTAAATCTCCCGTTTTGTAGAGATTTTCAAAAGGGATACATGACAAATCTGAAGAATCATGAATTGTGCAGGCTGTTTATGTTAGCCAGATTTAATATGTTTCCCTCGATGATAGTAAGAGGAAGATACTTAGCTCTCCCAGAATCAGAGCGTCTCTGCATATGTAGTAAACAGGAACCTGATACTTTGGAACAGATTTTCTTTTCTTGTGATTTTGGCATTTATGCCAGAAGACAATTATTAGAGGCCTTACGACACAATAGGCTCAATTCTATGCTACCAACAGTTCAGGACCCCCTCTTGGACAGGAATGATCAAATTACTTTAATAGTGGCTGAATTTTTGAGTGCTGTCCGTGTGGAAAGACTGGGCCATTATAAAGAGATTTAGTGGTTCTTTATTGATTGGTGATGTGGTAATGTTGTATTATTTATGCAAATTGATTTTCTCTGGAGTTAAAGATCTGACTGGGACAAACCTTGTTATGTTAAGCTTGTATTTTGCACAATTTGTATACGGTGTATGTTTGATAATGTGTGGTTTGCTATGCCTAATAAAGGATATATATATTTATTTAAAACTAACTGGCATTGATGGGGGATTGGAGGCCAGCAACATCTGGAGGGCCAAAGATTCCCAACCTCTGCATTTTAAGTGCTGTGGTCACACAATCTATTGTGCTTCAATAACAACCTCCTGATTTTATCCACATATTCTAGCCCAGGCATAGGCAAACATGGCCCTCCAGATGTTTTGAGATTGCAATTCCCATCATCCCTGACCACAGGTCCTGTTAGCTAGGGATGATGGGAGTTGTAGTCCCCAAACATCTGGAGGGCTGAGTTTGCCTATGCCTGTTCTAGCCAGTGAATTGCAAACTGAAGAGCGGGGGGAGGGGAGGTGGGAGGGGAGAGATAAACCCCTGGAAAGATTGGGGGCTCTTTGATTCTCACTTATCTTTTAAACTGGGCTGTTCAGTTCATCAGTAGCAGGTGTGGTGTTTCTGGTCCCTGGAGTCAAGACCTTCCTAGAGAAACAGTGGACAGTGAGCGACCCAAGTTCATTAGCAGGATTGTGAGTCTGGCATATCTGTTCAGGATACCCTGAAATGTCATCTCACCCAAGATGTTGAACGTTAACCCTTCATGGCGAACTGAGAGGATCGTCCATTTTTTTTTTGTCTTGAACTGTTTTCAGTTACACGCTGTTTTTCTTTTCTAGATTTGTGCTAGTGAAGTGGAAGCCCTCATGATGCGACTCCAGCACACTTTCAAGCAGGAGATGAGTGGTGTTGGAGCAAGCCTTGAAAAAAGGTGGAAATTCTGTGGCTTTGATGGACTGAAAACAGCCACATGAACTTGAAGCTAATAGGACTTTGGACCATGACCCCCCCCCCGATTTCTATCATTGATAATAAAGAGAAAGATTGCAAGCAGAAATAGTTGCCATTTTGCAACAGAAATGGTTTGTTGGGTGAGTTTACAGCCGCCAGAGAGACCTCACATTTCTGTTAGAAACTAACCATCTAACATTTCATTTCAGTGCTGTGATTATTCTGTTTCATGACTTTTATTTGGACAGAATCAGCCATTTTGGACCTATCTGTTCTCAAACTGTTATGGAAATTGTGGAAAGACCAAAGCGGTGCTTTTTTTCAGCTGGTTCCAGTTCTGGGGTTTCTCAAGACACTTGCATTACCTCCATTGTTGGTGTGTATGCAGAGGTGCTCCCAGTGGTGGCTATTGGGTGTGGTAGAGCAGAAGACTGGGAGGCCAAGAGTTGGTCAAGCCAGGTCCAACGACAGCTGGAGCCAACTAATTTTGTCCACATCCTCCTCCCTGCTGAGTTCTAAAAGGGCAACACTTAGACTAAGGGGAAGGAAGCTGACAGCCAGTGCCACCCTCTGGATGCAAGTTAGAAGGTAGGCAGGTGGCAGCTGCTTGAGAGCAGACTGAGCTTTGTGGGGCAGTTCTCCATTTGCCCTAATGGACCACCCTCCCCTTGGTGCTTACATTCGCTGCTTTGAGCACATTCCATGTGTTTAAACTTGGGAACGGTTGTCCTAGCAAAGGTTTGTAAGGGCCAGGCTAGATGACACATTGGTGGTCCATGATCAGACCAGCTGTCTCTTTAAATTTTATTTTAATAGCCATTGTGGAAGAAAGGAGATTGGAATGTGACTGCAGTGCTACAGTAGATGGGGGTGGTCTATTAAAAATTAATTCCATTGTGCTGCTTTCCTGATTGAAATCTTCCCTTTCTCCCCTGGAAGCTGCTATTTGTCATGGTGAGAAAATGACAGCTCCTGAGTGAGTGGAGGTTATATTGTTTGTTTATTAAATTCACATCCTACCCTTTCTCCCAAAGTTGCCCTGGGGCAGGGGCAAACATCAAGTGGCAAATGAATAAAATTTTCTTTAAAACAATTCCTGTACAGATTAAAAACAAAACAAAACTAATTAAATACAAATTAAAGATGCCAATGCAGATTTCAAAAATAGCATGGAAGAAAAGTTCAGTCTCTTCCCTCTCCTGGCTCTGCGATCCCAGTTCAATTTGGACCCCTCCACAGTTGCTTTTAACAACTACTTAGAAGAAAGGGGGGTGTTTCTGATCATGGATCTCTGACTCTTCATCAAGCTGATTCTGCAACACTGAATTCTTTTGCAAAATTGCTAAGGGTTTTTAACATGAGTGGTGGCTCTCCTCCATGTGTGGTATCTTTGCTACAATCTGCTGGGTGCTATTATTATTGTTGCATGCCGCCTCCAATCTGCAAGTGGTGCAAGATTCCAGGGGGTTCCAGGCGCTTTACCCAGGGTTTGTGTTTGCTTTTGGAAATGAGGCACAGCGGAGACTGTGGTGTCTTTAGGCTATCGGGTTTATTTACAAATACATATAACCTGAGCCTATGGTGGACGGGTTTACAGCATCAACACCCCCCAAAATGTCTTGCTTCTTCCATAACTACATTCTTGGATCTAAGACTGTCTAAACATGCTCTCTATGTGTCTAGCTCACATTGCTTCTAACTTTTAAAACTCTGGCTTTATCTGTTGAGGGAGGGGCCACACCCATTTTCTGTCTGGTCCTCTGTTCTGGTCTGATCCTCTGGTCCTCTGTTCTGGTCTGATCACTTATCACCTTAGACAGTCGCAACAACACAGGAGACTAGTCTGACTTAATTAGCTTTTGACACTTTGCTGATTCCAGGGATTAGAAGTGTCTTAGCACTCCAAGCTTGAATTATATTCTAACACTCACTGGATCCATGGATTTTAGAAGTCTAGCACCTAACTTAAAACACATGAGTCTGGCACCCAGTTTTAACACCTTAAGCATTAATTAAATTCTGATACTACTGGACCAGGAATTTAGGGGAGTCTGGCACCCACACACATGTAACATTTCTTTATTAAATTTCTATACCACCCTTCATCTGAAGATCACAGGGTAGTTTGCAGGTGGCTTGTACCATAGGTCAATGTTTCCTGTGCCCTGATTATTAAAGTCTACACTGGGAAAGATGGCAGTAAGAATAGATTGGCCATAGAAACTCCTGCTAGGCCATGTGAAATTCATTTTCATATTTTACCATGTGTCTTCTGCATTAAAATTTTTCTATTTAAAGTGGCTACTGGAGTCCAACTGGTACAACATAAAACAAGCTGTTTAAAATATTAAAACGATCACTGTTAAACAAGAAGCATTATCAGAAGTGGCAACAGTGCATTAACTCTGTATGCACAGCAGTCAGTAAAAACACAAAATCCCTCTTCAAATAAATAAGCTGCTCTGCCAAAGGCAGGCAAGTATGGCAGGCACTAGAGACTGTATTAAAAAATGCCCCGTTCTGCATCCGATGGCAACAATGGCACAGAGCAGCAGGGCCTCTGATGGGGATCATATTTGTTCAGGCAACATTGGATGGCTGCTTATAGATTGCCAGGATATCTACATCACCATAAAAACAAAACCAAGGACACGTGTGCATTTGCTAATTTATATACATACATACAAATTCAAAAATGTAAAAATAAATTCATCTTAGTATTTGAGGAAGACAGTGACCAGGTAACATGTACACCTGGTTGGTCTGCTGTCCAGATGCTGAAGGGCAACTTCAAGGCCCTGATTTTTCTCATTTATGTTTAAAGCGGACTTGACTGTACTGCCCTCTGTAAAGTTAGATTACGCTAGGTGGAAGATTGTTTTTAAGGGTCCAGGTAACATAGTAAAGGTAAAGGGACCCCTGACCATAAGGTCCAGTCGTGACCGACTCTGGGGTTGCGGCGCTCATCTCGATTTATTGGCTGAGGGAGCCGGCGTATGGTCCTGTGGCCAGCATGACTAAGCAGCTTCTGGCGAACCAGAGCAGTGCACAGAAACGCCGTTTACCTTCCTGCCAGAGCGGTACCTATTTATCTCCTTGCACTTTGACGTGTTTTTGAACTGCTAGGTGGGCAGGAGCTGGGACCGAGCAACGGGAGCTCACCCCATTGCGGGGATTCAAACCGCCGACCTTCTGATCAGCGAGCCCTAGGCTCTGTGGTTTAACCCACAGCGCCACCCGCGTCCCTGTCCAGGTAACATAGGCAAGCATATAATAACATGATCTTCCTTATCTGATATTTTGGTTTGGCATTGCCATTAGGCTGGGCAAGTATCCAGCACTCTAAAGTCTGAAACTCTTTGTGGCCAAACCAAAATATCAGATAAGAAAGATCGTACCTAGTGGTGTCATGGGACTACTAGCTTCTTAAAATACTTTCTGATACTGAAAGAGGGCCCAGAGCTGTAGCCCAATGGTAAAGGGTTGGAATTAAAGATGTGAAGGCCCAGGAAAATGGAACATAGAGAATGGGAAAGTATTGGTTCTCTTCATAGTGGGAGGGATCCAGTTTTTCCACTGGATGAAAATGGAAGTTTAGGGAAACATACATAGTATTTTCTCTTTCAAAATGGCTGGATTTGTTGAGTATTTTAAAATAATACTATGTAATACTATAGTCAGTTGGTTTTATCCAACTAACTTCTCACAACAGACACATTCAAATTAATGGATCTTAGTCATGTCCATAAATTTCAATGGATCTGCTTTTAGTAGGACTAAGATTGGAAGCAAGCAACCCAAGGTAAAGAGACAGTAACATGAGACCAGCTTATGACTCTGAGACTTAAACTTGAGATGCTGAGACTGGACCCCAAAATCTATGTCTTGGGGCCTCCTGAAGTGGTGGAGATGGAAGAAAGAGCAGTAACTCCTCCTTTATTTTCTACTTTAATGTTTTCAAAGTATTTTTGTCTCTCAGCTGTAATCTTTGGACTTGTATTGAAACCCCCAGCTGAGCCCTGGGTGCACTTTCAATGCCAATCTGAAGAGTCCACTCAAGAGGTGAGTAAATATTGAAAATATTAGCACACAGTATTTGCACCCTACAATAATTACAACAATGCAGCCTTGTGTATCTGCCTCGGTGCACCACAGTGCAAACCAATACTGTGTAAGTAAAAAATGTTGGGGAAGACCTGGGAGAGACCAGGGTTCAAATTCCCACTCAGTGAGAGAGCTCACTGGGGAACCAAGGGCCAGCCACCGCCTCTCAACCTAACGTTTTGTGGATATAACATGGGAGAAGAGAGAACCACGTATGCCATCTTCGGCTCTCTTGCATGCAGGCGACTGCGGGGGCTAGCAAAGGAGGACTGTCCACACGGTCTCCCGTTTGCCAGCCCGCAGAAAACACATTTCTCTGGGGTTATCGACAAGCCTGTGATCAGAGTTTTGCTGAAACGGTGAAACCCGACTTGACAGAACGTTAGCGATGCCGGGAAGGGGCTGCCTCGCTCTGTCAATGCGCTTGACGGATGCTGCGAAGCCCCGCCCCGAAGGCATCTAATTGGTCCGCTTTCGCAAAGGGAAAGGGGAGCCCGGTCGGTTGAGTCGCAGGCATAACGTCAGAGGAAAGCGACGCCGCAGCACTTCAAAGAGGGCGGAAGAAGCCGTGGAGATGCCTCCGAAAGGGAAAAGCGGCGGCAAAGGGGGAAAGGGTAAGGGATGGGGGGCGCTGAATGGGGGTGAGATGTGGTGAATGGGATGAATTCCAGCTGCAACCAGAGAACCCAGGAGTCCTAGTTTCCTTCTCCCCAGCCAGGTGCTGACAACAGGGACACCAGGAATCCTGATTTGTCTTCCCTGCCTTATTCTCCCAGAAGGGACAGTACAGCCTAAGAGTCTCTGCTCCCCCCCCCCCCCAGTTCTCTGGAAGGGGATGCCTAACCCTGCACATCTTAAACCGGCCTGAAGCAGATTTATGCACCAGGATGACGTGCAGAGATCTCCGAGACATGTGGTTTCCACACGTGCCTGGGATGCCCAAATAGGTTTCCAGCCCCTTGTCTCACGAAGAGACCGGTTTGTGGTACAGCATATCCCAGATCAAGGATATATAATCCTGTGGCCCTCTAGATGTTCCCAACTCCCATCGGCCCCAGTCAGTCAGCAGGGTCAGTAATGGTGTCCATTGTACTGTGTTTGGAGAAGCATGAGCCCTCCTCCCCAGCTGCAGATGGTACAGAACAGCGGTTCGGATACACAAAGTCACAACAAAGTGAGGGGATTCTTTTTATCAGGACCAACCAGTGTTACAAAACAGGGAGCAATTTTTCATATTCTCTCTGGTACAGTATGCTTCTTCAGGCAGAATGTCAAGCAAAATAGGAATGGGGAAAGAAAAAAGCTGTCATTGTGATTAAGTTCCCAATGCTGTGGTTGTGGTGTTTCTGTGCACTTTCACATCCTGCCTGGGTTCAAGCAGGGTGAGCAGCCTTTGCCTTATAGCAGCTTACCTAAGTCTAGCATGCTTCTGTGCTTCTGTCCACCTAAACATTAGGAATCCACCTAAACATTAGGAAGAACTTCCTGACAGTAAGAGCTGTTCGACAGTGGAATTTGCTGCCAAGGAGTGTGGTGGAGTCTCCTTCTTTGGAGGTCTTTATGCAGAGGCTTGACAACCATATGTCAGGAGTGCTCTGATGGTGTTTCCTGCTTGGCAGGGGGTTGGACTCGATGGCCCTTGTGGTCTCTTCCAACTCTATGATTCTATGATTGCTGTGAGATTGGCAACCTGGAGTTTGGCTCCACAGGGTTGCACACGGCCGAGCACAGGGTGTGGGCTTGGCACTATGGAAGGAAGGTGTCATAGCGCACCCAGAGTGTCTCACCGTTGCCTCTGACCTTGTGTGTTTTCATAGGTGGAGCATCCTCTGGCAGTGATGCTGCAGATAAGAAAGCCCAGGGCCCTAAAGGAGGTGGCAGCAGTGTGAAGGTGGGTGTTTTGTGTCATTTCACCTTGGATGGTGTTCCTGGGGTGCAATTTTAGACAAGAAAGAGACAAGAATGTATGTACAGTGTAATTCAGCTAAAGCGGGGAAGGTGGTTTGCTTCCTGATCTCTAGCCGCTCAACACAGCTGGCTTGACATCAGTCTGCACAAGGAGGGTGGGGGTTCTGTGCCCCTCCAGATGTTGCTGGACTACTGCTGGCTGATGGGAGTTGGAGTTCAACACCTCTCCCCTACACTAATGACTCAATGCTATGGGATGCACAACTACGTTTCCGAGCACAATTCAAAGTGTTGGTGTTGACCTTTAAAGCCCTAAACAGCCTTGGCCCAGTATACCTGTCTCCACCCCCATCGTTCTGCCTGGACGCTGAAGTCCAGCGCCAAGGGCCTTCTGGTTGTTCCCTCATTGCAAGAAGCAAAGCTCCAGGGAACCAGGCAGAGGGCCTTCTCGGTAGTGGTGCCCATCCTGTGGAATGCCCTCCCATCAGATGTCAAAGAGATAAACAACTACCTGATATTCAGAAGACCTCTGAAGGCAGCCCTGTTCAGGGAAGTTTTTAATGTGTGACACCTTAGTGTATCTTTGGTCTTTGTGGAAGCCGCCCAGAGTGGTTGGGGAGACCCAGCCAGATGGGCAGGGTACAAATAATAAATTATTATTATAAATTATTATAGTGAGATGGGGTACTGTAAACCACATTAAATTACAGTCAAATGCCAGAGCTGTCATTGGTTGCATTACCTCTTGAGGGATAATAATAATAATAATAATAATAATAATAATACATAATTCATAATAATTTATTATTTATATTCCGCCCATCTGACTGGGTTGCCTCTTCAGCCAGAGTGGTGTATGCTTGTCTAATCTGCATTCTGCTTTTTTTAAGGTGAGGCATATTCTATGTGAGAAGCATAGCAGATGCCTGGAGGCATTGGAAAAACTCAAGGCTGGGGTGCGCTTCAGTGAAGTAGCCTCTCAGTACAGCGAGGACAAAGCCAGACAAGGGGTATGTGCCTTTTTCTGTTTTGTGCTGACAGACCACCTTGTTGCTGTGGTTGCCACCTTTCCTTTGCTGCCCTGAGGACTTGACAGAAAGAGGCAGCAAAGGTGCTATAGTCTTGCTTTTGCTACTTCACTGCCTGTTCTGCTGTACGATTTGGAAACACTCAGCTAATTGAAATCTGGATTTAAAAGACTAGAGTGAAGCTTAGCTGCAGCAGAAACACAGAGGCGGAGCCAAATGAAATCTGTGTGTACAGCACTTTGCAGAAGTAAAATGAGTTTTAAAAAAGACAGCTCTCTGGCCTCAAGAGCTTTCAGTGGAAATCCCAACAGAAGAGGACACAGGAGGTGAGGAGGCTTGGAAAGGTGAGAGTAAAAGGGAACGAAGAACGAACTTAAGCAAAATGTTGACGATATCTTAGCAACCTGACCTACAGGAAAAGCTTGTCAGGAGCACGTGCAGAAAGCAAGCAAGGTATAGCATATTGGAGAGGGAACTGAGGTCCAGCTGTAAGGGCTTGTGCCCTTTAGAGTAAGGAAGGGCAGAAGAGAGGTTGGGTCTCCTGGTTGATCACTGGAAGATGTACAGGAGACTGGTGAGGGCTTCTCACTCTCACTTCTGTTATAGCAGCCACTTCAACAACTTCCTTCCTCCCTTTCTAAATTAGACTGTTAGAATCTCTGATGTGTAGTAACTCAGATGTGGATTTATATGTGTACAAAAAGGTCAGCACAATGTGGGGGTTCATGGGGAGCAGTAGCCCCGTCCCCACAGCTACCCTGGCTCTGGTTGGTGGCCCTGAAGTTCTGCTAAAAACTAAATGAACTGAAATCTGCCCAACAGCCCTGCTATAGGGCTTTAACAGTCTCCCATTGATCTTCTTTTCCAGGGAGATCTGGGCTGGATGAGCAGAGGCTCTATGGTGGGGCCCTTCCAAGATGCAGCCTTCGCCTTGCCTGTCAGCAGTATGGACAAGCCCGTGTACACAGACCCTCCTGTGAAAACCAAGTTTGGCTATCACATCATAATGGTTGAAGGCCGTAAATAAAAAAAATGTTTCTCTGTGATGCTAGGAATTTCTTCCCTTTCATTTAAACCCTTGGTATGCTTGTGTGAGAAATAGAAGGTTGATTTCCACACACCCTCCCTAGGTGTGTCAAGGCTGGTGTGTGTACACCATGGTGGGGTGAGAAACCGTGTGTGTATTGGGAATCAAAACTGAAACATTGAGGGTGGGTAGTGTAGAAAGGAGGCACCCAAGGAAGGACATGATAGACCTTAATGAAATTATACATGGTGTAGAGAAAGTGCATCATTCCCTCCTTCTTGGTTTAGCCTTTAGTTTGGCCTTTAGTTTAGACAGCTTTCAAATTCATGGCCAATAAGGTTGTAAGTTCAATTAGCCACTGAGGCTAAGCTCTGTATGTACCAGACATTTAAAGCACCCTCCTACCCCCAAAGAATCTTGGTAACTGCAGTTTGTGAAGTGCACTGGAAGTTGTAGCCCTGCAGTGGCTAAACTACAGTTCCCAGGATTCTTTGGGGGGATCATGTGCTTTAAATGTAGGGTGTGTATGTAGTCTTGATATTCAGTCGCTTCAGAATCAGAAGCAGCATGGCTCTGAATATCTCTGTGGGGAGCACCAGCAGGAGAGGGCTGTTACCTTCATGCCTTGCTTGTGGACTTCTGAAGAAACTTCTGACTGGTCACAATGGGAAAAAGGAGCTTGGCTAGATATGGACCATTAGTCTGATCCAGCAGGGCTCTTTTACGTGTTTTGTTCTTCCTGGATAGGTGGCAGCAACAGCAGCATTTCTTTAAAGCTGGCCCACGTGACTGGTAAAAAAGGGCTATGTTTTATTTTTATTGTTTTGCAGCAAACATGACAAGCAACCTTCAGGGCACCTCAGAAGGGGTCCCAGATGGGATAAATGGGGCGTAAGGGGCTAGCCCCCTGTAACTCTTTGAGGGTATTGAAGGGGAACGACCTGCGGTCACCCATTAATGATTCAATATCAAGTCCAAAATCTTTTAAGTTAGGGAGTAAAACCTAGGATCTGTGTATGAATAAAGGTAGGGGTGACAATGGATTCAAGAACCAAGGCATTTGCCGTGCCTAAAGAATGGCCCAGGCTGGCCAGGAAAAGACAATCAGCAAGCATCATCAGGTATCCTGGCAGACAAAAGGCAGTCATAATACTATCAAATCCCTGTTTCAGACCACCTCTTTCTGTGATGTTTGTATTATGATTTGGGATGGTTTGACCAAGGAGCTGGGCAATTTCTAAAGATTTTAAAAGTTGGTACACACCTTTCTGGGTCCCCTCACCACCTAGGAAAGGGGTGGGGTGGGGACTCTGTTGCAACAGAAAAATAAAGTTCTGCCTTGCTTTCCTTTAACTGGTTTCTGCCTCTACCCTTTCTTCCCTGGCCAACAATGGACTTAAGGATATGAGCTCCCATGATGATAAGTTGGGTTGTAAAAGCCAACCGCCCCCCCCCCCCCCCAATTTTAAATGCTACTTAGACTAATAGAGCTGGAAGGGATCCTGAGGCTCATCTAGACTAACTCTCTATGGCAGATGGTTGGGCTGTACATAGAAATCGGTGTGGCCGTGGGAAGGGAAGCCAGAAAGAAATGGCGAGGTATTGGAATAACACTTGTACTGTAGTTTAATAGTGAATTTTGGGACACAATGGAACGGTAAAAGATTTGGATTATTATAAAAGATGCGGAAGGAAATGATTAGTAATAGGACCCACAAAGGAGAGGAGGGAAGTCCAGGAGATTCTTTGGAATTTTGTTTCTATGTTGTATGTTGGGTATGTGACTGTAAAAGCAAACCAAAGAAAGAAAGGGAAAAAGAAAGAGGGGGAGAAGAAAAAGAAATGGCGATGTACAAATCAACAACAACAACGTGCGTTGCTAATAATAACTGTGCGACAAACAACGACGATGTTATTATTATCAATAGTAATAATAACGCAAATAGAAACGCCGATGCTGCTATTCTAAGCGCGGCAGGGTTGCATCAACGAAAGGGTTAATGCCCCTCCCCTCTCCGTTCTGCCGCGTGACCCAACCTGGGTCCTCCGTTCGTTCCTCTTTCTGCAAGATTCCCCCACCCGCTCCTAAGGAGCGGATTGGTGAATATTTCACGCTGGCCGCCGAAGAGCCCTTCGGTTGGCCGAGCGGCGAGAGCGAAGCGCTGCGATTGGCTGGATTGGCGTGTTCCTCGGTTCAGCTTGAACTCTGAGTTTTGCGGCGCGGCTGGTCCCAAAGTTCGGGAGCGGCGCTGCAAGAGAGAGCCGGGAATGGACCGGAGCTGTGGAATGGGGCTGCCGGTGCTGCTGCTGGTGCTGGCGCTGTCCTGCCCGGCGGGCGCACTAGAAAACGGTTTGGCACGGACGCCGCCCATGGGCTGGCTGCACTGGGAGCGCTTCCTCTGCCAGGTCGACTGCGACGAAGAGCCCAGCCGATGCATCAGGTGAGCGCCTGGGATCTTGGGCCAAGAGGGCTGCCTGCTCGAACGTAGCGTTTGCATTCTTCAAAAAACAAAAGCAGGATCTCAGCTAGATCATCCATCCAGCTATCCAATCTCTGCTAAAAAAAAGGAAAACCTGCGAAGAGTCTGCCACCTCCCATTCTACTGTCAAACTTCCTCCTGAGGTTGAGTTGGAATCCCCTTTCTGGTAACTTGAAGCCATTGGTTCAAGTCCTAGCCTCCAGAGCAGTAGAAAACAGGCTTGCTTCACCCTCGATGTGACAGCCCTTCAGATACTTGAAGATGGCTATCATATCTCAGTTGCCTCTTTTCCAGGCTAAACGTAACCAGTTTCCTCAACCATTCCTCATTAGGCTTGGTTTCTAGACCCTTGGTCATATTGGTCACCCTCCTCTGAACACATTCCTGTTTGTCAATGTCGTTGGACACAGTACTCCAGATGTGGTCTGACCAAAGCAGGACAGAGTGATACTCTGACTTCCCTTGATTTCTGGACCCTGTATTTCTGTTGATGCAGCCTATAATAGCATTAGAATATTTTTATTTTTATTTTTTTGCTGCTGCATCAGGGTGCTCTTGGGCCTTAGGACATCATTGCTTGCATTTGGGTTCACAAGTTGTTAAATTATACCTTGTGGGTTCAGGCAAGGTCATCTTATCACCTGCTACAAGTTTTTAAACTGGCTTAGCAGAGCTAGAAAGATTGTGCCACAAGTGGTGTGCTTGTATACATGCTGAGACTTGCATGGAAGCATCACAGCTGTGCCCTTTGCATTTAGTGGCCTTTCAAAGTGAATGCTTGTATAAACAAAGGTAAAATGCTTATATATACATACAGTCTCTTTCTCTCTCTCTCTCTCTCTCTCTCTCTCTCACACACACACCTACACACACACAGAGCACTTTATACTTCATGCGCACACATGAGAGAGAAAACTCTCTCTGTTAAATCCATCAGGTTCATGAAAGGTTTGCCAATATAAAGGTGTACCACATATATCTGTTGCCATTAATGTGGGCTAAGACTGTCCATAGCTGGGAAACCTGTGGCCCCATGTAATATTGGACTACAACTTCCACCTTTCCTAGCCATTGTCCATGCTGGCCGTGAGTCCAACATGTGAAGGATTGCAGATTCCTCATCCCTGTTCATTTTAATGAAAGGTCGTCACCTTTCATTGCATGGTTCCTTTGCTTTTTAAGAGACACTTTAACCAGCAGATGAAGTTTTATCATCCATAGAGGATCTGGGGCAGGGGAAGGTTCCATCTGTTGACTTCCTGTTTGCAACTGTTAAAGGAACAAAAGCCTTTGACCTTGAAAAGGTTACAAGATAAGTCCAAGTGCATTAATTATGTGACACTTTGAAACTCCAAAATCAGAAAATGTGTCCACAATTGCCAGTGTGTAGTGGCAAACTCTGACTTATCTGCTGTCGATAACTCACAGTTTGCCAAGCGCAGTCAGAAACTGGCATATGCTGGTGTGGAAGTATTTAGCCAGGAGCCCCCAAAATACATTGAAACTCCTGTGTACTACAGCAAGCCTTGAAGCTGAGGGAGACAACTCTCTTTGCAGGAGAGGGAAAATACGTTGCATTTCTTCAGCATATGCATTACATTTCTGGGAGCCTGGGCAACAAACTGCCTTGGATTTTTGTAGCCCTGGTTTTACTGGCATGTCAAAAGCACGTCAAAGTGCAAGTAGATAAATAGGTACCACTCTGGCGGGAAGGTAAACGGAGTTTCCGTGCACTGCTCTAGTTCGCCAGAAGTGGCTTAGTCATGCTGGCCACATGACCCGGAAGCTGTACGCCGGCTCCCTCGGCCAATAAAGCAAGATGAGCGCCACAACCCCAGAGTCGGTCACGACTGGACCTAATGGTCAGGTGTCCCTTTACCTTTATGATATTCTGGAACCATCTGGGACTTGGCCTGTGCTTGCAAACAGAATGGTAGAATGGTCTCTGTGTGTGAATCAGTTCAGATTGCAGATTGTTTCCCCACTAGATAAACAACAGCAAATTCTCTGTGAAGAGAAAAGTAGAACAGCTGAGCTGAACCTGGTGTCCTAAGTTTCATTTGTTTTGATTGCAATTCTTTATGTAGGGGCACAGTCTGCAGTCTGAAGTTCATTGTGCCACCTCATTCTGCTAAATATGTCAACACAGGTTGAGGAAGCAAGCTGTGCAGTTTGCACATTTCCTATGACTGGCCTGGCCGATATTGTAGTTTCCTCTTTAATGGTCTAAGTCGCCTAAACATAAGCTGTTCCTCATTCCATGGAATATTCTGTGATTCAAACAGTTGGCTAAACTTTCCATGTATGTAAATCATCATGATTTATTTTTATATAGTGCCATGACTTGTACATGGACACTTTATATAATAAGAGGTCCTCATCTCAAAGAACTTACAGTTTTGCCCGCTGGGAAGAGGAAACTTTGTGCAACAGATAATATGAGTAAAATGAGTAAGAACCTTTTCAGCTGGGGGACAACAGTAAGGGGCTGAGCCAATAACTTCACAGAAGTGATGAGTTTTGCAGGCAGTTAACGGCTGTTGCTGCAAGGCTCAGAATTTATAGAAGTATTGTTTCATTAGCCACATAGGTGGGGCTGTAGGCACTTCTCAGTCATAATTATTGTAATTTGTTGTTTAGTTGTTTAGTCGTGTCCGACTCTTCGTGACCCCATGGACCAGAGCACGCCAGGCACTCCTGTCTTCCACTGCCTCCCGCAGTTTGGTCAGACTCATGTTTGTAGCTTCAAGAGCACTGTCCAACCAAATTATTGTGGTTGGAGCAGGAACCGGCAAGCCACTCCAGTATCCCTGCCAAGAAAACTCCATGGACAAAGACAACAGGCATATAATTATTGTAATAGCAATATTTAGATTTGAATGGTTGGGAGTCTGCAATCACTAAATACTATCTTGTATTAAATACCTTCCAGGTGTGGGTTTGTTTTTGGGCGGGGAGCAGGATTGCCAGTGGAAGCAGAAAATAGTTCTATTTTCAGTACAGACAAATATAAAATAGATGTTCTTCACATTTTTCTGGTTAAATGTCAGTCTTAATTTTAACTGATGTAGTCAACCTGTCCCTGTCATGTACCACTTTTAAGCTTCAGATAGGAAACCCCACTCCCATGATGGAATGCTCCCTCATTTAAGAACAAATAAATCCTGTGTGTAGAAAGTGAGTATTTCAGGAAAAGGGCTAGGTTAGCACCCTTCCCTTCTCCTTGACATGCTAGTGTTCTGTGTGGATAGTTTCTGTTTGTTTGCATGGAGCATTCCATTGTGGGAGCCTCTATTTCTGAAGTAGTACCACAGATCTATAATCTGCATGAGATTTAAGACCACTAAACATCAGTATGTTTCTATGTGCATGTACAATGCCTCTCTCTCTCCATAACAAAAATGTAAGATCGTCATTTTGCAGCCCCATTAGAGGATTTGTCGTGAATCATTGCAGTCCTGGGTTTGTATGAAGGCAGGGGAGGGGAGACAGGTCGTCCAGTGGTAGTGGTCATGGCATGGGATCAAGAAGGGAGGAACACGGAGAGGCGGAAAGTGGTTGCAGAATATATGAGCAGACATTTTGCTATCCCTCCCCCCATCACTAATCAATATGATATTGGATTCTCATTGGATTCTACTTCACTACCAGCTCAGTGTTGGTACCCAGCTTTTGGGACCTTAGCTCAGTGCTAGAGCACTTTTGCACACAAGGTTCACTCAGTCCCTGGCGTCTCCAGTTAAAAAGGATCAGAAACCCAGGGTGATGACAGAGACCCTCTATTGCACAAGTTTCTGCAGAGCCTCTGCCAATCAGACAATGAAGTTGGGCTATATGACCTGGAGGAAGGCAACTTCTTATGACTTTCCTTTTTTGCCCTCTTCAGCGAGCAGCTGTTCATGCAGATGGCAGACATTATGGTGTCAGATGGATGGAGGGACGTTGGGTACCAGTACTTGTGTATCGATGACTGCTGGATGGCTCCAACTCGTGATAAGCAAGGCAGGCTCCAGCCGGATCCAAACCGTTTTCCTAGTGGGATTCGTAAACTAGCTGACTATGTAAGTGGGTTCTTGCTGACCTTTGCCCCAAAGCTTCTTCCACCTTGAGGTCAATGAGAACATATAAATGAGGAGCTGGAAAGGATGATGGAAATGGGAGAACTTCTTGTGAGTGCTCCCCTTTCACAGTGTGTCCCTAGCGCTGTAGAACTGCAGGGCTGAGCGTGACAAAGAAAAGCATTCCCCATCTCTAGATTTAACCATCCATAGGAATTGCTAAGAATTGACCTGAGCATGTCAATTTAGACCAGCATTCTCTTTCCAACAGCAGCCAGCCTGCTGCCCAATACACCACAAGCAGAACACGAAGGCAGCAGCTCCCTGCAGTTGTTTGTCTCCAGCCTCTGGTATTTAAAGATAGACAACCCACAGGACATGGAGACTCTATTATGCTCTCCTAGCTAGTGGTCATTGATAGGATAGCCCTTCCTGTGTCCTGTCTCATTTTCTTGTGTCAACCCCTTTGTAGAGTAGCATCATACCTTCCATTGTTGAAAAACTAGTGCACCTTTTCTTAGCCTATTTTCTCCCCACCCCATTAACTAAAAGCAAGCCGAATTCTTTTGATTTCTGCTTATAAAACATAAGCTTTCCACTCCATAAACCTTGCTGTGTTTCCCCTCTCGATTACCTGCAATCCAGGTCCACTCCAAGGGGCTGAAGCTGGGCATTTACGCAGATGTCGGGAACAAGACATGTGCTGGTTTTCCTGGCAGCCGCGATTACTATGATTTGGACGCTGACACCTTTGCTGGCTGGGGGGTGGACCTGCTGAAGTTTGATGGCTGTAACTTTGGCACCCTGGAACTGTTGGCAGAAGGTATGTCCCAGAGCAGGATTTGCCAGGAGGTCAGAGCGAACCTTTTAGCCTGTGTGGAATTTACTATTTACCTCGACCTTGGATAGGGTCACCCAGTTCACTTCCCTGGAAGCAGGAGAGAGGGCTTTAAGGAGGAATATGTGACACACTTTGTCCTTCCTCTCTCCCCTCCTAAAACAGCCCACAGTAAATTTTCTGAACTGTCTATACTTGGAAGAAGCCACCAGCGCCTTTGCCACTTCTGCTCTCCCCTCTCTCTCCCCACCTAGCTCCTGATCCAAAAGCTCTCTCCTGTTTGGGGCTTAAGGCATTGTTCAGGGTGCTTCATTTTAAGAAGACAATGACACACTTAAGTGCGTTCAGAGGAGGCGACCAGGATTTGGAGGGTGGGTGTCTGGAATTACTATGACAGGGATGAGGAACCTCAAGCAGCCCCAGGTAGTTGGGTCAAAGGTCATGGATGCTGGCAGTTGCGTGCAACGTCTGAAAGGCCACAGATTCCCCATCCTTGATCCAGAGCCAGAATTGATGAGTCTCATTGGCTTTAACTTACAATGAGGAAATGAGCCTCATTGGCTTTAACTTACATTTTTCACTTCCTTATTGAAGACCTTTGAAAGAAAAAGTAAAGGTAAATGGACCCCTGACCGTTAGGTCCAGTCGCAGACGACTCTGGGGATGCGGCGCTCATCTTGCTTTACTGGCCGAGGAAGTCGGCGTATAGCTTCTGGGTCATGTGGCCAGCATGACTAAGCCACTTCCGGCGAACCAGAGCAGCACACAGAAACGCTGTTTACCTTCCCGCTGGAGTGGTACCTATTTATCTACTTGCACTTTGATGTGCTTTTGAACTGCTAGGTTGGCAGGAGCGGGGACCGAGCAATGGGAGCTCACCCCGTCGCGGGGATTTGAACCGCCAACCTTCTGATTGGCAAGTCCTAGGCTCTGTGGTTTAACCCACAGCGCCACCTGCGTCCCCTTTATAGGTTAGGTAGGTGGTAAAGCCTTGACCAAGGCTGGCACAAAGATTGAGGGTGCCCTGACAAAAATTCCCTCTAGGACTCACCCAGCACTATCCTGATGCCCCCCAAGATAAGCTTACAAAGGAGCAGAGAGTTGAGTGGTGGGGATTGGTGATGAGTGTCAGGCTTTGATTATTTGTTTAAATTCTCAGGGGGTGTCTCTGCTCTTTGCCACCAGGTTATAAGAACATGTCTCATGCTTTGAACAAAACAGGCAGAGACATTGTGTTCTCGTGCGAGTGGCCACTGTATGAGAGACCCTTTCGGAAGGTAAGGAGAGGCCGCTTTGCAACCTTGCTATTTCCCTGGGGCATATTGCTGGACTACAACACCCATCAGCTCTGACAGTTGGCCATGCTTGCAGGGCTGCTGAGGGCTGTAATAGTAATTCAGCACCAGCTGGAGGACCAAAGGTTCCCCACACCTGTCCTAGGGCAAGGGCTGGTAACCAAATGTTGATGGACTACAGCTCCCATCACCCCTTACAATAAGTCATGCTGGGCTGGTTGAGGTCTGATGTGAGTTGGAATCCAACAGTGTCTGGAGGGTCTTCACAGGTTCCCCATTCCTGCACAGTAACCTCTACTTGTGATCTGCATATGAGTACATAAAACAATCAGGAAAGGTGACTGTCATTGCCACACCAGTCATATTTGGTGTGCTGGGAGCCTGTTTGGCTATGTAATAGTGAAACCCATTGATTGTGATGTTAGGCTGCACCTTGGGAAAAGCATCTTCCCGCATTGCAACAGGAATGACTATAATCCTCCACACCCAACTCACCAGATTAATCATCTGAAGAGATGGGAGGGTATGATAACACTTCCCTCCTTAGCTGATTTGCAGGGGTCAGCCAAGAGACGGGGGGCTTTGTCCTGGTGTGCATGTATGCTTGCTGTATGCAGGAGAGTGTGGGGTGACCACGCCAGCTGTCAGGAGTGGTTCTCGGAGAGAAAAAGGTTCCTCACTCTTGCTGCAGTGGCTCCTCCTGTGTTCAGAATGTGTTATGTTTAGTCTCTTAGGGATATATAGATGGCAAGAAGGGGGCGTTATGGGGAAGGGCCGTAGCTCAGAGGTACAGCATCTGGTTTGCATGCAGAAGGTCTCAGGTTCAACCCCCGGCTTCTCCAGGGAGAGACACTCTGCCTGGAACCCTGGCAATGCAAACAGTGCTGAGCAACATGGACCCGTGGTTTGACTTTGTGTAAGGCAGCTTCCTATGTTCCTAGGAAAAGTTTCATGGGGCACATGACTTCAGGGGAACTTGCAAAAAGGGAGGGAGCCCTATTCAGGTCCTTCCCACACTTTATTTAAAGCCAAGTTGAGTCAGTGCTGCAAAACCCTGTTTGGGCAACTGCCCTGCACAGTCTCTGGTAGAAGCCAGCCACACCCCCCACTGAAACAGTCCATTCCATTCTGACGCAGTGCTCAGTGGGACTGAAATATGACACATATCTTAAATAAAACAAATAAATCGTTGCCACCTCTTTTCTCTCTCTGTCTTTACTCCTCTGCCAGCCCAACTACACAGAGATCAAACAGTACTGCAATTACTGGAGGAATTATGCTGATGTCTACGATGCCTGGGGCAGTGTCAAGAACATCTTGGACTGGACTTCTTATAACCAGGACAGCATTGTGGATGCCGCTGGGCCAGGGGGCTGGAATGACCCAGATATGGTAAGAAAACCTTTTTCTGGGTCACTTATTCCAGATTCCACGCTGTTGCTCAAGCATCCAAACCCTCGCAGCCTTCCTGAGCCCTGGAGAGGGGCCTGTAGCTCACTGGGAGAGGAGAACCTGCCTAGATTTAAACTCTAGCAATCCCAGATAGGGCTGGAAGAGGCTTCAGTCTGAAACCCTGGAGAACTGCTGTCAGTCATTGTAGGCTGGGAGAGTGGTAGCTCAAAATGTACAGAGGATATCAGGCTGGGGTAGGAGGCTGTAGACCTGCCTTTAACCCATATATGCATTTGGGGACCCAAATATTATTACTATTAATTCAGTTTTTGCCCTTATTATTTGTATGGCGGTAGCGTTGCAGTTGCAACCCACCTTATGGCTTCATGGTGGGTCCTGACACACTAACTTGAAGACCAGTGCTGTAGAGCAGTGGGTCCCAATTAGCTATGCACCATGGACCCCTTGTTTTTCAAAAGACAAGCCATGGGACCCCCTACTTTTGAAGATTTTGATATATCTATGGTATATTTTGTTATGTGAATGGTGCCATGGACTCCTTGGGTGAGTTTTCTGTGGCCCACCAATTGAGAACCACTGCTGTAGAGAATATTGAACTCGATGAACCAGTTCTCTGATTCTGACATAAAATAGCTTGTTGTATTCCAAAGTCATTGCTAAATATATAAATCACATCCAGTCCCCGCTGCTGAAGAGGGTGAGTCCCTTGCTCATCAGTCTGCCTTGAGTGTTCCCCAGGTGCCTGCCTTTTATTTATTCTCTCTCAATCTTCCTGCAAGCCCAGACATCTGCTTTGCATGGCTTTAGCTTCAATTCTAGGTTGTATATTAATTTGTTTTCTTCATGTTTACAAAATGACAATAAGCTCCTTGTGTTCCTTTCAAGAGCTTGGCTGCAAATACGTTTTTACATGAGGCCCACATGTAAACTCAGTGTGGTATAGAGTGTGTTTTATGGCCAAAGTGTCTCTGCACCATAAAATTTCTGCCTATTGGCTACAGCTATTTGAGATGCCCTCAGGCTATTTCAGCTATTAATTAAACAAGCATTAAAAATGGAACATGTGAGAAAATATCATGGCATCCCTGTGCAGGGCCTTCCTAAGAAAAATACAGAGCAGCAGAATATAAAGAGTTTGATTCCTAATTCAGGCCCCAATCACAATATACATTTAAATCAGTATCATACCACTTTAAACAGTCATGGCTTCCCCAAAGAATTTTGGGTACTTTAGTTTGTTAAGGACTCTGGGAGTTCTTAGAATACTTTTATTCTCCTCATGGATCTACAACTTGATATAAAAAAATAAGTTGTAGATCCATTTTTATTAAGTCTCCAACAATATTTAAAAACATTTATCCTTTTTATTTTAGCATACAAATTTCTTCTTGACTTCCCACCCTTCCTTTCCTGATTTTTTTTTTTTTTACTCCTTTTTATTAGCTGTTTATAGATCTACAACTTCTAAAATGGTCTAAGAGCCGATCCTTCTTCTCAGGGACCCTCGGAATGTAGCTCTGCGAAAAGAGGGATTTCATAACAACTCCCGGCACCAAACTACAGTTCCCAGGATTCTTCAGGGAAAACCATGGCTCTATATTTATTATAGTGGTGCCATATTGCTTTAAAAATGTAAACTGCAGATAGAGCCACACATTTTAAGCGCACCGATATCAGGCTATAAAAGTTGGCCTAAGCTGTTCTGCTGGATTCACTTTTGGTGACAATCTCCCCTTGAAAGGCTTGTTGGAAAAGGTCTTCGTTAGGAGCCAAGGAAACAATAGAGATGGTGCCTCCCTTTGCAATGGGCGTTGCAAAGAGTAGGTGCTACCAAAACAGTGGTACCTTGGGTTAAGAACTTTATTCGTTCTGGAGGTCTGTTTTTAACCTGAAACCGTTCTTAACCTGAGGTACCACTTTAGCTAATGGGGCCTCCCACTGCCACCGCCGTGCGATTTCTGTTCTCATCCTGAGGTAAAGTTCTTAACCCGAGGTACTACTTCCGAGTTAGCGGCGTCTGTAACCTGAAGCGTTTGTAACCCAAGGTACCACTGTAAAGGCCTTACTTCTACACTGTGTGGAGCAGATCTTCTGATGAGGTAGTATTTGCCAGAGACCATTACACTGAGTCAGGCTGTTCGCTCATCTAACCCAGAATTGTCTACACAGATGGGCAGCATCTCTTCAGGGCTTCAGGCAAACACAGGCTTTTCCTAAAAACTTTCCTCTTGTCTTCTTAACTGGGAATGCCTGAGATTGAACCTTTTCAGTGCAAAGAACATGACCTGAGCTGTGGGAGTGGACGTATCTGGTGATAATTAAGGGCTGGATTTGGCCCTGTGGCCTCCAGCGGCTAATCACCAGCCTAGTTCCCTTCCTTAGTGTAGCATCCCGATACCTAAGAGTTGTAACCCCCTTCAATATGGTAATTCTCCTCTACCACCCTCCTATGCCAGCTGGTGATTGGAAATTTTGGACTGAGCTGGGATCAGCAAGTAACTCAACTGGCTCTCTGGGCCATCATGGCGGCTCCACTTCTCATGTCCAATGACCTGCGTCAGATTAGCCCACAGGCCAAGGCTCTTCTCCAAAACAAAGAAGTGATAGCCATCAACCAGGATCCACTGGGCAAGCAAGGATATCGAATTACCAAGGTAAGACTGCCATGGGGAAAAGGTGAGAGGGGGAGGAGGAAAGTTTCGAAAGCCAAAACAAGGTGGGTTTAATAATAATAATTTTTTATTTATATCCCGCCCTTCCCGGTTCAGAAAACCGGGCTTAGGGCGGCTAACAACAAATTTAAAACACTTAATTGATGCAACCTAAAACAGCAGAAAATACAGTATAAAATGTGAATAACAATAAATTCAGAATTCAAAAATCAATTTAGGGGGGAAATCCATCCAATAAACATTAGATTATCACCAGGGCTAGCTGGCTAAATTAGTCCTATTTGGGCCAGCGAAGAAACCAGGGGAAGATTAGCTGTGGGATCCCAGAGCAGGTAATCTTCATAAAAAGGGGAGGGAGGGGGAGGGAAGGAAGGGGAATAAAAGATCAGGCTAAGTTCAAATTGAAAGCCAGGCGGAATAGCTCTGTCTTACAGGCCCTGCGGAAGGAAGTTAAATCCTGCAGGGCCCTGGTCTCATGGGACAGAGCATTCCACCAGGTCCGACTCTCCTGTTCTCAGTCTTGATGTCTTTAGCCTTGTTTCCCAAAATTGAGACGCCAGCCTTTTTTTTAGACTACAGTTCCCATCATCCCTGACCACTGGTCCTGCTAGCTAGGGATGATGGGAGTTGTAGTCCAAAAACAGCTGGCGACCCAAAGTTTGGGGAACTGCTTTAGTTGAAGTTTAAAGGCTATAATCCAGATCATGTTCCAAATACAAATGGGACGCATCCCCACCAACCTCAGTTAGGCCTCACCTGCCTGCCTACTTACCTACAGCAATACCTGGTGGCCCTGCTGTCAGCTTCCTTCTCTGTAGCCTCAGTACTGCTATTGTAAAATTCATTACTTTTAAAGATTTCCTCCCCTACATTCAAGCAGTTATACACATTCTACGAATGACTTGGTTAGCTCTCCCTGTCATTTGGCTTTGGCTCCAGATCCTGTTTGTAGGGCTTTCTGCTTTCCCTCCCTGCCCACTTCGAACAGGCACCAGCAGCAGGTGATATTGTTAATTCATTGAGCCTAGTATTGTCTCCTCTGGACTGGAAGTAGAGGAACTTGGGCAGAGGTCTTTCACACCACCTGCTTCCTCATCCTTTTAATAGGCAGTTCTTTTAAGGAAGTACATTTTAAGTTTCTTAAGAGCTGGTGTTTTGCAGCATTAAGAGTGAAGAGTGTGAGCTGGGAAGCCTCCTTTCAAATTGCCTCTGATGTGAGCTTATAGGGTGGCTGCTTTTAAGCAAGCCATCTTTCTTCCTTCCTTAGATGATCCATTTAAATAAGAGGTGAGGGGTCCTTTTCAGCTTGAGGGCCACATTCAGTTAGGGGAAACCTGAAGGCTGCATTCTGTGCAAAATTCCCAAGTTTATTCACACATACACCCACCCACACCCTTTCCATCCAGACAAGCGAAAGGCAGCATCACAGTTCCAAGATGGTTACAGCTGGACAATACCACTCAAGGAAAGCATGGAACAGGACTGGAGAGACACAAATAAAGAGGCCTGGAGGTTTTCATTTGGCCCCTGCATCCAAAATTCCCTGCTCCCAATTTAAACGAAGTTTCCCATTTTGAATAGATAGATAAATATCCTGAGTGCAGTCGAGAAACATCTGGAGAGCAAGAGGTTCCTAGCTCTGCTTTATAGCAATAAATAACATTGGATCAGGGTTATCACAGGATTGCTTCCTCCAGTATCAACCTGCTGAAGATCTCCATCAGAGGCCTCCTGGTGCTCTTGCTAGAGGAATATAGTGAGACAGCCTTGTCGGTGGTGGCCCCTTGTTTATGGAAGACCCTTCCCTGAAGGGCAAGGGAGTCCCCAACATGATCTTTTATCGTTCTGTCCTTGAAGCCCTTTTAGTAGTTTTTTAAGGGTTCACCATATAAAGTTTCGTAAACTTTACTTTTCGTCTTTGTTGTTTTGTTTGTAAGCAGTTTTGTATGTTAACAGAAAAAGCAGTCTACAGAGCAGGGATGGGGAGCCTGTGTCCTTCCAGATGCTGATGGGCTACAGCTCCCATCACCCCTGCCTATTGGGCTGGTTGGCTGTGGCCAATGGGAATTGGCAGCCCAACATCTGGAGGGCCACAGCTCCCCCATCCCCAGTGATTGTTACTGCAGCTGGTAATGGATGTTGTGTCTTTCCAGGAAAACCACTTTGAGCTGTGGGAGCGGCCCCTGTCAGGTGGAGCCTTTGCCATTGCTGTGCTGAACCGTCAGGAGATTGGTGGACCACAGGCGTTTGTCTTCTCTACTGCCTACCTTGGCAGTGGCTTAGCTTGTAACCCTGCCTGCTCCATCCAGCAGATCCTTCCCACCAGCGAGGATTTGGGGCTGCACAACTGGGTTTCACCCTTGAAGGTGGTGGTGAACCCAACTGGCACAGTGCTGCTGAAGACGGTGGTGACTGAGGAGAAACTGTTTGATAATGGAAAGAAGCGCTTTCCAGAGTTCTTGTAACATAGCATATTCTTTCCCCCCTCATTTTTTTCTCCCAAGGAGGACTTTTAAGCAGAAGCAAGTAACCTTCCTACAGGGGAAAGGTTGCTACAACATCAACTCCTTAGTTCAGTGCCACATTCCTAATCCTGCAGTGACTTCTAAATTTCCTTTAAAGTGTAAGAACCTGCATTTCTGGACAAGGAAGCTGGAGATAGCAGTCTATGCCTTATTGCGCTTTGCCAAACACGGTATCAACACCATGTTTTCTTCTTCTACCTCTGGGGGATGCCAAGCACGATGAATGTAGTTGTGTTGTTAAGAAAAAGGCTGTGGTTATACACCAGTAACTCCTGTGGGCAGTCACCTATTCCTCCAGCTTACTCAAACCACAATATGCACAACTTTGTTACTTTTAGCCCTCTCCCCCAACTACCTAAAGATAATTATAGCACAGGTGAGATTACAACATGCACACCCCGTTGTACCTCAGGCACTTTTCTGAAAACCTGTTTCAGCAGGACACTTTTGAATAAATTGTACTATGCCTATTTATTGAACTTCTATTTTTGCCTGTGTGTTTTGTTTGTTGTGTAAGCCACGTTGTATGGGGGGAAAGCAGTCTTATCAGTAAATCTAGGGGAAATCTCAGCTGTGTTGCTACCAGTAAGTTTGAAGTCATCATGGACTTTTCATACCAGTAAGCCTCACTGCTTCACTAAAGTGATCCATACAATGTGATTGTACAAGAGATACTGGCAAAATGTTTTCAATGAATCTTTGCTGTCTTTCTGCCATGAACTAAATCCCTATTGCTGGCAAGGGATAATGGAAGTGAATTAAAAATCCACATGATCAAGCTATTGAGGTTTTCGTGTTATATTCCATTTGCTGCTTATTGGTTAAAGGAACACAATGGGAAAAATCAGGTCAGTTGTTCTGGCCAAATACAATGAAGCAAGAAACTAAAATTTGCTTATGATTTCTTGAACTTAAATGTTTGTTTCTAAATTTTTTAACAAATAAAGGTGCAAAAATCTCAAAAGTTTAAGCATTCTAAAGAAAAAAGCCTGAGAATATAGTTAGAAGCGATTATGGGAGTTTAGTGAAGGCATATCCTGCATATGCCTTTGAACTCTTGGGGGTTTACAGTGTTGGACTACAACTCCCATCATCCCCTAACCATTGGTCCTTCTGGCTTGGGGTGATGGGAGTTATAGTCCAACATCTGGGGACCAGAAGCTGAGAAAGGCTGCCCTAATCACTGCACAAATTACGAAGTCTCTGCTAGAGACTGAAGCGAGACACGCATGGAAAATAGCTTTCGTCCCTGTACTGTACATTACTTTCCATATTCCCAATTGCTTCAAGACCTGAAAAAGGAACATACCTGCTTATCTTCCAGCAGAGAGTCCCAGCAATCAAAGTAGTCCCAGAGAAATATGTTATGTCAGTGAATTGGCTTACAATGAATGTTTTCCCCAAAAGGAATGTGCAAGTGGGGAAAAAGGCTAGACATGGGTAAATATTGAATGAGTGGGAAAGGGGAACAGAGAAAGCAGGGTTTGGTCCTAGGCTGCCTGTATAAAATGTCGCAGAGAAAACAGAATGACAAAAAGGAAATAAATAAAAGATAAATGCCAAGAGGCAAAGGCAGCCATGTCCTACACATAGCAGCACAATATAATGAAAACACCCCCCCGCTTTCTTCAGCAAGCCTCATAGTTGGGCACGAGAGCTGAAAAATATCCACATCTGTATACTCAATTCTGACTAAACTCAGCCTCCTAGAGCAAAATATAAACCAGGAGGCTGAGTTTGGTCAGAATCAAGTATATACTTCCAGGGTTAACACTAAATACATTCCTTCTGGTAAACGAGCCACCATAGCTGCTAGAGGGCTGTGAAAACTGGTGTCCTGGGCTTTTGGCTTACCTACCCATGTATTCTCTGAAACCAAGAGAGCACATTGTTTGCTGGATGTGAAAGATATTGGCATTTGTTCCAGCTCTCCTACCCCGCTATCATGTTCTTCATCCACAGATGTTCGAACAATCTGGTATTTTTGTATGCTTGACCCAACCTTTGTTCTGATGTCAATGTTTCATTTTGTGGGGATCGTGAACAGCCAAATTGACCGTATCTCCTGCCAAGCCCCTTCACATGTAAAAATGGTACTTAAGGGGGCCTTATCTGGAGGTGAGATACCTGACCAAAAAGAGCCTTTTAAAAGCTAATCTGCTTTTGCAGCCTTGTCCCCTTCACAACATCAGGATCTTCTATGAAGTGGACCAGTCATGCTGATTCTTTGTGAGTAAATCTTAAGTGTAGTGAATAGGGTTTGATTAGATCATAAGGTCAGTGGTTCGAATCCCCAGGACAGGGTGAACTCCTGTTGCTCGGTCCCAGCTCCTGCCAACCTAGCAGTTTGAAAGCATGCCAAAAAGGGCAAGTAGATACCACTTGTACCACTCTGGTGGGAAGGTAAATGGCGTTTTCGGTGTTCTGTTGTGCCAGAAGTGGCTTAGTCATGCTGGCCACATGACCTGGAAAATCTGTCTGCGGATGAATGCCAGCTCCCTCAGCCTGTAAAACAAGATGAGCGCCGCAATCCCAGAGTCATTGTCAGAGGTCCTTTACTTCAGTCTGAGCCACAGTACTCTATTTTTTTGGTATTCTGTTTTAACCTACCTGCTTTCCCCTCTCTTTATTCCTAATAGTTTCTTAATTTGGCTGCTTAAACATCATTTGCCAGTCTCAGGGTTTTATAATCTCCATGCGCGTAGACCCTTGGTATTTAGTCTACTGGGAGTTTAGGACTGAAGTTGTAAGTGCCCAGTGCACTCTTCTCTGGTGTGTATGTTTGAGAGAGAATGGGCTGATGCTACATTCTGAGTAAATCACAAAGCTGTGGGTTGAACAGAGTACAGTGGTGCCCCGCAAGACGAATGCCTCGCAAGACGAAAAACTCGCTAGACGAAAGAGTTTTCCGTTTTTTGAGTCGTTCCGCAAGACAAATTTCCCTATGGGCTTGCTTCGCAAGACGAAACGTCTTGCGAGTTTGTTTCCTTTTTCTTAAAGCCGCTAAGAGCCGCTAAGAAGCTAATAGCTGTGCTTCGCAAGACGAAAAAACCGCAAGACGAAGAGACTCGCGGAACGGATTAATTTCGTCTTGCGAGGCACCACTGTAGTGCTGGGGCACTGGCTCAGAACTCTTTTAAAAGCAGTTGTTTTTGTGTACCCTAGGTTCCCTCCCATCAGGGACTGGAATGGTGGTGACAGCAAATACTGAAGAGTAAGATCCACTGGTAAACTTGCAGGGTTAGTGTGTTGCAGCTGGGCAACCAAGGGGGTCAAGGAAAGCTATCTTGGGCCACAGACCCGCTTTGTCACAGGGATAAAATGAGATAAGTTCACACTAGTAAACAAAAATGGCTATGACACATATTAGGGTGATCCAATAGGACTTTTATTACATTTCATACACCAACCAACAATGGGTTCCACAGCAGCCTAGAACTGGATAACCTGGCCCTGTAAGGGGAAATAAAAAAACCAGACTGAGTATACAGCCAACAGCACCCAAAAGCATTTTTAATTTTGTAGATTCCCCACCACCCCCCATTTGCAAAAGACGCTTATCACTTGCTATCAGCTGACCAGGACCACTCCCAAAGACGAAAGATAAACCTAGAAAATGATTTTAAACGTGCATGATTGTGGGTCCCATATAAGGCACCCTGAAAAGTATAGTTTTTCATACTATTTGAATCCACTGCACTCCTACAAAAAGCCCTAAAACAAGATAGGTGCATGAGAAAGGTGTACATATCCTGATTTGTTTTCACTTATTTATTCCTCCAACTCTTTTCTGTCATCACACTATATCAAACCCACTTTTACAATCAATCTAATGGTCCAAAGGACAGCTATTATCTCTCACTGTCACAACAAACACCCACAATTAGCAAGACAGGCAGCATCACTTTGGACACTAAAGGATGGGGCCAGCATTGCACAGAACATGACTTAGCAAAGGATTGTACCTTTCTCTTCTTGTCTCCTCCCAACTCGAAGTGCTTGCACCTCTTAATGGCCAGCATTCTCTTTGACCTGCAATTGGGCTCCACACATTCCAGTCTCAGCACAATCTTCTTTGTGGTCTTTGCCTGAAACAGAAAAGAAAGTCTATTCAGGCCCTGACAAAGGCCTATCTCAACATTTGTCCCCTACCTTCCCTACACCTACTTACAAGGCAAGGCAGAAAGGGAAGCAGAAAAGTGAAAAGGTGAGGTAATCAGTCAGATTAGTATTCCGTGAAAATGAAAAGTGACCAAAATTAAGCTGAGATCCTAAAAAGGAAGATCCAGTCCCAGAAGTCCTGATTTTTCATTCATTCATTCATTCATTCATTCATTCATTCATTCATATTAATTCCTGAAATAAACCCGCAACAGGAATTCTCCAGTTCCACACCAGCATACTCAGCTTCAAGTTGCACCATACAAGTTCCCATAGCCTTCCAGTTAGGCTCACCTTTTTGCGGAAGATGGGCTTTGTTTGGCCACCATAGCCACTCTGCTTGCGATCATATCGCCGCTTTCCTAATGGGAAGAAATTAAATCCTTCAGATAACAGTGAAGTCTACTTGAAACTCAACCCCCCTAAACACTACAAGACACAGGAAAAACCAACTTCACCATGAGGTAGGTTGGCTATCTGTATTCCTACAACATGCAACTGTTTCCTCCTGCCACACATTCTCGGAACAGCTTACCTTGCCTATTTTTCTCCCCTATGGTTCTGAGGTTTCACAAGCCAGGTGTTGTTTATCTATTTTACTGTCACAGTGTTGTGTGATGAGGTATATGCAGGGAGAATCTTTATTTTTAAATGTTAAGGGAACCTCTGTATTTATTCCCTTATCCCCCCCCCCCCCGCCTCCACATTTTGTACGGGTTGTGCACACAAAGGCCAACACTGCAAAGTAAAAGCAAAATCCACTTAATGAAGTAGAACGCTTCATGTATTCACGACATGAACTGATTCCGTATTTCCCACATGGCACAATGCTCTGTACTCCTCCTGCATTTTCTTAAATTAATGAAAGATATGCTCAAATAATGTTTTACAGATGGCAATCCCAAGTTTCAAAAAAATGTACAATTTCTACAATATTGCAGGCATGCTCTTTGTGATTCCAAGAAATTGGGAGTAAAATGTACACTTCTGCAACTTACCCTGAGCATACAAAGACTCCTTGCCCTTCTTGTACTGGGTTACTTTGTGGGGCTGGTGCTTCCCACACTTTTTGCAGTAAGTCCTGCGGGTTTTGGGGACGTTCACCTGGCAAAGAAGAGCAAGTTAAGTTTTACAGCAGTAAGTGTGTCTCCTTAGCTTTGCATGCAACCATGTGATTATATCCTGCTAACTAGATAATTAGCATACCATGTGGTCAGGCAGAGTAAGATGCCCCTTAATAGGAAAACCCACCTAGCGAAAATGCATACAAGGGGCCAATGGAACATAGCTCACAGCAGTGTTCTTTTCAAGTGTAAATTGTGAAATAAAATAAAAACAGGACTTGAGCACAACAGCATTCTCACATCCCACAGCAACTGGTCTTCTGAGGTACACATGGCAATCGACAGGTTTACACGACGGAATTACAAATAATCAAATCCCCGCCAGCAGAAAATCAGCACGAGAAGGCTGGGTTGGAAACCTTTCCACAGACAAGCTAGTTTTCTATACGCAGAAATGTAAATGCCATTATATGCACCGTGCCCTCCGCCAACACCCCCGCGACCTGAACCACAGCGCAGCCTACAATAGCCTAAGAGCGACCTGCACTACCATCAGGACCTCGCTCCCTGGACAGGCACAATCAGGGTCTACCCTTCCCCTCCATGCCCATTCTGGCCTTGCCAACCTCGGGCCTTTTCCACCTCCCTTCTCTCCACAACCCAGCGATTCCCCAACCAAATCCCCCCAGCCCTGTCGGCCGTCTGTCGCCGCTTCTCTGAGACCCACGCCCGAACCGCTGCCCTTAGCCCCCGAAGCGGATGGCTTTGGATCCAAACATCTCACCATCTTGCCACCGTCAACGTCGCCTCCACAGAGAAAGAAAGAACTTCTTCCCGGAAGCGGAAGTCAAAGATACGCGAGAGCAGAAAAAGAAAGGGAAGCCGGAAGGCTAGAGCGCCACTCGCAGGCTCATCATCGAGGAGGAAGAACGAGCGAGCCGTGTCCGCCACCTTCAGGAAAGGAGAGGAAATTGCGGGCACATGTGCTTGCATGGCTTGTTCGCGTTGCACACTTACCTGAGAGTAACGAAGCCCCATTGCACTCGGCGGGACTTACCTTAACATGGGTTAAGGTCGGGATGCTTGAGTTGGTATAAGAAGGAGATTTTTTCCAAGTGCAGCTTTTCCCAATTGGGACGTTGCGGCGACTGCGACGGATAAGGAGAAGCTGGCATAACATTTCCTTTTTACGCAGCTCATAGAAAGGTACAGACGTCTGGCAATAATACTGAAATCATAGCCATCGTAGCCATCTTCATAAAATAGTAATAATAATAGTAAATGTTACAAGTAGACAAAGTCACAAAAACGGTTGTGTGGTGTGTTTTATTTAACCATTTTATCAGGAAGAGAGTTGCTCACATAGTGGATTACGTGGAAAGAGGAAGCTTTTGTGGCTGTGCAAACTCCGGAGATTCTCCCTATGTTCAACGGGCCTCACACTGGCGAGGGCTGCCTCTGGCCCTGACCTTCCCTATACACACGCACCCAGTACTTTATTTAGCTTTCCACTGACAAACACACTCCTCTCCGACTTGGCCAAATGGCAGTTTTTGCAAATACTGTGGGGGAGAAGTTTCCTGACCTGGAGTTAACCTCAGCTCTGAGTTGCAGGCTGGGGTTAAAAGAGAGGCCTTGGTGCACATTAGGGTAACCCAAATGTTATGAAAGGCAGCGGTGATGTTCAGGCTTTTGAGTTGCCAAAACTCTTAGGCAGACAAATTGGTAAGCAAAACAGAAAGGGAGGTGGAAGAGGGAAATGGTTAATGTGGGCCATGGACAAAGAATGGACATTGCTGTACATGTCACATCACCACCATAGATTTAAAACAATGTTACACTCAGTGCTTTTTTCCTGGGGGTACGCAGGGGTACACATACCCCTAAACATTTTTTGAATCTAAGTTTGGCCTCATTGAGGGGCTGTATTTCAATGTGAATAGGAAAATGAGAGTACCCCTAAACATTTTTTTAGGAAAAAAGCACTGGTTATACTACTTTACCAGCTGCCACTTCTACCAAATAATCCTGGGACTTGTAGTTTACCTCCACAGAGAGCTACAGTTCCCAGCATTCATGGCAAGCTACAGTTCCCAGGATTCTTTGGGGGAAGCCATGACTGTGAACGAGATGTAAGTGTGCTCTAAGTGCACAGCATGGTGTCATTGTGACCACAGTCTTCCTGTGCCTGGCATCACTCTTCCTATTTTATGAAGCTCTCAAAACCAGCTCTAAAGTTAAGCCCCAGTTCAAATTGCACCCTGCTCAAGCCTTATTTGCTTGTAATGGCTGGATCCATCTTGGATATGACCCCTCTTCAGCTTGTTCTTTCTTATACAGTACAGGCAACATCTTCCTTTGCCTCTTTTGCAGTTTGCTGTGCAATAATTACGTATTCCAACCCCCTCCCCCACGCTCCAGAATTGGGCCAACTGGATTGGCGTGAAAGCTTTTGAGTTTCGCAGGATGTTTCCACAGGCTGACCCTACTTGATGAAGAATTCTGGAAAACAGAAAAAAAAAATCTGAAATTAGCCCAATAAAAGATAGTTAACCGATTCTGTATCTTCCTTTCATTGTCTTCCCCTCTGCTTCTATGGCTGTGTACCCACTATAATTTTATAGCACATTCGCAGCACATTCCTTCCCTCAAATAATTCTGAGCATAGTAGTTTACCCCTCACTGAGTTATAATTCCCATCAACCTAGTTAACAAACTAGTGTCCAGAATTCTTTGAAAAAAATACAGTGCTACCTCTGGTTAAGAACTTAATTCATTCTGCAGGACCGTTCTTAACCTGAAACTGTTCTTAATCTGAAGCACCACTTTAGCTAATGGGGCCTCCCGCTGCTGCCGCCCCGCCGTAGCACGATTTCTGTTCTCATCCTGAAGCAAAGTTCTTAACCCGAGGTAATATTTCTGGGTTAGTAACCCGAGGTACCACTGTAATGTACTTCAAATGTACTTCAAGGTCCGGTATGCATGGAACCATCTGCTTGCAGTTAGTCCTGGAGCCAATTCTGTTTCTCCTTCCCTCTCCTTGCCTCTCTGCAGACAGACCTATTGCCTCTTACCAGGCAAGGCCTGGCCCCCCTACTGAGCTAGGACTTCCTTTTCTTGCAGCAAGACTGAAAGCTCCTCCAGGGGTTTATTGAGCTCATTTGCTTGCACAGAGCTTTCACGGTGGTTAGACTATGTCTGTTGCTTATTGAGCACTTGTTCTTATTTGTTTATGGGGTAGCTATACAACAACAAGCATTCACCCACGTTTTCCTGCAGGGTGTTTACACATCTCCCCATTAACAATTCGTTCATCTCACACTTTTCAATACATTTCCCAGTCACTTTCCTAGCAGCAAAAAAACCAAACACTTCTGGCATTGTTTTTCTCAAAAAGCAGATTTGTTGCGCTAGGGTGACAGAGCGATTTAATCCATTTTCATTGTGCAAGCGTAAACCTATGGTGTGTGCTTGAAACCCACCCACAAATTAGTGACAGCCTGGGCTGGAGGCCCCAGATGGGCATTTATTGTGGGATCAGTATTCCCCATATAAACAAGTCATTTGCAGCAGCCACACAACATAGTTCACATCAAAATGCCAGCCCATTTTAACCCCCCCCCCTTTAATCAAGATTAACTCTTTTCAGGGGAAAGAGGATAACAGGAAGGGGGGGGCACCTGTTGCCAATGACCTGTTCGCGAATTAACCCCCTTATGTCTGGAGACACCCTGAGGGTGGCATCATGGTTGAAAGGAAATAAAGACAGTTTGGTCAGAAACTAAGAAAAGGGGAACTGAAAGGGTGGGGTTAGCTCCAGATGACAGTCTTCCCTGCAGTGCAACACAGCTCTTTGACTGAGTCTCCTGCTGCTGCCATTCCTTTCACCAGCCGTTCAAAGATTTAAAAACCATCCACCTATGTGCCGGCTGTTCCAGAGTCCAGAGGCGTCTCAAGGAACCTGCTGCTTTTGAGAGGAGCCCATTGCAGCACCCTGTGTGGAACAGCAAGGACAAGAGTCAACCAGTGAGTCTTTAATCCTTTGCGCTAGCTCAGAATCAACAGTGCTTTTGAAAAAGAGAGAGGGAGAGAGAGAGGAGAGCAAACTAAGAAGTGGGGAGGGGAAAATGAAAGCAATGAAGGCAGGTCAATTTGTAGCCTCATTCAGGAATCAAGTGGAAAATTTCAGTGTGATGATCTTGGGCCTGAGAACACCAATAGGAATCAGAGCAACAGCAGATTTGATGAGTGTTGTGCAACTAAATTGTGGGCCACGCAGACACTCTAGTTTTCTGTTCTCAGGTGTATTTCCCAGCCCACGCACCTCTGGCTGCTGGTATTCAAATCCTGGACGCCATGTCTTCTTAATTCTGTACCTTGCAGATATACATGTGAGTACGCAGAAATGTAGGAAGCTGCCTTACACTGTCAGACTAATGGTCCATTTAACTCAGTATTATCCACACTGAGGTGCCAGAGATCAAATCTAGGACCTTCATGTGGAGCATGTGCACTACTGCTGAAGTGCAGCTCCTGATTACGCTGCATTTGCACTCTTCCAAGGAACACGGCATCTGTGGCCATCACAAGTCATCTGTGTGCAGAGACCAGACAGTGATGTACTTGCTTTTTGAATCCATTCACATAGGGAATTAAAAGTATTGGGATGGCTTCTTTTCTTACATGCTATGTTTTCTCTTACTTTTTGTATAAAGGAAGAGTAAGTAAATAAATATGGAACATTTGTGATTATGGACAAAATTAGAGCCATGGTAGATAGCAGAGCAGGGGACGCGGGTGGCGCTGTGGGTTACACCACAGAGCCTAGGGCTTGCCGATCAGAAGGTCGGTGGTTCGAATCCCCGTGATGGGGTGAGCTCCCATTGCTCGGTCCCAGCTCCTGCCCACCTAGCAGTTCGGAAGTACGCAAGTAGATAAATAGGTACTGCTCCGGTGGGAAGGTAAACAGTGTTTCCGTGCGCTGCTCTGGTTCGCCAGAAGCAGCTTAGTCATGCTGGCCACATGACCCGGAAGCTGTACGCCGGCTCCCTTGGCCTATAGAGCGAGATGAGCGCCGCAACCCCAGAGTCGTCTGCGACTGGAACTAATGGTCAGGGGTCCCCTAACCTTTAGATAGCAGAGCCAGGAATTTATAGACAATTAATAAATTAATTGGCAACTGGTTCCCCCCTCCTTCTGTATTGGAACTGTTTGTTAGGCTTATGTATCACCCTTCATCATAAGATCTCAGGGCGATTCACAAGATAAAAATACAAGGTTAATACACAAATAAATAGTTAAAACAAAAGCAGCAAAACTATAACCTCCCCACAGAAATATATAAAACATTATAATAGCATTCAACCAGTGCTTTCCAGTGTTCAAAGTAGTACAGATGCATTATCTAATTGTAATCCCATATGGATTGCAATTGCAGATGAGAGTGGCAGGAGGTGTAGCTCAAAAGTCTGTGTTAGCTTTTTTGAACATTGCTTGGCTCTATCTAATTAATGCCTTCTTTTTCTGACGCTGTGGAAGTTGTGCTAGGGAGCAACCTACTTCTAATACAAAAAGCAAAGGTTGGCCCAGAAGAGAAAAAAATCCAAAAAGTGATTTTATTAGGTCGAACAAAATGCTACAAAATAGTGTGCAAGTTTTTGAGCCCTCCATAACTCATTATCAGGCTTTGTGGTAAACAAAACAAGATTGGGGGAAGAGGAAGGGGAAAAATTGGCTGATGTTGGACGAAATCTGAATTTAGTCACAGTCTTAATATGGGAGGAGAAGGTACTACTCATTCCAACGAGGACCTATTTCAAATGTGGAAAACTTTTGGCACTTCCAATGTTAATGAACTACAACTCCCATCAATCTCTGCAAGCATGGGTAATGACCAGGCATGATGGGATTTGTAGTTTAGCAACATCCAGAGCGCCAAATTTTCCCTACACTTGGTATATTTTGCTATTTTGTAGGTTTCAGTGGGACTGTTTCCCAAGACAGACATACAATGGTTCATCATCCTTGTGAAAATATAAAATCAAGCTGTTACACCCAGATCTCCATGCTTAGGTGAAACACAAAGGTTCCTTCAATGGGGAAAACAAACAGGAATACAGAGCAGCTATGCTGTTTTTAGATTAGCAAAGTTGGGATACTGAAACATATTTAAACTGTGCAGTTCTTTTTTCTGATGGGGCCTCATCGTATCTGAAAGCCCCACAATCTGTGCAGATGAGAAGGCTTATCAAGACGTTAGATGCATAAGATAGATACTGCTTCTACTTCCAAGCAGCTGGTGTCCTCTGTTGCATGGAATTGGATCCATCTCCAACTGCACATGGGAGTAACTCCCATGGCAACTTTGGCCAGGCATGTTTTTAGGAGCACCAGAACATGACGGAACTTTTCATAATCTTACAGAGAACGTCAGAACCCAAAGTCAGTTCTCAGCATCGATTGCACACATGGCAAAAGAGATCATGGAAGTCATTAACACCTATTATTTTGAGTATCAAAATTCTGCATCATGGAAAAATTGAACCCTGTGGGATATATTGGGGGAGAGGATCCGTTTTGGATGCAAAAAACACCCCTGTTCAGCCCTTGGCATCTTCCGTTAAAAGAGACCCTGTCAAGCTTGCTGCCCATCAAAGGAATGACTGTAGCTTAATAGCAGAACATCTGTCTTGCTGGCAGACTGTCTCATGTTCATGACATCTTCATTTAGGGCTGTGAGAGAACCATGTCTGAAATCCTGGAGAGCTGCTGACAGTCAGTATAGACTATGGTTACCAGATTTTTTTCAATGAATCCAGGGACCCTTTTTTTAATTTTTTAAAGCTGAGTAGCAACAGGGAGTCAGTAGTGGGCATGGTGAGGCAAAAGACCCTGGGCCCAAGCACACATGCATATTGTATAAAGGTGCAAAGCCCTTCTTTCTCACCTTGTGAAACATAAATGCACAGAGTTTTTAAAAAACTGGGCAATGGCTGCCCGCCCGTGGCTCCTGAGCCTCCCCCAATCTGTCAGAACAAAGGGGGAAGGGGGCAGGAGATCAGGGGAGTCTTGGGAATCATGAAGGCAGCCGGCCCTTGCCCAGTTTAAAAAAAACACACCTGCATTTATGTTTCACAGGGTGAGAAAGAAGGGCTTTGCACCTTGCCCAGCAGAGAAACCGTGCGCCTTGCACCCCTCCTGGGCAACGCCCCACCCGCAAGTCCCGAGCCTCCCCCATTAGTCAAAACAAAGGGGGAAGGGAGCAGGAGATTTGTACTGCCGGGCGTCCCTGGTTCCCTTTTGGCAGTGGCGGCAGCAGCGGCAATCAGCAGCCCACAGCCAGCCAGAGCCAACTGCGCTACCAGGCTGGCTCCGGGCTGCTGAGGCTGCCACTGCCACATTTCCCGGGGACAGATTTGCAAACCTGGGGACATTCCGGGGACAGATTTGCAAATCCAGAGACTGTCCCCAGGAACCGGGGACGTCTGGTAACCCTAGTATAGACAATACTGAGCTAGGTGGACCAATGACTGTCTTGGTATAAGGCCACTTCCTAAGTTCCTAAGTTCCTTTGTTTACATGGCACTGAAATGATCCCAAAAAGGAACCCAGCAACCTGTAGGGAGAATATTCCGCAGTCAGGGGGCCACCACTGAAAAAGCCCTTTCCCTAGTATCTCACTTGGCTGGGGCAACCAAAGAAGGACTTCTGAAGATGGTCTGGGTTTGTGCATCTTGAATATTTATCACCCTGAATGAATTTTGATTTAATAAGAAAGAGAATTAGCTAGCTTTGGGTCATTAACAGTGCAATATAAGCATGTTTACACAGAAGTCTGTTAATCAGGGCTTCCTTCCTAGTCTATATTATGATGATGATTGCAGCTGTCCCTTTTTGTTGATTAGCGGAAGTCCAGCGAATCCACCGTGGAAGGGGAGGAGGAGGAGAAGGCGACGTGAGCCATGTCGAATGTTATCCTGGAGGGCATCTTTCTAAAACGCTCTCAGCAAAAGAAGAAGACATCCCCTCTCAACTTCAAGAAACGGCTCTTCCTGCTGACTGAGAGCAAGCTCTCCTACTATGAGTACGACTTTGAGCGTGGGGTGAGTCACAGAAAAGAGACAGCTGGCTGTGATAGAAGTGAGGTAAAGGTAAAGGGACCCCTGACCGTTAGGTCCAGTCGTGACGGACTCTGGCGTTGCGGCGCTCATCTCGCTTTATTGGCTGAGGGAGGCAGCGTACAGCTTCTGGGTGCATGTGGCCAGCATGACTAAGCCACTTCTGGAGAACCAGAGCAGCGCACAGAAATGCCGTTCCTTTCCGCCAGAACGGTACCTATTTATCTACTTGCACTTTGACGTGCTTTTGCACTGCTAGGTTGGCAGGAGCAGGGACTGAGCAACGGGAGCTCACCCCGTCGCGGGGATTTGAACCACTGACCTTCTGATCGGCAAGTCCTAGGCTCTGTGGTTTAACCTACAGCGCCACCCGCATCCCTAGAAGTGAGGTAGCTAGGTGCAAATGAGTATATGGCTTTTGCGCCTTTAATAGTTGCATTAAAGAGGGACTTCCAGCAGGTAGTTGTCACTAAAGATGCAGCAACGCTGTCCTCTTTTGAACCTAGCCACCCTAAAGCTGCTGATTGTAGATGCCATGAAAGGGCAGCAAGTGTTTAGTTATTGTATTTTTACTGACAGGGACAGGGAAATGTATGTGTAGGATTTTCTGTCTCAGGTGCCCAAGGGACCAGCCTTGGGTAATGTGCATCGGTTAGGCTGAGGGATGGTGAATGGCCCATGATCACCTAGTGAACTTTGTGGCTGAGTGGGGATTTGAAGCTGGATTTCTACTGTCCCAGTCTGACATGCTCAACTAGGTATGGGGAGCCTGTTGTTGGACTCTGATTTCTCTCAGTCCCAGATAACGGCGTAGCGTGGGTTGTCAGCACCCGGGGCAAGGCAAGTAATTTGCGCCCCCTAACCCCTAACCTGCCGCCGCTGCCAGCTTCTTCTTGCTGCTGCCTGGTCTGGTCTGGTGTGGTTCTCTCCCGCGCTCAGCGCTGCGCTGGGCGGCCGCTGCACTGTCCCTCCCCCAGATAGTCGACGCTCTCTCTCCGCACCGAACGCCTGGCACCCACCCCTCCACAGTGGGCGGCGACCCAGCGGCTCGGATCGGATTCGCACAGCCAGCACTGCAGTGAGAGAGAGTGAGTGAGCCAGGTAGGGGCAGAGAGCTGCGAGTGCGAGTGCGCCCCCCCAGATGTTGCGCCCGGTGCGGCCGGCCCCCCCTGCACCCCCCACGCTACGCCACTGCTCTGAAGGCACACGAAACACCTTGATCTTGTAAAGGAGATCTACATGAGGAAGGCGGTTTTTGTCTGTGCAGCAAACACAGCTGCGGGTTTACATTGCGATCTAAGGCCCATTGAACTAGCTGAGTGCTGTCACATCTGCACGGTTACATGCAAAGTGCTCTTAAACCATTTTGACAGCCTGGGAACCTTAGCTTGTTAAGGATGCCCAGGATTGTAGCTTGATTGGGGGGGGGGGTAAGGTCTCTTAACAACCCTCAGTGTCTTTAACAGACTACAGTCCCCGGGATCCTTTGGGGAAAGCCATGTCTTGTTAAAGTGGCATAATAGTGCTTTAATGTATGGTACGTGGGTGTGATTGTTTTGATGCATACAGAAGGACTCATGTTTTGATCCTAGGGACTCAGCTACATTAGTAAAAAAAAAAAAGGCATTTTAAATGTGTTACAACACTGTGACACCACATGGTGCTGTGGAGTTCAATCCTCGGTAATGTGATTTCTCATTGTTATTATTTTTTTTAAATGTATTTTTATTAAATATTTTCTTGATTTACAGAAGTATGTGTAATGTGTCTCTCTCGTATTTTTTCCACGTAACATTTTTACAAATCAGTTTCATTTGTTGAGACATTAGGAAGAAAAGGGGGAGAGGGGGGAGGGGGGAAGATGGGTGGGGTCGGGTGGCAATGTTTCTATTATACTTAATGTATGTAGGGTTTGGTGTCATCGTTGCTTGTGCAGGTTCTCTGCTGTTCGCTTGTGTTGCTTTGGTGGTGGGAGAGGTTGGGGTTGGCCTAGGGTGTGGTTATTCATTTGTGGTTGGCTGTGGTGGTCTTTGTTTTCATGTGTGAGTGGGGTGGATGGGTGTTTTGGATCAGGTTAGCCATATTGATTTGTATGCTGTTGGTGGATTTTTGTCGTTGTCTTGTTGGGCTGTGTATGTGATAAAGGGGAGCCATACCGGGATGAAGGTGTCTTCTTCTATTTGTCCCTGTGTCAGTTTCAGTTTATTGGTTAATTTTTCTAGTAAGGCTGTTTCCCATACTATTTGGTACCATTGGTCCATGCTTACTCCTGACAGGTCTCTCCAGTGTCTGGTTATGGTGTTTATGGCTGCTGAAAGTAGGTGGGTTATGAGTTCTTTGTGGTGTAAATGGGCATTATTGTCTTGGAAGATGTTTAGTAGGGCCAATTCTGGGGTGATTTCTAATACTTGCTTAGTTATTTTACATATTTCTCGTATGGCTGTTGTCCAGAATAGTTGGATTTTGAGGCACTCCCACCACATGTGGAGGTATGTGCCTGTGGAGGTGCACCCTCTCCAGTATTTTGGTGAGGTTCCTGGGCATATTAGTGCTAGTTTTCTTGGTGTTAGGTACCACCTGTAGGTGATTTCTCATTATGAGCTTTACAATGCATTTTCCTGAAACTTTTTTTGTGTGTGTCTAGACCCAGCCTAAGCCACTAGCTGTGCAAGTAGTGCTGGCTCAAAGCTGGACTGTCTTAAAGCATTCCTGTTTTCTCCTTTGCAGCGCCGAGGAAGTAAGAAAGGCTCTGTGGAAATTGAGAAGATCACCTGTGTGGAGACTGTGGCTCCAGAGAACAATCCTCCACCAGAACGGCGAATCCCGGTAATGAAGCACTAATGTGCCTTCATTTCAGACAGGATGTTCCTGCTCTCAGCAGCCACAAGATTCTCCTGCTAAACATATACATGCATTCTCTTTGGGGGGGAATGCCACACTGCTTTTCAGTGCTGCACAGTTACATCAAATTGCCATCCAGGGACAGTGCCCTAAACCAACTGTGACATGTCTCCTTGTGGTCAGTGGAGGGTCCAGATCCATACCCACGAGGGAAGCCACAGAATAATGGACCAACACAGATACCTGCATTTTGGGATTCCCCCTTGAAGGAGTCTTTCATGGGTCTGGGGGCTGTCAGGGCGAAGTCCTAGACTTCCAAATGTATCACTGGTACTAGCTGCTTGTGAGGGTCAATGTAGGAGCATAGCTGAGTGAGCAGAGCATCTGCTTTGCATGCAGAAGGTCGCAGGTTTGATCCCTGGAGTCTCCAGGTAGGACTGGGAAAGATGCTTCTCATGGCCCTTCAGTGCTAGACCTGCATGGGGAACCTCAGGTATAGGGGCCAACTGGAACTCTCCCATCTCCCCTGCTTCCCTCCCTGGCCCTGGACGGAATGCATCCTTTGACTTTGACAATTCCTCTTGATTGTGTGAATGGAGGGCAGAGAATGGAAGGTGTGTGGAGAAGCTAGCTTACTTTACAAAGGTAAAATATATATTTGTTGCTTTGCCCCCTGTTATAAGAAAAAAATACCTGCTCCTTTTCCTTTATGGGGTATTCCAGAGCCCATATAGAGTCCTTAAGTGGGTTCTCTATCGGTAGGAAAAATAACAGAGGCCAACCAGAGTATATTGAGAAGCAAAGCAGCTAGTAAACCTGATCTTTATTCAAGGAACTGTTGCAACAGGGTCCCCACTCACCACATGCAGACCACCCCCATAAAACATCAGGCGTACATCACAGAAGGAGGTAGTCTACAGCAGCTGAGGCGGTCTACAGCAGAAATCCTGTTTGCTAGGATACCTGATAATGGTCACTGACTGCATTACCTGGGCAGCCTGGCCATTCTTTTGTGATGGTTGATACTTTAGTTCCTGAATCCAGGTCACAGGCTCACCCTATTCATACACAAATGTGCCCTTAAGACAGGATTTGCAAGCAAAAAGACAATGGGAAGGCTTTCCCCATTTGCCTCCCTTGCTGGAGAGGAGTATTTGAGGTCATTGGGAGAGTTAAAATGGCTTTAGGATTGTTCTCCTGTACTATTTAAGACACATGGTTCATATATTTAGATATGTGTGCTTTTATGAATATTTATTTTCTATATTTGAGACCTTAAAATTTAAGCAACACCCACTTCCACCTGCCCACAGTTTCCTGGACGTGAGTTTTGGTGTGTAGGGGAAACATTTCTAATGTACTAATCTCCCATCTATTTCACATGCACACAGAGAAAAGGAGAAGATCTAAGCGAGACAGACATCATAGAGAGGTTCCCCTATCCTTTCCAGGTGAGCTGTTTTTCCTGTTAGCCACCCCATCATAGACAGTTGGGTCACATGTTCCAGACTCAAGATAATGTGTCTGTACCTGTCTTGTCTCTTAGTTTATTGCCCTTAATGACTCCCAGAATCTGTTGCTTTAGTCCTCCACCATCCTGCCCCATGGTCAAGCCACAGGTACAGCTAAAACATTATCAGGTACATTTATACAAAAAAAAAAAGTGAAAGAATTTGTTGGCAGGATGGTTTCAGCTCAAAATGCCTTTAAACAGGGCTACTCTGGACTTAAGGGACGCGGGTGGCACTGTGGGTTAAACCACTGAGCTTAGGACTTGTCAATCAGAAGGTCGGCGGTTCGAATCCCCATGACGGGGTGAGCTCCCGTTGCTCGGTCCCTGCTCCTGCCAACCTAGTAGTTCAAAAGCACGTCAAAGTGCAAGTAGATAAATAGGTACCGCTCCGGCGGGAAGGTAAACAGCATTTCCGTGCGCTGCTCTGGTTCGCCAGAAGTGGCTTTGTCATGCTGGCCACATGACCCGGAAACTGTATGCCAGCTCCCTCGGCCAATAAAGCGAGATGAGCGCCGCAACCCCAGAGTCAGCCACGACTGGACCTAATGGTCAGGGGTCTCTTTACTTTTACCTTACTCTGGACTTAATAGTCTTACAGTGACGGACCTACATTTCTGGGGCCCTGAATGTTGAACTGTCGCAAGGCGCTCCTTCACAACCAGCAGCGAGGTCTGGATAACTGCTGTTATCTTCTTCAATGGGGTTGTTCCACGACAGATCACCACACCTGTACAACATCTGTGCTACTGATGGTCAAGCTTAGGAATGTTGAAATATATACAGTGGTACCTCTAGATGCGAACGGGATCCGTTCCGGAGCCCCGTTCGCATCTAGAGGTAAACGTAACTAGCGACGGCGTGTCTGCGCACGCATGTGTTGCTTTTTGCCACTTCTGCGCATGTGCGTGACATAATTTTGAGCGTCTGCGCATGCGCAGGTGGCGAAACCCGGAAGTAACGCGCTCCGTTATTTCTGGGTTGCCGAGGATCGCAACTCGAATGTGCTCAACTCGAAGCATATTTAACCCAAGGTATGACTGTACAACAAAAAATGAATAGGTTGAGTCGTGCCGCTCAAATTGGGTCTAGTGGACCAAAACATTTTAAGCCATGTGGACCAAAGTCACTTCTGGGGCCCGTCCAGGATTTGGGCCCTGAAGCTTAAGCGTCATAGTCTTATGCTCCTCTTCCCCTGGCTAAAACTGCACACACACCATATATTTAAAGAACACAGCCCAAGTGTCCTGGGAACTACTGTATAGTTTGCCAAGGGTTTGGGGAACTAGTTCTGTAAGGGGTAAACCACAATCCTTAGGATTTTTTTTTTTGTGGGGGGAGTCAAATGCTTTAAATGTGTGGTGTGTGCATGCAGACTTTCAGACCGTTGGTCTTTGTAGTCCAGTACTGTCAGTTTCGGTTTCTCTGTTTCTCATTTACCTGGTTTTAAATCCAATTCTCCATGTTGCCACAGCAATTTGCATTTTAAAAAATCCTTTCGAATATTTCCCATTTCAGTGAGAATTCCTCCTAAGATACATTTTTGACTGAAATTTTGATTAAAACATTTTTGTGTGTGCGTGCACAAAAATGCATTTTTGTATCTTATTTTCATGACAGTATGGATTTTGTTTGTATTTTCTCCTTATGAATTTTTTTTGGTATGCACTGTTTGGTTGGATAACTCCATCAAAAATTTCTGAAGAATGCAACTTTCAAAGGACAATTGCGTTTCAGTTATTCTATTGGTTTACCAAGCATGAATCACATCATTTCTCTTTACATTCAAATAAAATCCTATTTCTTTCTCCTATCCCTTCTTTCAATAAGTAGTAAACCAGCCATGGTACATTTAAGAATCCCCTGCAATTATTGGTCTCTTGGACATCTGCCGCAGACCCCCATCTTGATGTGACACTTATTGTCTGTGTACAATGTGTTTGTGGCTCTCATCTGTGCTGCTCTGACTCTGTCCCACTAGGTAGTGTATGATGAAGGGCCCCTCTACGTCTTCTCTCCAACAGAGGAGTTGAGGAGCCGCTGGATTCACCAGTTGAAAAATGGTAAGTCTCTCTCTCTAGTAGTTAAAATCTAGATATTTTAAATAGGAACAATATTTTGCAGGAAGGATTCAGGTGGAAAATTAGATTTGCACACTTGAATTAAAGCAATCCGTTGCCCTTTTGCAACAAAGCCACTTAAAAGCATACACACACAGCTGACTTTTTGCTCTTAGGAAAGTGATAGTGAAGCACCCTGAAAAACGTGAGAAGAATGAATATTAACAAGAAGGCATATAAATGCCCTGTAAGCAAATCAGGATGAATTCCAATGAATGCTCACTGTTGTATTACTTCCCTGCAGACAAATCAGAATGAATGGCCTGTAACAGGGTTTCCAGCTGTTTCTGGACTACAATTCCCATCATCCCTGACCACTGGTCCTGCTAGCTAGGGATGATGGAAGTTGTATTCCAAAAACAGCTGGAGACACAAGTTTAGGAAACCCCAGACATAGTCTAACCTCTGTGTACGCTATGTGGAAGCAAATATGGATGAATGTTTAATAAACAGGTCATCTAGAGGAGCAGTAGCCTGGGGAGAAATTGTTCGTTGCATGGATGACAACCTGATTACAAGTAAAGTCATTATTGCATGCTTCCTTCCAATAATCTTATTTAACTAAGGTTCACACAGGTTCCTCGTTCTGGGGTGCCTTTATAACGCAAAAAACAATAGATTCCTTTCTCCAACAACCCTGGCAGTCTTACCTTTTAAAAATTTGTCTCACCAGATATATATCAACATGTCAAGCTTTTTACACAGTAAGGCCACAACTAATAATAATAATAATAATAATAATAATAATATATTTATTTATTCCCTGCCCATCTGGCTGGGTTTCCCCAGCCACTCTGGGCGGCTTCCAGCAGAATATTAAAATATAATGATTCATCCAGTATTAAAAGCTTCCCTAAACAAGGCTGCCTTCGGATGTCTTCTAAAAGTCAGATAGTTGTTTATTTCCTTGACATCTGATGGGAGCCCGTTCCACAGGGCAGGCGCCACTACTGAGAAGGCCCTCTGCCTGGTTCCCTGTAACTTCACTTCTCGCAGTGAGGGAACCACCAGAAGGCCCTTGGCACTGGACCTCAATGTCTGGGCAGAACAATGGGGGTGGAGACGCTCCTTCAGGTATACTGGGCCGAGGCCGTTTAGGGCTTTAAAGAATAGCACCAACACTTTGAATTCTGCTCAGAAACATACTGAGGGCCAATGTAGGTCTTTCAGGACCGGTGTTATGTGGTTTTGGCAGCCACTCCCAGTCACCAGTCTAGCTGCCGCATTCTGGATTAGTTGTAGTTTCCGGGTCACCTTCAAAGGTAGCCCCATGTAGAGCGCATTGCAGTAGTCCAAGAGGGAGATAACCAGAGCATGCACCACCCTGGTGAGACAGCGTACCAGGTGGAGCTGGTAGACAGCCGCCCTGGACACAGAATTAACCTGTGCCTCCATGGACAGTTGTGAGTCCAAAATGACTCCCAGGCTGCGCACCTGGTCCTTCAGGGGCACAGTTACCCCATTCAGGACCAGGGAGTCCCCCCACCCGCCTCCTGTCCCCCAGAAACAGTACTTCTGTCTTGTCAGGATTCAACCTCAATCACATTTAACTTGTGCACGTTCCTCTTTACAATCTTGGCAAAAAGAAATTTAAAAGGAGGTGGAAAGTGGGCAGGCATCTGGGGGGGTGGGACACACACACACTTTCGCAATCCTACCTACCACTGCACCCAATGTGCTTTGACTATATGTGACTGGGCTTTAGGCATGATCCCCAGAACATAACCACTTTGTAAGTTGCAGACTTACTGTACTGGTTTCTATTTATTTTACATTGCTTTGAGTTTACATGGTTTCTCTCAGATAATCCTGAGAAAGGAGCTAGCTGTTCGTTGGACTAGGATCTGGGAGGCCAGGTTTCAGATCCCTACTTAGCCATGAAGCTCTCTGGTGTGCTTGGGCCAGTCACTGCCTCCCAACCTAACCTGCCTCACAGGGTTATTGTGATAATAAAATTGGGAGAGTGGATGCGTGTGTGTGTCATATATGCCACGTTGTCCTCCTTGGGTGAATGGTGGGTTTTTTAATGTAATACTTAGGAAAGTCCATTATCAAGATGTCTCCACCTTTATAGGTTAAAGGTAAAGGGTAAAGGGACCCCTGACCATTAGGTCTAGTCGTGACCGATTCTGGGGTTGCGGCGCTCACCTCGCTTTATTGGCCGAAGGAGCTGGCGTACAGCTTCCGGGTCATGTGCCCAGCATGACTAAGCCGCTTCTGGTGAACCAGAGCAGCACACGGAAATGCCGTTTACCTTCCCGCTTGAGCAGTACCTATTTATCTACTTGTACTTTGACGTGCTTTTGAACTGCTAGGTTGGCAGGAGCAGGGACCGAGCAACGGGAGCTCACCCCGTCACGGGGATTCTAACTGCCGACCTTCTGATTGGCAAGTCCTAGGCTCTGTGGTTTAACCCACAGCGCCACCCGAGTCCCCTTTATAGGTTAGGTAGGTGGTAAAGCCTTGACCAGGACTGGCAGAAAGATTGAGGGTGCCCTGACAAAAATTCCCTCTAGGACTCGCCCAGCACTATCCTGACGCCCCCCAAAATAAGCTTACAAAGGGGCAGAGAGGTGAGTGGTGGGGATTGGTGATGAGTGTCAGGCCATGCCAGGGATGGGTGCATGTTTTTAATGTGCCATAAGACTCTTCCTCTTCAGGCCAAGATTAAGCAAATGGACCATTTGAGGAGATTAACATTGCTTGCTTCTGTTTAACCTGATTGACCGCATTTGAATCATCATATATCGGTTTATTAAAGCGTGATGTGAATGTACCCTTTTTTTTTGCCCACGTATGCAATCCCTTCACTTCCTCCTTCACCTAAGCTGGCAAACAAGCCAGGAAGTTCTCGTTGACAGTTGTTTCCTGTTTCATCCGAATTGGGAAACTATGGCTAGCAGCTCTGGAGAAAGCTAAGATATTGAACCAACTTCAAACCGAGTTTCAATATCCTGGTTTTTTTATTTTGTTTTCTGAAACTGTTTACCATCACTCAAACAAGATCAGAAACTATAGTAACCCTTCCCTCCTGCTGCAGTGATCTGCTACAACGCCAACCTGGTGCAGAAATATCATCCCTGCTTCTGGACTGACGGACAATACCTCTGCTGCTCCCAGACAGCTAAACTGGCCATGGGCTGCCAGATTCTGGGAGGCAAGAGTAGAAGTAAGAATTTACTTTGGCTATTTTTTAAACTTATCTTTCCTTGTGGTTTGTATATGTTAGTACACTTCATCTTTGCTTAAAGCCAGGAGGAGGAACCTGTTGCACTCCAGATATTTGTACTACAACCCCCCTCATTCCTGACCACTAACCATTCTGGCTGGGGCTGATGGGAGCTGGAGTCCACAACCTTGTTTTTTGGGGGGGGGGGGCAGGCACAGGTTCTCCAGTCCTGATGGAAATAACAGAAACCTCCACCTCACCTCTGCTTTATTTGTGACCGGGACCGACACATATTTAAGATACCTATGCCTGCTTTGTCATGTCTAGTTCGGCATATTTGGCCTAGTTTCAGAGCATAGAACCAGAAAGCTGGCTTGAAATGCAGGTGCTCCTAATCATCTCGTGGGGGTCTAAAGCATTCCTGAAAACAGATAATCAGATGTAATAACAGAAGAGTTCTGGGTCATTTGACCAAAGATCCACCTAGCTTCCAACAGATACCAAGTGGAGTAGACGGTAGCATAGGAAGTTGCCTATTGCTCCATCTACCTCAGTGCAGTCCACACTGACTGGCAGCAGCTGACAGGGTTTTGGCAGTAGTCTTTCCCAGCCCTACTTGATGGGCTGCTGTGAGAGTGGAGTGCTGGACTAGGTGGACCTTTGGCCTGATTCACCAAGGCTCTCCTGAGGTCTAAATCTTAAAGCAGCCACCAGCCTGAGGGTTGAACCCAAGCTCTTCTGCAGGCAGAGCAGATGCTTCACTGCTGAGCTAGCAGGAAGTTGTTGCCGCCCATCATGCCTTGCTTGTGGCATGACGTTGACGACGACGGTGATGATGAACAACAATGATAGCAACAACATGGTCTCTAGTAATCAGAGGTGTGTTACCTCTGAATCACCTCTGGTATGTGAAAGGAGCATAGAAAGCTTCCTTCCTTGTCCACTTTGCCTGATTAGCCTCTAAACCTATTCCAGCCTTCTCCTTCCAGATGTTTTGTGCCACATAGGCCCCAGCTGGTTGATTCAGAATATTTGGAGACCGGGAAGGCGGTTCAGCTCAGGCTGGTGGCAACTTGTCAGTAGAGGATTTTTCTCGCTTGCTCTAAAGAGCAACCTCCCTAGCAAAGCAAGGCCTTGTAACCCTTTCAGCTGGAGTGCTCTCCCCTGCCCTGCTATAGTAGTTCACTACTTTCAAAGAGTGCCGTGTGCGAGTTTGAGGAAGGCACTCTTTACTTGTGAATAGGGATTTGCCAGAGGTTGAGGACTTCCAGCCTGCAGTTCAGTCCCAGCCCACCAGGGGGTGCAATTTAGCCTGCGAAGCCTTTTCTCCTAAACCACGCCACATGTCAATCAGGTGATTGGACTGCCCACCTACCAGTCTCCAAGCATCAGATGATTGAGTTGGTTCATGGGGTGGGGAAATAAATATATGGCCTGCCAGACTGAAAAGATTCCCCATATTTGGGACAGACAGAATATCCTCAGTCTGTCCTGTCTTATTTTCGCCGGCACTCTTTTATAGTTCCATTCCATCCTATTTCATGATGATTTTTGGAAATAGTGCATGAAAAATTATTATTTAAATTGTACTCTTTTTATAAGCATTATTGTCTGCATCCCCCCTCCCACAAATGCTATTTTTCAGGGCTTTTTCAGTGCACTTTCATCATCATCATCATCATCATCATCATCATCATCAATTTATAATTTATACTCTGCCCATCTGACTGGGTTTCCCTAGCCAGTCTGGGTGGCTCCCATCAGAATTAACAATTATAATAATAATAATAATAATAATAATAATAGCAATAAAACATCAGACATTAAAAACTTCCCTGAACTTCCCTTCAGATGTCTTCTAAAAGTCAGATAGTTGTTTATTTCCTTGACATCTGATGGGAGCACGTCCCACAGGGCGGGCGCCACTACTGAGAAGGCCCTCTGTCTGGTTCCCTGTAACTTGGCTTCTCGCAGTGAGGGAACCACCAGAAGGCCCTCGGCGCTGGACCTCAGTGTCTGGGCAGAATGATGGGGATGGAGATGCTCCTTCAGGTATACAGGACCACGGCCATTTAGGGCTTTAAAGGTCAGCACCAACACTTTGAATTGTGCTTGGAAACATACTGGGAGCCAATGTAGGTCTTTCAGGACCGGTGTTATGTGGTCTCGGCAGCCACTCCCAGTCTAGCTGCCAGAGATCATTGACCAGCGCAACCAAGGCAGTTTCACATAAAATACACATTTTATACGCATTTTAACTGTAAAAGATGTGGTTTTGGGTGCGTGATGAAGAATTTTTCTCTCTATTCCTACTGGAGATGCACTTAAAATGCCCTGCTTTCCTCTAATTGAAGGTTTCAGAAGTGGCCGTTGTCTTCTCAAGCCTGACAAGCCTCTACCACCAACTCCAGAGGAGAACAAGGTATGAGCAGCCAGGATTTGCAATTTTTGTGGTGGGTGGGTTGCACCTTGGGGCAGAGACAGGATTAGGGCAGGGGTGAGGAACCTTCAGCCCATGGACCAATCCTAGCCTTCCAACTGGCCTATTTTGGCCCATGAAGCCATTTCCCTCAAACCACACTAACTTTTTATCACTTGTGACATCATCTGATGGGCAGGAGGGTGGGATTCATTTCTGCCTTGGTTGCACATGCCTGTTCTTATACCCAAAGCAGCAGGATTTCGCTGTTCCTTCACCCACGCATCAGCTGACCAGTACGGCAAGGTGGGGGGAGTTAAATCCTACTGAGAACAGACATACCCAGCCAAAGCAAAGGACCAGGCAGCGGGGCCTTCTTGGTAGTGGCACCCACCCTGTGGAATGCCCTCCCATCTGATTTCAAGGAGATAAGTAACTATGCAACCTTTAGAAGACATCTGAAAGCACCCCAGGAATGGGAAGTTTCTAATGTTTAATGTTTTATTGTGTTTTTGTAGTGTTGGAAGTCACCCAGAGTGGCTGGGACAACCTAACCAGATGGGTGGGGTACTATTATTATTATAATAATTATTGTAATTATTATTATTAAAGCAAGCAGCTCTTTTTTTTGCAGGCAAGAGGGTCTCCTCCTGCTTGCAGCCATGCTTACACATTGCAGGCTTTTCTTCTTCCTCCCCACCACCTGATAGGGAGCGGAAAAACAAGGCTTTGCCAATCCTCTACTTGGTTGTTGTGCCCACCTGTCAGAGTTGGCCCGCCAGAAAGGTTCTCCACCACTGTATTAGGGGTAGGCAGCATAGTGCTGTTGAACTCCCAACTCCCATCAACCACAGGCAGAATGGCCATTAGCCAAGGGTGATGGGAGTTGTAGTCCAGCAACATCTCTCTGTGTGTGTTTCACAAGTTCCTTCCACCTGTTTTTTTTAAAAAGTTTATTTATTTTCATTTGTAACAATTAAACATTTCAACAAAGAAAATGAAACAATTCTTACATATCAATCTTCGACTTCCCAGACTTCCCTCCTCCTTTTCCTGCGGTTCCATGAATTTATTTTCTTTCTTTTCCCCTGCATATCCCAATTAACTCTATTCTTTTTTTCTCATCTAATTCATATATGTTTTAGAAACTGCATGTTTTTACAACAATCCTGCTAATGTCTTGTTTGCAACATATCTGTAAATATTCAATAAACCATTTCCATTCCTTACTAAAAAAAGTTTATTGTCTTGATTTCTTATTCTTCTGGTAAGTTTTGCCGTTTCTGCATAGTCCATTCGTTTCCATAACCATTCTTCTCTCGTTGGGACTTCTTTCCATCAAGTTCCCTCTACTTGTGATAGGTGCTGAAAGCGGTATCCTGAAAGTCTCATTCTTTTCTTATTTCCTCTCTGAACACTGGCAAAGATGATCAAGAAGCAGTTGCCCCCTGAACCGGTGCCTGGTGGCCAGTCTAGGACGAGGAAAGTTGTGGCTCTCTATGACTATCTCCCCATGACTGAACAGGACCTGGAGCTGCAAAAGGGCAAAGAGTACATTGTCCTGGAGGAGAGCAATGAGTCCTGGTGGAGAGCACAAGACCAGAACGGGTAAGAGACCCAAAACAGACAGTAGGGGGTAGAACAGTGCAAGGCCACTGCCAGGAGCCCACTCTCCGCTTGCACACCCCCTGTCCCACAGGTGGAGATGAGGGGAAAGTAGATTTAGTTATCATTTAAAGGTGAACCTCACTAATTCACATTTTCCGGGGTGGGGTGGGAACATATGAGAACGGAGTTGGCTGTCCTTCGAAATGTGCACTTCTCATAATTTTGCTGTGCAGATTTGCAGCCAAGTAATACGCGGTGGCGCTGTGGGTTAAACCACAGAGCCTAGGACTTGCCGATCAGAAGGTCGGCGGTTCGAATCCCTGCGACGGGGTGAGCTTCCATTGCTCGGTCCCTGCTCCTGCCAACCTAGCAGTTTGAAAGCACGTCAAGTGCAAGTAGATAAATAGGTACCGCTCCGGCGGGAAGGTAAACGGCGTTTCCGTGCACTGCTCTGGTTCGCCAGAAGCTGCTTAGTCATGCTGGCCACATGACCCGGAAGCTGTACGTCGGCTCCCTCGGCCAGTAAAGCGAGATGAGCGCCGCAACCCCAGAGTCAGCCACGACTGGACCTAATGGTCAGGGGTCCCTTTACTTTTACTTTAATACGTGCAAGAATGCACTTACTGGGATAAAGTGTGCATAAACATGTATTTATTAGTGAAGACAGCACACAAGGATGCATTATTCTGGGAGAAATTGCTTTGCAAAAAATGTACTCTTAGGGAAAATTCAATACAAAACATGTGTATGTTAGGAGAAAATGTATGGTGCTTGTCATGGACTGGTTGGGTGCAGAGGAAAGTCCTGGGAGGAAATAGCTGAGGAACCCCCAAGGGAAGAAGGCTCAGAGCCCGGAGAGTGGTGGTAGGACAACCATGAGTGGTCAGAGGGAGAAACCTGAGAGGAGGTGGTGTCGGAAGTTGGAGAGGTAACAAGCCTTATTGAGCAGGGAGAGTCTGTGGCAGAGAGAAGTCCAGAATCAGAAGCTGGAGCAGGAGGATGGGAAGAGGGAGATCAAGAAGCAGAGATTAGTCAGGCTGGTCACAGGTGTTTCTCTCTCCTGATGTGACAAGCTCCCCTCTCTCCTGGTCTCCCAGAACTAGGTGAGGCGTGAAGAGAGGAGAGGAGAGGTTGGCTGCCATAGGTGCAGTCTTTGGTTGTTTGGGGAAAGCCCTGGAGAGGAGGGGACAGGCGGCTGTGAGGAGTTGAGGACTTTCAGTCTTGGCAACTGATTTTCATGGAAGACCACCAGGAATGAGCTGCTCTTCTCATTAGGCCTGGCCCTCAACAACCAACAACAACAATTTATTATTTCTACCCCACCCATCTGGCTGGGTTTCCCCAGCCACTCTGGGTGGCTTTCAAAAGAACATTAAAAACAGAATAAAACTTGAAACGTTAAAAACCTCCCTAAACAGGGCTGCCTTTTAGATGCCATCTAGTCTTCTAAAAATCAGATAGTTGTTTATTTCCTTGACATCTGATGGGAGGGCGTCCCACAGGGCGGGCGCCACTACCGAGAAGGCCCTCTGCCTGTTCCCTGTAACCTCACTTCTTGCAGAGAGGGAACTGCCAGAAGGCCCTTGGAACTGGACCTCAGTGTCTGGGCTGAACGATGGGAGTGGAGACGCTCCTTCAGGTATACTGGGCCGAGTCTGTGGAGATCGTGTTTTTGCTAATAAAGAGCTGGACTTTCAGCCAAGCCAAAGCATTTGAGCCTGGGACCTTCTGCGTGCAAAGTCAGCGCCCTTCCATTGAGCTACAGCCCTTTCCTCTTGGGTTCCTGTCAGTTGCATAGGGAGTGGCTCATGGTGGTGTTGTTTTCTTTCACCCTACAGGAAAGAAGGCTACATTCCCAGCAACTATGTCACAGAAACAAAAGATTCTCTGGAGATGTATGAGTGAGTTTCCTTGTAACTGTGGGCCTGAGGGCAGAAGTTAAATGTTATGAGAAAAACATAAGAATATCTGTCCCTTTGTATTTGTAATAAGATACATTCTGGAGTGTGGAATGGGGGTAGTGATGAGGGGGGAAATGTGTTTGGCGAACCCACCAGATCTACAAATCGAGAACCAAGCAACAGCTCTCCTTCAAAATTCACACTTCTCCAAATTTTATTATGCCATTCTTCAACCAAAGAATGTGTACTAAAATTGTGTATAATCATGAAAAGCTCATGCAGACATAGTGGATAATACACAAAAATGCATTCAATTGGGGTGGGGGGAACAACTTGCAAAATATTTATCCTAGGCAGAATTGCATATAATAGGAGATAAGCACCCAAACATACACAGGAATTTTTTGCAGAGTTTTTTTTTTTTTTAAATCACAAATAAATGCAGAAATGGGGCAAACCAAATTTCTGATTAGAAAAAATAGAACAGGAGAAACCAGAATTGACAATGTTGTCTGTTCCTCTGTAGTGTTTCATAGTGCTTAGTAGAGAACCGGTGGCTGGGAAGGGGAGGGCCCTGTCATTTCTGCCTTCTGAGTCTTTTTTGCAAATGCCTCCCATGACAACCCATTTTTCATCACACCCCCCCACACCCCTGCTAACAGGCCAGGGAAAGCAGAAATATGGCAAAGGGGGAACTGGCGTCAAGGGAGAATTGATTTCATGGGGGAGAATCGATGGGTGCAAGAGTGGCTAAGCATCCGTCTCATTTTCCTGACAGCTCATCCCTTACAAAATACTTCCATTGCCCCCAGATTTGCAACCTTGGAGAACACACATTTGCCAAGGTACCTAGTAATCTGCCCTGATTGGGTGGGAAATGTTTGAGCTTTATGTTAACATTTCACCCCAAATGTAGAGGTTCACCACCTCCCACCTCCCAGCCCTCTTCTTTGCAGTTCCTCCCTGGCAAATATTATGTCATGTTTCAGGTGGTATTTGAAAAACATAACTAGAAGGCAAGCAGAGGAACTGCTGAAGAAAGAGGTGAGTGTATAAGTACTTCCTTTCTTCTTTCCTTCCTCTTTCACTGTGAGAGTTAAATTATAAAGTCAGCAGATAATATTAAAAATGCCCAAACGTATATCTGCCTATATACATAAAAATGTAAGGCAGTCATCATGCTGCAGTTCCCATGGGCACGCCAACTTCCAGTGCAACAACAGAATGTCTGGATGGCAGGTGAGCAAACAATGTGGATGGCAGGCGGCCCAGGGGAGCTGTTTTACTGAGTGAGGGAAGCACTTCAGAGAGTGACGTCCTCTTCTCCATTAAACACGGCTGTTGAGAGGTGTAACAGAGCAGGCAAGGTACTTCAGAGAGTAGTCTGGCAATCAGCTCTGTGCAGTGCCTCTGTTAAACAGTTCACCTGGGTTGCCTGCCATCCAGGCTACTTGTTGCTCACCTGCTTGCCATTCTGTTGTCATGCCGGCTGTAGACCAGAGCCCATGGTGAGTGTATGCAAAGCGTGAGAAAGCGGGGGGGGGGGACAGCTACTAATACCCACTTCCTCCAAAAAAGTAAAAGAAGAAGAAACCCCCGGGGGGGGGGAATTGTTATGTCTTTTATATCAATCAGTAATGGGTCCAGGGGGTTGGACCTTTCCATTCTAATTTTCCATCAGTGTTACCTTTCATGTAGGCATCTGGGGGGGGGGGGGGTTGAAATGAGCAACAGGGATCTTTCCAAAATATGTGGTTCCACACTCAGGGGCTTTTAAACACACTTCAGTGTCTTTTTGCCAAAACATGTTAAGCCCTCACTTTTGTTTAGGTTAAAGGTAAAGGTAAGGGGACCCCTGACCATTAGGTCCAGTCGTGACCGACTCTGGGGTTGCGACGCTCATCTCGCTTTATAGGCCGAGGGAGCCGGCATACAGCTTCCGGGTCATGTGGCCAGTATGACTAAGCTGCTTCTGGTGAACCAGAGCAGTGCACGGAAATGCCATTTACCTTCCCGCCTATTTATCTACTTGCACTTTGACGTGCTTTCAAACTGCTAGGTTGGCAGGAGCAGGGACTGAGCAACGGGAGCTCACCCCGTCGCGGGGATTTGAACTGCTGACCTTCTGCTTGGCAAGTCCTAGGCTCTGTGGTTTAACCCACAGCGCCACCCGCGTCCCTTGTTTAGGTTACATAGCTGCTTTTCTACCACCCTAATCAAAATGGCAAGGTGTCTGTGAGTCTTTATCAAAAGCAGCAAAAACTGTACACAAAAGATTAAGCAGATTCTGCAGGAGAGACTGCTCTGTTGCCTTTATAAAACATACCCTAGCATATGGAAGTGATGCATATGTAGGTCTAGCAATACCCAGATTTTAACGCCCTCTTCCATTACCTATGGCTTCAGTGATGGGGGAGGCCCTTTACAGAGTATTTTGTCAAATTGCTATTGAAGTGCTTCTGCTGACCCTCTTTTAAAAGGGGTTGGGGCAAGCTGTGGGGGGCGGGGATTTGCAAATGGGAATTTTGGCCAAGCTGTGAGGGGATAGATGAGGAGGTGGGAGAGTTGTAAATGAAGGGAGGGCAAAGACTGAAGTTACATTGGTAGGTTCAAAACACTAGATATCACTTCTTCAGGGTCAAGGACATGCAGGTCCCTGAACCTGCTGCAGTTCGCACTAGGCACATGGTGCTTCTTGCAGCTTATTTCAAAGATTGCTCCTCCTTCCCCACCCCCCCACCCCCACATGAAATGTTAATGATGTCACCTGCTTCCAAATTTCAGGGCAAAGATGGTGGCTTCATTGTCCGAGACTCCATCAGCAATACAGGAAAATATACAGTCTCCGTGTTTGGCAAGTCATCTGGGTAAGTGTGGCCTGCTGATGTGGGAACAAGATGACCACGCATTACACTAGTCCTCAGTAAAAACCTCAACAGTAGAACAGATATGAGGATGAGCCCCAGGTGGAGGATAGCATCTGTTCTAGCTTCCTCCTGCTGCAACCCGCTAGTTGCTTGTGGCCCTCCTCTTCCCTCTGCCTGGCCCCTGATACCCCCCTGCACCTTCACAACAATAGATGAAGAGGAGAGAGAGAGAGATAATGAATGGGGTGCATGCTTGTGTCTATGAGTACCTGTCGGAGGTATGGATGTAATTATATGGGGGATGTGGGGTTTGTGTGCATGAGGAAGATGGAATGGATGGATGGATGATGAAACGGAGAAGAAGGGAGAAAAAGGGGTGTCCCTACAAACTTTGGGCTTTGACCCTGCCTAGCACTTGACTCCTGGGGCAATGTGCCCTTTGACTCAATGGATGCTGGTTCATTAGCACACTTGGGAATACTGCCCCACCCCACCCCAGTCTCATATTTTGCAACTTTCCTCAGAAAATAGGGACATTCTGTTCAAGTCTGTACCTGACCTGCTCTCATCTGCCTACCTTATTACTTACAACCAGTCAAACTGTGCCTTTGCTTGTCATTGGCTCTGGCTCCACATATATCTGCCACCGCTTTGGCTTCAGAAAAGGCTGTTCAGCCCTGTGCTGCCTTGCTCATCCCTTCCATCCTTCTCATGTTATTGCTCTTAACTTGTTGTGCAGCAGTGGTTGAAATCCATCAATGGCATTTCCTGGAATTATCGGTTTTCCTTTAGTCACACCTTAGGAGTCATGAACTCCAGAATTCATTGTTACCCTACTGGTCACTAATCCACAATTGATTTCACAGGGACCCCCAGGGGATGATCCGCCATTACGTTGTGTGCTCCACACCCCAGAACCAGTATTTCCTGGCAGAGAAGCACCTCTTCAACACCATCCCAGAGCTGATCAACTACCACCAGCATAATGCAGCAGGTGAGGAATGAAATGGCTGAGGCACAAAGAGACTTGCCGACTTTTATGATGGAGATGGGAGTGGGGGAAGGGGAGGGATAAATGCCAACAGCTTGATAAAGGCAAAGAAGGTCAACAACGTATTTTAATTTATTACCCATCCTTTGCCCTAAGATCCCAGGGCAGGTCAAAACAATTTAAAATGCAGTTTAAAACTGTTTAAAAACTTATAATTAAAAAATGCAAACACAAAAAATAGTGTGGCTCTTGAAAATAAATGTTCACAGAGTATAAAGAGGTAGAAAGAGCTCCTACCCCTCAGAGGTTCCTTCCAACATTTGACTGAAATCTGCTCCACTGCAATTTGCACCTGTTGTGTCTTTTCCTGTCCTCTCAAGCAACAAGTTTCTTCCATCATCAGTTATTTGAAGACAGTTATCATGCTTCCCCTTCATCTTCTATTCTCCAAATGAAACATGCCCAACTCTTTCAACCATTCCCCTTTGGGCTTGGTTTCCAGATATCTCCTCATCCAAGTCACTGACCTCTGGATATACTCCATTCTGCCAATGCCTGCATACACACCATACATTTAAAGCACACGACTTCTCTCAAAGAATCCTGAGAACTGTAGTTTGTTAAGGGGACTAGCAAGTATGGCTTCATACAGACTATACTTTCAAAGCACTTTCATAGGACATGCTTTCCCTCAGATACCTCTCGACAAGGTAGTTTACCCCTCACAGATATATAATTCCCAGCAACCTTTAGCAAATCACAGCACCTAGAACTCTTTGGTGGGAGGGTTGTGCTTTAAAGGTAAAGTATGTGCATAACTTGTAGCTGCACAAGGAGTAAACTATAGTTCTCATGATTCTTTGAGGGAAGCAATGTGTTTTAAATGTATGGGGGCGTGCGCAGCCAGTGTCCTTAAAATGTGGTACTCAGATCTTGACACCATATTCCTGATGTGGCCTGATCAGCACAGGATAGAACCAAGCTATTACTTCTCATGTATTGCACACTATGCTTCTCTTTACACAGCCTAAGATTGCATTAGCATAACTTACACAAGCTGCACAATTTGGGCTTGTCATCTTGATGCTGAATTCGGATATCTTTAGCATAGAATATATACATCTCTGTTTATAATATACAGTCATACCTCTTGTTATGCTCGGTTCAGGTTATGTCTTTTCAGGTTGCGTCCCGTGGCAACCCAGAAGTACCGGAAAGGGTTACCTCTGGGTTTTGCCCCTCGCGCATGCGCAGACACGCAAAATGACATCATGCGCATGCGCAGAAGCGGTGAATCGCAACCCACGTGTGTGCGGACGCGGGTTGCGTTCCTTTCAGGTTGCGAACAGGGCTCCGGAACGGATCCCGTTCGCAACCAGAGGTACCACTGTACATGGTAATACAATTTATATTGCTTTGCATCTATATTATTATGAATGCACTTCTTCAAAATATAATTGTTTTGATGCACCCTAGGGCTTATTTCCAGACTGAAGTACCCTGTGTCATCGCATCAGAGAACTGCTCCTTCCACGGCAGGACTTGGATATGGTAATATTTGAATACTCTTCATTTGGGATGTATCTGTATGTTGCGCCTTCACCTTTACTGTCTTTCTGTTGCTCCCCTGCAGTGAAAGTGGGCTTGGGATAGGTGAAACAGCTGTTCTTGCTACTTTCCCCTCTGTATCAGCAGTGGGAAATGTGTTTCCCTCTGGATGTTGTTTGACTACATTTCCCAGCATCCCTGACCTTTAGCCATGCTGACTAGGACTGATGGGAGCTGGAGTCCACAAGTTGCCCAGCCCAGTTCTAAGAATCCTTCTTCCCACAATGATTCACACCTCACACTGTTCTTTGTGTTGATTCTAGGGGCATGGGAGATTGATCCAAAGGACCTAACATTCCTCAAGGAGCTGGGGACAGGGCAATTTGGGGTGGTGAAGCACGGGAAATGGAGAGGCCAGCATGATGTAGCAGTGAAGATGATCAAAGAAGGCTCCATGTCAGAGGATGCATTCATCGAAGAAGCCAAAGTCATGATGTGAGTAGCAAAGAACTTTATATTTGTCTCTTTGTCTGTCTCTCTTTTTCTGGATAGATTCTTATTTCTGGGATAGGGATGCGGTACATTGAGAACACTGGACTACAAGTCCCTGGGGTGGTGGAAGTTAGAGCTCAGTAACATCTGCAAGGCCACAGTTTCCCCATCCCTGCTTAACTGATCATACCAAGAATTAAGAGCACGTCTATTTTTTGAGCAGTCTTTCTGGTTTGCTACCACAAAGATTGCACAGAGGTTTGGATATATTTGGTAAATTGAGCATCAAGTCTGGTTTGTTTGTGGGGTAGTTATAAGTCAATAATCATTCATCCTGATTTCCCTGTGCAGTGGTTTTGCATCTTCCCTGTCATTCCACACTTTTGGGTACATTTCACCGTCACTTTCTTAAATTGCAAAATGTCTTTCTTTTAGTAAGGAAGATTTGTTGCTTTAGGATGAAAGAGGACTTTTATGCATTTTTAACTTTGCAAACTGAAACGTCCTTGTACTGTATGTGCTTGGAGCCCTCCCACAGAATACTGACAGTCTGAAGATACCCTAAATCTGCTGTCTTCTGCATGAAAAACATGTGCTGAGAGACTGAAAGGGAACCAAAGGAGCATTTAGCCCACTCCCTCCTGTCAAATCTCCCATTTATTGGTTCCTCCACAGGCCCAGCTATTACAGCCAGAGTCATCACCCCAAATGACTCAAATCAAAACACACAAAGATATCCAGTCTTTTTGAAAACCACAAGGATACAGATCCTGTGCTCCTCTAGATGTTACTGGACTTCAGCTCCCATCAGCCCAAGCCAGCATGGCCAGTGGCCAAGGATAATGGGAACTATAGTCTGCCAACATCTGGAGGGCAACAGGTTCCCCATCCTGGAAATAGCAGAACATGGTTGTTGGTTTTTTTAGCATTTACTTGTGCTCTTGTGGAGAATAATAATAATAATGGAAAATGGGAAGGTCCATAGCCCAGTGACAGAATATTTGCTTTCATGGCAGAATACCCCCATGGCAGCTCCCAAGTAGAGCTAACAGAGACCCCTGTCTCAAATTATCTAGAGCCACTGCCAGTCTTCGTAGAGAATTCTGAGGTATAAATGGACCAATAATGATTTTTCTTCCCCTAGAGTACTGTGGAGAATCTCAAGAGGCAGCTCTCCATTCTGCCACCAAGTTACTGGGAATCACCAGTGGGAAGAGTGCTGTTGTACTCAAATCCTGCTTTTAGGGCTTCCCAGAGACATCCTGTTGGTCAGGGTGCTGGACTAGATGAGCCTTTGGCCCAATCCAGCAAGCCTCTTCTTATGTTCTTGTGATGTTTTCTCACTCCAGGAACCTCTCACACGAGAAGCTAGTGCAGCTGTTTGGAGTCTGCACGAAGGAGAGGCCAATACTGATCGTCACCGAGTACCTCTCCAAAGGTTGCCTCTTGACTTACCTGCGGGACACTCGGCGGTCCCTCCAGGGCACGGAGCTTCTAGAGATGTGCAAGGATGTCTGCGAGGCCATGGGGTATCTGGAATCCAAGCAGTTCCTGCACAGAGACCTGGTAGGTGATTGCTTTTCAACTGCTCCATATACCCCTGCCATCTGAAGTAAATTGGGGGGGGGGGTGCCTAATAGGGAGAAGGCCTCCTTGTTAGTAGCACCCTGGTATGGAATAACTTCCCCACAGAAGAGCACCTGCTTGTTGCTTGAGCTCTTTTCCTCACATTTTGAACGGAATGTATTATTTTTTTTAGAAAAATCTGGCCTCTCAGTGCTGTGAACCAAGTCTTATTTTATCTTCTCTGCTGCTGATTGGAAAAGTGGAACATAGGAAACTTCATTTTACCCACTCAGACCACTGGCCTATGCAGCTCTATGTTGTCTACACTGATTGGCAGCCGCTTTCCAGTGTTTCAGGTGGGGGGCATGCCCTGCCCTACCTGGAGGTGCTGGGGACTGATCCTGAGACCTTCCGCATACAAAGCAGATGCTCTACCACTGAGCAATGGCCCTAGGTTTTGTGCTTTTTCTCTGCTAGAAAGGAGGTCTTCCTGCTGCATTTTGTTTTCTTATTGCATTTGTAATAACTGTATTTTGTAAGTTACTGTTGTGTTTTATTCCTGCTCTGGTAGCCACCCAGCTAAAGTATGTTGAGACCATATTCTCTTTTATCTCTGCCACAGGCTGCTCGCAACTGTTTGATCAGTGAACAAGGTGTTGTCAAAGTCTCGGATTTTGGCCTCTCCAGGTCAGTTTGTGTGCATATGCGTGTGTAGGAAGCTGAGGTTGCTTAGCTTTTTCTCTGTTTAACTTTGTATATGCCTTTTTTCTTACTCCCTTTCTCATTATGACTGTCATTCTGTTGTTCTTCCTCAGCCTCTTTGTTTGCATCCTTCACTGCAGCTGCCATTTCGGACTACCTCTTTTTTATTTTAGGTTTGTTACCTGATTAAACAACTCTTAGTCGGTTATTATTATTATTTAAGACATAAAGTGCTTAACGTTTCCTAAGCATGGCACATATATTAAAATAGAATACAGCCCTGCTCAGAGGCCCACAATCTGACATGATACAAAGGAAAAATAAATGAGGAGGGAAGAGGAAAGCTAGCACTGGAGCTGCTGCTCCTTCTCCGGACAATGGTGGGAGAGAAGGCAGGCTGGTTTCTCGCCAGCCATGATGTTCTTATGGAGAAGCAGGAGGTGCCCACCTAGCTCATAAGAGCCTTAGTTGATTAAGTGCACAAACTTGCATATGAGAAGACACAACAGTTCTAATGGTTTTGACAGAAAGCACAGAGATGTCTTTTCAAGGAAGCAATTGGCGTGGTTTGCAGTGCAATCTTATTAACTCAGAAGCTGCATTTGAGTTTAGTAGAGCTTACTCCTAGGCAAGTGTATAGCAGGGAAGGTCAATCCTTTTCAACCCAAAGGTCACATTTCCTACTGGTCTCCTAGCCACAGAAGTCAAGTTTCTTTTTCCCCCCAAAGTGGATGTGTTGTACCAGAGTGACAGAGCACTTCTGTTACGCAAACTTAAATTTCCTTTATGTGAGTGAATGTCTCCAACAACATACTGATAATCCGAAGGCAACCTTTTCTGCTTAAGAGAGTCTTGGGGGAAGGCACTGTTGGGTTGAAATAACGACAGATGAGTAGCAAGTGTCATGTGAGAGGCATCTCTCGAGCAAGCCCCGAGGAGTCTCTTTTATTGAATATTACAACATTGCCACAGGTGCGCTCGTTGCTGATTGGTTGACACAAATACAAAGCAACTTGTTGCTGATTGGTTAACACAAGTACAAAGCAAAGGTTACATATAGGCATTAATCACCAATAGATTAAAGGCTGGGAAAGGGAGCACAGAACTAGACAGGCATGAAACCTCCTAATTAAATTATAACTAGTGATTGATATAGCAAGACTAAAACAATTACTAATGATTGATCATAACATGAAAGAATATACTAATCGCGTTCCGTAGATGTGGTCAACTATGCATTAAGAACAGGTCAGAGTATAATGTTTTCATGAACTTAATATGAACTGAACATCCTAGGGAGATGAGGGAATGTCTTGGTATTTAGAACGGGTTGTGCAGCATGTGCAGAAGGAAAGCTTAGAAGCAAGACTTCCCATCATGCCACAGTCATGTGCAGAAGCAGAGCTTCCCTTCAAGGCACTTTAAAAGGATAGGATAATGATCGACTGATGGGAACACATATAATTTCCATGCAAACAAATCAGGATGAATGCGCATTCTTGTATAACCTTCCTGCAAAGAAGTAAGAATGGATGTGCATTGCTCAGTAAAGAGCAAACATTCTTTAATCTCCACAGAAGCTTTGTGCACACAAATTGGAATGAATGTTCATCTTGAGGAGCTTTTAGGCTTTTAGGAAGCACAAGATCCTGTAAGGCAACATATAAATTAGCACAACCAAAATCTGTCTACACAGGTACGTCTTGGATGATGACTACATTAGCTCCATGGGATCCAAATTTCCAGTCCGGTGGTCCCCTCCAGAGGTTCTTTTGTACAGCAAGTTCAGCAGCAAATCGGACATTTGGGCTTTTGGTAAGCTGAAATTGTGTACCACTGATGTAGAACCTGGAATAGCCAGAGGATGAACTTTCTATGGCAGTAGATTTAAGGACAGGCAAATGAACGGAACCCTACCTGCAATAGGGAAGGCATTAAGAACACTGTGCTGCTGATGTGATTTGCAGGCCCCAGAATAGATGTGAGGGCTAGGCCTTTAAGAACTCACAGTAAATCCTAGGGATAGGGAACAGTGTTCATAGGGCTTTGGGATATATTTAATATACATACATTGCCATAGGTAAAGGTAAAGGGATCCCTGACCATTAGGTCCAGTCGTGACTGACTCTGGGGTTGCGGCACTCATCTCGCTTTATTGGCCGAGGGAGCCGGTGTACAGCTTCCGAGTCATGTGGCCAGCATGACTAAGCCACTTCTGGCAAACCAAAGCAGAGCACGGAAACGCTGTTTACTTTCCCGCCGGAGTGGTACCTATTTATCTACTTGCACTTTAACGAGCTTTCAAACTGCTAGGTGGGCAGGAATACATTGCCATATCTGACTATAAATACAAAACAAGGAGACACTGGAGCTTAAACAGTAGAGACTTAAGAGGTGCTAAAGGACTGTAATCAATCCTCCATTTTTTTGCCATGGCCCATTAGGAGGCAGCTTCCATGTAGAACACAGAGGTCACCCCAAGATAAGGGGTTGAGCCAGTGATTCCAAGTCCCATTATGGTGCTTTCCTGACTGACAGGTGTCCTGATGTGGGAGATTTACACCTTGGGGAAGATGCCCTACGAGAGGTTTAGCAACAGCGAGACCACTGAGCATGTGACCAAAGGGCTGCGTCTCTATCGCCCCCAGCTGGCCTCTGAGAGAGTCTATGCCATCATGTACAGCTGTTGGCACGAGGTAAGGCTTCCCGTAAACTGCCCCGGTTGCTTGCTTATTTATTAGCAATACTTGCATGTCACCCAGTAATGAAGTTCTCTTTTTTTACCATAAATCAGGAACTGCAAATGGTAAAATGCAGTAACTCGTTATTGCCAGACCCTGGGACCGCTGGAGGATTGGTGGCTCCTCTTGGCAATCTGCGTGGTGCGTGCCGAGTCACAAGTCCTCCTCGTCCCCAGGATCTGGGCAACTGAGCCTCCTGCCTGGCTTGCCAAACTGTTATAAAAAAACCTGCTCCCTTTCCCTTATGAGGCATTCTGGAGCCCATATAGAGTCCTTAAGTGGGTTTCCTATTGGTAGGAGAAAATAACAGAGGCCAACCAGAGTATATTGAGAAGCAAAGTGGCTAGTAAGCCTGATCTTTATTCAAGGAACTGTTGCAACGGGGTCCCCACTCACCACATGCAGACCACCACCCCCTAAAACATCAGACAGAAGGAAGTAGTCTACAGCAGCTGAGGCGGTCTACAGCAGAAATCCTGTTTGCTAGGATACCTAATAATGGTCACTGACTGCATTACCTTGGCAGCCTGGCCATTCTTTTGTGATGGTTGATACTTTAGTTCCTAAATCCAGGCCACAGGCTCACCCTATTCATACACAAATGTGCCCTTAAGACAGGATTTGCAAGCAAAAAGACAACGGGAAGGCTTTCTCCCTTTGCCTCCCTTACTGCAGAGGAGTATTTGAGGTCATTGGGAGAGTCAAAATGGCTTCAGGATTGCTCTCCTGTACTACTTCAGACACATGGTTCATATATTTAGCTATGTGTGCATTTATGAAGACTTATTCTATATTAAAGTTCTTATAGCACAGGGGTGGAGTTTTGTTGCTTGAAATACAGCAGGGTTCATTGATTTTGCTGTTGTTAGATGAGCATCCTTATAAATTTTGGTTTTATTGTATTTTTGTTCTATTTGTTTTTAAATAACTGACAAGCTTTTGGTATTTTATATGAATTGCTTGGATACATTTTTGTAGAAAGCAATGGATAAATGTAATAAATAATAGTACATTAATGTCTCTTAAGTAAACAACCTTATTGGTATAAGCTTTCCCCTCTTTTCTGTTCTTTTGCTCCAGAAAGCAGATGAGCGTCCCACCTTCCAAGTCCTTCTGAACCTCATTTTGGATTTAGCAAATGAAGACCCCTGAACTGCCATCATCCAATCGCTCTTTTACTACTGCTTATTTTTGTATGTTCGCTCCAGAATTTCTAGATGGACAATGAATGGGTGGATCTACATCATGACAAAAGTAACTGGATCTATCAGACAATACCAGATTCTTTTCGTCTGCCTCGCGTGTAATAACTGGCTTGTATCTGAATTCACTGAAGTGCTAAAGAAGATCTAACTTATGGCAGCAACTGCTGGTTGGGTACTATTTTCCTCTTCAGCAGAGTAAATCTCTTTTAATGCAGTATCATGGTTCCCTACCTGTAACTTGAAATGGCATTATGGGATTCAAATAATTTTTCAAGGATGATGTAATTGTTTGGAAACTTGTTTTGCTATGATGAAATAACAATTACAAGAAATAATATGAAAATGAAATATATAAAAGGGAAATATACCCAATTGTTTATCATATTTCCTAGATACTTCTACCACCACATCTTACCACCCTTTCCAGTCACCCAGTCCTCTGCCATGTGCTTTGAATGGCTCAAGATGCAAATTTATTTATTTAGGTTAACATTTTGTTAAAAAGGTTGAATTTACAGTTGCGCTCATGCACTCACACATTCCCCATCCCATAAATTAGATTTGGTATGCTGATAAATATTCCACCGTTGCCCTTCTGCTGCAAAAGGAAGGGGGAAATCTCAACAAGGGGACGTGAATAAACTGAAGCTCCACGCCAGGATAATAAAGGAACTGGTTTTTTTAGAAACAAAATAAAAAAAATCCTTCCAGTAGCACCTTAGAAACCAACTAAGTTTGTTATTGGTATGAGCTTTCATGTGCATGCATACTTCTTCAGATACTTAAAGGTATCTGATGAAATGTGAATGCACACGAAAGCTTACACCAGAACAAACTTAGTTGATCTCTAAAGTGCTACTGGACAATTTTATAATTTATTTCGACTGCATCAACACAGCTACTTACCTGAATTTAGGACATTAGTGAGGGGAGGTGTGTGGCCCTCCAGATGTTCTAATTAAATTATTAATACTAATTGTCAATCAGAATTTGGTATCAAATTGATATGCAGGAGGGACAAAGCAATGTGTAAGACTTCTGGTAAGATCAGTCACAGAAAATCAGCGTAATGTTAATGATTTTTATGCAAGAAAACACTACACAGTGAAGCTCTACACAGGAAGGAAAAGGATGTCATAGGATGTGTTGTGGACTGAGCCTCTTTTTCCTCATGGGACAGATACTATGCCCACAGTGTGTGTGTTGCAGGACATGTGGGGGAAGGCTGAGTGGTTTACAACAGCCATTCAACATATTTGAGAGTGATGACAGAGAAGAATGGGAAGGGTTGGAGGCAGTAGCTTAAAACATCAATGTAATGTAGCTCACTTCTCCCCGCATTGCACGGAGCAGAGATGAGGTTGAGAGAGAGAGGCTTACATCTCCCACATTGCAGGATGCCAGGTGTGTGTTGAGGGTCAGAGCCAGAATTAATGGGTGCCCTGAAGGCCATTATCTCTGCATTGCAGTGCAGTGCAGTGGGGGCAGAGGGTGTTTTGTGACATCTCTGCTGCAAACAGCTGCAGACAAGACATCTTGGGTTATGAATTCACTCCATTCGCAGAGATCTCCAATAATGCTCTTTAGGATATAAATTAAAAAAATTGTCCAATAGTACCTTTGTTGTTGTTTAGTCATTTAGTCGTGTCCGACTCTTTGTGTCCCCATGGACCAGAGCACGCCAGGCACTCCTGTCTTCCACTACCTCCTGCAGTTTGGTCAAACTCATGCTGGTAGCTTCGAGAACACTGTCCAACCATCTCGTCCTCTGTCGTCCCCTTCTCCTTGTGCCCTCCATGTTTCCCAACATCAGGGTCTTGTGCAGGGAGTCTTCTCTTCTCATGAGGTGGCCAAAGTATTGGAGTCTCAGCTTCAGGATTTGTCCTTCCAGTGAGCACTCAGGGCTGATTTCCTTTAGAATGGATAGGTTTGATCTTTTTGCAGTCCATGGGACTCTCAAGAGTCTCCTCCAGCACCATAACCCAAAAGCATCAATTCTTTGGCGATCAGCCTTCTTTATGGTCCAGCTCTCACTTGTTCTGGGTATAAGCTTTTGTGTGCATGCACACTTCATCATGCACACGAAAGCTTACACCCAGAACAAACTTTGTTGGTCTCTAAGGTGCTACTGGACAATTTTTTAATTTTTAAAATTTATTTCGACTGCGTCAGACCAACACGGCTACCTACCTGAATTTAGGACATTAGTGAGGGGAGGTGCGTGGCCCTCCAGATGTTCTAATTACATTATTAATGCTAATTGCAATAACCCTATACGCATTTTCCTGGGAGCTGCATCATGTCTCTTCCTTCTGAGTAGGCGCGCGTGAAGCCGAGCTGCAGAACCCACCGGGTTCTTCTTGCCCGATGGCAACTCTACACGCCCCCCCATGCCGTAGCTCTATGGCCTCTCGCGCGCGCGCACAGCTCCGCCCACCGCCGGAAAGAGGAAGCGCACTCGCGGATGAAGCTTTACTCGCGCGGTGCACTCTGGAAGCGGAAGCTTACCGCGCGCGCGCGGAGGGGACGGCCGGGGGCGGGGGCTAGCTGCACGTGAAGGTCGCCTGCCAGATCGCCGTCCTCTCTCCCTTCCTCGCTTCCTCCGATCGGTCCTTGTCGGCTCACAGGTCGGGCCCGGCATGGACCCTTCGTCCGCCGCGGGAGACTTGGGGGCGGCCGTCAACGACCCGCAGCTGCAGCACTTCATTGAGGTGGAGACGCAGAAGCAGCGCTTCCAGCAGCTCGTGCACCAGATGACGGAGCTCTGCTGGGTAGGGAAGAGCTGATAGCCCGGGGCGCAGGCGGAGGCCTCCTTCGTGCTGCTCGCGGTTGACCTTTGGAACTCTCTGCCGCAAGATTCGCTGCAGCAGGCTTAGAGGATCGGGCCATAGCTGTCAACGTTTCCCCCTTTTTAAGGGAAATTCTGAATAGGATTCCTCGCAAGAAAAGGGAAAAGTTGACAGCTATGGATCGGGCAGAGTGTCCGGAAGAGGCGGTGGAGGGGGGGGGGGATCAGATGGAAATCATGATGGAGGAGGAAGAGGGCCGAGGGGCTAAAGCCCACTCCCCACTCTTTCATGCTACGTGCAATTAACTTGCGGCACGTGCTGCCGCAAGATGGGGAGCAGATCCGCAGGGTACATTTAAAACACATGATTTCCAACCCCCCCCCCAAGAATCATGGGAAATATAGTTTCCCCTTCAGAGGCACAGTTCTCGGACCCTTTACATTACAGAGCCCAATATTCTTTGGGGGAAGCTATGTTCTTTAAATGTGCGTTGAATGTGGATTTGCCTGTGGTGGTGAGACCAGAAATGTGCTTTAGAAGGTGGTCTATCAAAATCGAGGAGGAGGACTTGTACCTCTGAGGTGATGTTTGGCTGTGATGTGGTTGCTCAATTTAAATTAATTCCCCCCCAATGCAAGGTGATCCTCAGGGCCCCTGCCAACTCTATGATTCTGTCTCTGTCTATGTGGCGATGGACAGACGCTTTAAAAGTAGGTCATGCAAAGGACTGGTGTCCCTCTAGGGGTTAATTCTTTTTTTGTGGTACATACTGACTTGTGAAACTTACTGCTACAAGCTGCAGTGATGGCCCTTGTCTTGGGTGCCTTTAACAGGAGATCAAACAAAGTCACAGTGAGCAAGGAGGACTGAAGGCTCTGGGAGCGAAGTCTTTCAGCCTACGCATTCTTAACTGCTTTGAGGGTGCCCCCCCCACAAGCAATGCATACATTTTATGAAATAATACAGAAATTGTGGATACTGATGGCCCCTGGTTTGTTGTTGTTTAGTCATTTAGTCGTGTCCGACTCTTCGTGGCCCCATGGACCGGAGCATGCCAGGCACTCCTGTCTTCCACTGCCTCCCGCAGTTTGATCAAACTCATGCTGGTAGCTTCGAGAACACTGTCCAGCCATCTCGTCCTCTGTCGTCTCCTTCTCCTTGTGCCCTCCATCTTTCCCAACATCAGGGTCTTTTCCAGGGGGTCTTCTCTTCTCATGAGGTGGCCAAAGTATTGGAGTCTCAGCTTCAGGATCTGTCCTTCCAGTGAGCACTCAGGGCTGATTTCCTTCAGAATGGATAGGTTTGATCTTCTTGCAGTCCATGGGACTCTCAAGAGTCTCCTCCAGCACCAAAATTCAAAAGCATCAATTCTTCGGCGATCAGCCTTCTTTATGGTCCAGCTCTCACTTCCATACATCACTACTGGGAAAACCATAGCTTTCCATATATGAAAACCATATATGGACCTTTGTTGGCAAGGTGATGTCTCTTCTTTTTAAGATGCTGGAGCAGGAACCAGCAAGCCACCCCAGTATCCCTGCCAAGAAAACTCCATGGACAAAGACAACAGGCCCCTGGTTTAGGTGGCTTTAAAAGACAATTGGATGAAGTCCTGGAGGAGGAGGAGAGGTCTATTGATTGGCTAAATAAAAGTTCTAGATTCTGAGGCTTTTGAATTCCCTGTGTTGCTGGAAACAACCAGTGGCTGTGCGTGTGGCTACCGGGAATTCAGTTCCTGGAAAGAAGCCACTGTGAGAAACTCGATGGTGGACATGATGGACTATGGATCTGATCCAGCCATGGCTCTCTTTATGTTTGTATTGGCGGCCTTTGGTGAGTGGGTGCAAATTCACTGCTGCTTACACTCACCATCATAGCAGGGCTCCAACTTCTTTAATAGCTGTAATGTAGTAAGTGTAGTAAGTGGTGTTGGCATGGAGATATACTGGTGAGGACGTAAACACCTATTGAAATTGCTGGTACTGCTGCTGATAATGCATGCAAGCAAAGAATGACAGATGGTGAGTGATGACTGGAATAATAGTCCAACAACATTGGGCATGGGGAGGGCATAGATTCCTCAGTCCTGTTTTACCTAGGAATGCAAAGAGATTGAACGTGAACCCTTCTTCATGAAAGAGTGTGCTGTACCACTAAGATATAGCTCCCAGGTGGAGACAGGCCATGAATCAGGAAACTGCAGGGGATATTGCAGTTTATTTTTTTATGTTAGCCTTCTCATCATTGAAACAGCTGTGGCGGCGGCACAGTGGAAGGCAATGAGGATGGAGAGGCTACCTGGGTGTTTGTGTTCTGAGCCAGCTGTTCTGTTTAGAGTTACAGGACAGGAAATCCAGGCATGTCCCTCTTGTACATTGCAAAAAGGGTGTGGGTGTGTTTTGGGACTGGTTCTGTGGTTCAAAATTCTGAACTGCTGGTGTCTCTTGAATGCCCCTAAGCCCTATATACTAGGAAGAGAAGGGGTATAACTTGTGTGTGCAAAAGGCACTAACTTCAATTCCTGGCATCTCCAGGTAGAGCTGGGAATGTTCCTCATCAGAAATCACTGTCAGTAGTCAGAGTCAGTATAAGGCAGCTTCCTGTGTTCCCAAACAATGCTTACTCTTCCATATCTTTAATAGGAGAAATGTATGGACAAGCCTGGCCCCAAGTTGGACAGCCGCGCGGAGACCTGCTTTGTGAACTGTGTGGAGCGCTTCATTGACACCAGTCAGTTCATTCTCAACCGACTGGAGCAGACACAGAAATCCAAGTCGCCCTTCTCCGAAAACCTCTCTGACTGATTTGGGTGCTGCAATGCCTCAGTTTCCTTCCTTAACGAGAAACCAACCTACTGAATTGAGAGAAGAGGAGGTGGAGAACAAGGAGAACAAGCAGAAGAAAGGATCAAAGTTGTGAAGGACGTTGGCCTCCACATTCAGGACAGACTTCTGGGTTTCCTGGCCAATGTGAGCAGTTCTGGTTTTAAATTCCCATCTTGTGAACATTTAGCAGTCAGACAAGTGAAGCCTTGCTGATTCACATGGGCTTGTGCTGCCCAGGTTTTTTTAATTTTGCTGTTGGATAACAAGAGCTTCACAGCAGAACTGTAGCATCAAACAACTTGCTTTCCCAGTGGTGTGGCCAGGGAAGCACACCTATCAATATTCAATAATTTCTTCTGTTTTGAAATGAAGGGAACTGGGAGGTTTCAGACATGAATGTTGATCCTGGGAAAAGCAAAGGTGCCTTTTTAAAATGGTACTGTGTTTTAGCACGACTCTTTTAAGTGATATAAATTGCTCACCTGCAGCTTGAACATGTGGCTGAGTTGACCCTTTTGTAAACCGCAACTAGTGTTGCGGTTGAACAGAAGGAGGCTGACTTTGCTTGCTGTCATGTGCCATTTAAGGTGCATATTCAAGCCCTCCTTTACATAGCTAGGAAGAAGTAACCCCAGAGGACATGGGAACTGAATACCACTCATCTGGTCATGTAAATGTTTCACTTACCAAGTACAAAAGTCAATTTTAACTTTCTCCATTAATTCCTTTCCTGCTGATCAGTGGAATAAACATCAATTACATTCATTTTAAACTGCCTGTTGAGTCGGTGGTGATTCCTTCTGCTTTGATTGCTAGGGATTTAGAAATAGGAATAGAAATAGGAATAAGGGGAGCTCTGGAAAATTTTCTCTTTGCCATTTTTGTCGTTGGGATTTAAGCAGTTTTAAAGACTAAGGAAGCTGCTCCTGATCTGGCTGCAGTGGGTTTGGTGGAGGGAAACTGTTTTTCTCCATTGTTGTGCTAGACTGTGTGACTGACCTTGACATTCTTTAGCTATAAGTTCAGAAAGAGAAAAGCTCAGACGTGGCTCTAAAGCAGCAACACAATTTGAGGAGTCGGTAATGTCAGCGTTAAATGATATTAAAGAAGGATTAGATCGTAACACAGCATCTGTTAATAAGTTGGAAAAAAGGATTGAACATTTAAGTACCGACTTGAAAGATGTGAAAGATAAGATACCCACACATACGCAGGTTAAGTACTTAATTGGTTCCGGAAGTCCGTTCTTAACCTGAAGCGGACTTTCCCATTGAAAGTAATGGAAAGTGGATTGATCCGTTCCAGACGATGAAAAATACTCCTAAAACAGCAATTTAACACGCATTTTACTGTCTAACGAGACCATTGATCCATAAAATGAAGGCAATAATCAATGTACTGTACTATAAAATAAATAAGACAGTATTTTAGATGAAAAAAATTAACATTTTTTCCCCCCTTACGTGCACTGATGATAAATCAGTTTGGGGGGCTTTTATCCATTTCTGAAGTCACACAATCAACCAGTAGCTGAACTGGGTTCTACACAGTCACAAAAACAAGTCACAAAAGTGTAGTCACAAATCAGTCCCATAAAATGAAGAACAAGTCACAGTCAAAAAACCGAAAAAGTCACACAAACCAAAACGCGAAAAGGAAACAGATGATGAAAAGTGACCCCTAAAACAGCAATTTTACATGAATTTTACTATCTAATGAGGCCATTGATCCATAAAAGGAAGTACAAAATGAAAATGTGATTTTTTTCCCTTACCTGCGCTGATGATAGTCATTGTTTGGATGGGGGCTCAGGGTCCTCTTCCACAATCACAATTGGCTTGGCTCCCGGGATTCGTGGAGGCCTCAGAGAGCTCCCGTGGCTGGAGCCCAGTCGCGGAGCCGCTGCAGACCCCATGGATATCAAGGCTTGGCTCCAGGCAGCGGCGAGGCCTCCAAGAGCTCGGACAACTTACTTCTGGGTTACAATAGTCGTAACCCGAAAAAACGTAAGTTGAAGTGTTTGTAACCCGAGGCACCACTGTACTAAGAGATACATCAATTGCTGGTAAGTCTACACAAGTTATTAGTCCTCACCTCAAACAGTTTTTATAACTAGCTATCCACTCATATGTATATTACAAATGTGTGTTCCTCCTCACAAAAAAACCCATGTTTGGATAGCTTCCCTTCTGTCTGGTCTAAATAGATCTTTACTTGCCACAAGTGACCAATTCAGTAGTTGCATAGATGCTGGCTAAGCCATTAATCAATTAATGCATAGGAGAGTATTGACCATACTGACTGGCAGCAGGGTTTCCAACAGGGGTGTCTCCCAGCCTTACCCGGAGATACTGGGGATTGAGCTTGAGGCCTTCTGCGGGCAGCACAGAGGCTGTTCCAATGAGCTACAGTCCTTTATGTTGCATATGTATGCTGGCAAGAGGAGGGACAGCCTACTTAGTTTCTATGTTAAGCACAGAGAGAGTACTCCATGCCTCCTCACTCAGCTTAATGACTAGAATGTACCTTGAATTCCTTGTTGCTTAAGGTTACCGGGCTGCAGCTTAAATATGAGGCTGCTGTAAATGCATCAGGAAACAGGTGGCCTGTCTTTGAAAGATTGCTTAATATGGAAAGGCAAAGGCAGCCTACTAACAAAGTTTGCTGGTTTAAAAGTTCCTTATGAGCGCAACACCATGATAGATGAAGCCAAACTCAGCGACTTTCTCAGAGGTATCTGCCGTGCAATGTTTCAGATCAGGAGGATAACACTACACATACCAGACCTGTTTTATTAGCCTACCACATATTGCAGAAATTGCGCAAATGCAGAAACTTCTGAGTCTTCCAAATACTGGTTTGCTGTCCTGCCCAGAAGTGAGAGTGAGAAATCAAAGCTTCAGTTCCTGCATTGGGTGAAGTTTTACTTTTAAGGGTTTGGCGGATGCCTGAGCTGCAAGTAATATTGCAGGGATGGGAAACCTGCGAATCTCCAGGTATTGTTAGACTACAACTTCCACAATTGTTCTTGATCACTGGGCAATGCTTTATGTATGGTGTGCGGATGTGCAGCAGATGTTGGTTCTTGGCTGTATTTCCCCCCCAAAATTACTGTCCTAATATATTTGAGCTGGTCTGATTTCTTGTCCAGGCCACATCTTGTTCATACCAATAATATTCCTGTAAGATGGATTGCTTTACTCATATTTGGATGGGAGAATCAAGACCAAGAAGGCAGCTTGTCTAAGGTTGATCCTTCCCTATCTACAGAGTCATAAGGATCAGTAGAAAGAAATTAATTCCTTAGTGATTTTTCAAAGAACTATAGTTTTTTATAGGACTTAAACCTTCAGTTACAAGGGTTACAGTATATTTGTTCTTCAAAAAACAGGACACCTTCAGATCAATTCCTGGTTCTTCACCATTGTATTTGACAATGGAGGGGTCTGTTATTATTTTTACATTTTTAGCCTGCCTGCCTTCTAATGTAGAACTGAAGACTACATACATGGGGTTCCCAGATAGTCATCCATCCAGGCACTGGTCAGACCCAGACCTGCTAACCTTTGCAATGCGGTAGCCTCACATGCTGCAGACCATGTCCTGGGACCCATAGCAGTTTACTTAAAGGTCACCGCCAGAGTTCTTGTGAATTCTCAGCCCCAAACTCTTAGAATTCTGCAGTATTGTAGGTATACAGAAATTATGAGCCCAGGCAACATTCTGAGTGAAAGGGCTGTAACTTTTGCTAGGGTGATTGGGAGGACTTACAGTGGAACTACAGGGCTCACCTAACAGTTAAGGATAAAGGGGGCACGCCATTATTTTTTTTAAAAAATGGAAAGTAGGCAATGCATAACCTGCTGCCTTCAGCTGTTAGAAACCAAGGGGATATCCAGTGTTAAGACATGCTCCAAGTAAACCTACTGAAATAAACAGGCTTAAACTACAGGTGGGGACCATTTTGCATAGGGGTTCCATCCCTGGTTCCCTTGAGCATTGGTGCCTAAGCACACCCTACCCCCCCCCCGTTCTGACCTCTGGGTTCCAAAGGACCTGTGTGTCAGTGATTGCACTTTAATTGGGCGCACCTAAAATGATCGCTGCGTTAAACCACAGAGCCTAGGACTTGCCGCTCAGAAGGTCAGCGGTTTGAATCCCCGCGACGGGGTGAGCTCCCGTTGCTCGGTCCCTGCTCCTGCCAACCTAGCAGTTCGAAAGCAGGTCAAAGTGCAAGTAGATAAATAGGTACTGCTCCGGCGGGAAGGTAAACGGCGTTTCTGTGCGCTGCTCTGGTTTGCCAGAAGCGGCTTAGTCATGACCCGGAAGCTGTAGGCCAGCTCCCTCAGCCAATAAAGCGAGATGAGCGCTGCAACTCCAGAGTCGGTCACAACTAGACCTAATTGTCAGGGGTCCCTTTACTTTTTAAAATGATTGCTGCTTTTACTTAAATCTACTGTTTTGATGGATTTATTTTGTGAGTATGACTATGCTGGATATCACCTCGAGGCTTGTAGGCAGCCTGTTTGTGTGACTGCCTTTATGGGTCCTGTGATCCTCCTCACAGTGTGAAGGAATTAAAACATATCTGAGCCAATTCTGTTGTGCAGCAGCAACATCAAAGATTGTAGTGAGCCATCAGAAACAATGTACTGGGTAGGAAAACTGATTTAAAAACAAATGGCTCCAAATGATTCAGGTTTACAAGCATGGATGAAGGGCCAGAGTGTGATTTGGAAATTCACTCAGTTTTTCACCAAGAGAACGGCTTGCTTGAAAAGCCACCATGGGTGAAGGCTGGAAATGGCTAAAAGGTTGAATTGAACTGAATTGGTAACATTCAGCTAGCAAGAAGTCCAAATAAGTTTTGTTTTTTTAAAAGAGAAAGTTTAGGGTTGTTGTTTTTTAAAAATGTTATGAACTCTGCAACACTGTTAATGGCAGTACAAAGAAAAGTAACATTTATTTGAAATAAATTAACTGTCAACCTTAATACATCATCAACATTAAGTGATCATCAACACAGCCCCTGTGGCACTGGGCTTCCCTGACAACCAGTGCCCTCTTGTTCTCCTCTCCCCCCACTGAAATGAGAAATAAGCATTCTATCGCAGCCAACAGAATATGTGCTTGTGTGTGTCTTACAACAGGTTCTCTGGTTTGCAAATGTACCCAAGAGACGTAGAAGGTTGGCAACCCGTGATAATACTTTAAAGAGAAGTTAATTTTTAAGTCACTTAAAATGCACTGTCCTTACATTCAGAAAGTGGTAGAGCACTGTTATTAAGATCAGGCATGTAAACACAGTAGCAGCTGCATTCTCATAAGAGAGACTTGCATACTGAGTTAAAACAGTTACGTTTTACAGAACTTCTGTGCATTCTGATGTACACCAATGTAGAGCTCATTCAAGAGCTGAACTCATTGCTTATATCCTTGTTTTATCAGTGGGGCACTTTACATGATAGAGCCAAGCTTCTCCATAACCCAAGTGGTCTGCTGTCCATGCCAGCTTGTCCTTGTGTTCGCATGTGTCTTCCCTTAATCTGCGTTCTTTAAAATGACCCAGAGGAAGAAAACACAGGGAGAAACCCTCCTCTCTCTTGCACACTCTTGTTTGTCCACATACTGGTCCTCTTGGTCATACACATATTTTTCTACTTTTCCCATTCCCCGAGATTTGAGTTACCTTCAGCAGATTACGAGAGAAAGAGGAATTCTGCTGTGCATGCCTACCTCTGACTAGGAGACTGAAGTATTTTGCTTCTGCTTACTCTGCAACACCCCCTGAGCAAATCACACCCTCCTTACCAATGCCACATCACCCATTACTTTTGAAACTTGTTTTTTGTGTCGGGGCTGGTCCAAAACCCCTCAGGTGCACATATTTTTGTCTCTGGTTTTCCTTCTTGTCCTTCACATCACTTCTGGATGCACGGGAAGGAATGCAGGCGACAGCAAGTTCAGCTCTAGGGCTGCCACTTGCTGAGCTCTAGCTTGACCTGATTGGGTCTCTAATTTGGTTCAAGTATGTTACCAGTGAAAGGACTCACACATAAAAGCATTTCAAATAGTTCAGTGTTGCTTATTAGAATCTGATTCAACATTTCTAGTGGAAAACAGCAGCAGTCTTAAGAAGCTCTTTGGAACATGGAAAATGGATTGGGATATATCTTTTTTAAAGCCAAAAGGCTATGTATAATGTGCTAGCTTTCATAAACTTTGGCCATATTGCTCCTCTGCTTTCTCTGTCCCCTCTTTGTGGGTGTCCTCAGAGTCCAAAAGGGGCTGGTGAAGACAGGACTGATGCTTGTCCCCCTTTCTCCAAGAAGCGGCTCGCACATTTGTTTGGTTATCCTTCAGGAAAAGAGGCAGCAGGTCTGCAGTGAAGGGGATGTCTCTGAAAGAATGCAGTAGGAAGATGCCAAGGACAATGGTGAGGAAGCCACTGATGGTGCCAATGATGTGCATCAGAACCAGATGCTGCCACTCCTTGAACAGAATGGCAGAGCAAGTCATAACTGCTGTGGTGAAGAGGACGTAATAGATGGGGGTCACTACAGATGTGTTGAAGATATCCAAGGCCTTGTTTAGGTAGTTGATCTGGATGGTGATGGAGATCACAAGGCAAATAAAAAGTAAATAGCTCAACGGTTCCTTCCAGACAGGCTTCCCAGCAAACAGTTCTTTCAGGGCAATACCTAAGCCTTTCGCAGATGAGACAGAGAGCGAACCAATGGCAGAGCAGATCAAAACATACACTAAGACGTTGCTATGTCCATAGCGAGGCCCAGCCACAAAGATGAGAAGAGCTGAACTCACCAGCATGCACACAGCAAACACTATAAATCCTGTGGAGGAGGAAAGATGAGAAATTGTTAAGGACAATATGAATCTTTTAGGTGTAGCTTACTTCTGCAGGATGTAGACAGTTTTGTTCAGATCCATGAGTGCACAAGCTAGATTCAGTTAGTAGAATCTGGTGAGTTAAATACATAGAGGAAAAAGTATAAGCAGCAGAGCTTAGACAGTGGCTCAAAAGATAAGACACATAGCCCCCAGCTTATAATTTTTTTTGCACTGGGTTTGACTAGAACCAAGACCTTCCTCCTTCAGTTGCTTGTACAGTTTTTCAGTGCACAGTGTGCTTTAGAATTCTTATGATACTGTTATGGTTCAAAGCCAACTAAATGTCATCGGTGGGGAATAAAGAATAAAATAGGTCCTATAAAAATTATTGACTCACAGGTTACTGATTATCAACATGAGTTTTCATTCAATGAAATTAAGGAAAGCACTCAATTTCTGTCAAGTCCCCCTCACCCAAAATGGTATTCTGTTGGCGTACATACAATAGGTAAATGAAGAGGGGCAGTTAATACCTGGATCCTTTAGTTTCTCCGCCATTGACTCCAGGCTGGAGACCTCTTCCTCCTGTGGGGCATGGATGACCATCACAGTGGAGCCTAAAATGCTAAGGATACAGCCGATCTTCCCATGGATGTTCAGGTGCTCGTTCAGGAAGTAGGAGGCTAAAACTGCACTATAGGAAGATACAACTGTGTTGAGAAAGGACCTGAGACTGGCATCTTTATTTCCAGAAAAGGGCTTAGGGATTGGGAAACATCTGATCATGTTGTACTTACCTGACTAAAACACTTAGCGCTCCTAGAGGAGTGACCAGTGTTGCAGGGGCAAAAGCATATGCAGCAAAGTTGGCAACTTCTCCAATTCCCACTGCAAGAGAAGCAGTTTGCCATTGGCAAAAAAAAGGTTAACAAAGAGCAAATTCCATCTTCCTTTCTTACCCTCATGGTGGGTGAGAAAATCAGGTGACCAGCAAGAGAAGTCTTCTTAATTCAACATTATCCCCTCCACTTCCTATCAGTAATCTACAAATGACTAGGTTATTAGGCAGGCTAGTAATGATTTTAAATCATAGTAATAATGATGATGATGATGATGTACCCCATCCATCTGTAGACGCCCCAGCCACTCTGGTGGTTTAATTTGCAAGGCTGCTTTATTATAAAGCTCCTTATACCAAGGAACTCATTGGGAGCTATTGGAGGTCATGTAAGAAGGCAAAGGGAATAATTCAAGTTGTTGAAATGTAGGTGAAGATGGTAAAATCTTGCATGGAAGGACTTACTAGTTAGCAGCCCTGCCCACCACATCCATTCCTTCAGATATGCATGACCCCCTAGACCTGTGAAGAGAGAAAAGAAACCAAAGGTGAAGTTTAAATGAAAACAGAAGCTGGCCTGGAAAACTTTTTCAAACTCTTAAGAAGCACCGACAGCCTGGTTTCTGGGATTTTTCCCATCCACAACAGATGTCATGGTAACTCTGTGAGCTCCTATTCAATATCATTACCTGCTCTGACAGCACCTCTGCTACTTAGCTTGAGAAGTCCCTTCTTCTTTAGGATAAAACTTCCTCCAATGAACAGGCTAGAGCTGAGAGCCAGGCCCAGTCCGATGTAGAAGTCGTAACGTCCCATTGAGTCCTCCATTTCAATCACCTCAAGTTTTGAGAGAGAAAGATCAGAGTGTAAATGTCTGTTCCAGAAGAACAGCCATGTTGAATCTGCAATAGCAGGAAGCCTAAAATACAGTAATGCAACACTGGCAGGTTACGTCCTATGAAAAGTTCACTAAATAAGTATTCTGTCATACAAGCAACTCATGTTCTACCTACATGCTTCCAATGGACACAATGTCCTTTAAGTAGAAGTGATTTTTCTGTGAAGTGGCCCAATGTTCACTAATAGGGTAAGCATAACTAGCCTCCCTTTGCTACTTTTGACAGAAGGAAAAGGGGATTTTTTCCCTCCAGGCCTCAAATACTCTTGGGGTACACTGGTATAATCATAACCTTATGGGGTGGGGGGAGAAAGAAGATGGTGCCTGAAGCAAGTCTCCTGTGAGCACCAGCAGAGTGAGTAGGAGCTTTTAAAAACACGGGGAAAAAGACACACTCCCAGAAAACAATCTTACAGTGGTACCTCGGGTTAAGTACTTAATTCGTTCTGTAGGTCTGTACTTAATCTGAAACTGTTCTTAACCTGAAGCACCACTTTAGCTAATGGGGCCTCCTGCTGCTGCCGCGCCGCCGGAGCACAATTTCTGTTCTCATCCTGAAGCAAAGTTCTTAACCTGAAGCACTATTTCTGTGTTAGCGGAGTCTGTAACCTGAAGCGTATGTAACCCGAGGTACCACTGTATATCCCAGCCAGCTAAGGACTCCAGGAGTCACCAGACAGCATTTTAAACATCCTCCCTTCCTTTGAGGCTCTTCTGAAGCCCCTCTGAAATCCTGCTGAAGCCATCCAAAACTCCTTGAGGTTATCTAAAACTATTTTGAGGCTAATTACCACGTTCCGAGTTTCTTTCAAACAAAGCCCTCAAATATACGGACAGGATAAAGTGACCCAAATCTAGTCCGGGGATGGTACTCACAAGACAGAGTTATAAGGAACTGGGAATTTCTCTTACACAAGCTGCAGAAATGCCCCCCAAGGAAAAAACAGGCCAAAATCTTATAGTATTTCAAACCAAAAGCAGACGATACAAGAAACATGGAGAGCTTGCACTCTCACGAATTGTCTGTCGACCATATCTGGCATGGGAAGGATATGGAACCTTATAGGGACTATTTACCTCTCTTGTACTACTGGTGATGTGGGAACTACTTGCTAATGATCTTCCATAAGTCTTTTGAATGGCAAGTGAATACAGTCATAACTCAGGTTGAAGTAGCTTCAGGTTAAGTATTTTCGGGTTGCACTCCGCAGCGACCCAGAAGTAACGGAGCACGTTACTTCCGGGTTCGGCCACTCGCAAATGTGCAGACGCTCAAAATGACGTCATGCGCATGCGCGGAAGCGGCAAAACGCGACCCGCACAGTTGCGTGTTACGTTCTACTCAGGATGCGAACGGGGCTCCGGAATGGATCCCACTGGCATCCAGAGGTACCACTGTACCTGAAAAAGGGCCTATATTTATCCCCCTCTCCCTTCGAGGTGATGTTGTAATACTTAGGTGTCTGTGCTTGAGACCAAGACTCAGCTGACTTTTGGGCGTTTGTAAGCTAGCAGAATTCTGGGTGTTGGCTGTGACTCTCTGGAGATCTGGAGTTGCGTCAAACGCATATTAAAAAAATTGAGTTGCACAATTAAAAGTTGGTTTGGCACCCACTTAAAACAAAAAACCCCAAGCCTGGGACTTTTGGGATATAAATTCACTGGAAACATGGGAGGGGGGCGGCGGAAATAACTGGACATTAAACAACATCTCCACAAACCAACCAGGATGAATGTTCAATAAACAGGTTGCCTGGAGCAGCAAACTCAACCTGCGTATTTGCAATTAAACACAAATAATACAAAATGCCAGTAAGTCTCCATATACCTATATACTCTTAGCTGTTTTGTAGGCTGCCTTGAAACCTCCGGAGTAAATAGGCGGCAAATTTTACTTTAGATACACGCGCGCCCCCGCCAACCACAAACCACCAAGGTAACATAAAACATTAAAGGGGCTTAATTTGGGCGGAAAAGCAGACACTCCCCTTCGCCTTCCCCAGCCAAGTAACACTCGTCCCTGATTTTTTTTAGGGGGGGTGGATTACAGGTAAAGTAAGATTATAAGGGACTAAAGCCACTCCGGATTTATTAATCCGGATTTTTGAAAGGAAGCTTTCCGCGGTTCCCCTGAGCGAGGGGCCCCCCTAGGCCTGAGGCGAGCAGGGAGGTCGAGGCCTGTCTAAGGGCGGCGGGTGGGGTGGGGCGCGCCGGTACCTGTCGCTGCCGTCGCTCTCTTCCCTGTCAGGAGCAGCTGCCGGCAGGCCTCCCGCGGCGTCCCTTCCTCTCTCCGCCTCCTCCTCCGCCCCGTGGCCGCCTGTTCCGCTTCCGCGGCTTCCGGGGCGGAGCAGGGCTGGCCACCTTTGGCACACTTGGCTGCCGGCTGCCGGTGAGTGACTGGTGACTGGGGAAGCGGGGGTGGGCGAGGCGCGCCCCGGGGGGGGGGGGGACAGGCCTCACCTGAGCACTGCTGCTCCCAAGCCCAGCTCACCGAGGCCTCCGCCGGCCCCAGATCTCTCCCTAGACCCTTCCTTTCATTTCTCGGGACTTTTCCACTTTCTCTCTCTCCGCGCTATCTCACCCCACCCCCAAAGGGGGAAAAAACCCACCTTCAGGGCTCCCCATACCCTCGCAACACCTCCGATGAAAATAGGAGCGGCCCCCTATCCCATAATGATGATATGGGATATTCTGGGCTCAGATCCAGAAACCAGGATGGGGGGTGGGGTGGGCGAGGCGCCCCCCGGGAGGACAGTCAGAGGGCTGTCCTTTGAAAATAGGGACACACGGAGAGTCTGAGAGCCTGTGGGGAAATCTGCAAGCAGGATCTGAATGCAACAGCACTCTCTTCACTTGTGATTTCATGCAGTTGGTATTTAGAGGCCTATTGGCTCTGACAGTGAAGGAAGAATGTAAACATTGTGACTAGTTGCCACTGATAAGATAAATTCATGCAAAATGGGACCAATTCTTTCTTAAAGCCATCCCAAGTTGGTAGCTTTTAGTATCATTTAAATGCCCTGTTGTATGTGTAAGTAAGGTGGTTAAATGATACATTTTAATACACTTAAACTGGGCACAATTTTAAATCAGCTTTGATGGGGAAAGCTCCATGCTTTGTATGGAGAAGGTCCCCAGTCCAGCCTCTGGCACTTCCTGTATCAGCATGGAAAACTAACACTTAGGGTAGCAGCTTTGGTCTAGATCAGGTATCTTCAGCCTTTTCAGGTCCAGGGCCCACCTTCAATCCAAATTTGCATCTGGGGACCCATTTCTTATTTTTTACCATATATTTGCATGGTGGTAATGCTCCTCTTATGACCCACCTTGGAAAACGCAGCAATTCACTAGTGGGTCCCAACCCACCAGTTGAAGACCAATGATCTAGATGGTTTGATCATCTGACTTTGTATAAGACATTATTCAACCAGATCCATGCACAATGCAAGGATTTGGTCTTGTACCTGTAGTACTCAATGATGTCTTCATTCAAGTAAAGTCTGTTTCCCCTCCCCAGTTTAAAATAATATGGTTTCCAGCAATCCTGATTTAATTCATCTCTGATATAGCCATTGGATAGTCTTGCAGAGCATTCTTTCCACACAAAAAAGCAGTTATCGTGTAATGGCTCAGAGATTGAACCACAATCCAGATGCTTAATCAGCCTCAGCCCCTTCGCTCACCTGATGTGTAAGGAGAATGACTGACTTTGCAGAGTTGTTGCAGTAAGATACTGCATACTAAGTGCTTTGAATGTTCCAATTATTTTTCAAAATACTAATACTAACTATTATTCAACATACATGTCATTACTTCTTTGGTTGTGCCCTATCTATGGTCCTTAAAAAATGCTTCATTTTGGAGTCAACGTATGAAAGTTTCATACTGGTAACCACTAAAAAAGCTGAGGATAATCTGATTTCTGAACTTGTTTGCCTTTTTTGTCAGTATGGTGTAGTGGTTAAGAGCGGTAGTCTCGTTATCTGGGGAACCGGGTTTGCGTCTCTGCTCCTCCACATGCAGCTGCTGGGTGACCTTGGGCCAGTCAGTCAGTTTTATTGCACATAGCCAAAGGCTGCCGCAATGTACACAGAATTATTTGACAATTAAAAGAAAATATACTACTTTGGGCCAGTCACACTTCTTTGAAGTCTCTCATCCCCACTCACCTCACAGAGTGTTTGTTGTGGGGGAGGAAGGGAAAGGAGAATGTTAGCCGCTTTGAGACTCCTTAAAGGGAGTGAAAGGCGGGATATCAAATCCAAACTCTTCCTCTCCAAACTCTTCTATGGTAAGTATGGCAACCATAGTGCCATCCAGATATTTTAAGATAACAACTCCCATCACCCTTGCCCATTATCATGCTGTCTGGGAATTTGAAGTCCATAACATCTGGATGACACCACATTCAATTCTAATCCAACCTAGACAGATGCCAATGGTCAGGGATGCTGGGAGTTGTAGTCTTCAATACCTGGAAAGAACCATGTTGGGCTACCCTTGCTATAGGTAAACAAATTATTGCCTGCAGATTAGCTGATCCTCAGCTATAGAGAGAGAGGTTATGAGGGATGGGGGAGAGTTCAGGGGAAGAGTTCAGGGGAATTATTATTATTAAGGGATTTATTATTGTTATTGTTGTTGTTATTATAGAATCTCATTCATGGGGACAGAGAAACAGCAATTTGATGTATTTAATCTCACTTTAGTAGCAGGCATTGTTTGATCTACAGACATTTTTCTTTTCTTTTTTTAACTGTTGTTTTCTGCATTTATGTTTAGTTTTTTTGAATGGTACAAGTTTTTATAAACGTTTGCGTGAAGCAAGAAGAGGAGAGATGGCATCTACAAGTAATGCATTTGTTTCTTTTATGATACTCTGGTGTTGGCTCTGTAGTTCTTTCTAGAAGAAGGATCTAAATGCAAATATTACTCCTGCCTTTCTGAAATTATCCAAAAGAGGACTGCAAGCCTTTGGAGTGTGATTAGGGGAATGGAGGGGGCGTACTGGAGCAAAAATGTTGATGAGCTGCTGTGTTTTGAGACAGTGAAATCTGTAGCCTTTTACACATGTGGCATCCATTGCCAACTTTATAGAAGGTTTTACTGTCACTAGTTCAGTGGCAGGGAATCTCCACTTTTACTTGCCACCCAGTCAGCACCCAGTGCTTCATAAATGGCAGGATCTTTACTACCAACGGCTGCATTCTCCTTATGCTTCAAACAGTAATCTTATACTGTACTGTGATTCCTGCATTCCTTTGATCTTGTGTGGATTGTCTGTGATCAAATCTGATTTTCTACACTGCTGATCACACCTTATTTGAAAGAGCTAAGAATGACTTTTTCAGAGTATGGGGTGGGGAAGAAGAGAGAAGCTTTGCTAGCTTGATTCTGCTCTTTATCTTAAAGCTGTTGAGTTTTGCCCTGTCGTATGACTGAAACTGCGGCTCAGAGTAAATTATGGAGACTGTAGTGGCTATGTGGGCAAACCCTTCTGCTTTTACCATCTTGCCTTTTATTTCTTAAGCTGCCAGTTGCATCTGTGGCTTTATTGTCCAGAATATGCTTTTCATGTGTGGTGCAAGTTCTCTAGTTCCTTCAAATAAGGTGCTTCTGAGCAGAATGCATTTGGGTGTACTGCTACTTTGAGGCTATTAGCAACACAGCAGGTTGGATAACAAAGGTTGAGAGAAGCTACTTTTAGGCCAACAGGTAACCATGCTTTCTCTTTTCTTGTTCCCTGAAACACAAGAACAAAAGATGAGCAAGAACAAAGATGATGCTCCCCATGAATTGGAGAGCCAGTTTATACTGAGACTGCCTCCGGTAAGAGACCCTTTGCAATAAATAGCCTCAAAGTGCTCTGTGCTTGCTTCCTGATTCTATTGCTGGAGGCATGAATATGGGTTGGTACAGTGGTACCTTTCTGTACACCCATGTTCAGTCCACGTCTTCAGTGCCTGCATGGGCTGGGTGTCGGGAGCACCTTCTCTGACCTTCCGATCACAGGAACGTAGGAACATCAACACAGCATTCCCGAGGAATAGGTCCTGGTGCAGTGGACTCACATTTGCTCATGTGAGCACCTGAAACGCAGCAGAGTAACAGAAGCAAAGCTGTGGAGGTTTTGTTGCATACCTAATTTATTTCTTCTAATTAAACAAACAAAAGAACATAACAAACATGTACGAGAGAAACAGCTCTCTCATACTGCCATCTTGTCTCTAGACAGGTCAAAGAAAAAGACACATAGTGCTAGGGATGGAAGTCTGGAAGAGTAGCTTCCTCCCCCTCCTTTAGACAGAAAGGAAAACAAACATGATCTGGTGATCCTTGCAAAGGGAGGGATGAAAATGCTGACAGTACCTCTACTTACGGACCCGATCCGTTCCAGGGTGCCGTTCGCACCCTGAAAAGTCTGTTAGAGTGCTGCTTCTGTGCCTGCATGTGACGCAATAGAGCGCTCCTGCGCGTGCGTGAAGCGCACAGATTGCTCCTGCACATGCGTGAAGCGGCGAACCCGGAAGTAAACACGTCCAGGTTTGCCGCATTCGTAACCTGAAAAAACGCAACGTGAAGCAAACGCAACTTGAGGTATGACTCTATTGTAAACTCTGCCTTTTCAGGAACATGCTTCTACTGTGCGGAGGGCAGTCCAGTCTGGAAGTGTCAACTTGAAGGACAGGCTCACCATAGAATTGCATGGTAAGAGGACCAGGTCAATGAGTTCTTACTTCTTGGGAGTTGTATCCAGTGCTAGTCCTGCTCAGAGTAGACCCACTGAAATGAATGGACATGGCTAACTTTGGCCTATTAATTTCAGTGAGTCTAGTCTGAGTAAAACTTAATCAGCTAGAACACTTGACTTTTGTTGTTACACATTTATTACCTTAAGCTATTCATCAGGTCCTGCAGTTTGGAACGCCCAATCATTAGGAAGCTATTGGGTGGGGCTACATGAAATTGCTGGGGAGGGAGAGGGATTGTTCTGCCACTGATGCCTCTAAAAACAGCGGAAAAGTTGAATTAGTTTTTTGTAAATGGGGGTAGTACAACTGGTCTTTTCTCCTATCTATACTTCAGGAAGATAATATATCTAATCCACGTTCCCACCTGTAATGTTGGTTTCCACATGCATGAATATCACTTGATTTGATTGGCTGTTCAGTAGGTGACTTATGTGTTTGAGGTTACATGAGCATTATTTTAATGATAACCCATTCACATTTGCAAGTTATCACTGAATGTTGCAGTAATCAAAGTTCTGCACAGTATGCCAGTATTATTTTTTTGTTATAAAGGAAAACATGATTGAGATGTATAGGTGCCTTCCAACTTATGTGTGATCGACTCATGCGTGACTGGGAAATAATTAAATAATTCAAACCCAGAAATGGCAGGAGGGAGCTGGCTCACGAGGAGACCCTCTATGGAGCCTGAAGACGATGCCAGTGAGGGCAGAGGAAGCCCTGAAGAGACTGGAAGCACAGTGGGGCTTTGTTCTGGCTGCTTAGCCTCCTTGTCTAACAGCCGACATGTGGGGTAGCTCAGGAGCAGCAGCCTCTTTCCCATGCAGCCTCCAGCTGACCCCAGAATGTCAATTCTAGTTGTGCATATTTTTTGATACAGTATTTTTGGTATGAGAGGGAGTTTAGAGGGTGCGCCACGCTTTATACGATTTCACTTATGTGTTCAGGGGGCTGGAAGCAACCCCTTTGTTAGTGTGAGGATGCCTGTATAAAATGATGCGGACACAAGAGAAGTTTTTCTCACTCTCTCATAGAATTTGGCATCCAGTGGAGCCAAATGTTGAGAGGACAGACAAAAGGAACAACTTCTTCACATAATTTGTAGTTAATAGTTTATAGTTACTGTGTAATTTGCTACCCCAAGATGTAGTGATGGCCAGCAGCTAGGATGACTTTAAAAGGGAATTGGAGAAATTCATGGCTACTGGTGGCTGCTAGTTCTGTTGGCTACATTGCCTCCAATATCAGAAGCAGTATGCTTCTGAATACCAGTTGATGAGGAACACAAGCAGGAGGTTATTGCTCTCATGTCCTCAGGGTGACCATTGAGGCAAATAGGAAACTGAGCTAGATATGCCTTTGGTCTGATCCAGCAGGGCTCTTATGAAGTAGCGCACATGCACACATGTTAAACATGCCAGAACTGTGTTTTGAATTGCTAATAAGATACCACGAATCTTCAAGTGCAAGCCTACTTTCCTCTCTGCAGCAGATGGCCGCCATGGGATTGTGCGAGTAGACCGGGCCCCATTAGCCGCTAAGCTGGTGGACTTGCCTTGTATCACAGAGAGTTTAAAAACAATCGATAAGAAGACTTTCTATAAGACAGCAGATATTTGCCAAGTAAGTATTGTCTCATGGTCTGGATATCAGACTTTCTCTGTCCCCCCTGTGTCTTGTACACAGTCTCAATTTTACCCCCACTCTCATTTCCATGCTCTTTATGGATGTTCCACGATGTAAAACATCTACACCCAATTTTGAGTGTGAGAAATTCCTTACAGGTGGCTGTTCCCCCGAAGCAAGAAAATTGAACGGTCTTAGAGAGGCTTGTGCCTAATACTGTTGGTGACAAAATGGTTGGTTGTCTCCTCTTCTCCCCAGTGCTTTCATATCCAACCAGTGCTGGCTTCAGATTTTGGCCAGCCTTCAGGCACAATGATCTCGATGGGGCCCTTATCTCCATGAGTTCAAGAATTCAAATACCAAAATAATAGGAAGGTACAAATATTAAACAAAACCTATACCATACTGAAACTTCAGATGGCTACATCCATAGCCATAAATAAGAATAATGTGCAAAAATGTGTGATAATAAAGTTTAATATTACCAGCATAATAGTAATATGAATGTTACTAGAGCCTTCAGGTACCCAGCAGTGCGAATCCCTGACATTGACCTTGCATATAACAGTTGCCTCTCTTTGTGGGGATTTAGATGCTTGTGTGCACTGTGGATGGTGAACTATACCCTACTCAGGAAGAGCCAGCGCCAGCGACTACTGATGCTAAAACTCCTTCAAGTACCGATGTCAAAGCCAATAAGAAGAAAGACAAAGACAGAGAGAAGAAGTTCCTCTGGAATCATGGCAGTGAGTAGAATATTTCATTTCACCTTCCTTACTCGACTTTGTGCCCGCTTCTCATTCTACCTCCAGAAAAGTCCCCTCCATTGATCCTCAAGGAGTTGGAGTATTGTTTGCCAATACAATACGACTAAGATTCACCCTCACCCTCTTGGTTTCTTCGAAATTGGGGAGCTGCCATTGGCTGTTCTCGTCTTTGCTGCCTAGCTCACTGCTCAAGGAGAGATCCATTTTCCCTTAGATAGTCACAATGCCCTTCAGCTCTCCCTTTTGCCCTATGTAATTAATTTGCTGTGCTGTTCCAGTTACTCTCCCACTGAAGAATGTGAGGAAGAGGCGGTTCAGGAAGACAGCAAAGAAGAAGGTGAGTTGCATCTCCTTGTTTGGTGTTAACTTTGAATCGTTGCTCACACATGCTGTGGCAGAAAGCCAACCACAGTGCAAACTGAAGCAGGCTAAAAGTTCCACCAAATCAGATAAATGTTCACCAGTCTGGCATGATTTCATTGTTACATTGACAAGAAAGACAACAACAGAGGGTCACTAGCACAGTTGTGTCTCCATCTAGAACTCTCAATGAATGTATATGTGACAGCTTGCCATAGTTAATTAAACCCATAAGAAGGACCTGAGCTCAATAGCTTGTTTTCATTTATGATTCCTAGCAACTGGTATTCAGAAGCAGGTATGTGTCTGATACTGGAGGTAATATATAACCTTCATGAGTAGTAGCCACAGTTTCAAAAGATGCACATTCTTTCTTATAGGAAAAATCCCACTATAGGTCATTCTGGTTTCTTCAAAAACAAACAAAGAGAAATCACATGTCCTTGACTGACAAAATGTAGTAATCCAGTCAGCAGGAACAGATTGACCAGTCTTGTGTGGTTTGTTTTGTTGTTGCTGTTTTTCAAGTGGAATTCCCATGATTCACTGATTTATGTTTTTCAGTGTATAAAATAAGAGAGCATAGAATATTTTAAGGCAGCTTCCCCCAACCCAGTGCCCTCCAGATGTTTTGAACTTGTACTCCCATCCTTGCCAGCCCAGGTTACCAATGGTCAGGGATGATGGGAGTTGCAAGAGAGAGTGGGGGCCCCCACTGTGATGGGGAAGGCTATGTGCTAAAGTGTGCCAAATGATCCTGAATATGCAGATCTAAAAACCGTAAGAAGTTCCTTGCTGGAACAGACCAAGGTCTGACTTATCCAGCATTCTTTGTGAGAATCTGAGCGATCAGGAAGCACTAAGTGATGTGCCATAAATTGTCCTCCCTGGTCTGCTGGTAGACCACAGTCTCCTTTCCGCCCATCTCCATTTGAAGGCCTTTGGAGAAGAAGTTGTGACTTGCTTGGAATAATTGCAGGAATCTTACAGGATGGCTCAGGAATGCCTTTGAAAATGTAGGTAGAAAGGTTGCAGGTGTGTCTGTGGCATCCAGTAGGAATGACACTTTGGGCTGAGGCACAACCAACTTGTGGGTGCATAATATTGTTTCTCTTTCTTTCTTCCTCTCTGGCCCAGTACATTGAGTCTCCAGATGTGGAAAAGGAAGTGAAGCGCCTTCTGAGCACAGATGCTGAAGCTGTCGGAGTCCGTATCTTTTCTTTCTAGTGGTTGCTTTTTATGTAGACCAGTTTGCCATCCTTGCCTGAATACACAAGTGCTGAATGTATGTTTGGGGGCAGAGGTATCCCACAATCTTGACCCCAGCAAGCATTGCATGCTTGTCCTCTCATGCATTGTGTGTCTCCTCTCATCCCCCACACTCATGACTTCCTGCATGTTGCTCTGGTTAGGCCAGCTGGTGGTGGCTGTTGTTCTTTTTTGCATTAGTATCGATCAAGTAGAATTCTGTGTATGGCAAAGACCCAGAGTGGAAGAGTCTGCTTGCATCTGACTGAATGTGAGCAGACATATCCTGGCGGCATCTTTCTTGGGATTTATGGCACTTACAGAGGCTAGTCCATTAGGGCACCTTGGGCACTGCCTTGCTAACTGTCCTCAGTCTGCCCTCAGCTGGCCACATCTGCTTGCCTTGCTATTTTCCTCCAGTCTGAAAAGTGGAATTGCTTGTCAGCTTCCTCTTTCTCAGTCTCAGTATTGCCCTTGTAAAACTCAGCAAGGAGGAGGGTGGGAACAGAACCAGAGTTAATGGCTCCACCTATCCTTGTCTCTGGTTGTACCTACTGTTCGTCTCCCTACCTTCTGCCCAACTAGTTCCAGTGGGTACCAGCCACCACTGCGTTGTACCATACCTGTTCAGGAAAGTAGTGTGTGCAAAAAGGAACAGGTGTAGACACCAATTAATGTGCTTCAGTGGAAAGCTGGAGAGTGTTTTCTAATCATCTGAAGAATATTGCTGTAGCATCAATTTTCCAGCGCAGATTCCATTTTTCTAGAGGATGCCTCCCTATTGAACTGGTTTTTCCTTGACTCTTCTGTACCTGTTCTGAGGCTGGGAGGTCATTGCCGAAGATGAAACAAAAGACCCTGACAACCATGGTTCACTCACAAGCTTGGATATTTCTTCTCCTGGGCTGTCTGGACACAAACCAAGCCATGGTACTGCAGGTATTGTCAAACTTCAGTAGCTCCCTAACTTAAAGGAAGAGCTGTAGATCATCTTATCTTGTATGCCAGAGTTTGAAGGTTCAGTCCCTGATACCTTAATAGGTATTTTGTGGTTTTATATCTTGGTTTTATACTGTGAACTGCCCTGAGACCTCTGGGTATAGGTAAAGGTAAAGTACCCCTGACAGTTAAATCCAGTTGTGAACGACTCTGGGGTTGCGACGCTCATCTCGCTTTACTGGCCGAGGGAGCCGGCGTTTGTCCACAGACAGTTTTTCTGGGTCATGTGGCCAGCATGACTAAGCTGCTTCTGGTGAAACCAGAGCAGCGCATGGAAACAGCACTTACTTTCCCGTTGGAGCTGTACCTATTTATCTACTTGCACTTTGATGTGCTTTCGAACTGCTAGGTTGGCAGGAGCTGGGACCGAGAAACGGGAGCGGAGCTCACCCCATCACGGGGATTCGAACTGCTGACCTTCCGATCGGCAAGTCCTAGGCTCAGTGGTTTAGACCACAGCACCACCTGTGTCAGTATATAAATTCAATAAATAATAATAATAACCTCCAGTTAAAATTATTGGGAACCAAGTGATGAGTTCCTTTCTGCTTGAGTTCCTAGAGAGACACTGCCTTTCAAAGTGGACAGTCCTGGGCTAAATGAACAAATAATCTGACCTAGTATAAGGTAGATGCCTGTATTCATATTCCAACTTGTTGTTGCTTTCATGCGGATGGCTAAGTACAAAATATATAGATAGTAGCTTTTGGGTACAGTTTTCGGACCCAGTGGGGTAGAGAAAAATTTCACCTGGCCTGGCAAGGAAGAAGGAGGTCTTTCAATTAAAACAGCGTCAAGGAGGCTATTTGTTACCATGCTAACCAAAAGGTTAGCAACACTTTTCTAGGATAATTTTTACTGTGCATATTGTAAACTATACTCTTCCCTTTTTCTTGTTGCTTCAAAGCAATAGAACATGCTGAGCTCCGGGAGATGTTTAAGGATGTCAGCAGTACCAGCAGTGATGAGGAGGAGAGGGATGACCTGAACATCATGGACACAGAAGAAGACTTAGCGAGGAGACTGCAGTGCAAGCTGAATGAATCAGATGGGCAACAGCAAGAAAATGAAGGGTCCAACCAGATGGGTATGATGCCTGAGGCCCCCAGGGAGGGAGGCTGTACAGTAGATGGGGTGGTCAACTTGAATCAGGACCTTACTCGGCTTGTGCCAGAATGTGCAGAGGATTGTTTGACTTGTTTCTGGAAGTGCTAAGTTATCTGCTCTGTCTTCCAGCCATGGGAATCCAGAAGCAGATCGACAACCTGAAAGACAAGTTGCAGGAGACCCAGGAGCGCAGAAAGCGCCAAGAAGATCTCATCATGAAAGTAGAGAACCTAGCCCTCAAGGTGAATTCAGCATCACCACCCCTTCTCTAGAACCTAGAGAAAGTCTAATATAAGCCTACTCAGCTCAGCTGAGTTTGGCAGGTGTTTATAGCTAGTAGGCATCTCGTTCAACAGAGACAATAGTCCCTATGGTGGTAGAGTATATGATTTGCAGAAAGTCTCAGGCTCATTCCCTGAATATCCAGTTAAAAAATAAATTAGGTTGCAGTTGGTGAGTCTCTGACTGAGACTCTGGAGAACCACTGCCAGTTGGGGTAGACCAGAGATGGGCAATCTTTTCAGACCACGTGTCACGTTCTCAGATAGGCAGCCTTCTGGGGGTGAGTAGCACAATAAATGTCAGATTTACTTTTGTGCAGTATACGTCCATCACTGTCTTCCATGCAAGCAACTAGGAGGCAGTAGCAGAGTTCAAGGATGCATTCCAGCCAGCCAGTAGCATGCAAGGGAGGTTGTGAAGTAGGGCTTCTTAGGGGTGTGGCTTGGGGAGATTCCCGTGGGCCAAATAGAGCAGCCTGGAGGGTGGCATTTGACCCCCTGGCATGATATTTACGCACCCCTGCAATAGACAGTACTGAACTAGAATGTCAGCATTCTTCAGCCTTGAGTCTCCAGGTATTGTCTGACTACAGTTCCCATAATCTCCACTTAAGTATTTGTCGGGGATGATAGACGTTGTAGTCCATCAACATGGAGATCCATGGCTAAAGGAACACAGGATGGTCAACAAACTGACCTCATAGAAAGCAGATTCGTCTTGGGGAGCAGGTAGATAACCCTAGTATATCAGGGCTCACTTCCTAGACAATAATTTGAGAAAGAACCTGAATAGGTAACCAAGTTTTAAGGAGAGTAATACAGCCCTGTGCTGTTTTCATCTTAACCCGTGGCTTGAGAAAATCCACACCCTTGGGTTATAGCAGCAGCACAACCTGCGATTTTGCCACAGTTGCCTTTTTATGTGGTTGGTCTGTGTGGGAGGTCAGTGCAGGCTGAAGACCCAGCTGTGCGCATGAAACTGCCCTTTGCAAAAGAAAACCTATATGTGTTGTGTTCTTTTGTTAGAAAAGTACAGGAGCAACAGCCACATTTCCTGCCCATCTTGTTTTCCAGACCCGCCTCCAGGCTGTGCTGGATGAATTCAAACAGCAGGAAGAGCTAGAGAAGCAGCAGGTAAGGTGGTCTGTAAGGCTGACAAATGGGGAAAGGGCAGTACAGTTAATCAAGCTGCATTGTGAATCCACAAGCAATGCTAAAGACTTGCCCCCATGTGATAATGAACCATATTTTCCCAACTGTGAACTTGAAAAGCTTTTCGTCATTTGAGAAAAATTATGTTGTGCTCTCTGGTAAGATACAGTGAAATGCTTGCCAGTAGCTGAACTGTCCGCAAGTGCTTTGTAGTGTGGCTTAAGAGCTCTTAACCATATTTTGTCTCTCTACATTCTGTTTCTCTTCAGCTGGCCTCTCTTCAAGAGCAGCTAGAAGCCCTTATGGAAAAGTGAGTCCGGCTTTGACACACCAAGCCAGTACAGACGTGATGCCAACCGAAAAGCTCCAGAGACTGCCTGCCTTTTTTGGGGGGACCCTTTTTAATTCACCAGTGTTAGACGGATTTGGTTCTATGACTGGGAAGCAGATCTCTGTCAGTTTTTGATGTTTTATTTGCACAAGGGTTTTGCAGGTAATAGACCAGACATGTAGACAGAAAGTACCATCACTTGAGGGGAAGACACTGGTTCCCTCGAGCACACACACATGGTCGGTCTCCTGATGAAGATAGAAAAGTCTTAATTACAGTCTTGGTCCTTAAAATTTATTACAATTTGCTAGAAGCTACCCAGAGTGGCTGGGGCAACCCAGCCAGACAGGCTGCATAGAAATAATGATTTTTTTAATATAAATTTAAAAAATAATTTAATTATTTTACTTTATGCTGAGCCAGCATGCAACATTCTCATTTTTATTTTTTATTTTAAAAAAGCAGCTTATGCTCCTAAGAGTAGTGTGAAATTATTTATTTCCTGGAAGAGAGTTGTTAGGGCACAGTGCAGAAGCGACTTGTGAGAAGGAAAACACCACTGTTCCCATCCTTCATGTACTGACATGTGTTGTCTGTAAGAGGTTTACCTACAAAATAACAGCAAATAAAAATGTATGTTTATTGATCTCATATTTTTTGTAATGTGGATAGTTTCCCCAAGATGGTTGGATACACACAAGCTAATCCCAGCTTTCTCCCTCCAGAGGAATAGCTTTTTAATTCTTATGGCTAAACAATTTCAACATACAATAGGTTCAGAAGGTAATGGGTATCCTCATCATCAAGCATTCTGCCCATTCCTGCTCATGCTCTGTCCCTTCACAACTTCGCACTGCATCATTCCATTTGTAGTCATAATCTAATCACTGTCTGTTATTTTAAAGAGAGAGAGTGAGTGAGTGTAATATTATGCCTCTTGACCTCAGTGTGGGTTGTGTCTTTTAAAAACAAAATGAACATGTGACTCTCCAGATGTTCAGCTCAGCTCCCCTCAGCCAGTATGGTCAGTGGTCAGAGATAATGGAAATTGTAGTCCAGGAACATCTGGAGGTCCACAGGTCATTCCACCTCTGTTGTATAGATGCCATATAAAACAAATGAGAAAACTACTGCTAAACTTGAAAGCTAGCTATCTCAATCTGTTAATTTTGTATAATTCCATTTGGATCAACCTGACTTCCTCCCACTGGAAGTTTGAACTCTGGTTTTGAAGTAAATTAATGTCCTTGAGTTAGGATGTCCTCTGGGTGGTACAACTTAGAGGATCAACTGAACAACCTGTCTCATCCCTGCCAGTTGCAGCATGGTGAACATAATGTATGTTTTGTGTATTTTTTTATGGCTTGTACTTATAAGTATGGGTTGTACTTTGACCAAACTGCGGGAGGCAGTGGAAGAGAGGAGTGCTGGTCGGCCAATTGGTGCGAAGGGAGGATAGAACTTTCTTTATGTATGCTACAACAGCAGCAAGAATACTCATCGGGAAGTACTGGAAGACACAAGAATTGCCCACCCGAGAAGAATGGCAGATGAAAGTGATGGACTACATGGAACTGGCTGAGATGACCGGCAGAATTCGAGACCAGGGAGAAGGGTCGATGGAAGAAGATTGGAAAAAATTCAAAATATATCTTCAAAAGTACTGTAATATAAAAGAATGTTAGAAGGAGGTTGGAAAAAGAAAATTAGGTCGTTCTGGTAGATGGACTAAGCAAAAATGAGTTGATGAAATCGATGAATTAGAGGAGGTCTAATCACATTATTTTAATTTTAAAATATGTAAATGAAAATAAGGTTAGAAGGATTTGCTGGAAACACGATCTGAACTAGAATACAAAACTGGGAGGTGAGAGGAGGTCATGGAAATAAGTAAAGGGAAAAGGTTATGTAAAGGTTTAATCTGTTTTTGTTTTATTTTAACTTAATGTATTTTCATATTTTTGTCAAGTTTTCTTTTTTATTCTATCTTATTGTTCTTTTTTTTACTTGTTTATCATTTGCTCTGTTATGGTTAAAGCTTTTTTTGTATTTTGTATGGTTTTTCTTTTTCTTTTTTGGAACTTTAAATCTGGAATAAATATCATTTATTTTAAAAAAAAAAAAAAAGAGTGCCTGGCGTGCTCTGGTCCATGGGGTCACGAAGAGTCGGACACGATTAAACGACTAAACAACAACAACATGGGTTGTACTTAGATTGCATTGAAATCAGATAAGTTGTGACTTTCAAGTTTCATTGATTTCAGTGGTAGCTAAGTGGGACTAACATGGAAACAACCCTGGGTATTGATGCAAAATATGCATTAAATCATGAAATGGGCTGCAACAAAAAGGCATCTAACAAGTGTGAAAAGAAGGTTTTCCAAATGTACCAAAAACATTCCTTACCTGGGGCACCATTTGATCTCTGGTTAACCCTGGGAGGGAGGTTTATGGCCCAGCATTCTTTTGTAGAGGAAGCATTTTTCTACGGAGGGGCATTCACACTCTCAACTAGCCCTAGGAAATTGCTAGCATCTTCTAGAAGGATGCTGGGGGATTTCTCTGTTTACTAGACTAGCCTAATCTAATTTCATACCTACTAAGAAGGCAAATCCTGGATTAACCTGGCCTGGCAAGGAGGGGATCAGGAAGGCAGCTTCAGTGTGTTGTTTTCCCAGCACATTGGAGAAGGTGACAAGGACCAGGACAATATCTCTGCCTCCAGAAGGGGTCTGCGCAGAGAAGAATTTCTGCTCAATTCTCTAGAGTCGGTTGGACATTAGTACCATCAAAATAGATTGGGAGTAGAAGTGGGTCTGTTGCAGCAAGGCATTGTAAAACAATCTAAAGAGTTCTCCGGAAAAGAAAAAAAAGCCGCTAGCAGCTCTGCCATGGAGGAAACATATCTACTTAACGTGGAAGGAGTCAAGAAAAAGATTTTACATGGCGGTTACGGTCCGTTGCCAGATTTCAAAGATGGGAGCAAGGTAAATGGCTGCAAGCATAGAAACCATTAAAAATGTGTAAATAGGATCATAGGAAGATGTCTTACACCATGCCAACTCGTCTCAACCATCTCATGGTTGTCGATATACTGTACTGAGTTGCAATGGCTCTTCCAAGGTTTTGGACAGGAGACTTTCAATCCCAGCTGGAGGTGCTGGGTACTTAAATAGGGACCTTTTGCATGCTAAGCATGCGCTCTGCCCCTGAGCTAGAGCTCTTCAGCAGTTATTAGCAATTATGGCTAAATTGAACCTCCATGTTTGGAGACAGTATACCCTGAATTTGAGTGGCTGGGGTCGGCAGCATGAAAGAGCAATTGCTTTCATGTTCTGCTTATGGGCTTCCTGGATGCATGTTGCTGGCCACTGTTGGAAATGGGTGCTGGACTAGGTGGGCCTTTGATCTGATTCAGCAGGTAATTGATTCTTAGGTAATTAGGTAAAAAACAGCAGAAGGGTTGACCTGGAACACTCCTCTTTATTCCTCTGCCTTCTGTCTCTTCTGACTACTGGCTTTAGAAAGCTGTTTTTCAGTTACAGAAGTAAAGCGCATAGTAATAAGGCAGTGAATCCTTTTCAGTTGTATAATATGCCTAACGTCTATAGAGCCGTGGAGGCTAAGCGCTGTGTCAGGTGCTAGCCCTATTCAGAGTAGACCCATTGTAATTAAATGACCTACTCTCAGCCCTACATATTTAAGTTCCTGTCCTACCTTTCAGTTATGTGCTTTCGGAATTATGACACTCATTTGCTATTGGTTAGCAGTTCGAAAGCACGTCAAAGTGCAAGTAGATAAATAGGTACCGCTCTGGCGGGAAGATAAACAGTGTTTCTGTATGCTTCTCTGGTTTCACCAGAAGCGACATAGTCATGCTGGCCACATGACCTGCAAAAACTCTGCAGACAAATGTTGGCTCCCTCGGCCAGTAAAGCAAGGTGAGTGCCGCAACCCCAGAGTCGTTTGTGACTGGACTTAACTGCCAGGGGTCCTTTACCTTTAAAGGACAAAAATTCCCACATAGGAAGAGGAAACTGAGCAGAGTCCCATTCAATGGGGGGAGGCAATAAATAATTGCCCCAGAACATTGTGGAAGGCAAAGCAAAGGTGGTTCTGAACTTCCAGAGGTTTAGATTTGAGCTGACTAGAGTCCTAACCATTATTAACTTTAGTTTGCCTTTGATCCAGATCACATTCCACTTCCAGACGCTAAAAGACAACTTTGAGAGAACGGTGATAGATGACAGCCGGGGCCCTGGCATCCCCATGGAGATTATTGTGGGGAAGATGTTCAAAATCGAGGTGTGGGAGACCCTTCTAACTTCCATGCGGATCGGCGAGGTGGCAGAGTTCTGGTGTGATGCTATTGTGAGTGTGCAATTGTGGCAGGCATACCCTGAACGCATGAAATTGTCAAGTTCATGCCTACCCTAATTAGCAGAAAGTTATTTGCAATTGACTATCAAGCATCTGGTACCCTTCAGATGCTGTTGAACTCCAACTCCCATCTTCCCCAGCTAGCATGGCCAGTGGCCAAGGAAAATAGGAGTTGTAGTCCATCAACATCGGGAGAACACCACAGTGGCTATCCTAAAATATGCTCACAACCTCCCATCATTTGACCTTGCTATCCAGATTCATTAAAATAGTTCCCCAGACTCCACCTTTTCAAAGTCTGGAACGTAGGAAGCTCCCTTATACCGTGCCAAATTACTGGTCCATGTAACCCAATACAGTCTACGTTTAACTGGCTACATATCTCCAGGGTCTTGGGAACAAAATGGTCTTTCCCATCACCAGCTACTTTATTATTTTAATTTGAAACCTAACCCTACCCTCAGCATGTAATGCAGGAACTCTACCACTGAACTACATGCCTCATCAATCAATTTCATTTTATCAAGTGCCTCTTGCGATAGATTCTGGAGTAAAGCAGGGATGGAAAATTGCAAAGGGTTTTGGACTCGAGGGGGCGGGGCGGGCTGTGGGTTCAAATACCTGTTAACTTGCCTCTCGCCTTCAGGCCTTGGGCAAATTTCCGTTTCTTATTGTGAGTTGACTATGGGCTATTTCCAAGCCACCCGTTTACTGAACATCCATCCTGATTTGTTTCCAGGAAGATTAAATAGCCAACATTGTCTAATGAACCTTTGTTCTGACTTCTTTGTGGGGAGGTTAGATGCTGCTGATGCATCAAAGCGAGTGTTATCCAGCACTTCCCAGTGCATCTTACCCTCACTTTCCTGATCACAAAAAGTCTGTTCTTTTTTGGGGGGGAGTAGCCTTGTTGTGCAAGACCTCTCTCCCCCACTCCCCAATCCATTATAGTTGCACAACCTGAATTTGCCAGTGACTTGATCCTGTCCCAAAATAGCGATAGTCTGGAAGTGTCCTAAGAGAATGCCAATGACCTAGCCTGACGCTTGGGAGCAGGATGGGCTACGTTGTGCCTTTTTATGCTAAGATAATGCAGATCCTAAGGGACGTGGGTGGCACTATGAGTTAAACCACTGAGCCTAGGACTTGCCGATCAGAAGGTTGGCGGTTCGAATCCCCGCGATGGGGTGAGCTCCCGTTGCTTGGTCCCAGTTCCTGCCAACCTAGCAGTTCGAAAGCACGTCAAAGTGTAAGTAGATAAATAGGGGGGAAGGTAAGCATGTCAAAGTGCAAGTAGATAAATAGGAAGGTAAATGGAGTTTCTGTGCACTGCTCTGGTTTCGCCAGAAGTGGCTTAGTCATGTTGGCCACATGACCCAGAAGCTGTATGCCGGCTCCCTCGGCCTATAAATTGAGATGAGCGCCGCAACCCCAGAGTCGGTCATGACTGGACCTAATTATCAGGGGTCCCTTTACCTTTACCTTTAATGCAGATCCTACATTAAGGAAAACTACCATCTTCCCTCTTGGACATCTGATTGTAGCACATCACATTTCCCATGCAAGGCCCTGTATGCTCTCTGCCCCAGTCTTATGGTTACCTCCTTCGCAATTTCAGCACACGGGAATGTACGCCTTGGTGTCCAAGGGCATGAGGAAAATTGCCGAGGGCAAGGACCCTCTGGAGGGCCAGAAGCATCGCTGTGGGATGGGCAACATGTTCGATTACTATACCACAGGCCACGCAGACCTGGATGAACTGCAGCAGACGCCACAGCCCCTTATTTTCATTATGGAGCTGTTCAAAGTGAGTGGGAGAATCAGAAGGAAACTACAGTTCCGTTGTGTAACGTGCCGTTGCCACCATCTATCTCATTAATGGATGATTATTTATGACCTTTATATTCCCCTTTCCTCCAAAGGAGGTCGATTGGTTTATCACACCCTCCCCCCCTTTTTACCCTCACAACACCCCTGTGAAGTAGCCTGGGAGACAGCAGCTGGCCATGGACACTCTGTGAACACCACGGCTGTGTGGGGATTTGAGCCTTCCAGCCCACTGTTCCCCAGGCCTAATCCAGCATCATTCTGGCTACTACATGCCACTGACATGGCAGTCAGTGCCAATGAGTACCAGTTTCTGCCCAGCTGTGTCAGATGCAAAAGCTTTTTGTGGATTCTACCACCGCAGTTGGAGGGAAGAAGCATTCCTGCCCAAATCACCCTCTCACCCACCCCAAGGTCCTTGCACTTTGAAAACTGGCTCGTCAGAGAAAAGGGTTCAACTTACCTCATCCCTGATGTGCTGTTTTCCTATTGTCAGCCTGCCTATGCACAGCATACGTTTTCAGAAAGCCTTGTCCAGGTGCTTCCACCATCTGCTGTGAACTGGGTGGTGACTTAGTAAGCGGACCTTCTCTCCCTCAGAAATCTTTGTACTGGGAGGTCCAGGGGCAGATATTAGAGCTGTCCACATGCACTGGGTGCTGAGCCAATGGGGGTGCCATCTCAAAGCTAGCCCTGGTGATCATCCAATGTTTATTGGATGGATTTTCCTCCTAAATTGATTTTTGAATTCTGAATTTATTGTTATTCATGTTTTATATTGTATTTTATACTGTTTTTTGTTGCATCAATTAAGTGTTTTAAATCCGTTGTTAGCCGCCCTGAGCCCGTTTTTTTGAACCGGGAAGGGCGGGGTATAAATAAAATTTTATTATTATTATTATTATTATTAAAGCTGGGTAAGCAAGGCACTGGGCTTTTGGGGAGAAGGTGTGAAGCTCTGGTAGGATCCTAGAGTCTTCTCACCTCGTTCCCAAAGCCTAGCTAGCACTTTCCCAGTTTTCAGCACCGAAAAGGAGATGGCGCAGAATGTGGGAATCCCCCTCTTGCAGGTGTCCTAGTATGGAACCCCTGTGTAAGTGGGGGTTCCCCTGTAATAACTGTGGTTTTCTATCCTATCTAGGTAGAGGATCCCTCTTCCTACAAGCGGGATACGTGGGCCATGAACAACGAGGAGAAGCTGCTGGCTGTGCCAAAGCTGCACACGGAGGGTAACCGACTGGTCCTTTCCAGGAAATTCAAGGAAGCGGCAGAGAAATACCAGGAAGCTATCATCTGCTTGCGCAATATCCAGGCCAAGGTAAGAGTTGGGTGGAGATAAAATAAAAAAGTAATTGATTTAAAATATGTTGGCTATAAACAGGCTGCCTGTCTCCATATTTGACTGCCTGTAGAGTAGGACTTTCTGTTGTTACCATCTAAGGCAAGCGGGGTAGTTGCCCAGGACAGGGTCTTCTCAGTGGTGTCCCCTTCAATTATGAAATGCTGTCTCCAGAGAGGTCTGTTTGGTGTGTTTTTTGTCGTCTTCTTGGCACCATGTAAAGACCTTTGCAGCAGCAGCAACAACAAAATATCCCAGGCCTTTTAGACAAAATTTTAGTTCTGTTGATTGTATCACATGGCTTTCAAGATCTTGCCGCCATTCTAATGTCTGGGTTTATTTAGATATTTTTTATTTCCATTGTTCTTTTCTAAAAACTTTTTTGCATTTCCTTCTCATATGAATTGTTCCTATGATGTTTTAATTTGAAAATCAAAAGGTGGTATAAATATGCATAATCAGAGCCATGAAGCAAGGAGAAGAACCCGCCTCAGGCAGCGGAAGTGCAGGAGGCAGTGCTCTACCTGATCTGCTACTTCTGCCACTGCCAGAAAGAGGGAAGCTTTGTAGCACACGGCACTGTTCACCTTCCCTGCCCCTGGATAGAGGAGTTGAGTGTGGACATTTTGAGGAGCAACCCAGCTGCCGCTTAATTTGGTGAGAGCTGGGGCATGAAGGCAGCAGAAGTTATTGGGCTCCAACTCCCATCAGCCTATGTCAGAATAGCCCTGCAGTGCAAGATGGTGGTGGAATTTGTAGTGCAACAGTCCCTGGAGGGCCAAAGGTTCTTCCATCCCTACAATATGGACCATAAAATGAAGGTTTTGAACATGGGTAGTCAAACTAGGGCCCAGGGGCCGGATCCGGCCCAATTGCTTTCTAAATCTGGACCACGGACAGTCCGAGAATCAGCGTGTTTTTACATGAGTAGAATGTGTCCTTTTATTTAAAATGTATCTCTGGGTTATTTGTGGGGCATAGGAAATTGTGTCCCCCCCTTCAAAATATAGTCTGGCCCCCCACAAGGTCTGAGGGACAGTGGACCTGCCCCCTGCTGAAAAAGTTTGCTGACCCCTGGTTTGGAATGTCCAGTGTTGGACTATATTCTTGGACCACTCATTCCCCATGAAGGACTTAGCATGTCTGATGACTTGCCACCCCTAAAGTTAAGCTGTATTTCACCTGGTCGGTGTCTAGATCACCTGGGGATCCATTTTTAAGGTATTCTGAGCTCTCTGTGAGAAAGAGGTGGATGCAAATAAATCATTTTGTTAATTAGCTAGGTGTTATCTTTTGCCATGAATGAGCTTGTTGGCCTCCATGTCTCTGATGTATGCTGCCGTGTCCCACCCTGAACACTGGCTTCAATGCAGGGGTCTCTGTCTCTTAGTGCACGATTCCAAACCTTAGCTGGAGATGCTGGTGATGGAACCTGGGACCAGCATGCAAAACCTGCAAAGCAGGTGCCTTTACCACTAAGCTACAACTCTTCTCCAAACCCACCATCTTGTTCTTTGCTGGGTTTCTCCACAGGAGAAGCCGTGGGATGAAGACTGGATGAAGCTGGAGAATCTCATTACACCTCTTGTGCTGAACTACTGTCAGTGCCAGCTGGAGTTGGGGGAGTATTATGAGGTGCTGGAGCACACAACCGACCTCCTGCAGAAGAACAATGGTGAGTGGTTCCTTCAGCTCGCTACTTGCAGAACCCTCCTCTATCCTTTTCTGCATGTGCCAGGGCCCTAAATTGCATGAGCATAGAGATGTGCTCCAGCATTCCTCCTGTTGCCCTGAGACTACACATCTCACATCACATACAATTTTATTGGCCACCCTGAAAACATCAATGACCAATGCAATTACTTGGGCAGTTTGTTAAGACTGGGTGAGCTCACACGCTTTGTTCCTTTGAGTTATTTATGCTTCCAAAAAGAGCAAAGCAAATATTTGATACTAGTTTAGATGCATCCAACTGACATGCAATCACTGACGCACAGGTCCTTTTGGAAGAAGGCAGAAGGGGGTGGAATAAGGGTGGAGTGGGGTGCACTTATGCACGCCCTGCCAATGTGTGCAGGGGCCAGGAACAGAAACCCTGTGCAAAATAGTCACTGTCTGTATCAATAGCCTGCTTTTGCAGTCTTGAGGTCTAGATCATCAATATTATTATTAATTAAAGTTGGGGTTTTGAGAACACAGTGTTCTACGCTACTTACCAAATTATTCATGCATCGTGATTGTGAAACCACAAGGTTCAGCACTGGTTCCAGGTTTTGGGGTGCTGTTGGGCAAGATGCTTTGGCGGGGTCTCCTCCCTCCATAAGTCCATCTCTTCCTTCCCACAATCACAAGTGTCACATGATCAGCACAGCAACAAGGCTCCCTAGCAGGAGTGGGGAAGCGCAGGCCTAGGGGCCAAATACAGCTGGATTCTTTGAAACTGAATGTAAACTCAGCTGAAGTCTTTCTCCCAATGTGCAGGAGGAGGAGAGTAGGAGCATGTGAGCCCAGGGCTGGATTCCAACTGCAATCGGCACGTTTAATGGCCAGGGAAGATGGGAGTTGTGGGCAGCAGCATTTGGAGCACCACAAGTTCTTTAGCTCCGGTTCAGCATTATGTGTGATCCTACTGCATTGTGTCTCAGTGAATAACTGAGGAGGAAACATCAACAGTGGAGTTTGGTTTTATTAACCCATTGTCATGTGGCAATTTTACACAAAGCTACTGGTACCTCTGAGAGAGAGAGATTTAGGCTGTGTACACACCATACATTTAAAGCACACACCCCTGCAAATAATTATTGTTAAGGGTGCTGTTAATTTTAGCTCTGTGTTATAATAATTTTAAGGTCCCAAATATGGAATATTCATAAATGTACACATATCTAAATATATGAACTGTGTGTCTGAAATAGTACGGGAGAGCAATCCTGAAGCCATTTTGACTCTCCCAAATTACTTCAAATATTCCTCTGCAGGAAGGGAGGCAAAGAGAGAAAGCCTTGCCATTGTCTTTTTGCTTGCAAATCCTGTCTTAAGGGCACATTTGTGTATGAATAGGGTGAGCCTGTGGCCTAAAGTATTAACCATCACAAAAGAAAGGCCAGGCTGCCCAGGTAATACAATCAGTGACCATTATCAGGTAGGTAGGATTTCTGCTGTAGACCGCCTCTTTCTGTGATGTATGTATGGTGTTTAGGGGTGGTGGTCTTGGGGTACAGGGTGGGCAATTTCAAAAGGCCTTGTGAAGTACAGTGGTGCCCCGCAAGACGAATGCCTCGCAAGACGGAAAAACCGCTAGACGAAAGGGTTTTCCGTTTTGAAGTTGCTTCGCAGGACGAATTCCCCTATGGGCTTGCTTCGCAAGACGAAAATACCTTGCGAGTCTTGAGATTTTTTTTCGCTTTCCCCCCCCTTTATCTAATCTGCTAAGCCTTTAATAGCCTTTAATAGCCTTTTAGCAGCTAATCCCCTAAGCCTTTAAGCCTTTAATAGCCGCTAAACAGCTGATAGCGCTAATAGCGCTAATCCGTCAATGGGCTTGCTTCGCAAGACGAAAAAACCGCTAGACGAAGACTCTTGCGGAACGGATTAATTTCGTCTTGCGAGGCACCACTGTATTGTTCAGGGTTGTCCTCCCTCTTGCGCGTGGTGGGTTGCAATGGTTCGTGAATAAAGATCAGGCTTACTAGCCGCTTTACTTCTCAATATACTCTGCTATTTTCTCCTACCGATAGGGCTCTGTATGGGCTCCGGAATGCCCCATAAGGGAAAGGGAGCAGTTTTTCTTAAAACATCTGTAAGGGGTGAGCAACAATTCCCAGTATTCTTTGGTGGGAGGAACTGCGCTTTAAATGTATGTTGTGTACACAGTCATTGTGTAACCCAAGTGGCCTGACTTCAGTCTCATGTGGTCCACTCAGATGACAACGTAAGAAACACCCTATCCTTACATGGCCCAGGAAAGCAGAATACTGAGAGCGGCGGCTTTTAAGTCTGTAATTTATTAGATTTGTATATGAGAGCTAGCAAACCAACTGACTTTGTTCTTTTGCTAGAAAATGTCAAGGCTTATTTCAAACGGGCTAAAGCCCACGCTGCTGTCTGGAATGAAAAGGAGGCCCGAACAGACTTTTTGAGGGTGGCCCACCTGGATCCATCGCTGACTGCTGCTGTGAGGAAAGAATTGAAGCTCTTGGGGGAGAGGATGAGGAAGAAGCACGTAGAAGACCGCAAGAAGTACAAAGATCTCTTCCAGCAGCCTCCTCCTAAAGGAGAAACTGAGGGGAGAGCAATGGAGGAGACAGAAAAGCTGTCAGATTCTAGCCTCGGCTCACAAACAGAGGAAAAGAATCAAGAAACCCTGAGGCCTGAGAGAGGAAGAGAAGAAGGGAGATGGATGGGTGCAACAGAAGCAACAGAGCAAGGGAACTTAGCAGAGAAAGAGGATGGACTCCTAATGAAGACAGACGAAATGGACAAAGAGGACATCACCCCTCAGAAAGTGAGGGAAGAGGAAATGGGAAATAAAGATAAAGGAATGATGGAGAGTCATTCTGGAGATGACCTGACAGGCTGTGAAACCTCTGGAAGCAAGGAACAGTTAGAGTTCGGGCAGTGGAAGCTTGAAGAACAGAGGGGGAAAGTGGAAGAGATTAATTCTGGGGCTTGGGATCAAAACAGAGAAGTGGATTTTCCAGTGCTGGAGGAAAAGGACGCAGAAAGAAGAGCCGTCCCTGGGAGCTCTGGGAAGGAATTAGGGGGAGTTGCAGGAAACCATGTGAACAGCAGCGTAGGGGAAGGGTTAATTGAAGGACCTTGTGAGATTGGAGTGGGCATTGGAACAGAGAACTTCCCAAGAGAGACGGAAGGATATGAAGAAAGTTGTGGGAAACGGGAAGCCCAAACTGTTGAATTGTCAGGGGTACAGGGTGATAAGGGCTTTGGAGCAAAGGATCCCAAGGATGGAGTTATAGTGGAGAGCCCTCAGGAAAGTAGTGAAAAAGATGACTTCCAAATCCTTCAGGAAGGATCAAAGACAGAAGCAAGTGTGTCAACAGAACCGAGGGAAAAGGTCAGTTCTGACTGGGAAAACTGTGGTGGGCCAAGAAAGGAGAATTCTACTGGAGAGGAGAAGGAACCTAAAAAAGAAACAAAATTGGGAGAGAAAAGAAGAGAAGATAATGATCATTCCATTCCAGAAGAGGAGACACATTGCTGTGAAGCAGGCCCAGAGCATTGTGAGGGAGAGGCAGACCTAGAAGACTTTAAAAGAGTGGCCACTGGTGATTATGTGAAAATAACATTAGATGTTAGGGCCAAGGAAGTGATAAGCCTCGAATCACAGCATGCCAGAGAGGAGGGGGGTGGCCACAGAGAGGTGGCTGGATGTAGGGAGGGAGGAAGTGAAGTTGGTGACAGATCTAGGCTGCGCAAAGATGCACAAGGAGATGAAGTAGACCAAGAATGGTTCAAGGCAGAAATAAGCTTCAAAGCTGATGATCTGGAGATGGGAATGAGAGGGGAGGATTCCAAGACAGAGCAAGCCGATCTGCAAGTTAGGGGGGAAGAGCCAGTAGCGAAAACAGGCAGGGAAGCAGAACTGATTGTGGGGCAAGACTCTCTATGGGGCAACAGTGAGGTGTCAAGAAAGGAGGATGGAGATACAGAAGATATTTCATTGGCCACCCACTGCAGAGGAGACAAAAGCGAAGTGCTGGAGTTGACTGGATCTGGAGCAATGGGTGAGCTGAACATTTCTACCCTGAGACAGCGCAACCTGATGAAAGAGGAAACCCAGTGAGGAGACAGAGAGTCAGGTATGAAAAATAGTGGGTTGTAGAATCAGTTGCTAAGGTCTAGGGCAGAGCTTTCCAAACTGTGTGTCACGACATGTTAGTGTGTTGGCTGCAGTGTGCTCCTCCCAGGGCTGGAAAGGTGGTAATTTAACCTCCAGTTTGCTAATAAAACTGAATTACTGTTGCAAAATGATGCGTTTCTTTAAAAAAGTGTGTCACCAACATAAAAAGTTTGGAAACCTGTGGTCTGTGGTGATATTGGGAAGCAGGGTCAGAGTGAAAGTGTGCTAGCTAATGATCTTTGATGTGGCCAGCTCATCTTGTTGCGAACAGACAACTCAGGGTCTGGTGCAGTAATCAAAGGCTCAAGGAGGGAACTGCCATTGCATCTACACCTAAGAAAACAAGCATGCTTGCCCCTTCTTGGGTCTGCTGGTATTCTCTTCAGTTTCCTTCCTCAATTGAAGAACTGTCTGCAGAAAAGTGCTATACAGGGTCATCTTGCCATCCGCATTCAGCCGCTGCACGTGTACTTGGAAAACAAACCTCCTCTTTGCCACCAAAAGCAAAGTCTAAAATTTCAGGTGGATAGATGGGTTATGATTTCCATTCCCCTGCCCCAAAGATTCTTTGCAGATTTAAAAAAAAATGTATTGTGCTATAGCTGTACAGTGCCTAGAGAACTCATTTATGAGGCATCCAATGAATAGAAATAAAGCTGAAGGTGTTTTGAGAAAGGGATTTATGCTCTTGGTGGTGTTGATTATTCTTGCTGTTGCCCTGGCAAACAGGTTTTGCATTTGGTCAGGGAAGACAGGGAGGGTATTTAAAAATGCATGCATGCATGCAAGGTTAACGGGATCCTCAGCATATGCAGGACGCTGCTCCTCAGTGTCATCTGCTTATCCTCATCCCGTAAGTACAGTATATGGCATCTCCTAAGGGGTAAAGGGACCCCTGACAGTTAAGTCCAGTCGCAGATGACTCTGGAGTTGCGGCTCTCATCTCACTTTACAGGCTGAGGGAGCCGGCATTTGTCCGCTCCACAGACAGTTTTTTCGGGTCATGTGGCCAGCATGACTAAGCCGCTTCTGGCACAACAGAACAGCGACACCAGAGCAGCGCACGGAAATGCCGTTTACCTTCCCGCCAGAGCGGTACCTATTTATCTACTTGCACTTTTTGGCATGCTTTTGAACTGCTAGGTTGGGCAGGAGCTGGGACCAAGCAACGGGAGCTCACCTCGTTGCAGGGATTTGAACCGCCGACCTTTTGATCGGCAAGGCCAAGGCTCAGTGGTTTAGACCACAGCGCGACCCATGTCCCTGAATGGCATCTCCTAGATATAGCTTAAAATCTGCCATTTTAACTTTTCCACGATCCCTTCTAGTGTAGCTAAGGCATTGAGGGAAATGTTGAAATGGTGATGTCCCATTTCATTAATCTGCAGTGCAACAAGTGGAAGAAAACACAGGACAAATGGAAGTGTTGGTATAGGTCCTAATTTTTTGGGGGGGAAATCTTTTAAAAGCATTTTTTCCCAGGCCACATGCAAAGAAGGAACATAAAAAAGTACCTTGTGCTTTTCTCAAGAAAGGGGAAATTCTTCCAAAACAAAAAAATGAAGCAACACAGCACTTCAGATACAAATTTATTCTTTTTTCCCAAAGCAGAAATGGAAAAAACTTGAGTGAAGACAGCACATTGTAACCAGTCATTATTAGTTCTGCTCCCTTTAGAAAAAATCCCTCATTACTCATTGTGTCCCTTTCAATTGCTTCAACAGAGATTAACACCCACCCACACCCCAGTGACCAAGCTGCAGTCCTTCTGTGTGAAGAGCTAGGAAAGCGATGAGCAAAATTCCTGGGAGTAGGCAGCGGAGAGGAAATCTCTTGTTATTTGCAGTGGGAAGTTGCAACGCTAATGAACAGGGTTCTGGGTTCCCAATGTTATTCAGAAAGTGGGATGGGGTGGCGGGGAGAACTAATAATGAAAGTGTGAGATTGAGGGATCTACCACATGCTACAGAGCAATTGTCCTTTTCAGGACAATTTTCAGGCCTCTCACCATATTAATTTCTGTCTCTTATTGGCACACTGGAAAATAAATTATATATACTTCAAATGCAACACAAATTCTGCCAAGTGCAATAGGCGACTGCAATTCCTCTAATGCTAGGGGCAGAGGCACAGGACTTAAGGTTTTACTTTCTGATAAGTAAATTGGTTGGCTTAACGTGTAAATTAGCTTGGGTGATGGTTCATAAAATTTAAGAATAATGCTGCAATACTATAAATACAAACAAAAGAATCAAGAACCTACACATCCTAGCACTGTAGAAAGCGATCAGATTAAACAACAAAAGTTTCTTAATATGGCCTACTAACAATATTGTCCGCATTCTGTCTTCGGCCACTGCAGACGAGATGAAGGAAGAGCACCGAGGGGTAGATAAGACCAGTTGGATGAATGAGTGGGCTTCTCTGCCTTGTAAGGACTGGGTGGAAGATGGGATTTGGGTATGTGCTGCTCTCTCCATGCTTCTGACTGAAAAACTGCCCCACCACAAATTACCTGTTCTATACAAGAGTTAAAGGTTAAAAGTAGGGAAAAGAAAGAAAGTACAAGCCAGTCACATCTTGTGTGGGGGTACATTCCAGGGATGGCACGTATATGCAAAAACGCGTATACACAAACCACCCCCTTGGAACCGCCCACACACAATTTTATGTTCCAGAGCCTGCATGCTAAATGGACCGACCACCCCCCCCGGCTTGGTAAGCAAATCTGAGAGCCCTTTCCGCATCAGGAAAACCCTGGGCAAAAAGAACATTTAAGCTCTGCCTCCCCTGCATTTAATTTGTTTGATTTCAACCAGCTGGCCTTCAACCGCGTAAAGTTGAAATCACACATGTTAAACACACATAAGCTGTGAGTTACCTGTACTTATTTCACATAACAAGGCGATTCTACCTAATTCACACTTTCCAAAGCCACATGAGAACCGAAACACAGCTGTCCTTCAGAAGTTGCACTTCCTCAAATGCATTCCTCAAGCCATGTAACGTGTACAAAAAAAATGCACTATATCACGGTAAAATGTCCATTAATAATGCATATATAAAAATTCAAGAATATAACATATCCCAAAATGCATTATATTAGGGCAAATTGTTTGCAAAAATGGGTATATTACACAAAATGTACTCAAATATATTAGAGAACCTTTGGACATCATATGCTGATGAGTTTTCACATGGAGTTATTTAAAAAAGAAATTACAAGCTGATGTGGGAAAATGAGAAACTGAAGAAGATTTGTTGATTTCCTAGTTGAAAGCCCCATTCTTCCTTTGCTTCTGACTACCCATGAGTGTGGATTTGCCATTTGTCAATATCCTGGTTTGGTGGGCTAACGTGGGTACCAAGCCCCTGATCATATACAATATCAGCACTTAACTCACATACGGTAGTTCCATAATGACAGGACTTTGGGACCTAAGCCCAGGGTTTCATTCATCAGAAAGAAACAGGAGGGCTGGGTTTACCATATTTTAAAGTAAAACAATATACATTCCCCAAGCCCACCCTGTTCTCTTTGAATGCCAGGATCATTACGTCCAAGACTTAAAATTGCTTAGCTTGCACTGCAGCTCATGTGCCACTTTAGGAAAAGGAAACATGCTTCTCACCTCAAGAAAGGAACACTATGTGTTCCTTCAAAAACATGAAAAGAGGAAACACAGGACACAGATTTCCTCCTCTCAGCAGATCATGTAAGCCAAGGCAGGGATAGGGAATCTGTGGCTCTCCAAATATTGGATTCCAGCTCTCATCAGTCTCAGCCAGCTTGGCCAGTGATCAAGGGTGATGAGAGCAAATCACTGACGGTGCACAGGTTCTCAATCTCTGTCCTAACCTCTCCTTCTTGCTAGTTTGAGTAACTACATGACCCCTGGGGATCTCCACCTAAGGCCCAATTCCAAAGTGGAGTTTCAGTTTCTTTCAAAACTAAGATGGCATGTGGTGTTTGTTTTATTTTAAAATACAATTCAGAAACAACTACAGTGGTACCTCGGGTTACAGATGCTTCAGGTTACAGACGCTTCAAGTTACAGACTCCGCTAACCCAGAAATAGTACCTCGGGTTAAGAACTTTGCTTCAGGATGAGAACAAAAATCACTCAGCGGCGGTGCAGGGGAAGGTCCCATTAGCTAAAGTGGTACCTCAGGTTAAGAACAGTTTCGGGTTAAGAACAGACCTCCAGAATGAATTAAATTCTTAACCAGAGGTACCACTGTACAATGGTGATTTCTGCTAGGCTTTTTAGAGGTTCAACCATCAAACCAGGGTATTTCCTTGGGAGGAAGAATTGGCATATGCCTGCTAAGAACATTCTTGGCCTAGACTTAAAGGTCCACCATTACAGAATATTTAACAGAATGCTCTTTGTCATGCTTTAAATCATGCTCATACAGTATAACTGGCAGTGCCTACAATGTCGATGGCCTAAAAAACCCACTTCCTTCTACAGCTACTGTGTGACACAAATCAGCCCACTTTGTTTAGTATTTTCCTCATCTTCTTGGGAGCCTACAAGATTCTCAACAGCCAACATGCTGTAGCAGTCCACTAACATAAACCCCACACAAATTTATGACAACGTGCTACAACAACCCTCACAACCTACAATGCTTTCAGCACATGTGACATTCCTTACAATCCATAAATGCTGGTAAATTACATTGTGACCCATAGCACCACCAGCCTTGGACTTCGCAAAACCCATTCTATAACTTGCATTTTTAAGGGATTGCGTTCAGCCATTTAGCAATACTGCTACTTGAAAGTTGAGGCAGACCTCAAACGTATAACTATCTTTTTTAGTTTTTGAGGTAGCAGCTTTGACTGTGTATATACTCTGCAAGCAACACCCACAAAGAACCAGCCACGGACATGATATACAACACTGAATGCAGCAAAAGGCAAAGGCTTAAATCTAAACTAGATTCCACACACTGTCTTTGCTTACAATTTACTGCCCACTGTTAATCGCCTTTTACCATAGATTAGCACCTTTAACCAACAAACATAGGTTTAGGGCATAGTTACCTACACTAGAACACTTCCATTAGTTGTCATGAGCTGCCTTTTCCCTTGTAAATTTGTCACCTGCATCTCCAAAACACAGCCTATCATGGACACCAGCTTCAGGGGATCCTGCAATGCCAGTCGATTCTACTGGATCCCCAGTGCCCAGCTAGGGGATAAGTCCTGAGTGAATAGGCCATGACTGTGATGTTTATCTGCCTCTCCTTAAAGAGGAGAGGTGAGAAATTTTCAAGTTTAAATGGGAAACTTGTGGTGTACAACAACCTTGTGCCAAGACTGCTCTTGAAATGGGCCAGGTCTGTCAACACAGCACCCAAGTGGTTTCTGCAGCACCAGAAGATTTGGGCTACATGAAAGGCATAGTATGCTTTGTGCTAATCCGGCGTGTTTGGGATTAGAATGGGAACTGCACAAATCAAAGCCATAATACCACTGAGAGCTGACCTTAATGGCAGTGGTTTCCAATGCTTTTTTTTGGGGCCATGCCTCTCTGTTTCTTTTCTTTTGTCTTGTAGCCTATGGGAGATGCAGAACATCTGGTGTCGTTGCTATCTCAGTCCGGGAAATGAGCCACATTCCATAACTTTCTCTCAGTTGGAGATATGGAGGCAGCAGTTCCACTGTAGCAATTGCTAACCAAGGAAAGAGCCTTGAGCTGCCTGATCAACAACAGCCCAGATTTAAAAATTCCCCCAATGTTAAAATGATTATGGGATCACACTAGGTTAAATCTAAGCGACCCAGCCTAACTAGAGGCCTAACTATTCAGACGCCAGTCCTTCTGAATAGTTGCAATCTACCTGAAAGGAAATGGGGACGCCTGTTTATTTTCCAACATAACTAGCTGTGCTGCTGAGTGCAGTTCAAAAGAAGTCCTTTTTTGGTCACTCAGAAGCGCAGACATACTATGCTTTCAAGTGCTCCTGCAACTGAATATTTTGTACTGCATTTGACCTGTGTGACTTGGTTAAGACCACTATGCATAGGAAGCTCAAAGTAGCAGCTATCCATATGCTTCTTAAGTTTGCCACACACAAATTGATCCAAAGAGGGAGGGACTGGACCCCATAGCACAATGCGTAAATAAACTCTATAGATGCCAACAGATTCTGACTCCCAACCACCTTTGTTTGCAGGAGGTCACTCAGGTGGAGATTATTCCAACTCCAAAAGGAAGCAGGCAGGCCTAGGCTCTTTGGAAGCAGCTGCTGGGGCAGACAAAGAGAAGAGAGGGAGCTGCCTCCCATCACATAAAAAAGCAGATTTCGGAACAGAGCAGAACTGCAAATCCAAAGTAAACACATAACAAGGAATTAGAATTTAATGCATGAGGAAGTCCATTACAGTGCTTAAATACAATATATATAATATGTATTTATATATTATGTATATATATATAAATATGTAAATTAAAACAATAAGGCTCTCTGTTATAAAGCTTCTCTCACATAAGGCTGCTGTTACTGCCATTGGAACAATATGTTTTAAAGCCTGCTCCTCTCCCTTGTTTTCCCATGAGATTTAATCTGGGCCTTGTCTCTTCCTCCCACTGACCTTGGAAGATATGGAGGTACCCGGGCGCTTGCAAGTTCCTTTTACAACATACCAACTCTTCTGATTTTTTTTTTTTATTATAAAGGTTTTGGATTTCTTCCCAGCTTAAAGGTTCTTCATGGTTTATCGGTCACTGTGAGACAATTCCAGTCCCCATAAAACCACCATCCTGTGAAGGCCACAGATCATTTCACTTGGCCAAAATCCACCATAGGCCACTTCCTGACTCAACCCCAAAATTGGCCCAGAAAAAGCGACAGTCCACAACACAAACTGTAGAGGGTGGGGGGAAAGCTATTCATGTCAGTTTGTAGTTTGCACAGAAAGGCACCACCATGTGCCCTTGTTTCCTTCCTTTCAGAGTTCCTTGAATCTAGACATGTGTCAACATCCAGTTTTGACCTCATCTGGATTTGGGGTACGTAACCCTGGATTGCCCTTCCAAAGGAAATGCTCTGAAGATACACCAAGGAGTGCTCTCCTGGAAGCCAAACCCTGCAAGGATTCTGGTGAGCTTCTGCTGAGGGTGTCCCCTTAAGGATCCGAGTGAAGTCTGTCACACAGAGGGGAGGAGAGAGGAAGGGAGAGTAGCAACTGCTGAGGAACTGGTTAGACAAAGCCTCTCACTTGCAGGAGGTGTTAGATAAGGGAAGCAGGACCTGAAAGAGAAAACAAAACAGGGTCGCATCCAGTGGAATATGTGCCTGCTGGATTCATGTTATAAAGGTTGTCTCCAGATTGTCTTTTTTTTTTTAAATGAGAGGGATTCACTGGCATACCAGAAATCTGGGTTTGTGCAATTCATGAATTAAAGCCCTCTGGTGTAACAAAACCGTTATCACACACACAAACACCCTCAAAATTGGACTGCTTGCAGCTAGGAAAGAGATGGGTAAATGCACTAAAAAATATGGGACAACGATCAATTGGCAGGAAGATGTATAACCTCCATGCAAACAAATAAAGATGAATGCACATTGTTGTATAACCTCCCCACAAACAGATCAGGATGAATGTTCAATAAACAGGTTGCCTGGAGAAGCCCAAGGATATTCAGAGTTATATCTGGAGGCAGTTTGGAGAGTGGAGGTGTTATGGGCTTGTTTATATGTGTATACATGTACAGACAATTTGGGTTTGATAATAGTGCTAGTAAGTTGTGTTGATCCCCCACCCTGTACTGTTTTGCACCCTTCTTCGTTTTTAGCACAGAAATTAGTATCTCAAGACAACAGGCGTAAAAGCTTTTCACAAAATGCTACTTGGTAAGTCTATAAGGCTTATAGATAAACATTAAAGGAAAAAGCAGGCATGCACACAATCTGATTATATTCACAGTGGAGCTTAGTTAAATCACCCATCCCACCCACAATTTACACCCATCCATATAGTTTTCTGTGTCGCATAAAGATGGCATTTGAGGCTGCAACCTTAGAGGCCATGAGGCTATATTGGTTCTCCTTCTCTAGTACTGGATCATCCCTCCCCACCATTTTTGAGAACTCTGGCCTGGCCCAAATGATGTCACAGCTCTGAGCTTGGTAGGGGTCAGGGTTTGTGTTGGGGTGGTTGGGAGTTATACCAGAGTGGGGAGAGGACTGGGAAATGTCTTGGTTCTAAATGACCCTGAGTTTTTCTTAGCAGCCGAAATTCCCCCAAACCAGGCAAGTTTTTAGATCTCAAAGGGAGGAAATAGTGGCGTTCCTTTTTTTTTTTTTTATCCGCAAAATGACAGGAGGACTGCAAGAGCCTTTCTTCACCCTCCTTGCCAGCAACACACTGTTAGGGCATTGGATGAGGCAGTTCAAGTGCCTTCAGTCCCCTCAGCCTCCAAACCTTTTAAACTTGGCATCAATCCTTCTGGGACTGGTTCTACACCAGAGCTCAGCTGATTGTTTCCCACATCCTTTTCGGTGGGCATTTTCTTTTGAGTTTAAGCCTGGCTGCATTGGAAGAAAAGAAACAATTCTTTCCTTTGAACTTGGGCCACCTGACATCTGGCAATGTCAGGCGATTGACATTTCGGCAGCTCTGCCCACCTGTCAAAGTGATGGGGAGCAGAGTTTCCACTCTGATCTTTACATTTGCAACAACTCTACAGGGTTTCAGAGGCTGGGGGAAAAGCCATACTGAGCAAACACTAAATCTTTACACTCAAACTGTGGCTGCATGCACACCATATATTTAAAGCACACCATATATAGAATCCTAGGGACTGTCGTTTGATAAGGGTGCTGGAAATTGTAGCTCTGTGAAGGGTGAACTACAGTTCCCAGGGGGGGTTAGGGGAGAATGTGCTTTGAACGTACAGTGTGTTTGCATCCAATGTCTTGCAGTTTACCTCAGGGCTTATCCACACTTACTTTTCCTCCGCCCTTTCCAGGCCCAGTCCGTGATTTAAAGCTCTCTGGTTTTTTTGCTACGGAGCTGTCTCCGTGAAAACTCTTTAAAGTTCAATCGGAGCAAATGTCAATCTGTGGGAAACCCGAACTTGACATTTTCTCTGCTTCAGCTTTAAAGAGCCGGTCTTGAAGGAGAAATCTTAGAACAAAACAACAACAAAAAACCCCACTTGGATGCAGAGCGTTTAAGTGCGGACCTCTGCCTGGAAAGAATACATGGGCTTTATTCATTCCTGGAACAAGTTTGTCAATGACACAACACGCTGAGCCATGAAATCTTTCTGTCCCCTTTCATTAGTGATTTCCCTGAGATATATTTCTGTCTTCTGCATATAAGAGGTGAAGAAAGCCTTAGGCCTATCATGCCACTGTGGGGAGGGGGGGGAGGGAGGCCAATGGTTATGCCCATCAAATAAAAACGGACACACTGGCAAAAGCAGTAAGGCTAGGTTATACAGGTTTGGTATGCCAGACATCAATGCCATAAGCAGCCAGACCAGGAGCAACACAATAGCTAATACCAGCTGATGCCCACGGTCAGCTTTGAACAAGTCATCTAGGAGAACTTGAGAGACTTCTTCAGGAAGGCCAGGGGGTGTGGTCTTTGCCCTGTCAGGGAAAAAAGGGACTGTGACTCCAGGGGCCTACAACCATTCTGGTCAGCCTTCCGTTTGTACAGGAAGACTGAAGTGGGAAGTCTCCTATACTCATGGAGACTCCCCTCATATTTTAGATCTTTCAGGTTTCTAAAACATGTGGGGAACTTCCACAAACTCAGGTAAAAAAGGCTGCAGTGAAGATGGCACGCTTCAAGGGTTACAGTGCAACTGTGCAACTTTTTGGACCTCTGCATCGCATTTGAGCCCACTGCTGGTGCCTTGGGCTCTCCAGTAGGGCCCACTGCTTTCAGTAGGGGCCGCCATTTTAATTCACCTCAGTAATCCAGAGATGGGGAATCTATGGCCCTCCAGATGTTGCTGGGCCTACAATTCCCATCATCCCTCGACACTGAGCCACGCTGGCTGGAGCTGATGGGTATCCGGGTCCATAAGCACCTGAAGGGACAGAAGGTATCCCATCCCTGATGATGTAGGCCCAGATGATTTAAGGCACTGTACCTCCAGTGTTGGGAAAAGCATTTCGAAGCTTCTCCATGATATCCTCCAGACACAGACTGACGTCCTGAGTACTCACCTCCACCTCATCTATGAGAAAGAAAAATGAGTAAAATGGGGGTAGGGAGGATATCATGTTAATATTGTTGTATCTGGGATTTTCAATGAAGAGTCAGTTAAAAGTGGTCTATTAATCAGTCACCATCTTGCTGAAAGGTTGGGGATAACACTACAAGACAGATTTGGGATTATTAGAGGACAAAGCCCTCTTTCCGTTGAAAGTCACACCCACACCATACATATGAAGCAGATTTAAAGCACATGGCTTCTCTCAAAGAATCCCAGGAACTGTGGTTTGTTAAGGGTCCTGGGAATTGTATATCTGTGAGGTATAAATTACAGCTCCTAGGATTTCTTGGAGGAAGCCATGGTCTGGATGAGACTGAAGACTACTAGACTAGGAAGCAGAGGGCAAAGGCTATGTAATGGTCCAGCTCAAACGCATGTTTATAATGCCAAGATGCATTCTCAAATAGATGATAAAAGACCTGCGACCCAAATTGGGTTCTCTTCCTGTTCAAGGAGGGGGACATGACCAATGACCACCCTAGGGTTACTTGGGAGGAAAGGCAGGGTATTAAAGAAAGGAATACAGTAGAATAAATAGAGAAGGCAGGATCTGTTCCTCAAGGTACAAATTCATGCACCACATAGTTAAACTATGGAACTCACTCTCACAGGAGAACCAATCTGGATGGCATTAAATGAGAATTAGATAAATTCAAGGAGGATAAGTCTGTCCATGGCTACTAGCTATGCTCCGCCTCCATAGTCAGAGGCAGTATGCATCTGAATACTGGTTGCTGGCAGGAGGAGATGTGTGCTCAGGTCCTGCTTACAGGTTTCCCAGAAGCACTGGGCTTGCCACTGTAAGAGCAGGATTTTGGCCAGCAGGCTCTTCTTATGCTCTGTAATTGCTTCGGCAGAAGTAGGAATGAGGACACTCAGGAAAGAAACTCAGCAGCCTGCAGGGCGGGCTTCATAGCACCATAGAGCCTCACCTGCAGTTTCCGTGTTTGGAGTGCCAGGGCCTTTTTCTCTGGTCTGACTCTCCTCTGATGGATGGGGAGAGGAAGCCAAGGATGAGGCTGTAGAGCCGTCCCCTTTGGAATCTGTTCCAGGCTAGCAAGAGAAGGTAGATGTTAAGGATGCTCATGACCACCAACTTCTCACCTGGTGCTCCCCCATCTGTCCTGCATGGCACATGGCCACTGGCTCTGACATCCTCATAAATCCAGCTACAGCTTCAGGGTTGGGCTGCCCACTAAATCACAGGTCTTCAGCTGATGGGTCATGACCCACAAAACCTGGCCTAGTTTCAGTTCATACCATTTCTTTTGAGTGTGTAATATTGGGAAGGGCCATAGCTCCGTAGCAGAGCACCTGCTTTGCAAGCAGAAGGTCCCAGGTCCTACCTGCAGCATCTCTAGGTAGGATAGGGAACATCTTCCATCTGAAACCCTGGAGAGCCACTGACAAGTTTGCGCAGACAATACTGAGCTAGATGGATCAATGGTTTAACTATGTGTAAGGCAGATTCCTGTGCTCCTAATGACGTCACCTGAGGATGAATGCATCATATGCAAAGAAGGCCAAAGAACTTTCTTTTTGAGATATAGCCCACAGACAATACCTGCAGAAGCAGCTCTCTCAGGCGCTGCAGTTGAGATTCTAACTGTTTGTTGTGGTCCTCCAAGATCTGCATCCGTGTCTCCAGGCGGCTTTTGTGCTGTCGAAGGATCCGGGCCTCTGCCAGCAGCTCTTCGTTGTGTGGATCCTGTGCTGATTCTGGAGTTCCTTCTGCCGACTCTGCTGCCTCCTCGTGCTGCCATTTCAGACGCTTTAGCTCCCCCTGGAGAACCCTGCAAGGAGAAATACAAGATCAGGAATGTAGCAAGAGTATGTTGGCATCAGGGGCTTAAGGTGCTCAAGAGCTAGAACTAAAAAACAAAGTGCGAGACTGGCTTCATTATTATCAAATAATGGAGGTATTTAAATTGGACAGGAAAATTGGCTTCCAGGTGGAAAGATCCAAATTAGAAACAGAATTGTTAGAACCCAATACTAAGAATTTGTCAAGAATGTATAACTTGCTGCTGAAATGGAATACTCAAGATGAAACGGTAAAATCGGCTATGATTAAATGGGCACAGGACGTTGGTCATAACATTATGTTTGCTGACTGGGAACAGTTATGGACCACAGGTATGAAATTTACGGCATGTAATGCCTTAAGAGAGAATATTATGAAAATGATATACAGGTGGTACATAACCCCAGTCAAGCTTGCGAAAATCTATCACTTGCCCGATAACAAATGTTGGAAATGTAAAGAAATTGAAGGTACATTTTTTCACCTTTGGTGGACGTGCCCAAAGATTAAGGCTTTCTGGGAAATGATATATAATGAATTAAAAAAGGTATTTAAGTATACCTTTCCTAAGAAACCAGAGGCCTTTCTCCTGGGCATAGTCGGCCAAATGGTGTTAAAAAAGGATAGAACTTTCTTTATGTATGCAACAACAGCAGCAAGAATACTCATCGCAAAGTATTGGAAGACACAAGAACTTCCCACGCTGGAGGAATGGCAGATGAAACTTATGGACTATATGGAATTGGCGGAAATGACTGGTAGAATCCGTGACCAGGGAGAAGAGTCGATGGAGGAAGACTGGAAGAAATTCAAAGACTATCTTCAGAAACACTGCAAAATTAAGGAATGTTAGAGTGATGTTGGACTGAAAATAAGTGGTTTCCAGCTGCACAGGTTAAAGTTAAGGATAGATTAAGATTAAAGATTAAGATTAAAGAAGTTTAAAGAAATGGAAATTTGATATTAAAAGGGAAAACTTTAAAGTTACAGGATATTAAGACCAAGGATTAGGTTTAAAAAAGTTGAAGTTATATATTTTAACATTTTATTAAATTAAAGATTGGGATTAAAAAAGTGGAAAAGAAACTGCTGGATAAATAAATGTGGATTGGAATACAAAAGAGGGAGGTATGAGGAAGTCCAGAAAATAAGTAACTTAAAATTGGAAATGGAAAAGAGAGTTTGTTATTAATTGTTTTGTGTTTATATTGTTAAGTTTTGTATTGTTTTTTTGTGTATGTTGTTTTTCTTTTTTGTTTGTTTAAAACCTTAATAAAAAATTATTATTTAAAAAAAAAAAAGGTGCTCAAGAGCTAGAACAGTGGCTCCCAAACTTTCCAACCCCTGGACCTTTGAAAATTGCTGAAGGTCTTGGATCAATGGGATTTTTTTTTTTTTGCCAATATCATGAATGAAAGCAAATATTGTTAGGAAGCTCTGTTCCTTTCCTCCCAGAAATATGTGCACACATCTTACAGACCTGTAATAAAAGGAATGATTACAATAACTCTGCTGGCCATGCCCACTTACCTGTTTTCATCCTCCAGGTGCGCCAAGATTCTCTCCAGTTCCCCTTTGTCGTCTGTGTTGGTGCTGTCCTGGGGCTGCTGACTACTGACTGGTTCTCTGTCTGTAATAGGGCTGGAGTGGCGCAAAAGGTACTGGTCCTCATCCCTGTTGTGGACAGAGCTGTGATGAGGTTAATGCAAGGAAGCTAGAAGTCTTAGTTGGGGTGGTTTGTTGCACTACACTACACCTTGCATCAGGCCTGCTGAACTAATCTAAACAATTGGCATGCTAAGCTTCTGCCTCTCCCCCTTCACAGGAAGTTCAATGCCTTACATTAAATCAGACCCTTGGTCCATCTAGCTCAGTGTTGTCTACTTTGACTGGCAGCAGCTCTCCATGATTTCAGGCAGAAGTCTCTCCCTGTCCTACCTGCTGATGCTGGAGACTGAACCATGCGAGGCAGATGCTTTACCACCGAGTTACAACCCTTCACCTTATTCTGCTACTTGCGATGGCTTTAGCCTTGCCTTCCTGTTTCCTGATGTCATTGCACACTCACACCCATGGCTCTGTATCCCTTTCCCCTTTCTGTGATGCATCTTTTAGATTGTCAGCCTGTGGGCAAGGGGTGTATTGGGTCTTGGTTGTCACTGCTAGTTTGTAAGCTGTCCTGGGAGGCATTTTGCCTGAAGAGGATAAAATTGCCTGAAATAAATAAATGTGCATGGCCTAGGTGCTGGTCACCTGGGAAACAGAACCAGCTGGCCTACTGCACATTCTACCTGAAGAACACTTGCACTGATGGGACAGGAAGAAGATGGCCTTGGGAGGTAGAGCAGGAGAGAATTTGAATGCGTAAATATTTCTCGCTACGTGTAGGAAATCTCAAGGTACCTGTAAAAAGCATGGGTAGCATGCTAACTTTTGTTTGCCATGCTGTTTGCTCCTTTCCAAGAAACGTAGGCCAGGTTTGACTCTGGGTGAGTCCACATGCAATTGCAAGTGGGAGAAGCAAGATATATGATAGAAGTGAGGTTATGTGCTGTATTAGTGCTCATTTTCCCCACCCAGCGGAAGTGGGGGAATGTCCACATGGAATCCTTCTCTGCCCAAATGAAGGAGTGGAGGATAAAGGGTTGGGGACATCTGCCAAGAGATCACAGCCTAAACGTGAAGCCTTATACACAGTCACGCGGCAGTTAGTCCCATTGAACTCAATAAACCTCCTATGTCCAAATATAAATGCAGGTGGTTGCAGTGTGAAGTTGCCTAATTAAATATGACCTCTGGTTGGACCCTGGTACCCCCCACCCCCTAGCTTTGCAACTGACAGAAAGCACACAGATTTCAGTAGAATTTGCAAGGAGGACAGTAGCAACTCACAGGCTGTCATCCGGAGAAAGGCTGTCGTTGTAAAAGGAGGAATTCTGGCTTTCCATCTCTGCAAGCCTACAGGAAAACAGAAGAGGGGCAATGAACTTCATGGAAGTAGCGAGGAAAGACAGAAGATCTTTCCAGAAGATCCCAAAAGGTACCAGGTGGATGGCCACAGGAGGAGAGAAATTGCAGCTCTCATGAGGGTAGGAAATTCTGGGTATGAAACAAGCTCCTCCAAATTAGCAGTTTAAATATTGCCTTGCCTCTCACACTCCACTCTAAAGCATAGTTGCCTACTGCTGGTTGCACTCCTCTAAATTCACCTCTGCAATAAGGAGGTCCAAGCTGGATGTTCCAAGCTTAGACCACATGGCTTACACAAGCCATCTTTGTGTTTCTATACAAATAACTTAGAAACATTTACCATTTTGGAATCTAAGGTGTCTTTTCTTGCTGCTGTATGGAAAAGCACATGAGTTTGAGTTTGTAAGTAAAACATTTTTAACGTACCAAATGCCTGGTCTCTTTCTATGCTATGGGAAATGGGGATATTTAAAAGGGGATATTTTAAACATCTTCTAGCCTACATTTCCATGCTTTACTTTGTTGCATGTTTTGCAGTTTTAAATCTCTGCTGGAGCTCTCTCTCCAAAGAGTACCTGCCCCAAACCTGGATCTAGGCTTCTAGAGAATTCTCCATTTATTAAAATACCCCTGCCCAAAGAAAAACAACAACCACTCATCAGAAAGCAGGATCACTGATAACCACCCTTGATACCACCATGAACAAAAATAATCATGAATACACAATTAAAAGGACATCTGAAGAAGCCCACAGCTAGAAGCCATCAATATTCTGGGAATTTTAAGTTTTATCCTTAAATGGAACTCTGTCTTCTTAGCAGTGCTATTGTAGTCAGGCCCATATAGAACTTGTCTAAGGCCCAGAGCAAAAGAATAGTTAGAATAAAGTTATAAACTCAAACCAAAAAGAAGCCAGTCCCTTGCAGGGTCCCCTGGCCAGCTTAGCCTTCCAAGGCCCAGAGCAAGTGTACCCAGTTGCCCCCCACCCTGCAAAGGCCTGATTGTAGTGTTTGGAGCGTTGGAGACAGTCACCTTCTGCCTTTGCTACAGAGCGCTTTTCTGATGTACCAGGTTTTCCTCCACTCACTGTATCTGTCATACTGGCTGTGCCACCCCATTCCCCATACCACCCAACATTTTGGCCCGACCCCTTTCTTAGGGGTGTCAAGTGGTACCTGCTGGCGAAGTGTTCGATCCGAGAGTGAGTATCTGCATGAGGTAACATGGGAGAGGAGGCTGGCCTGAAAGGAACAAGCAGAAGTCACGAAGGACTGAGGTATGACATTGTCAGCAGTTGCCTAGCAGGGGTCTAATGAAAGTGTCAACTGCACCGGTCGTGCATCTAGGCAGGTAAAACAAGGTGCTTGCATTAATTTACAAAGCCCTGAACAACTTAGGTCCATGGTACTTAAGGGACTGCTTGAACTCTTCTATCCCAGCTCAGTCACTGCTATAATCTGTAGGAGTGTCATTGGTCACCTCCTGAGTTCATGAGGCTTGTTTGACATTGACAGAAAACTGAGGCTTCAAGCATCAACAGCATAGTCCTGTGGAAGCCTCTTCCAGTAGAGATGATGATGATGATGATGGTGATGATGATGATGGTGGTGGTGGTGATAATGATGATGATGATGATAATAATAATAATAATAATAATACTTCTTTTCTTCTTCTTCTTCTTCTTCTTCTTCTTCTTCTTGTTATTATTATTATATTATTATTATTATTATTATTATTATTATTATTATTATACCCTGCCCATCTGGCTGGGTTTCCCCAGCAATTCTGCGCAGCTTTCAGCACATATAAAAACATAATAAAACATCAAACACCAACAACTTCCCGATATAGGACTGCCTTCAGATGTCTTCTAAAAGTTGTGTAGTGCTTTATCTCACTGGCATCTGATGGATTCAGTAGGTGTCTTCTATATTACCCTTTAAGCATCTCCTGAAAACTTACCAATGTTGTCAGGTTTATGCAGACTATTAAGAAAACATTTTCCTGTAATAGTTAGCTGATAATCTGTGATGTTACTCTTTTTATATGGTGGGGGGTGTGTGTGTGTGTGTGTGTGCGTGTGTAACACTGTTGTAAGCAACTTAGATTTTTTTAAAAAAATGAAATTGTGGTATATAAGCATTTTTATAAACAAATGAACAACAAGTCTGTGGGGAGACCTTTTGACCTTTGGGAAGGGGGTGTTATCTGCTGCAACAGGGGTGGGGAACCAGTGGCCACCCATATGCTGTTGAGCTCCTGCCAAATCTCCCACTAATTGATACCTCCACAAGCCCAGCTATTACACCAGAGTAATGACTGCCAATGACTCAAGACTTTTCAAAACACCCCCCCCCCCCCGCAGAAACAGCACAGGGATACGGCCCTTTTGATGCTGTTGGATTCCAACTCCCATCAGCCCCGAGTCACTTTGACTAATGTCCCGGAAGGATGGGAGTATTATTCCCATAACATCTGGAAGATCACAGGTTCCCCATCCCTGATTTACACTATGCAACTGTGACTTCTGAAGACTGACAGCAAAGGATCACAGAAAGCTGCCTTATACCAGGCCTGGGTATTCATCCATCTAGCTCAGTACTATCTTCTCTGACTGGCAGAGGTTGCTAGGGTCTTGGGCCGAGTGGGGTCTTTTCCATCTTCTGCATGCAAAGCATTTGCTCTGCTCCTAACCTGCAGCCTCTTCTCCAATCCATGCACCAGTTGTGCATGAGCATTCCTAGAAGGAATGGAATGCTGGACTTAGTGGGGACATTGCTTCTCATCACTACTGAGCTGATGGCACCCTGGTGTGGATTCCTTCACCTTCAGCTGTGATGACAGATGAAGTTTGTGCAAAATTACCTTTGGAATCTTATTATCCTAGTAGTAGGAGCAGCTGGTATTAGAAGATGGAACTGGAACTTTTTACAAGCACCACACAATATCCAATTCTGCAGTTGTAAGGAAACAATGGTGGAACTCCTTGCACATTGATACTAGGTAGGCCTCTTAATTGTATTGTTTAAAGTGCCTACTAAAAACTTCTTTGTTTAGACAAGTTGAACCAGATATGGAAAGCTGACGTACATTTCAATAGGTAGTTTTCTTTATTTTTATAATGTAAATTTTTAACAACTGATTTTATTTATTTTGGAATTGTTTAAAGTCAACTTGTCTTTAACCTCTGATTTCTATAGTTAACCTTAATGTATATTTTATGTAAATCATGTAAAGAGATTTCAATGATTACACATTTTATTACTCCAGGCCATCCATCCACCGCTGATAGGGAATTCTTTGCTTCCCAGAATTCTAGGTTTGGTCTAAGTTCTGTTGAGGCCAGAGATGGGGAACCTGTGGCTACCCAGATGTTGCTGGACTCTAGTTACCGAAATCCCTGAGCAACGGCCATGCAGATAGGATTTGGGAGTTCAACACCTGAGCATTGCATGTCAGTGGCGTAGCGTGGGGGGTGCAGGGGGGGGCCGGCTGCACCGGGCGCAACATCTGGGGGGGGCGCTCGCACTCGCAGCTCGCACTCGCAGGGGGCGCAAATTACTTGCCTTGCCCCGGATGCTGACAACCCACGCTACGCCACTGTTGCATGTTCTCCATCCCCCTTTTCTTCTCACCCAGCAAGCATCACGAAGATGTCCATCGATCAAGGAAGAGGGTGGGGAATTTGCAGCCAGGACCAGGACTTACGTTTCAATGAAATCTGCCTCCAGGACGGACTGGACCGGCAGGTACCCTCTTTGGGGATGCTTGCTGAAATACTGCTTCGACCGGAACTTGTTTTTCAGGGTGGTGGCAAAGTCCCTCATGTTCTCACTAGATGTGGTCTGCAGAGAGGAACAGAGGCTTCGTTCACACACCTGTTTACTGCCCAATCAGGATAGTGATTCATACACTATATATAGTAAACTTAAGATAAAAAATAGATTGACCTTATAGAAAATATACAGAATACTACTGATCCTAACTTGAAAATCATTTTCATGCATTTGTTAGGAGTGTTTTTCAAAGTTATTTGGGTTGTATCCAGAGTTTGTCACACTCAGATCTGGTCCCCTGAAATTAAATGACATTAATTTCTTAGGTCCCTTAATTTAAATGGGTCTACTCTGTGCAGAATTTAGTTGAAGACAACCCTTCATGTTAATTTTTCTTAAAAGCATAGTTGTGGATCCAGCATTAAATTCAGTTTGCAAAAACAGGTGCCCAGTTCTCCAGAAACTCATTTCCTCTTTGATAATTCTCATTTGTTCTTAGAAAAGATGTCAAGGTGGACATTACTGTCCTGCCTCCCAAACGAAATAATAATAATAATGATAATAATAATAATAATAATAAATAATTTCCACCCCACTATCTGGCTGGGTTTCCCCAGCCACTCTGGGTGGCTTTCAACAGAACATTAAAGACGGAATAAAACTTCAAACATTAAAAACTTCCCTAAATGTTACAACAAAAGCTCTTACCTATGAGTAAGAAATAAAGCTTTATTCAAGACTTGCAACAGTACAGGTCAGGCTACAATTACTGTCAAATCCCACATATTTTAATCTCCATTATTCTATATATGGTGCTGTAGTTATTTTTTTCATATTTAGCATATTCTGGTCTAGAAGCTATTATATGACTAGTCAGTCCTCTATGTTCTTTCTGTATTTTTGTGTGCAGGCTGAATAAAAGAACACTGGGTCAAGCCTGTTTTTATTCTATCGAAAAGTGTATTTTCTTCCCATACCTTTTTAAAAATAGGGTAGGCTTGGTAATGCTGGTAACTTGTTATGCAGGCAAGCTGGGGAACCTGTGCCCTACCCCAAGTGTTGCTGAACTACAATTCCCATCATCCCTGACAATTGGCCATGCTGGCTGGAGCTGATGGGAACTAGAGTTCAACAACATCTGGAGGCCCAGAAGTTTCTCACCCTTGGCCTAGGCCTAAGTAATGGGTCCAGAGCTTGCTCCATGAACAGTTCATTGGTCAAACATGAACAGTGTCATTGGTCAAATACCAGTGTCCCCCCAAACAGTTTTCTCCAGACAACTTCTTGCCTATATTACCATTGTGTAAAGGTAAAGGTAAAGGTACCCCTGCCCTTACGGGCCAGTTGTGACCGACTCTGGGGTTGCGTGCTCATCTCGCTTAAGAGGCCGGGAGCCAGCGCTGTCAGAAGACACTTCCGGGTCACGTGGCCAGCGTGACGAAGCTGCTCTGGCGAGCCAGCACCAGCGCAGCGCACGGAAACGCTGTTACCTTCCCGCTATAAAGCGGTACCTATTTATCTACTTGCACTTAAGGGTGCTTTTGAACTGCTAGGTGGGCAGGAGCTGGGACTGAATGACAGGAGCTCACCCCGCCGTGGGGATTCGAACCGCCGACCATGCGATCGGCAAGTCCTAGGCACTGAGGTTTTACCCACAGCGCCACCCGCGTCCCTTACCATTGTGTAGTATTCCATAATGGGATAATGCAGCTTGTTGCCTTTGCTGGCTCTCCCAGTCAAGAAGCAAGTCTGGCAGATGTCCACATTGAACTGCTTCAGGCTTCGGTACCTGGAACAAAGGGCAATCAGGGCTGGGGCATAAAACCAGCAGCATCAAAATAATAAAGCATCTCCTAGACTCCACCCATGTCAGGACGCAAGTAGGGTTTGTATGTTTGGGGAGGACCATTGCTCAGGGGTAGAGCATTTGCCTTGCACACTTAAGTTCCCAGATTCAATCCCAGGTAGGACTGGGAATGTCCCCATGACTCAAACTCTGGAGAGCACCTGCCAATCAGAGTAAACAGTACTGAGCTAGATGGATGAATGGTCTGACTCAGAGAGGCTCGCTTGGCGCCATCATTACGTGTCTTTAGGCGCTAGGCAAAACATTCCTCTTTACCCAGGCCTTTGGCCATTTTTTTATTTTTGTGCTCCGTAAAATGTGCTCTATATGTTGTGCACTGCCCTGGGATCTTTTGATAAAGGGTGGTATCTAGACTGAATAAATAAATAAGAATACAAGATAATAAGGCAGCTCCCGACGTTCTTATTAATGCCCACCTCCACTTTTTTTAAGGCTTCAACATAGAAAATGAGTGCACAGAAAGAAGTGTTTCGACGTGCAGGGATGTTTTTGCTGTAGGATTCCATTTGAATATAGGAACATATGATGAGCTATGGAGGAAAAGTTCTATCAGCAGCTATTACTTATAATAGCTAGATGGTACCTCTATGTACAGAGGGAATGGACCCGTGGACATCAAATGTCATGGGCCTAAAGACAGAGGAAGAAGTCTGCTGGATCAGACCAATGGCCCAACTAATCCAGCACCCTGTTATCACAGTGCATATGGGAAGCTGTCTACTGTAGCACACCCCATACCTGAATCCTTTGATAGGGCATTGTCGGCAGACAGAGCACTTGGTCTGGTGTTTAACTTGCTCGGCTATAGTCACTCGATGCAGTACTGCCAGCCACACCATTGACTGTGGCTCCAGGTTAGCCCATTCCAGGAACTGGATAGCCTCAATTGCTGGTTTCCCATTACCCTAAGAGGAAGAGAAGTGAGGCAGGTGCTGATCGCTAGTCATATGAATGGATTGCAGGGCTGCACATTTGGTACATATATCCTCTTTCCCTTCCAAAATGGCGCTGATCGTACTGACATCTCTGCTCCTACAAATGATTTAATCTGCTTAAAACGATATAGTGCATAAAAATTCCTTGAAATTCTACATGGTGATCTTTAAAGACTTTTTTTTTATATCACCCTTCCGATTCCCAGTGTACTTTCTGTTTAAAAAGTAATACACAGCAAAGCAAGCAACGTTTCCAATACCAATAAAATGTAAAAACTAAGAAGGCGGCAGGTCTCAAAGCAGCATTGAAGCAACCAGAATCAAAACATAAGGGGAAAAGCTTGGTTCAAAACAAAAACAAAACCTTTGCCTAGTGTCAAAAAGATAACATTGTAGGCACCAGGAGAACCTTGCTGGCAAGAACATTCCACAATCGGGGTACTACCAATCAAGAAGGACATCTTCCTGATACCCACTCACTTCACCTCAGATTGCAGTGTCCCATTGAAAACTCTCTACTGAAGATCTTGAGGACCTATGAAGAAAGGTGGTCCTAAGCCTAAATCACGTCACAATAGTTGATGCTAAGTGGACTTCCATCTGAAGGCAGTCTTTCCTGTAGTAGCTTTCTGTCTATGGAATGCTCTTCCCTAGGGAATCTTGCCTGGCACCAACTCTGCCATTGTTTTGGTGCCAGGAAAAGATGTTTGAGGGTTTTTTTCTGGGTGTTTGGGCAGCACCAAAGACTGGGTGTCTTTACTCTGACTATGCTTTCTATAAGCTTATATATTTTGATTACTGCATTTTATGCATGTCTTAAATTTCTTCAGGACTTTTTGGTTGTGGGAAGTGATTCATAAACTCGACAAACCTAAAACAAAGGGATAAGACTGTCAAGAGGTGACAAAGGCAGTTGAGTGGCTTCTTATTAAAAGACTAAGGCACTTTTCATGTTATGGTAGAAACATAATGAGCAAGTTACGTGTGCCTTCAACTCTGAGCCGTTGCTGGAACGTTAAAGGCCGAGTGCAAGGTGAGTGGAAACATGAGGCCTCCCCCCCCACTTGTCCATTCATTTTGGCTGGCTGTTGGGGTTTTTTTTGGGGGGGGGAAAGCTGCGCAACTGGGCCCACTCATGTGCCAACAGGCCTTGAAACGTAACTTGCAGCTGTGAGGGAAGGAACCACAGAAAAGCCACTCCTAAGCCACTGAGAGACACCCAAGAAATATGACCCACTGGCTCCCTCAACAACTCCCGTGGCAAAAGGAATCTCTCCTTGTAGCGTCAACATGGACAAAGCACCACCTGTGTCACGTACAAATCGGAAGCAGCTGCGAACGCTGGGCTCCACGTTGCTCCCTCCAAAGGCTGCCACCTCCCCGAGTTGCCGTGGTACCTGGATGGCCTCGTGAAGAAGGACGCCAAGGTGTCGCTGGTCACAGAGTCCGCTGGCATTTGCCACCTGGCTGAAGAGATCTGAAAGGTGCGAGGGAAGAGCATGGGGCCCCCACAAAGGGTGGGATGAGGGAGGGAGGAAGAGACAGAGAGAGAAAGAAAGAAAGAAAGGAGAGAGACTCAAACTGCAGCTTTTCCCAGAGCTATGAAAACATGGGGAAAGACAAGCATCAGTGGTGAAAGTCAAGCTTTGAAAGAAGGTATCACTCTTAACCATGGCCCATCTGCACTATAAATTTAAAGCAGTATCATAGCACTTTAAACAGTCAAGGCATCCCCCAAAGAATCATAGGAGCTGCAGTTTGTTAAGGGTACTACAATTACCAGGATCCTTTGAGAGAAGTCATGATGATGATTACAATAATCTGCAATTAAGGATGGAGGAATCTGTCAGTTTCGATTTCTCTCAGTTTCTCCTTTTTATAAAACAATTTGCAGGGTTATTTCCTGCAGCCCCCCCCCCCAAAAAAAACTCTTGAAAATTCAGCAGCAATTTAGTGCAGATTTCTCTTAATATATATATTCTCCAATGAAATGCATCTTTGTACATATATTTTCACTAATATTTTGCATTTTATGCACCATTTTCCCCAATACATTCTTTTTTTTCATCCAGATTGTTTGGTTGAAGAAATGTACCACAAAATTCAGGGAAGTGCAAATTCTGAAGGACAGCTTTGTTTTGGTTTGTATATTGGTTTGAGAAGTGTGTGTTAGTTAGTTTCACATTAAAATGCCAACAAAATTGCATTTCTACAACTATATCTGTAGTAAAGATATGCCCTAAGGCAGTGGTTTGCAAACCTTTCTGTCCCCGAGTAACCTTTTCAAACCAACCACCAAAGCTGGCTTTGCCAATAGGCAAACTGAGGCAGCTGCCTCAGGTAGCAGAAGTTCGCAAGGTGGCAGTTCTGTGGGTGTACCTTAGGTGGCACTGAAGTGGCACCTGTATCAGATGAAATCACACCCCAAATCAAATGAGATCTTGCAAGAAAGCAAGATATTGCATAATTTTGGCAATATCTCGCCCAAATCAGGCAATATATTGCCCAAAAATGGCACTGATGGCAGCTTTGCTCCTGCATCTGTGGCAAAGGCAGCAGGGCAGGCAGAGAAGTGGTGCCAACAGCAACAAGTATGGCAGCAGTGGTGGGAGCAGTAGGGCAGGGCAAGGTGGCACTTCTTGTTTTGCCTCAGGTGGCAAAACGGGATGCGCAGCCCCTGTAAACTAGTATGCCACAGGACCCTTGCATGTTGCCAATTGCCTTCCACCCTGCAGGGGCAGATTCAGGGAATGGCTGGAAGCTGAGGAGCTGTGGTTTGATTTTGATGAGTGGGCACCGGAAAAGGGGTGGGGGGGTTGGATGCTGGCTTGGAAGAAGGGATCAGTGATCTGGGGGAGCCTGTAAGAGCCAGGAGACGAGAGTCAGAGGCAGGAGGAGCTGCAGGATTGGAGAGGGGAGAACAGGTGCAGGAGGAGGGAGAGATAGGTCAGGCTGGTGTAGAGTCAAGGGCTTCCACATCTCCTCGTCCTGCTCCTAGCTCTCCTGCTCCGCTGTCTCCCAGGACCAGAAGAGGACTGAAGTGGGAGGAGCAGAAGCTTACACGCAGGCAGAGTCTCCAGCTGCTTGTGTGCCGCTTGGGTGGGGGAGGTACATAAGCTGAGGTCAGGGGCAGGTCCTCTCTGTCGCAGCAACTGCACAGCTAGGAGTGGCTGAGAGACATAGGACGGATGGTCCTGCCTTTTCCTAATTTGCAAGTGTACTTTAGACAATGAAGAGCTAATTCATCTCTCTGGACATTCCTCACCTGTCAGCACTGTGATAGGCAGGAGGGAAATAGCTGGTCTGCTTTAAAATTCAGTGGAGCACTGTGGAAGCCCTGTTCCTTGGAGCAAGGCAGGACTGGAACTGAGAGGGTGTTTTTCTGTCATGCAGGATGGCATGTGCAGGACTGATTTGTGTGCAGGCCTATTCATGCAAGTGGGACGAGGAACCCATGAAAGAATGCTCTCTCCTCCGCTGCAGGAAACAGGAGCTTTGTGAGCAATATAAAAGGCTTCCTGCCATATTTCCATCTGTGCAATACTGGAAGGGATGCAGGCAGGTGAATTGTGATGCAGCTGTGACTCCTCCTGCACTCGCCTCTCTCCACCTTTCCAAACCTGAAAGCCTCCCACACTCTGGTTTCATCAACCATCTCCCCCGGATGACTCACATTGAAATTTTTCCTTCACCTCCGTGCCACACAGACATGCTATGCCTGTCTTGAAGGAGAGAGCCCGCATCTTCCCGCTGCGTCCACTGGAAGACAAAAGGCGCAGGGTGAGTGGGGTGGGGGGAAACCTGCAAACCCCCCCCCTTTTTTGGCTCAGTTTACAAGTGACCAATTTCTGCACAGCAGATGAGACTCTGTAGTGGTTTCCACCAAACAGTGCTGGCAGAACCAGGCCTCCCAGAACAGGCCTGCAAAGGCATGATAGCCCACTAGGAGCTCAATAAAAAACATGCATTTCCAGCAGGGTGTGTGCATAGCACCTTGCAGGCAACAGGGCATGGCTGGTGGTCTGTGTCTTGCTTGGCAAACCCAACCTATAACAAACAGGCTTTTCCTTGCAATGCCACATCATAGCCATCCAGACCACATGCCAGTCTCCACTGACAGAAGCCTCAGTGGAGATACCAACCAATCCAATCCACCTTTGCCCCTGAAGACACAGACTTTATGAAACTTCATGTTTAGAGGGAGTCTGCCTGCTTTTATCAGGTGCTTGGAACACAGAACAACCATCTCTACAATACACTGCTTGTGGATTTCCTATCATAATCATCATTGTGTTGCTTTTTTCAGAAACGTGAACTCAAAGCAACTTATGAAAACAAACATTTAAGTAGGAAAATGAGAGGCATAGAACAACTGAAAATGCCCACAATAATTTGTATAAAAGAACAACCCCATCCCACGAAGACAGGATTCCCCAAACTTGTATCTCCAGCTCTTTTTGGACTACAACTCCTACCATCCCTAGCTAGCAGGACCAGTGGTCAGGCATGATGGGAACTGTAGTCCAAAAACAGCTGGAGACCCATGATTGGGAAACCCTGCACTAAAAGAGAAAAGCGGGAGATTAAAGTCAAAGGCCTGGGAGGATAACAATATTCAGATGCTTAAAACAGATAGTCATGGTGCCTGGCATGACAGCATTTCACAAATGGGGAGGACCCACAGGTGAAGCCCATTTTCATACTGCCACACTCGGCACCTTCCAAATGAATTTTTATACCCCGAAACCAGTTTCTAAACAGTTTACAAAGTATAAAAACCAGTTTACACAAGCATTAAAATACAAGCCTCTATCATTAAAATACACAATAAAACAATCACATTAAAACATTACTAGTCTGCTAAGGCATCTCTTATTGGTATGGATGCCTTTATGGGTACCTATCGAAAACATTGAGCAGCCAGTTCAAGGTCATGTCCACACAGAGGGGGACGTTCACCAGGATGCCTCTTTCCTCCTCGAGCCGCTCGTAAAGGGCGGTCAGGCAGTGGATCACCTCCACCACATCCATCACGTGGTCGCTGGGCTGCAGCTCATGTTCGCTGAAGACCTCCAAGGCTGTTGGTAGCGTCACCAAGTCCACTGTGGTGCCCAGAGAAAAGGTGGTCAGAAATGGAAGTGGGAGATGAAAAAACAAAAAACAAACCTGTTATAGATTTGTCACAGGAAGCAAGAAAGATCCCCCCCCCCATCATGACAAAGATAATCAGGGCTACAATTAAAAAGGTACAAAGTCTTTGTGTTTGAAAACAACTCGAGGCACAGCAAAATGGCGTCACCTATGCTACCAACTAATAAAAAAGAGGCACCCTTTGCAATTGACAGTTGTTGTTGTTAATTTCATTTCTGTACTGCCTTATATTTTTAAGGCGGGGTGGTGGTGGTGGGCAGACTTCCGGCTTCCTACTATAAAATATTTCGAGATGTGTTAAACATCCCCACTGAAAGACTTAATGAATGGAATCCTCCCAGGAAAGCAAATACCAACATTATAGGAAAATGCATATATTACACTAATCTCTAAACAAGAGCAGGATGTACTACAGCTTAAAATCTATAGGCCGATTTCCTTATTAAACAATGATTACAAGATATATGCAGCTAGTATAATGACAAAAAGAATGAGAGCAATTCTAAGAAATTTCATACTTCAAGATCAAACAGGTTTCCTGCCATCGAGGCAGTTAAGAAATTACACTAGGCATATATTGAATATAACTGAACTCTTAAGAGAAGAAAAATGAAAAAGAAACAACTTTAATGTTCCTTGACACAGAAAAAGCATTTGGCAATGGTTCTTGATGGGAGTTATAGAAGTTATGGATTTTGGGACTGCCTTCACCAAAGGGCTAAAAGCCATATATATAGAACAATGGGCAAATATAATAATATATGGTAACCTAAGCAAGAGGTACAGTATGAAAAATGGTACTAGACAAGGATGTCCTTTATTGCCACTGCTCTTCATTCTAGCATTAGAGGTCCTGGCAATAAAAATATGAGAAGACACAGAAATAAGTGGAATAAGTGGAAAACAAATACTGTATGTTTGTGTGTTGTTCCTTCATGCATATCATAGCTCCAGTTTATAGAATGTGAAAATTATCCCTAATTAGGCAACACGGCTGGTACAAGAGGAAGAACAGGAGGGAATTCTGGGGCTTACATCGCAAGGCCTTCTGTACACGGCGCAGTTTCATGGCTGTGCGATATGCAGAAAACTTGATGTTGTTCAGGTCAGCTGTAGACAAGGACAGAAAGAAAAATGAAACCACAGGGTGTCCTTTGCCAACTTGGTGTCCTCCACTAAGGTTGGCACTATTTCCTTGTCATTCTTGCTTTGCCAACTTCATGCACTGCAAGTGCTTTGAACCTTAACTCCCATCAGCTGCAGGTGACATACATAGTTCTCTTCCTCCACATTTTATCCTCATAACTACCTTGTAGGTAAGGCTGAGAGACTGCGACTGGCTCAAGGTCACCCAATGAGTTTCATAGCTGAGCAGGGAGTTGAACTCCAGTCATCCAGGTCTTAGTCCTATACTCTGACCACAACACCACAACTCTTGTGGTTCTTGTTACAAAATTGGACCGAGAAGCATCGCCCTATCCTTCACTTTATCCCAAAGTGAGGGTGCTTCCAGCCTGTTGCTGTTATTGAGTGGCATTTAATCACACAGACGCAAATTCATGTTATGAAATTGACAGGGAGGTCTTGCACAAACTCTCCTCTGCAAAAGACCTGACTTTTTACAATAAGGAAATTGAAGAGGGAAATGCATTGGAAAGTGGGTGGATGACACTTGCTCCGGCACAATGTCAACTAACTCCACCGTCCAAGCAAAGCCACTTACGCCCTTCAGAGGAGGTGGAGTTGCGGGCTTCACGGCCCTACCATGTGCGCGGCAGCTGGAACCCAGCCCCTGCGCGATTGGGGGGATTCCTAGCAGCGTCACCTCCTGGCCAGCCAATCGGTGTGGCCTGCTGCCTGCCAGCTGTTTGTGGCCTGTCCGAAGCCTGGGGAGGGGAAGGCCTAAGGCACGCCCCTATTGGTGACCCTGGGGGAGTTCCTAGTTGATGTGCATCAGCAGGACTCCTCCTACTGGTGGTTAACCCTTCCCGGACTTCAAGCGGACAGGCTGAAGTCGGATATAGTCAGTTAGGACCAATGCCTAAGCCAATACCGCTCATCACATGTAACCAATAAAGTTGTGGCCTTATTTAGCCCATTAACCTTAATAATTGTGTCATGTGTCATTATTTCCACTGGGGGGCGGCAGGAACTTGCCACGCAAATCAGAATAAATAACCAACATTATCTGATCTCCCTGCAAATAAATCTGGATGAATGCTCAAATAATAGGAAGCACTCCGAGAAAGACATCACATCCAGTGCAGAAGCTTCTCCTCCTCCTCCCACTGGCAGATTGTCTAGTAGTCCATAACAATAGTTGTGATGCAGACCTTGCAGACTTTAAAGTCCTTCTTACCCAGTGTCTGGTATAACTCAGTCATCTTGGGATGGTCCCAGCATGTTGTCTGAGCCTGGTGGCTGAAAAGATAAAGAGGTTGAGAGGAATTCAATAACAGGAAGTTACATATTATTTAATAATAATAATAATAATTTATACCCCGCCCTCCCCAGCCAAGACTGGGCTCAGGGCAGCTAACACCAAGTATAAAAACAATTGATTAAAATACAACTTAAAACAAGATTAAAATACAACATTAAAAAGCAGCCTCATTTCAGTGGAAACTCAAAACAAAAACTTTTTGGGGATGAAAACGTCAAATCTTCACCAAGGCCAACTATCCAGACTGGTCCTACGTGGGCCAGAAAAAAGCCAGGGAAGTCCCCAAATAGGAGTTCCATCACAGAAGGAAAAAGGAAAAAGAAAAGAGGGGGAGGGAATCAAGTTGATTCCAAGCCAAAGGCCGGGCGGAACAACTCTGTCTTACAGGCCCTGCAGAAAGAAATCAGATCCTGCAGGGCCCTGGTCTCGTGAGGCAGAGCGTTCCACCAGGCCGGAGCCAGAGCTGAAAAGGCCCTGGCTCTGGTTGAAGCTAATCTGACTTCCTTAGGGCTCAGGACCTCTAGGCTGTTGCTATTTATGGACCTTAAGGTCCTCCGTGGGGCATACCGGGAGAGGTGGTCCCAGAGGTACCAGGGTCCTAGGCCGTGTGTATTTACATTTGGTGTGTTCCACACACACACATATTTTCAAGAGTTGTGTACCGGTACGACTGTAGACATTTTGTCATGGACCAATGGTACCAAATAGTATGGGAAATAGTATATAGAAAGAGAACCCGCACAAGTGACGCTGAAACAAAACCCCACACATACACTAAGCAGAAAAACAGAAGCATTGCTCCCCATGCCACCTCCCCCCCTCTTTTCTTCCAAACCTAACACTGCATGTAACAGTAATGTTTCACAACAAATGAAACTGATCTGTAGCAAACACATCTTGAAAAAACAGACAATGTACGTATTTTTTGTAAACTAAGAAATCTTTAATAAAAATTATATTTAAAACTAAACAAAACTGTAGACACCTTGTGTGATTTGGGATTGGGAGAAGGAATGTCCTGGAAAATCCCAGAGGATGCAGGTACAGATAAATAATTGTTTATGCTGATGTGCAAATCACAGCAATGCCAATCATGAAATAAAGCAATATGGCGGTTCAAACATGTGGATGTCTTGGGGATCCCAGACTCCCACAGTTCCACAGAGAACTTACAAATCTTATTGACTGCAATCTGGGGGTTGGTTGTGGGTAAGATGCCTGAATACGTGGCAAGAAAAACTGAATACTGCTCTCAGTCACAAGGGATAGGACAAGACCAGAAACTCATTCAGATGCTGTTGCACACTCACTTGATGTAGTATGGGACCTTATTGGGAGAAATTGCTCGTTCCCAGGGGACTTGGACTGAGGCTGCAAGAAAAAAATAGGAAGAGGAGATAGACAGAAAAGGCTGATAAGCACTTTGCATGTGATTTGAATGCCCCAATTATTTACCAGCAACTACTTCTATTTTCTAATCCTCATACCTGGAAAAACACAGTTATGCAACCAAGTTTTACTCAGAATAGAGCCATTGAAATTAATGGATCTAAGTTAATCATGTTCATTAATTGCAATGGGTCTACGCTTAGTAGGATTTGCAATGGATACAACCCAAGATCCCTTCTTTTGGCTCCCATTTTTGCCTGTCTGGGCAAATACCTTACTAAAATATTGTTAGTGTGTGTTGTCGTTCTTCAGGGTTTAACTCCTTTCCCAGGGTCACTAGAAGAGGGATGGGGAAATATGTGGCCCTGAAGATGCTGCTGGACTCCCATCATCCTTGACCACTGCCCATAAGTTTGAGAAAGCAATAGATGGTGCAGCTATTGCAAAGGAAATGAATGCATCACATATATCGCAGGCAGTATGGCTTTTAATTATGGACAACAAACAATGGGAAACAGTGGACTGAGTGGTGCTGATAACATCATCTTCAGTATGAGGACATTCCAGCTGATTAGTTGTGCTGTCTTTCCAGATGGTCCATTCCATTCCACTTTTCCATTCAAAATAAGCAAATAAATCATTGCCAGAAGAAAACTAGCACAGCAGGAAGGGGCGGGGGGGGGCTAAACATTTTCCCTTGGTGAGCGAGGGTTTTTTTTGTCTGTTTTTGTTTTTACTACTGGAGAGACCGTTTAAACATTAAAAATGGTATCCTTGAGGCTGGCCAACAGTAAATATTTTAAAGCAATTAATTAATTATAATAACTGTATTAAGCATAAAATGTTGTCCCCACATCAGATTATTTTAGTCCCTTTGTCAAAGCTAAGGAAAGCTTTATTCAGGACTATGGGAATGGTAACTAGAAATGACGGCTACAACAGTCATAAAGGAAGTCCACAGGCAAGTTGTTGTTGTTTCTTTAAGAAAAGAAAATCTGGGCCCACTTCAAGTTTTGAAAATAAATCAAGCACATTTTAAAATCATTTGGGGGGGGGTGAGAGTTGTTTAACAAGCTTAGTCTCAGGGCAAGTGAACAGGCAGCATACACATCGCATGACATCAAGTTTCAGTATTCACCCAGGCTATGAAACACATGTAGCCTAGCAATGAGTCAGTTTTGGGGCAATATCCAAACCCAGCTCAAGGATCTGTGGTAGGACCACCTCAAGGACAACCTCTGTGAGCAGAGCCCTTGGAATGCAGAAATGGCAAGAATGCTTGGGTGACAAAAGACATCAATTAGCCTTAGTCAGTTTTGGTCCTGCCTTGCTTTTCATAGAAAAGGGTTTTCTTTTTAAAAAAAATGTGGTGTATGTAATGCTTTGTTAAGTAAGCATCACTGAAGCTGGGCCTTAATGAACTTTGGAGGAGGAAAGAGATAAATAATAATAATAATAATAATAATAGTATCCTGACCACATGTTCTTATAATTCTATTGTCCTTTATTAATGCCTAATTACCAACTGTGTACACATGGCCGCTGACCACAAATTTGTACCAAGTTGTCCTGTTTTTGTTGTATAGGCTTACTTTTATTCATGATGATGATAATAATAATAATAATAATAATAATAATAATAAACTTTTACAGAAATGGCAGCCTGAAATGCCACTATGTATTCTACCTCCTCAAGATTCTATCATCTCATTCAGCTGCACATGTGAAACATGCTAAGGAGAAGGGAGAATATCTCTTCCCCTCCAAAGTGACAATGCCTTCAGCTGTCTACGTACTTGAAAGGAAGTGCTGTGATCCTGGCCCAAAGTCACGGTGGGCGTCCTGAAGGTGCTTCAGCCGGTCATTGATGGAGACCTATGCAGAGGTTGGAAATATTAAAGAAAATTGGGGGAGGGGAAACATGTAGTATTTCAGTCTGTCAATCACAGAACCCAGATGTGCCTCCTATCTTTACAGAGTAGGCTATATTCCATCCACACAAACGTCATGAGGTTTCTACACAAACACTACCCTCCACCCAGGCAAGCAAGTATAAAGTTCTACACAAATATAAAATAGGGGACGTGGATTGCCACTAGTACATGTGGAAAGGACCTAGGGTTTTTAGTAGAGCCTAAAGCTTATCCTGAGTCAAGAGCATGATGCAACAGCAAAAAAATGCTAATGCTATTCTAGGCTTCATCAACAGAATATAGTGTCCTGAATACGATGGCTTGCTTGAGTTCTTTGGCTGTTGCGTGCATCTTGAAGTTGGGTAAAAATGGTAGCAAGTACTTTGCAACTTTTTTGAGGGAAAGAGGAGGGAACTATCCTCAAATTGCCATCCTAGCCAGCAGTTTTGTTACTATTTATGGCCCGGCTAAAATACGTTCGTTGTCATTTAACTCTTCACTTTCGTTTAGATTCTCACACACTGCATGTTGCATACCAGATATGATCCAAGCATTGCTTTTAAATAACCTGATTTCCTTGCAGTATAGTGTCCTGAACAAGGGAAGTCATAGTCCCACTCTATTCTACCTTGATCAGACCACACATGGAGTACTGCATACACTTCTAGGCAACAGTTTATGAATTATGGACACAAGCCATTCACCTGCAGAGCTTATAGCCAGGGCTGCTACAATAAACAGCTGTGTAAGCCTTGGGGAGGCAAAGATGTGGGAAGGCATCAGAGGAGGGAGGGAAAGAGGCCAGTGTTGGCCACAGTACCCCTGACCATCATTCAAGGCACCCTAGGGCGCCACAGTACACTGGTTGAAAACCACTGTCTCAAAGGGTGACACATGAAGAAAGAGCAAGTTTTGTTTTCTCCAGAGGGCAGGATCCGAACCAATGGATTCAAGTTAAATGAAAGGAGATTCTGACTAAACATCAGGGGTATCTTTCTTACAGTAAGAGCTGTAGGAACAGACTCCCATAAGAAGTGGTGGACTTTCCTTTGGACGTTTTTAAGCAGAGGCTGGATGGCCTTCTGTCATGTATGATTCCTGCATTGCAGGGGATTAGGCTGGATGACCCTCAGGGCCCCTTCCAACTCTACAAGGTTCTTGTGTCCCCTCCCTCACCTGCAGCTGTTTCCAACGTGTGTTGATCTGTTCCAGGGCACGAGAGTTCTCCATGGACAGATGCACATCGGAGATAGCCAACTGATGTGCAAGGTCATTCACAAGCTTCACTGCATCTTTCATGGGGGACAGCTCCTCTTTGAACAACTGGAGATCCATCCCATCCCAAAGGAAAAAGAAGTTGGAAAGAGTCAGAAAGAAGGAGAGAGAAGAAGAAGAAGACGAAGAAGAAGAAAGCCAGCAACCAATGATCTTCGATTGTTTACAAATGGGGTTGAATGCACTCAGCAACACATGATGACCCAACTCATGTTGGAAGTGGTGGAAGAAAGCAATCACAGATCTCTTAAGATAGATAGGAAGGTTGTTCCACTCACAAGTCCCTTGTGGAGCACTTTTTAAGTGCCCAACAGCTCACTGGTTGTCTGATGTTGGGAACCACAGTTCAAGGGTCTTGCTGAAGGACTGCACTTCATGGAACTGATAAAGTGGACTTTAACCCACAAAATCTTATGCCACAAATAAATTAGTTGTGGTCTTAAAGTGCCACAAGATTCCTTGATTGTTTTTGGCAACCTCAGTGTCTGCCCACTCCCTCCCTCCAGGCAGCGGCGAAGCTGCATGCTCCGGCACCGGGGGAGGAGAGCAGGCAGGGGTGCGGCTGGCGCATGTCCCGGGGGCGTGGCATGCCGCCCGCAGGGGTGTGGTGTGCATCCTGGGGCATGGCACCCAGCGCGGTGGGGAGGTGCGCGGCGTGTGTCCGGGGGGGCGGCCACGATGGTACCCCCCTCCCTGATGGTGCCGGGGGCGGTGCGCTCCCCCACCCACCCCCGTTCCTCCACCAGTGCCTCCAGGTCATACCTTGGTGGCCTGGATGTGTTCTGGCAAAGAGTCGATGAAGAGATCTCCAATGGGCTCCCAAGTCTCCCTCACACTTTCAGCTTGGTTGAGGGTTGTGCTTAGCTCCTCCATGGTGCCCTTGATCTCCAGCAGTTGCTCCAAGGTCCGCTCGATGTGGCGGTGCTGGTCGACGCAGCGGGCAGTGAGCTTCTCCCACAGCTCACTGGCCACAGTGGCCTGTTTCCACACAAAACGACTGATGTTCTGGATCCGGTGTCTTGGGGAAACATCTAGAAACAGAGCAGGAAGAAGACTGAGGTCAACTGACCTGGAGGTCAAGCATGAGGGTGGCAGCCTTGAGGAACTCAAAGAAGGGTAGAAGCAGAAAGGCAAACAGGTATTGGCACTTTGTATCGCAGTTAAATGTTATTAGCGCAACATCACCCTGGTGTTTTGTGAGAGGGTGGTATATAAATGCTTTTATGAATAAATAATAAATTGTGAAAGGGTGGGCTGGGGGGAGTTCAGAGGGCCTGCCTAAAGTTCCCTGTGCCTTTTGCCTACACCCAAGGTTTCCCAAACGTGGATCTCCAGCTGCTTTTTGGACTACAACTCCCACCATCCGTACCTATCATACTGGGAAATAAAACACTTGCAGGCACGAGTGATTCCACAACAACACACCTCTTTAACCTGGTTTTTGATACTTGAGATGTATATTTTTAGGACCCAGCCTGCTTCTGTAATTTTATGTTGTTTTAAACTGTTTTTAACATTGCGTTTTAATTATTGTAGCCCACCCTGGAACCTGGGGTGAAGAGCAGGTAATGAATTGTAATACCAACAGCAATACTAATAGTAAAATCGACTCCAGTCTGGAATACTCCAGTCTGGTACCTCCCCGCCCCCTCCAATTCTGAGCACCTGACTTCCTTAATTCCTTTGGGATGTCCCTGTCCATCCTATGTAGCTCATCATCACCATTTTAAAAGGGAATCTGTCCTTCCTGCAGCCTTCAAGACACCCATCTAGGAATGAGATTAACTTCTATTGTATCCTTCTGGAGGTCAGGAGTATGTTATCCTCCAAATGCGCTCATAGAGTATTCAGGGAAGGATTATGGGATCTCTCCATAGTGACAAAGAAGGTCAGTAGGTTAGCCTGGAAGCATAAAAGCCTTGTGCCAGTGAGCTAGCATTGCCTTTTGGTTTTGCCCCAGCAGAACGAGAAGAGTTTGTTTGAAGGTGCAACGTGAGCGGACTGGGGGAGACAGCTAAAGTTATGTAGGACCGTAAACCTTTGCTGTCGGAATTGGAGTCCTCCACTTCTTCAAATGGATGCTGAGTGAGGAAGGCCTGAGCAGACTCCAGGACAGAGTAAATGTAGGGCCCCCGGGACTTCACCTCTTCCATAAATGCCTGTGCCAAGGAGAGAGAAGCAGGAAAGATTAAGTGAGCTGCAATGTTGTTTCCCGGGCACATAACACACCACCCCTTCCAGTGCAAGGATTTGGGGTACCCTCAGGAATGTCACTCCCAGTAGGGTCCCTCCAGCCTGAAAGAGGTGGGAGTTCAAAGCGGGGTGAACTAACAATTCTCTTAGGCTGCCTTGGATTTTTTTGGTATTCTGTGCAAGGTGGCAATGGTAGCATAGTTCAGAGAGGGAGGCCCCCTCTGCTGGTCTCGGGGGGCCCTGGCAAATGCCCAGCCTTGCTAACCTTGCAGCACACTGAGCTAACACATGGCATAGGACAGGGGAGCTTATGTGTTTCCAAAGCTCTGCCACAGATAAGGTGTCTGCTTAACCATTGCCAAAAAGAGAGGACAAAATGGATCTACAGTGGTGCCCCGCAAGACGAATGCCTCGCAAGACGGAAAACTCGCTAGACGAAAGAGTTTTCCGTTTTGGAGGTGCCTCGCAAAACGAATCTGCAATGGGCTTGCTTCGCAAGACGAAAATGTCTTGCGAGTTCCTGGTTTTTTTTTTTCCTTTTCCCCCTCTTTTTCTAAGTCGCTAAGCCGCTTATCTGCTTATCTGATAAGCTGATAAGCTGCTAAAAGCCGCTAAAAGCCGCTAATAGCGCTAATAGCGCTAATCCGCTAATCCCGTCAATGGGCTTGCTTCGCAAGACGAAAAAACCGCTAGACGAAGAGACTCCCAGAACGGATTCTTTTCGTCTTGCGAGGCACCACTGTACATACGATAATTTACATGTACAGATGCATATTTAGAGAGGAATATTATAAAAGAGAACTAAAGTGCACCTCACCATATCAGGCAAGGCCCTTGCAATTGAAGCCCCCTGCTCTCACTTCTTGGGGTTATCTATCTTTTAATTAGACTTGGAGGAGACAGCCCTTCAATGCAGAGCACTCCTTCAAATAAAATTAGTTGGATAGTGCATGGAAACAGGGTCTTTTCCATGGTGAGCACCTGGTTGTGGAGGGTGATTTTTTTGGCAGGTTGGTTTAATTTGCAGAAGGTGACTTGAGGGCCTTTTAAGGTATAGGGCCCTCACTGCAGCAGCCCCAGCCAGCATGGCTACCGGGCTTCTGGGATGATGGGCTGTAGCCCAGCAGCATAATAAGAGTCCCACTGGATCAGACCAAAGGGCCATCTAGTCCTGCAGCCCAACAGATGCTCATGGGATGCCCACTTCAGAGGCATATTATTTCCTCTTATCCTGGTAGAGGTAGTTTGGAGACATTGTGCCTAATAACCTTTAGCAGCTTTGTTCTCTCTCCCCCCTTAATGCCATGCTATGCCCTCTGGGACACTTACCGCATGCCTCTCCTTCTCCTGCTGAACCAAGAGGACGTCCCCACGGAGTGGCAGCTGGGCGGAGAGCTCCTCATCTTTTTGGCCGAGCCAGTCTATGATCTCCTGCAAGGGAATCTGCAGCTTGCTGCTGTGGTCTGAGAAGGCTTCCAAGCGAGCCCTGAGGAAATGAAGGTGGGAAGCAGGCAAAGAACAATGAGACCACAGAGATGGGGAGCGAAGTATTTGCAGCAGAATGCTGAGAGGGTGACAAATGAAACCATCTCGGAAGTATGTGTTTTGGATACTCAGAATTAAACCCTTCCCTTGTCCATTGGCTGATGTCACAAATGATGTCAACGGACATCACTATGGCTATGGCTTGAGAAAAATGGCTTCGTGACCTCCTACTTCTCCCCCCGCCCCGCATTGGCTGTGAGAGATAATTCTCCCTCACACAGCCAATGCTTGCAAAATGAAGGCTTATTCCTTCCTTTCCCCTTCAGCTAATGTAGGATAGGGAGAAAAAACCTGCATTTTGCAAGCACCAAGCATAGGGCTAGCAACACCCTTTGCACAGCGGTTCCTAAGCGTCCAACGGATTTTTGACAGGTGGGCAGGACAACCTGTCTACTAGTTGTGTGACATCCAAACGACATTGTGTGATTGACAGGTAGGATGCCCCATCTGCTTGCCAAAGTTGGTTCGCAGGGTCCAGACCAGAGCCACAACGGTTTACCATCCCTGCACTGTCTATTCTCACCCATGGAGATTTCAACTTTGGCTTCAGTATCTGTCAGACTGGCTTCTGTAAGCCAAAGGAAAACAAGGCACTTTGCCACGCATCTCCCAGCATCTCACCGAAGGCTGTGCGATTTCTTTTTAATCTCATTCCAGCAGAGATTCATCTCAAGAGGCATCTGTGGCCCAATGGCACCATTCAGAGGCTTTTGGCTCACACAGGCTGGTGCTGCACCATCTTGGGGTGTTTTAACCTGAGCATAAACACAGAAAGCAGGAAACTCTATTATCAAATGAGGAGAAAAAGCACTTGGTACCCACACGGCAAGGGAGCGCAGTAAATTTTTATCCTATTGCTCCTCTTCTTTCCTTGTTGGGGAACAATTGTGTGGGAAGGGATGCATAGGAATTGTTCTAAAAATCTATGATTAATACTGGGTGCTGCTTTATAAAAGACATTTTAGTTTATTTACCCCCTGATTTTTAGTTACTCAACCGCTTTTCTTTTGTATGTACAGTGTCATGAAAAACAAGAGGGGAAAAAAGGGGGGTCATCTTTGTTTTGTTTTTGCCTCATTAACCAATTTCATTAAGCAATTTTTAAAAGCTCACAACCAAAAAAAAATATAGTGTGACAGCACTTGCTGTCGTGAGTATTCATGGATGTTCGATTCTTATTTATCAGCAGTAGTTGGGATTTTTCAATCTGTACATATTAGGGAAGGAGAAGATGACAGTAAACAGTAAACATGCACCAAATCCAATCACTATGATACAACTTGAAATAGTCATAGCTTCCCCCAAGGAATCCTGGGAGCTGTAGTTTGTTAAGTGTGCTGAGAGTTGTTAGGTGACTACCTATCCCCCTGACAGCGCTACAATGCCCAGAGTAATTTAACTATCCACCCCTTTTTTCAAGGAAGATGTAGCTTTCTGAGGGGAATAGGGGGTTGCTTAACAACTCCCAATACCTGTAACAAACTACACTTCCCAGGATTCTTTGGGGGAAGCCATGACGCTTTAAAGGGGCGCAATACTGAATAGTGCAGATGGGGGGGGGGGAATTGGTGATGGGAAAGACACAAGACCTTGTAGAGCTACTGTCAGTCATAGAGTTGGAAAGGACCATGAGGGTCATCTAGTCCAACCCCCTGCAATGGAGGAGTCCCCCCCCCCCGGGTTAATTGTATCTGCCTGGTATCAAACTGGGGACCATTCATGTGTTAGGCGAATGTGATAACTATTACACTGTGGACATCAGAAGTGAGAAACCTTCAAAGGAGTCCGTGCCCATTCCCAGTGCAGACCCCAGCTGCATCTTCCTCTGCCTCACATCTGATGTCACACCTGGTGTTATTTGGAGGAAAAAGCTTTACAGGTCTAGTTAGGTTCCCTACTCTTGGAGTAAATGGACAAAAAAATCTGAACTAGGAGAAGGACACTTTCTAGGTATGTAAGTGGGATCTGCAACAGAAAGTTACAGTGTGGAGTGTTGTTATTGAGAGCCTTCCTGCACAATGCCTCATTCTATTTCTCCCTCCCCCCTAGAGCAGTTAGCATTTCAAGCCCATTGTGCCTGCTGGGGTCCCCCTCCATAGCTTCCTCTCTCCACTCCTTTAAATGTTTTTTTTTTTTAGTTACAAGTAGGTAGCCATGTTGGTCTGCCGTAGTCAAAACAAAATAAAAAAATTTCTTCCAGTAGCACCTTAGACACCAACTAAGTTTGTTATTGGTATGAGCTTTTGTGCGCATGCACACTTCTTCAGATACAGTGGTACCTCGGGTTAAGAACTTAATTTGTTCTGGAGGTTCGTTCTTAAGCTGAAACTGTTCTTAACCTGAAGCACCATTTTAGTTTATGGGGCCTCCCGCTGCTGCTGCGCTGCCGCACAATTTCTGTTCTCATCCTGCAGCAAAGTTCTTAACCTGAGCTACTATTTATGGGTTAGTGGAGTCTGTAACCCGAGGTACCACTGTACACTGAAACAGATAGGTGTGGTAAACCTGCCAATCACCCATTCCCACCACGCTTCTGAGTAATACCACCACCGTTCTGAGTAATACCCCTCCCCACCCTCTCACTATATATAAGGGTCTGGTAACTTCTGTTTCAGTGTATCTGAAGAAGTGTGCATGCACACAAAAGCTCATACAAATAACAAACTTAATTGGTCTCTAAGATGCTACTGGAAGGAATTTTTTAATGTTTCTTTGTGTGTGTGTGTGTGTAATTCTGTAAACTCTGGAGTTCCCTCTCTAGCCTCCTGATACCTCCCTCTTGGCATGAGTGGTTCCATTTTGGCTACATAGCAATCAGCACTCACTCTTGACCATTGCAAATACAGGGAAATATAGTGGGGGTGAAAGGGTAAAATCACAGCTGGCTTTCTCATAAGGAACCACTAGAGGGCAGAACTTGGCTGGGCTGGTCACTCACAAACTGCTGCTTTTGCTCTGTTCCTCCTCCTGCATCACAAGGATGGTTTTTCACTTGTCTTGTGAGGTCTAACTTTTTTTTTTTTAAACGGACTAGAATCTTGGTTGTATACCAATAGCCTTTTCATGGCAGGAAAGCATAGCCTGGATCTTTTAATACATAAAGGTACCCCTGCCCGTACGGGCCAGTCGTGTCCGACTCTAGGGTTGCGTGCTCATCTCGCTCTAGAGGCCGTAAGCCGGCGCCGTCCGAAGACACTTCCGGGTCACGTGGCCAGCATGACGAAGCTGCAGCTGGCGAGCCAGCACCAGCGCAGCACACGGAAACGCCGTTTACCTTCCCGCTATAAAGCGGTCCCTATTTATCTACTTGCACTTAAGAGTGCTTTCGAACTTCTAGGTGGGCAGGAGCTGGGACCGAACGACGGGAGCTCACCCCGCCGTGGGGATTCGAACTGCCGACCATGCGATCGGCAAGTCCTAGGCGCTGAGGTTTTACCCACAGCGCCACCCGCGTCCCCGGCCTTTTAATACATAAGGCATAGCTATTGGGCTTAAGTGATCCTAAGCATACAAATTTCTTTAGGATGCAAGAAATACTTTACTAGATCGGACCAAGCTCCGCACAATACAACCTTCCTTGCAAGAATTTAAGTACCCACAGATAGAGAACATCCCTACATTAGCAGTGCAATGACAGTCCACGATCTAACAGAAAATTTTCCCTACTCTTTTTAACTTCCGATGGTTAAATGCCCTCCTCCAACCAACTATGCCAAAGTTGGGGAACCTCTGGTTTGCTGGTCAAACTTGAACCGCCAGGGGTTCAAATTTGGCCCACAAACCATGGCCACCTGGCTCCTCACACAATAGCATATCAGGAGCATTAAAGTGTACCCCTAATTGTGTCTTGGGGCAAGGGAAAGCAGGCTTCTGCTGACTGGAAGGAGAGCCAAAGCCTGCTTGGGAACCACTGTACAGTACAAGGGATTTGGGCAGGTAGGCAGCATATCACAGCATCATGTGGCTGGTGATATCCAGTCTGATATCCAATCTGATTGGTGATGCCCATCTGATCCTGTTGACCTGTAGGGATGGAGCCAGATAAGGATCTGGTCCATAGAGTCAAAAAGGTTCCCCACACCTGAACCGGGCAATGGGAATGGGGCCCATAATATGTGCTATCTCCCAATGTCATCAGTGAGAGCTTTCCATTTATTCTGAACAAGAGGCATCAGGCGGGTGTGTTTCAACTGGCAGGGACAAGGGTGAAAACTCACTCCTCTGAGTCCTGGTCCTGTTTCCAAACAACAACAACAACAGTAGTTACACTGCACTCAATTACATTATAAAAGCCACATAAGAGTCTAGCCCTGTGCCATCTTAAAAGACTAACATAGTGCAGGACTTTGGGGCTCAGACATCATGGCCAGACTTTTATCTTCCTCTCCCCACCCCCATTTTGATTAACTTCTAGCCTGAAGAAGAGTTAAGAAAACTCAGAAGTTGACTTTCTGTTTGGTGGCATTTTAATCAATACATAGGACCAGTGCTTCTTTTTTTCTTTCTAAAAAAAATGTTTAGGGGTACTGTCATTTTCCTACTCATATTGAAATACTGCTCCTCAATGAGGCCAAACTTAGATTCACAAAATGTTTAGGGGTATGCATACCCCCACATACAGGGACACGGGTGGCGCTGTGGGTTAAACCACAGAGCCTAGGACTTGCTGATCAGAAGGTCAGCAGTTCGAATCCCCGTGACGGGGTGAGCTCCCGTTGCTCGGTCCCTGCTCCTGCCCACCTAGCAGTTCGAAAGCACGTCAAAGTGCAAGTAAATAGGTACCGCTCCAGAGGGGAAGGTAAACGGTGTTTCCGTGCGCTGCTCTGGTTCACCAGAAGCGGCTTAGTCATGCTGGCCACATGACCTGGAAGCTGTGTGCCGGCTCCCTCAGCCAGTAAAGAGAGATGAGCACCGCAACCCCAGAGTTGGCCATGACTGGACCCAATGGTCAGGGGTCCCTTTACCTTTACCTTTATACCCCCGCATACCCCCATAAAAAGCACTGCATAGGACCCCTCCAGACAGCCCATTTAATCAGTTTTCATCCTGATTTGCTTGCACGAAGCTTATGCGGAGGTTAGTTTATACCTGGTCTTTATTGAGCATTCATCCTGATCTGGTTGTGGGGGGTTGACTCTGCTCCCTGTTAATTAGGGTTGTATTGTTGTTTCAGTGGATGTTTTCCTGTTGTACAAAGTGCACACTGCTTAGATATTTTTTAAAAAATACTGAGGGCTTTAGAAATGCTTTTAACTAAGTAAGTAAATGAATAAGCCTACTGAAGCATCTGAAACTGAGGCAAAGGAAAAAATGGAACATACTTCTGACATTTAAAAAGAGAACAGATACGCTTGTTCTATTTTAAGAGAGCAAGGATTCTGGATAGCAATAACAAATACAAAATAATGAATCACTCCCACAAGTGGCATGACTCTTCCATCCTTCTTCAAATGAAACTATAAAAAGACTTCACATGTTTCCTTAAAAATACCCCCAAAATATGTTTTCTTAACTAGATGTCTTTCCGACATATGGATTATTTTTGATACCCAAAATATGTATTTCATGACTGAGCAAAATGGTATGATCAAGGTCTCAAGCAGATATAAAAGCATTCTGTTTCTTTTGGTATGTGTCCAATGCAAACTGCAACTGCAGAGATGTACAGGTGCAACAACACATTGGTGTTGTTTTTCTTTGCAATGATTCAAAAATGCAAAAGTGTTATAATAAATAAAACTTACAGCAGTGAATTAATAGTCATCATGCAAATCCAATCTGCTATTGGTTGCATGAGCATCCAAATGATGTTGGTGACTTTGGTGATGAAGACCTGTCAGAGTCCCTCTTTACCTCTTTTTAAATGGTCACCAGTTAACATTTAATGTGTGACACATAGAAGCAGCAACGAAATGTTGCAGCGTGAATTGCTCCTGTTCAGGATACTCCAATCCATGCCCTCATTCCAACCCACTGGAACCCATTAGGATTCTGTAACCACTCTCAATCCTCACTGAGCTGTTTTTTAGGTTCCACCCTTGGATTCCTCCCATTTTTTTGTACTTCTGTAAAACTTGGTGATCCCCAAGTCCAAGCCTGCTGAGATGTTGTGTGTGTGTGCGTGCGCGCACACACCTGTGTGTTTGTGTGTGCATGGATGTATTTATGCCTGCATGTGCACACACCATTTTAGCTATACAAACAGCCACATGGAAAGCCTGAACATCAGAAATAGTAATACCCGAGTGAGTTCTGCAACAAAATGCTGCAGTGTAGATTGCTCCTTGTTCAGCGTTCCATTCACTCCACAAAATCCTATCCCCCTCCAGTTTTCATTCCCACCCTTAATGGTCAGCCTTCCAAGCCCACTGGGCATTCTCAGTTTTCCTTGGACTTGGGGTGTTTGGCGGATGTCCCTCTTAGGATTTTATTTGCTAAATATTTTTTGTGCACTTGCAAACCCAAACCTGCTGATGTTCTGTACATGGGGTGATGCTGTTTTGGCTATTTAAGGACTGGAAATAGCTAATGCTATATATATCTGCTATTTAAAACACCGACAACTGTGGGTGCCATCTGTTTGAGTTTCCTAGATTTGTACTACTGCTATTAGTATTTTGATTGCAGTTATCAATTTGCTGTTCAATCTTTTCCCTCCACTGCATTTTCCTTTCCGCCCCTCACCCCATAAACCACTTAAGATTAATTTCCTTCTCTGTGGGAAAGCTAAATAGAATCAAGCCACTAATCTGGCCTCCCAGGTAAAAGACATTGTGCTACCAACACAATATGCACATTTCCAGTAGTAAAATCAAGTCCAGGACAAAACCCTGCACAAACAATACACACAGTTGGTCAGGGTCAATAAGTGCTTAAAGGTGGGCCGATGAAGCTGCACACGAGCTGAGATTTGAGTCAGCAAGTGTCAGGACTGGGAGAACTCACATTCAAACCCAGCGTGCATGGCCCTGGCACCAAAATGGGGGATATTTTGGGTACCTGAGCACCCAGTGTCCCAGGGAGTTGTCACCTATGTCTCTTGGCTTAACACACTTCACAGGGGTTGTTGCGAGGAAGAATTAAGGGCTTTATTTGGGAACAGAGTATACCACCTTGATCTCCTGGGAGTATAGGAAATTGTCTTATGCCAAATCAGACTCATTGATCCATGTAGCTCAGTATTGTCCAAACTGACTGGCAGTGACTGTCCAGCGTTTCAGATGAGTGTCTCTTCCAGCCTTACATCTGTACATGCCAGGGATTGAACCTGTGACCTTCTGCATACAAAGCAAATGCCCTTCTACTGAGTTATGGCCCTTCCTTGCAAAAAACAGTATAAATCTGCAATTAAAAAACAACAACCAGCATCCTCTGCGACGTTGCATGGAGCAGCATTTTGGATAATTCCTGGACATGTGCAAAGAGAATTGCAGTCTGTGAGCACCTTGCTCAAGGTGGCTTTAAAATCATAAAAGCAAGAATGACTCAACCATTAAAATATAAACCATCAAACTTAACATCAGGAAGAAAAAACACACACCAAGAAAACACAAAACAAAACACAAAGTGAAGCATCAGTCATCAATACACTAAGGCAGCAACAGAATCAAGGGTCTCCCCATTGATGATGGGGCTGCTGTTTGTAATGATTTTGGATTATAGGTTCCCAGTACTCATCCCATGAATTGGGAGACTTGGGTGCAGCCCTGAAAAATATAAAGCAACTCTGAAGGCAGAAGTGTTTCTGAATTTGTATAGAATGCATTACTCTTGAGGCCGAATAACCACAGCCTGATCTCAGTACTGCTGGAGTGACATGATTAATTGAGCATAGTCATAGATTAATAAAAAATGATAAACACAAAGTAATTAGCATAAGAGCATGGAAAGATTCACATAAAAGCAGAAAGGTAATTCTTGGGCTCTGCTTAGGATTGGTAGATGTCCTGAGTTTACAGACAGAGTAGAAACTGGCAACTCAGAGGTAGAATCATAGAATCATGATTGTAGCTTTTGTTAGAACAGGCATGGAGTCCAGTAGTGCCTAGTGTAAGGTTACCAGAATTTTTTCAATGAATCCAGGGACACTTTTCAACTTCAATGGATTTTGTATGGGGACTGATTTGTAAATCTGGGGACTGAATTTTTTCAATGAATCCAGGGACACTTTTCAACTTCAATGGATTTTGTATGGGGACTGATTTGTAAATCTGGGGACTGTCCCCGGGAAAAGGGGACATCTGGTAACCTTAGCCTAGTGAGGTAGGAGGTTGCAGTAATTGCTCTGGGGGGCAGACTCTCACCATATAGGACAGGTATGGGGTAGAGCCTGATGGGCAAAGGAGACGAAGCCAAACCCAACAGGGCTCCTAGCAATTTAACCAAACAGTAAGTTTTATTAGATTACAGATTTTAGTGTGGCAAGAGTTCGGGTGGGGCGGCAGACTGTCCCTTTGCTTCTGGCTCCTCATTACTTCCATCTGTCTAGTGTCCCTGAGAAGGAAGCTATAATCAGTGGGGTAGCATGGGTTGCCAGAGCCCGGGGCAAGGAAAGTATGCTTCGCACCGCCCTCTGATAGGCTGGAACAAAGCAGCAAAAGCCCAGTGACCTACCCAAGTGGCAGCAGTGGCACCCTGTGAGTGTCAAGCACAGCGATGAGCAGTATATGGGGGGAGGTTATGGTTGTTGTTGTTGTTGTCCAGGAGCGTGTATCTTTCTAAAGCTCATGCAGAGGGCACCCTAGCAACAGGCTGTCACTCAAATTCACTCCTCAGTCTTTTCTTCATGATCACTGGAAGATATTCTGTGTGAGCGGGGGGGGGGGGGGTGTGTGCTATTTTTTTAAAAAATATTATCTTATTTTTTCTTTTTGGAATATTGTGCCCCTAAGAATTTTGCGCCCAGGCAATTGCCCCTATGGCTAACCCATAAAAAGGTTTAAAAAAAGGTAAAGGACCCCTGGACAGTTAAGTCCAGTCAAAGGCAACTATGGGGTTGTGGTGCTCATCTCGCTTTCAGGCCGAGGGAGCCGGCGTTTGTCCACAGACAGCTTTCCAAGTCATGTGGCCAGTCTGACCAAACCGCTTCTGGCGCAACAGGACACTGTGACAGAAACCAGAGCGCATGGAAACACTGTTTACCTTCCCACCGCAGCGGTACCTATTTGTCTACTTGCACTGGCATGCTTTCGAACTGCTAGGTTGGCAGGAGCAGGGACAGAGCAACGGGAGCTCACCCCATTGCGGGGATTTGAACCGCCAACCTTCTGATCGACAAGCCCAAGAGGCTCAGTGGTTTAGACCACAGCGCCACCCACCCATGCTACACTGCTGGCTATAATCCAGGAATTGTATATCAAACCTTGAAGCCTGGCTATCTTAGCTTCTCATTTAAAAAGTAAATGCCCAATAAATGCACAGCCTGCTGTGGGCTATTTTGGCCAACTATTTATCTGTAGCATTTATCGGGGGATGTATTGAGCAGTTAGCTTAAAGGCCAGGAATCACTGGGTCAGGCTTGGGGAAACACTGGCCCACCCAAGGGTGAGATGCAAGCCCTACAGCATCTTTCCATCTGCTCATGATGCCAGCTAGGGAGGGAGGAGAGATTCATTTCTGTTCACATTAAAATGGGAATATTGCACTTTCTGAAACAATACTGCCCTCTGGGAGGAATATAAATGTAATGATAATAATGGTAAGTGGACTGGAATGCAGCCATCCTTTGAAATTGCATTTCTCCAAACTTTGTGATACAGTTCTGCAAGCCAAGTTATGTGTACAAATGAAGTAAGAGAAAATAACATGAAAAATGTGTCTGAAGGCAAAAGTGCACACAGAAATGTGTGTATTCTTATGTTGAAAGGGACTTAAAAAAAAGAAGTCACGCTGATGTAGAAATGTGGGGAGCTAAAGACTGGAAAAATGAAGAATTGAGAAAAAAAATGGCAAGATTTGCCCATCCCTATTCTTCTCCATGGTTCCATTCCCTCTCCTCGAGTCTGCATCGCACCCTCCTCCAATGCCTTGTCACGATGTTTGCCTCTTATGCCACTGAATCAACACCACAAGCCTTCCCACCACGGCTTGGAACATCTGGAGAGCTGGTTTCAAATCCCTCCTCAGCCACACAGTAGGGTGACCTTAGTCCAGTCTTTATTTCTCAACTTTAACCTACCTTGCATATTTGTCATTAGGAATGAAAAGGAGAAAACATACATTCACCACCCAAGTTCCTTGGAGGAAAGGCAGGATACGGACATCAATTGACTAGATTTATTAAATAACTAGAAGCCTCAGATCTGTTGCTATTGGGAATTCTAAGAAACCAAACATGAGGTGCAGTTTGGAAATTCAGTTGCATCCAAACATAGATGAAAACCTGCTACTTGATCTCAGGAACTGCCATGCAAAATTCGAATGTGTTATCTTAAGAGGTGTCCAAATGCATACCGGACAAACAATTTTCCAAATGTATAGTAGAACAGTAATACTTCTACTGTTGCTGCTGCTGCTACTATTGCTCCTCCCTCCCTCCAATATACCACCTGCAGAGGAACTGTCTTATGCATGCAAGCCCTTATGCCTGGTTTTGCAAAATGGTATTGTGAATTGACATGTGTTGCTAATAGGTTATTTTTTTCCTTCTTTGAGCTTTTATTAAAAGCCAATAAACTTTGCATAAAAAGTTCAAAGCAAACTCACAAGAAAGTCCCACCAACAGAGTTTACTCCCAGGAAGGTATGTACAGGTCTGCAGTCTCACTATGGAATAATGTTTACAGTGGTACCTCGGGTTAAGTACTTAATTCGTTCCGGAGGTCCGTTCTAAACCTGAAACTGTTCTTAACCTGAAGCACCACTTTAGCTAATGGGGCCTCCTGCTGCTGCCGTGCCACCGAAGCATGATTTCTGTTCTCATCCTGAAGCAAAGTTCTTAACCTGAAGCACTATTTCTGGGTTAGCGGAGTCTGTAACCTGAAGCGTATGTAACCCGAGGTACCACTGTACTTAGATAGAAGTCCCACTGTGTTACTCCCCAGAAAATGGTGAACTGGATTGCAGGTGATGTTATCTGTTAAGCTCATTGCTGCGGAACAAATTTCCTTGATGGAGACACCCACATGCTTTGAGACTGACTTGTTTAAATTAGAATTGCATCTTAGTGGTCCTGCCTCTTTCCTATTGTTGGTGTACTTCCCCCTGATTACTTAACACCAGAGGTGGGAACCATTTTCAGTCCGAGGGTCACATGCCCTAGCGGGGAAGATTCCAGAGGCGAAAGTGGGCAGAGTATTGAAACTCTGATCTATGTGCACCAGGTTATATATTCCCAGCTGTGCAAAAATCAGAAGTTTCTATAAACACACATACATAACACTCCATCCAGGGAAACAATAGGCTCAAGCACACTGTGCTGGCTGGGGGACGATAGAAGCTGTAGTCCGAAACATCTGTAACGTGCCAGACAATGGACCTAGGACCTTCTGCATGCTTTACCACCTAGATATGTCACTTCCCTGCACATAGAAAACTAGCATGTCAAGGGGAAGGTTAGGGTTCAGCCCATATAGGGGCAGGCTGTTGCCTTCATGTTCTGATGATGGGCCTCAATAAAGCATCTGGCTGGTTGGCTGGCCACCATGGACTGTGGAAGAAAACAAGGACCCCTTGGCCTTGCTCTTCTTCATTTCCATAACAAAATGGAGCCTCCAAGTATATAGACTGCATACCTTAAAGACAGATAATGGAGATGTGGATTTCAGGGACATGGTTTTTTCGCCCCATTAAGAGCTGCTTGTGAGCTTCCCAGTAGCACTTGGCCAAGATTTGCTGGAAGCAGGGAGCTGTGAGGCTACCAGTTCCAATCAGGTCCAGCCAGCTTTGCCAATGGTCAGGGATGATGGAAACTGGGAGTCCAACAACATTCTGAGGGTTACAGGTTCTTCAGCCCTGGTCTAGATGGATCTTGGCATTCAACAACCAGCTCTCATACACACACACACACACACACACACACGCAGCTTCCACTTTTTGCAACCCACTGCTGACATTTTCACTAAGGAAAAACACCACTGTGACTTTATTTGTGCTGGCCATAGTTTCTCTCTCTGACTAATTAGCCATTAGTCCTCCAAAGCGATGTAGCATTTACTGCCTTCCATTAGAAGGCATCAACCCCAAGGGCTCCAGGAATAGCATACTCAAGCATCATAATGCTCTCAGCAGAAGGGCACCCTAATGGAGCATTGTTGTTGGGGAGGGCAAAGACTACTCAGCAGCAATATTCCATGGTCTGTTAGAGCAGGAACGAAAAAAACCTGGTGTGCGGCTGGGTGAATTCCCCAGGAAAATCTCTTTTAACACAGATTTGCTTGTAAAAATCCATGCATAATTACAGTGTCCCCTTGTTTTAATAAATCCACAGGATGGCTTAGGAATTATAGGGAAGAAATTCAAGTGTTAAGCATCGCATCTGGCAAACTAATTCTTAATATTTTGAGTCTTAAAAGGTTTTACTGAAGAAACCCTTTAATATTTTGATTGCTTTTCTTAAAAAAAAAGAGCTGTGCTAAACAGAATCTCATTTCAACTGGAAAACTTTGCAAATCTGCAATACCCAGTTAAACTTTCTGGGAAGCATCAATTCTGAAAGAGTGCAAAATTACGCACCTGTGCTAGGGAACACATTGCAAGTACAGCAGGAGCCCATGCACACACACACACACACACACACACAACAGTGCAAAGGAAACTTAAAAAGATGAGCATTATAAATCATTCATGCCACAGCTGCTGCATCTCACGATGCCTTCACACTGGGAAGCTGGTGCCTTTTCATGCGCTGATTCTCACAATGCTAAAGTAGGTTAGCCTTGCTCTGGCAGCCAGGAAGAACGTTTCAAGTTGGAAACCCTAAGTCCAGGAGGGGAAACCCCAGGGGAATCTGGGGCTCTTTTAGAGCAGCAGCTTGCAATAGAGTCACAGCAGAAGACAACTCCACAGGGTCCAAAATCTGCTGCCACGTGGAGCCGAAAGACAGCCCAAGCGTGCAAAGCTTGCAAGAGAAGTTCACAACACACCAAGAGCCGAAATGTGAAATACACCTGCCCACACACAGACACAGAGTTAGACATCCCGAACCTGAAACAAAATCTTCTGGGATGGGGGAATCAGTTGTCTCCAGCTCAGCATCAAAGCTCCAGGTGCTCTCTACTGCAGGGATGTCAGGCTGGCTAAATCACTCCCACTCTGCCCAGATGCATGTGAACTGCTTTATTTTTAGATCCATGCCTGCACTCTGCCTTTGCAGACAGCTCTCTCTTACCTGGGCAGACGCGAGGATCCCCAGAGGGTCTCCTTGGTAGCTCCATGGGAGAGCATGTGTTGTTGACTGCCACCCCTACCAAAGCCATCCAAAAGGGAGATAAAGGAGGGAACGGGGAAAGCAGGCAGGAAAGGGAGGGAGGTGCAGGAAGGAGTGGTTTGCTACCCTCTCTTTGCTGACCCCCTAGGAATCTTGCAGGGGGTGGCAGCAACAGCCACCGTTCAGGCTGTGAATTGCAGCTTTGTCCATATGGAATTCCAACACCCTCCAAACCACTTGATTCTCTGGCTGGGGTGGAAGCAGCTGCCTGCGTGAGAGGGAGGCTGAATGTCACGGGCAACGTCCTGCCCTCCCAGAGTGGACTTGTGACAGTCACACTCAACTGCAGTAAAAGGGTCGAAAGAGAATAGTCACCTTGCTATATGGATGACCCGGTGTTGGCCATGCCTGTCAGATTCTTTCTCCTTGGCCTCAATGCTTACCCTTGTAGAACTCAGTAGGGAGCAAAATTAAGACTTGTAGGTTCTGCCTGTCACTGTCTCTTGTCTCTACCCACTGTTGGTATCCTTGCCTTCTGCCCCACCAGTTCAAATGGGCACCAGCAACCAATGCCATAGAGTCTGTCGTCTGATGGGAACTGCTGTGAAACCGGTGATGGAGGAAAGATCCTTCTTTGGAGAGGAGAGGGCTGGGACCAGGCCTTCCCTGGCTGCCAGTCTTCCTTAGAGACCAAACATGTTTCCCGACTGTCCCTATTTCCAGGTGGGATTCAATCACATACCAGCAAATCCAGGCTTCACAATCAACATTGTTTCACACTTGCATAATAATTTCACATAACCCACCACAGCAAATCATTATCCTTTTTGCAATAAAGGAACTGGCAGGAAAATGTGTAGGATAATCAGGATGGGGTGGGGAGGGGGAAGGGGAGGGGAGGGAAGATGTCCTTTTTATTATGCATTAATGATGACGTTCTCATAATGTTATTGGGGCAGTTGTAGATGGTTGCGCTTTCTAAACTGTTTGTGTCTGCAACAGTTCCTGTACGGACATATTGCTTCGTTTCCAATCAGTGCATGTTCTGTAGCTTCCTGATGAAATCCTGCAATTTTTCATATCACAAGGGTTCCTCCGGACTGTCAGGATTTTGCAGGAGGAATTTGATCATCTACCAGCAGTGGTGGAGCTTCATGCTATGGCCCCGGGGGACAGAGAGCAGGCGGGGGTGGGGCTGGCACGGGTCCTGGGGGTGTGGCGCACCACCTGCGGGGGCGGGGTGCCCAGCATGGGGGGGGCAGCCGTGATGGCACCCTGGGGATCACGCTGCCAGGGGTGGTGCGCTCCCCCCGCACTCCTCTTCCTCCGCCAGTGTCTACCAGAACTTTAGGTGTGTGTGTTTTAAGTGGATTAAAGAGCTGTTGCCCTAGCACAACAGATCCACTTTTCAAAAAGAGAGAAAGTGCTGGACTTTTTCTGGTTTGGAAAGTGATGGGGAAATGCACTGAAAAGTGTGGCATGAACAAATGACTAACAGGAAGATGTATAGATGTATATGTAAGCAAGTCAGGATGAGTGCTCATTGCCATAAAAAGGTAGAGGTAAAGGACCCCTGGACAGTTAAGTCCAGTCAAAGGCAACTGTGGGGTAGCGGCGCTCATCTCGCTTTCAGGCCGAGGGAGCTGGCGTTTGTCCACAAACAGCTTTCCGGGTCATGTGGCCAGCATGACTAAACCGCTTCTGGTGCAACGGAACACTGTGATGGAAACTAGAGCAGCGCACGGAAACGTTGTTTACTTTCCTGCCACAGTGGTACCTATTTATCTACTTGCACTGGTGTACTTTTGAACTGCTAGGTTGGCAGGTGCTGGGACAGAGCAATGGGAGCTCACCCCATCGCATAGATTTGAACCACTGACCTTCTGATCGGCAAGCCCAAGAGGCTCAGTTGTTTAGACCACCTGCCACCCGTGTCATATAACCACTCTCCAAACAAATCTAATACTCAATAAAAACTGATCAGAACCTATCCCCTACATAAGCTGTCTGCAAGCAAATCATAGTGAACGCTGAATAAATGTTCTAGGTTTGTTTGGTTTTTGTCACACTTCTGTTGTGCTATAGGGTAAGGATGCCCTTCCAGTAGCATTGAGAAGCAGTCATAGGACAATTAATGAAGCAGAGTGATGCATGGATAATCCAGTACAAATACTCCATTAATGCACTATCAATGTGTCAACGACATGTTTTAGGATATATGTTTCGCAAGGAGGAGGACACCCGTCTGGAGAAACTCTGACTGCTTGATGCCATGTCATGTAACCCCTGACACAAACAAACCAGAATGAATGCTCAGTAAACAGGGGACTGTTGTCAAACCTGCCTGCAAACTCTGTGGAAACAAATAACAAAGAATGCTCAATAAACAGGTTGTCTGGAAGCAGCCCAGGTTCCCCGCAGGGAATACTGAAAATTCCTGGGATTCACCACCCCCTTCAGCACCAAAGCAAGAGGAAGAATGTCTTTGTTTTAGCCAAGAGGATTCCGTTCCTGTCACTAATGGTCTCCCACAGACTTTCCCCCCATAAGCTAATGTTTCCATGCTCGGCCCCACCTACGGGCACATGATAAAAAGCTCCCTCTTTCTCTTTGTCTCTGCCCCCTGCTTCTCTCCACCAGATGACCTCCTGCACTCTTGCATGCCTGTCCACCACCTCTGCCTTTCCCTCTCTCCCCCGCCCCACCTCACAGCTTTTAAAATTTCTACAGTGAGATGTTTGCAGGGTCAAAGCTTGCCTTGAAGCCATCGCAGAAGTCATGTTCTTTGTCGGTATCAGGAACCTCTGGCCCTGCAGATGTTGTTGAACTACAACTCCCATCATCATCAACAACATCATTTAATTTGTATGCTGCCTTTCCATAGTGAAAACCATGCTCAAGGCGGCCTACAACATGAAAAGATTTACATAATTGCAAATGTAACTTAAATAGAAATAAACAATAAATAATACATATTAAAATACCATAACTGAACAATTTCCACATAAATCGTAAGATCTAAAATATGAAGGTACGGAAATTTTATGTCGATAACAACAACGAAAACCCCCAACAAAAATCTCTAAATAGCCCAAGAGTCTGTTCAGCAGTCTCAGTTTTTACAGCTGGAGTCAGGGCTCCACCCTCCCAGGCCAGGTGGGAAAAGGCCAGCAAGGCAGGGAGTGTTGGTTGCAAGAAAAAAATAAACATAGAGAAGAGAATTTCCTGGATGCCAAGATACAAGTTTTGGGCAAGTATTTTTTGGTGACAGAACCCCAGCAGAGATTTGAAATCACAAAACATGCTGCAAATTAAAGTGTGGAAATATAGGCTGTTAGACCTTTAAAATAGGTCCTTCTAAGTTCCACCCAAAGTTTCCTTCTATCCCCCAACATAGAAAAGGACCACACGTTTGGTAAGTTTAAAAGAGTTTACGTACAACTCTCCAAAGATCCGATTCATGTGCTTTTCCAAATAGCATTCAGATAAAGTTGCACAGGCAGTAAACTTGGCTTAATTGCAGTGGTGAAAGTTCCTAAATTATTGCGATAGGAACTCAAGAGTGGCTTGTAAGAGCCATGCAGTCTGAGCTTCAGCAACAAGCTAAGACATGGGTTGAGGAGGAACAAAGTCTTAATTACATAGTCCCTCCCAAGGTGAGCTAAGCCTGGCGGTACAGCTTATTCTATGCTACTAACACCTTCATGCATTAAATAGACTTGGTTATATGAGGCTGGTTATCTCACAGGGAGCAGGTCTTCCAGGATTTATGGCCATCATCCCTGGTCATTTGAGGGCCAGAAGTTCCCCACACCTGGTTTCTATGGTCACTTAACAGCAACAGACAACATTTTTGTTTGAGGGCTGCATTCCTTGGGTGGAAAGTGGCTGGGAGCTACAAGACAGAAGTGGGTGGGGCTAAAGCTGGAAATGGGTGAGGCCAAAGGTGAGTGTAGCCAAAGCAAAACGTGCCCCCCTCTTTGCCCCTAATTCATTTATCATTTATCCATTATCACTCTCACACACAAGCCCCACAGTTTTTGTTCCTTGGGATGGAAATGCCCTTCTCACATGCCAGAACCACAACACACAACTAATATTTAATTAATGTGTCCAACTTTCTGCCACAGGAGATAGGGAAGACTACTAGAATAGATCACTTTAAAAAGGGGGATCAGGCAAATTCATGGAGGAAGACCCATCTGCAATGAGACAACAGCTGGGACAGAAGTGGGGAATTTAACACCTAAGCCCTCCAAATGCCCCTATTTGGCCCTTGGGACTCCCTGCCGGCCACACCCCCTCATTAGCCACCTGCTTCTCCCCATAATAGTAATAATATTAATATATTTATATGCCGCCCATCTGACTGGGTTTCCCCAGCTGCTCAAATATGTTGAGCTGTTGTTTTCTTTCACTGTATTTTTTCTTTCACTTTTTTTTTTGTTATAAGCTTTTGCAAAAACAGTTTATAAAAAATATCACATATAAACAAAGACATCCCGACCCACCCTAAAGAGCACAGGAACCAATAAATATTGGGAGTTCTTACCTGAGACTGTGCATGGGAGGTGCTGTTGCGACGAGATTGGCCTGTGGCATGCCACTCATGACATCTGGGGAGGGTGAAAGAGCATCCCTGCATGACCATTGGCTGCATTAGAACAGACGCTCATGAGGGCATATCTGCTTTGGAACACTAGAAATGGAAAAGGGAGTGAGCAGGAATTACTTGATCACTTCATGGACTCTTGATGAGCCACTGACCTGATCCAGCAAGACTCTTCTTAGATTCTTATGGGCTTTTAGAGAGTTGGAAGGCCACTCAGATGTAATCAGGTCCAACCCCTCTGCTAAATGCAGGATCTGCAATGTTGGATTATCATCATCACCACTATTATCATAACTGATTTACTGATCACTTTCTAAATCGTTCCGTGGGGTTTTTTAGGCTGGGAAATAATGACGGACTTCAGGCTACCAAGTGAACTATGTGTTGGGGGGGGATTTGAACCCAGGTCTCCCAGATCTTAGTCCAACACTTTAACCCAGTGCTTCTGAAACTTTTTTCCACACCTGCCACACTTTCAGAATAAAAATTTGCTCGT